CTCGCGATCACCTGGCTGGATGAGATTAGGTCTATTGCATCTCTCTGAGCCCGTAACAACTTTCATAGACCCAATTACACCCATCTGGAAGCCAGTTTCATCAAAGTTGTGTATATCGTTGTTGTGGACACCATACTTGGCTATTGTATCCTCCACCAGCTTGAACCACGTGCGTATAACCTCAGGATCCTCCTGTCGTATCCTCTGATGGTCCTTCGCTCGGGTAAACGCAGTTTGGAGCTTATCTGAACGCGTTACAAATCTCTCTGCCCAGTTCTTGCCTACGGGCTTCCCGGCACGCTCGCGCAACAGTTTATCTGCCATATCTGCCACCTCACAAAGCCGGGGTGGGAATCCTCGTGAATCGAGATCAAGAATATATCGTACGATCGTTTGCTCTTCAGTCATGGTAAGCTTAGAGCAATTAGGGTGGGTATTGGCTCGGGCATAGGTTCCGTTATGTCTTCGCTGGAGTGTTCGTATTGAGACATTATATACCTTAGCAGCATATCGCAGGCTTCGAAATTGGCCGTCGCTGTACGCCTGGAGTGCAAGCTCGATCCTGCCTTCTTGCTGAGTTCTATCTGCTTGCGGGTGTTGAGGCATTACGTGTCGAAGTGGTGGTGATGGTTGCCAAGAGATTCTGCGACACTCGGTGGTGTGCGACACCCGGTGGTGGAATACGTTACCACTAAGTGTGAAACGCACGTAATAATTACTAAAATGGTCTAGCTCGGACCAATTCTGGCCAGGCAACCCTTAGGAAACATATCCACAGTACACCCTCCCACCACTTGCACATACACACTCAACACGCACACCACATCTAGTACATACATACAGGGGCACAGGAAGGAACAGACCCAGTATACGCTTTATCCTTCTCATCGTCTGACTCGCTACATCATGCTCAGGAGAGAGGGCGGGCTCGATGCGCTCCTCGAACGACCACGACCAAACCTATGGCAACAGTTCATCAGAGAACCCTGCATTTTCCTGGCAACCAAACTGTATGAGTGGCGTCGAATTGTCAGATCCCAGCCTATCAATCCCATCTCTGTCGTCTGCATCTCCGATACACATAACTCCAAGCCAGATATACCTGCGGGTGAGATCCTAATCCATGCCGGCGACATGAGCCAAAGTGGCACTCTAAAGGAAATCCAACAGTCTCTGGATTGGCTCAACTCATTGCCGCATCTGTTCAAGATCCTAATCGCTGGTAATCATGATATTTTGCTTGACAGCACACAACCACGTGCCGATCAAGTCGAACGCGCATCCCTCAACTGGGGGAGCGTAATCTATCTGAACTCTGAGTCAACGACCATAACATGCAGTAACGGCCGTCGTCTAAGAATCTACGCTAGCCCTTTGTCTCCACGCCATGGTAATTGGGCGTTCCAATACTCGCGCAACCAAGATGTATGGCATGGCAAGGTCCCGGAAGGCACTGACGTTCTTATCACACACGGTCCACCAAAAGGCCACCTTGACGCAGGCCACTTGGGGTGTAAGTTCCTGCTTGAAGAGTTGTGGCGGAGAAAGCCTAAGTTGCACGTATTCGGACATGTGCATGAAGGGTACGGGCTGGAATGGGTGCAGTTCGATGCGTTGCAGAGGGCGTATGAGAACACGGTCATCGCAGGTGGAGGAATCTGGAATCTTGGGCAAGTCGTACTCGAGTTCCTCTATGCTATGTTTAGCCCGGTAAAAGAATCTAGGGGTTTGCTCGTAAACCCCAGCATGGTCGGAGGCCTCCGGGATGACCAAAGGAGACGCCCTATAACAGTGTACGTATAGATCTAACGTAGAAACTGCTACTGGAAATACCAACGTAGCACATCTGGAGATTGAAGTTACGATAGCAGATGTCAACCAAGACGTTGAAATTGTTCCGACCTCAGCACGTCTATAGCGGTAGGTCTTCGTCTATAATCGACGACGAAGAGGTAGCGGAAAAAATCCGCGAGTGCAGGCGATATATCCCACTTGCCAAGCTCCTCTTCAAATGAAAGAGTTTCCAAACACTTCGGATCCGTGTTATCACCACATCCCGACTTCTCAATCAGCCGGGCAATCCTGAAATAACCTTGGTAGTTACGGTCGGTGGGTTGGGGCGTCACTGAATCGGGAAAGAGTCGCAAGAGCTTCGCCATTGCCCACGGATGCGGCCAGTGACGTTCGGGCATGTTATTAGCACCGAACACGAAGGGGGAAATACAGTCGAAAAGCTTTCTTTGTTAGTTGAACACAAGTATTACCCAGTAGAGTGGCTAACCGTGACAGCAAAAGCCCACACGTCGGAACAATGGAAGCAGCCTATTCCTGACCATACTTCGGGAGCGCGCATCGCAATCGGTTGGACGGGGTACTCATTGAAGCCTTCCGACCGCACTAGATGGCGTCAGCATAATCGGTTAAATATCATAATGGCAGGAGAAAACAGATACTTAGTCCCAAGTCTCCAAGCTTCACCACTGGGGATGGCCTGTCTAGGCCAGAGATGAGAATGTTATCGTTCTTGATGTCTGATCTATTTAGTATGCGTAGAACCATCCCGTCTCCGGAGGGGCAGCACGTACCTGTATGAATCAGGTGTTGTGACTTCAAATCGGCAAGTGCCCCCAGAACAGCCCTAGAAATACTCTTGTGTAACACAGAATTTTGTCTGTGAGACTTGGAAGGCACGTCCTTCAGAGTACGTACAATCCACTCAAAGGCCAGGCAATACGGACTTTCGCTCGCCGCGCTGCTATGGGCATCGATGGCCTCGTACATGGCTCGGAAATGCGAAGAGGAGCGAACCGCTGGATTCATATAACAATCGTGCTCATGCTTCAGCATATCCAGGACTTTCTTCTCGGAGGCCGACTTGATGACAGCCCTGTGAAGAAGATCAGCGGGTGGGACAACATGCGCGCCATCGTAGACCAACCATTTGCCCGGAAGTTGAGACTCAGCTCGCGGTATTATCTCAGCCTTGAAGATGGTGGAGCTTGCAGTGTGGTTTCTGAGCGACTCAACAAGGAGATAATTCCACCTAGTTCCACGAAGTGTTTGTCCGATTCGTAGCACCATCGCGGGTGGGGCGCTTGTCAAGTAAGTGGTGATAGGAGAAACCCATGCGGTCGCGCTGTGAAGAGCCAATCTATGAATCTATGAACCAACAACAAACCAGCCAGACGCGAGCTGAGCATCTGCGCCTCGACCGCCTCCTCCTCCCCTCCATTGCCTTCCGAGGTCGCCGAGCTAAGCACCCACAATATTTTGAGCGATAACCAAGTAATTGCTTTCTTGTTCTGTAATCTCGCGCTGTCCCTTCTTACGACATTTGTTCTAAGCGCCAGGTCAAAAGTCATTTCCAGTCGGGTTCCTCTCGCACTCCAGCAACTCGACATGTCCGTCTCCAGTTTATCAACGCGTTCTTTCATATCTTCTTTGCCCCCTTGAAGCACGTCCGAAGCTGTCAGGAAGGCGTATTCTCCTGCTCTTTTGCACCTCATTCCGTTCCCTCCTCTAGTTCTTTCTCTCGCGCAACGAGGTTCTCGATCCGCTTTCTCCGATTCACGAGCTGTTCTCATATCCTCTGCTCTCAGAGCTCCTTTTGCATGGTCAATTCGATATTCTTCGTTCTGAAGCTACGCTCTCTGGGAATTGAGGTTATCAATGTTGTTCTCGAAGGGTTCTTCGCATCTTGATATGCTGGGTCCTGGAGCCAGAATCGGAGAGGCGTCCCGCGATTGTAATACTCAAAGCACTTGCCCCTGTGCCGACACGCTTGCTTGGTGAGTTCGCAACAACAGCTTCTCTCGCATGTTGCCGTTGTGCCGGGGGCCAGGTGCAAGTGTTTGGTGCCGCCATGTCCACCATTGGTATGAACACTGTCTTCGTACAGGTCATATCCATATCTGCCGAATCAACAGAATGTCGGGGAGATGAAGTCATCTAATGAAGATTTAACGTGGCCTCGCAAGCCAAAGTGCAGGTGAGAGAAACCTGTACATCGCCCGGGTGTGCCTTCCTCTTTCACGGAGCGTGCCTTCCTCATTTACAACACATGCCTAAAACGGTGCCTTCCTTTCTCGGCGAAACCTTGAACTTCCTCCTTTCCGTCTCTCCCAGTCCTCGACATCATCTCACCACTCTCTACAGTACAGACCGCCAAGCAAACAGCCAACGCCTGAATCACAATGGACTCGGCAAGCCACGTCCCTCCAAGCTATGGCTCAGCGTATTCGCAGTTGTATGCCTGGACATATGATCCAACTGATGGCTCATGGTATGCGCCAACATATGGAGGCCGAAACAGTGCCGGCGATGCATCTGAGCGCAACCCCATTTCGGTACGTCATCCATAATTCCGTCTCTCGCAGCTGCGGCATTCTCAAATGTACCCGTACTCACCAGTCAAATACAGTCCTCGGCCTCCCAGAGCCCTGCCGCTCGGAGCCACTCCGCCCACAAGGCCCTCGAGCGAGAGATTGACTACCTGCATGACGACCTCGACGAACAGGATGAACGAATGGACATGCAGGACGAGCGAATCCAACAGCAAGAATTTTTCTACCGATCGCAGTTGGGCAAGCTCCGTGACGAGCTCAAGAGGTGCGCCAACAGGATGACTTCTCTGGAAAGTTCCCTCGATGCCGCCAAGAAGGAGATCAAGAATCACAAGAGCACGTTGCAGCAGCTCGCCAAGAATCGTCGTAAGAACAAGGATCTTGAAAGGCGGAGGAAGAAGGAGGCTGCGAGGGTTGCTAGCGAGCAAGGAGATACCATACGGGGACTGCAAGCTGGAGAGCCACACGACATTGGTTCACAGGAACGACTGAATGGTCATCATGAGCAGACCGCTCCCGTGGTCAAGACTGAACCTAGAGACAGGACCACGGACATTGAGGAAGGAGAGGTAGACGAGCTGTAAGCATCGGTGTGGTCGTACGAGTAGGGTGATGTCAAGGGGACATGGTAAACCAAGGAGCACAACCGTGTATCGGAATATGCGCATTGAGCATTTTCAATGTTGCATTACTTGGGAACATAAGATGCAACGGGGTCAGACATACTCCTAATACCCTACGGTGTTCCGTGGGAGAGAGATACCTGTCTCCGGTCTATGAATGTATGAATCACAAACTGCAGAAAGCGTTAGCACGATTAAACGTCCCAAGGACTCGCCCAGTATCTAATCTTCTGTCCGGTCCCGGTATATATCTTCTTCCCGCTATGTCAGTCTATACCACCAACACAAGACCAACCCTTACGTCCTATCAACATCACTGAGCACTCCTTTTGCTTCCTGCAAGTTCATGCTCAAGGTACACCGATTGCATCACATCACACAACCAACGCACCAGCTTATCTGATTTTGAACATTTGATATATTATTTCTCCCTCATATGCGCTGCTCACATATCCTTCTTCCACTATCTTCATCCCCATCAGCTCCACCACCCCTCTTCTCCCCTCTCCCAAAAAGGAGGTCCTGCTGTCATGTTCCGTAAAGGCAGGCATAACTCCTTGCCAACATCTCAGATGCGAAAAAAGCACTATTTTCCCAATCTATGCCCCCTCATTCCTCTTCATAAACTCCTTTCCGTACAGCAGAAGGAAGAAACACAAAGTCGACAAGCATCCCTCGAAAAGCCTGACGAGGGTATGAAGATCGCCCGTCAATTCCAACCAGAATGGAAAAGCGAAAAGGGTAGTCAAACAAGCAGTAAGATCCGCTGGATCCGGATGAAATGAAAACCAGGCCTGAGGAACCAGCTCAGAAAGGCTATTAAAATGCTGATCGGAAATTCGAAATTCTCTTTGTACATTGATGATGCTGCGTGAGGCATGAAAAACCGCCAACATATACAAGGAATCGCCGTGGATATCGTGTCGTGATGGAACAAGCGAAAGTCTCAGGAAGAAGATTCGCTCGCTGAATTAGAGGCTGACGGTGCGGAACCTGAAGCTGAGTGCGTCGGCCGTGGTGGATTTGAAGGTAACACTGAGGGTCCACAACTGCGGAATTAAGTCAAGTAATCGTGATAAGCGCCGGATGACTCCCATACTGTATGCATATGCGTTGATCGGGAACCAAAGGAAACACTGGTGTTTGTGGGAAATGGACAGCGTCAAAAGGGCGTCTGAAAGGGTGCACCGGTGCGCCATAATACTCGGTCTTAACAGAGGATTCGACTGTCGCCTTAAAGCATGCTCGAAGCATTAGAGTAAGGACAAGGTGCCTCATTCTCATTTGCAGCCGTGCATGAAGGTATTCTTGGGCCAGTCGAAGTCCGCTTGTTCCCTGTCCAATCGTTAGCGGGATCTGCACGGTCATTGAGCTGTTGTGGGCCTACCAATGGGTCAAATTAGGGTTGTTATACGGCTTGCGATGCTTCCGGATATACTCGGTCGTCGGGTAGCCCGGAGGATCGCAGGTCATCATTTCGTTTCCTTCATCCTGGTAGATGCGGATGTAGTCGATGCGCATGGTTGCCGGAAGAAGCTTTTTGATTTCCTCGAGATTGATCCAGGCGAAACTGTTGGACATGCCGAAGTTTGCAATGACCGATAACGGCTCCTCAGGAATGACTCGTCTGCCGATATTGCCATTGGGCCCCATAGCACGCGCATCCATCGTCCAAGTCTTGTCATCCCCGACATACCAGGTGATGTAGCCATCTTCGCCCGTTTTATACTCGAAAGCATACTTCTGATACTGCTTGCCGTCATACCAGTTATTGTTCAGGTTGGTGAGACCGGAGATGGCTTGTTGGTAGGGACCACCCCTGTATGTGTTCATTTCCGTGATGGAGTGATCGTAGATCTCAAGGAAATCTGGCTTCATCAGCAACCATCTCCAACCCACTCATACCAATTCGCCGGCACTCACCATAGTCGGGTTGATACCAGATATCGAACGGAGCAGCCTGGAAACTCTGAGACACTTGGCCAACACCCCGTTGGCTGTTCGGCTCCAGAAACCTCACTGAAGCTTCCAAAGCATCGATTTCGGGTGCGCTTCGGGACTTCCCAGGGTTTGGGTGATCCTCTCCTGTGCAAGTGCAAGCAGGTAGACGCATTCCAGGGAGATAGTTGATACCATCCGGCGAGCTCTGGTTCGGCGTGATCCCGACATCACACTCGTCATGGTAGCTGTACGGCCACATACCGTCAGTAGTGGCCAGGTAGCCAGGACGGCCGAGGTTCCCCATTGTCCAAAAACCAGGCCAGAAACCAATGATATCACCCCTTCCGGGTAATGAAATGCTAGCCTCGATATGCCCGCCCTTATAGCACAGCTTGTTCCAAGACTGCAGCATCCCTGATCGGTAGTCCAAATTATGATTTCGGAACGCGTCGAACTTTATGTTCAGGGTGCCGTTGCCGGTCGTAATGGCGTCAGGATCGTACCACTAAGGGCCAATGAGCATTTACCGTAGAAGCACCACAGGGATACTGACCTCTAGATCCTGCGTAGCTCCATACCAGATATCAACGCCCTGGAAATACGCATCATCGCCATCGTAGAAAGTCCGGCCCTCTCTGTTGAACTCGTCGGAGAACTGCAGCTGTCAGCACCAGTATGGGCAAGATGCAGGTGCACATACTGTAAGAACCTGTTTTGTCCCATCGGCCGCTATCCGCGTCATCGCACTCTTCGGCGTGTCAGGATCAATGAGGCCTGTGCGAATGTTCTTCAACAGCGGCTCATTCTCCTTTCCCGGTATACACAGCGGGTTATTTGAGCAAGGTGTAAGCTCAGGCCGGGTGATCCTGTCAACAAAGGTTCTGCAAGCTGTCAGTATGATTCCGCACATGGATAAAACCTCCACATACACCACAGGGTACCCTATGAACAGCGCAAGTATTCCCAGTGTGAGGAGGACTAGAGCTCCAACATTTACCAAACCTCTTTTTGTGAATATATCACAGTCGCGTTTCTCCTTCTCGTTTGGATCCGGGTTGTGCAGCCAATCGTCCTTCTCCACATCCTCGGGAAACAGCAACAGTCCCGCCGAGGGCATGATATTGTACTTCTCCGACACAGTCTGCGTATTAAGATCCTCCTCGCTTCCAATCCTCGAAGGAGCCCTTGAATCATCAAACGGTGACGCAAAGGGCCCTAACCGCGAGTCAGAGCTCATCACAGACTCTGAATCCCAGCTTGTGCGCCGTGAAGACATCGCGGACGGGGACCGTAGAGGAGATTCATCCCTATAAGGACGAGTTCTGGACTTCGCAGGAGGTAACAATAGCTCCGCAGCTTCGGCAGCACCGGCGTTTTGAGCGAACGAAGGGGACGGTGATGAGGGTGACCGAGGGCCACCAGGAGTGGCGGGCCTTAGCGGTTGCGTTAGAGATCGAGGAGGCGCCTTGCGGGATATGCCAGGCCGCTGTGCATTGAATGCATCTTGTGTTCCTGAGTTCAAGCGGATGTGTGGAGGAGCGTTTCCCCGTGGCGATGCAGGCGGCGACATTGTGAACGAATGTATAGGGTGAGTGTCGCAAAAAGAACGATGTTGTTACGAAGAAGCCCGGGCGAAGACAGGCATACAGTTAGGCCTGTGTCGTGGTCGCTCCGTCGTGGAAGTGGAGTGGAATTCCAGGGAGGGGTGGGCGGCTCGGGGAGCGATGACGGGGCAACGAGGAGTCGCACTCGGGAATTCGTCGCCTTTCTCGCGATCGACACGGTGCAGGGTCGAAGAGATTCTCAAATGTCGCTAGACGTCGAGAAAGAGAGAGGGGAGGCCCGTCGCGGGCAAATGAGAGGTGCGCGGTCAAAGGGTGTGTGGAAGAGAAACAGATGTTCCTCTTAAAGAGGGCAAGCCAGGAACGGGCGAGACAGCGTCTTGGCACCCCTCAGGGGAGGCAGATGGAGCGAACGGTCGAGGAGAGCAACGGAAATTCGGAACTGGGGAGGATTTCGCGATGCGCTGGATATTGGGAGTAAAAGCGAGTGACTGTTGCGACTGATGAGACAGCGACGACAAAGTTGGATTTTGGTGGCAAGCCAGGGGCACAGGAGACTGAGAGACCCTTGCTGGGCAAAAGGTGTCAACGGCGTGCACGATCTCGCAAATCATCAGCCTCCACAGCATGGGGCGCGCAGGGACCTGGACGGCGACCCTGCTGAGATCATCCTGGTCGAGAAAGTTGGACAGGGCGTCGGCGCACGATGTCATCATTCAGAAGAAACCAACGACCGGCAAGCCCACCACTGCGACACTTTCACTGCGAAACAGCACGCCCGATTCCTCTTCATCCCTCGAGACCATGAGAGACAATTGCTCAGACCGAGCCCTGCTTGTCCCAGAATCGAACCTGCTGTCTTTTTGCCGGCTGATTGTGGACGACCGCCCATGCCCCTGAGTGGTTCCAGATCCACTTGATCAATTTCACCAGCTGCCAAAGGGTCGTGCGCAAGCCTCACCCACTGCGATGCAGGCGCCACCATCTGCGGTGTCACTACCCTGGGGCTCTACTCTAATGATCCTGCGTGGAGATTCTCCAAACCTTCTGTTGTCGTTGCTCTCCCAAGAGTTGGCAGTGTTCTCCACTGCTATTTTTCGCTGTTGGAGCAGACGAGCAGATCCATTCTCGCTCTCAGTGGATCCAGCACCCATCATTCGCCGGTTCCTATCCCGGTGCCCCCTTACAGGCATCTCGCAGAACCTTGGAAGCCCTGGAAAGCCTGGTGCGCCCGTCAGGCATCGGCACCATATAGTATCCCGTTTTCCATCGCAGCAACAAGCAAGCTGTTTGTCTTATACCAGCTCTACCTCTGATACTTTGCTGCCAGATTTGTCTCCAAGTTCCTCAACAGCCAAAGCTTGCCAAAGCCGATCTGACAGCAGGCTCGTATCGTGCGGGCGATCCCTTTAGCCCGTTGAGAGCGCCTCATCACATGCAACTTGTCCCAGTTTTCTGAACTTGCAAGAAGAGGAGGAAATCCGGCTGGGTGTCTTGATGGCGCCATCTGACTGATGACTCTCCTCAGGAATGCGACACTGCTTCCAAGCTTCTCCATCACCTTCAACACGTCATAGTAAAGTAGACGCAAATCCATTTGCGTTCAGAACCTCCTCACGCCTCGACTCACGTTTCGCAAAAGATCCCGTTGAAGATGCCTCGAGACTTTGCATACCGGCGATGATTTGTCGGGCGGACGATCTTGTTTCAGCGCCTTGTTGCTCATTCGCCTGCGCCGCAGTCTGTGGCGCCACACTCCCCTTCCAGCTCTCGCCTTCGCCGAAAGACAGGTTGCCTCCTTCTGTCTGCGAAGTTTTGTAGCAAACGCATTTGCTGCCTCTTCCAAGCATCCTTGTTAGACTCTTGCCCTGAGCAAGGGCATTTTATCTGATTTGTTGATCTTCATCCCACCGCCGAGTTTTGAAACTTAAGATCGCCCAGTTCCCCGCCGTTGGAAATTATCCCATGTCCTGGTTTCACAGCTGAGATCGTCTCAATTTGACAACAAACGGAATCATCAATCTCTGTAGGTAGTTTAGTGCTGTTGTTCTCAAGCACTGCATTATCGACCAGATCACTCCGGGTACATCTCAGGACGACATTGCGTATAATTGAGCACTATAAGCGCTCACCACCATATAGTTGATACAGATGCTCTCTATACGTCTTTGACGTTCGAAAAGGCAAGCTGCAATCAAAGTGATCAGATACTACTTCTCTCTGACAGTGGGTACTATCAGTATTTCACGGCTGAGAGCACAAATCTCATCGATCCCACATAGTTCAGGCTAAAACATTCTCCCAACGTCGAACCGCATTTACCTCTTCCTCAACCATCGGTATCAGGCCAGGCAATTCAACGTTCAGAAGAGCTTCTCCAGCCGTACTGTGCTCAACCTCCAATTGGACAAACCAGCCTCAAATCACCAGAACACGACTCAAGCCTCCCATGTCGGCCACTACTACTCCATCCCCCGCAACATACACCCTCGCCATCCTCATCACAGGCCGCGGCGACGCCCCTCCGCACCGCTCCCACTGGTCCTTCACCCTCTTCCCCTCGCTTCCTCCCTCCCCGCCAACCCTCCATCTCGCCACCCTCTTGGAAGTAACCCCCCTCTCCCTCACTCCCCTCATCTACACCTTCTCCAAACGCACGGGCGCAGACATACTCCCTTTAGTGTCGGAGGGCTACGTCGTCCTCACTTGCTGCCTTACGCGCGAGGAAGCGAAGAAGGCGGAAGGCGTGATTGAGAAGGAGAAAGCGCCGAGGAACGGGACGGATCGGTGTCAGGAGTGGGTGGTTGATTGTGTGGTTGGGTTGGAGGTGGAGGGGTTGGTTGCCGATGGGGTGAGTGCGTTAGTGGGGAGCTGTGTAGGGAAGACGAGTGAGGAGGTGGAAAGGGATGTGGGGTGGAGATGGGTGGGGAGGGAGAGGAAGAGGTGAGTTGTGAAGCGGTCGGGGTGTTGCAAAATTCTGGTCGATCAAGGAATATTTCACTGGATTCCTGGGATGAGAAGGAGCCGTAGAGAAGATTTGTTTGTTTTGTTCACCAGTGCCCTCACACGTCGACCAGGGGTTACTTCTTATGCAGCTCCATAAACTTGTCTTCCCAGTTTTTCCCCATCCTTGCCAGACCTTTGCCCTAATCCCTAGACGATCTCTCTTTCAAGTTCCTGGATTCGTAGTTGGAACTCCACGGTCCAACGGATGCATTCTCTGCGACTTCCAGGGCATTTATCGAATTGCTGATGGAGAGACACTGGATGGTTACGCAGGTGAATCCCTCAAGTATTATTCCCTCCCTCGCGAAAACCCACCATATGCGGATCGGAAGACGGATCTTTTTGCGCTAGGCACCGCAATCTATCACATCATGCAAGGCCATGAACCATATCCAGAGCTCCGTCATGTCCAGGACAGGGACAAGATCATCAAGCTCTATCGAACTGGCGAATTTCCGGAAGACCTAGGCGTTGAATCTGGTGGAGCTATTGTCAGGACCTGCTGGAATCTTGTATATGGCTCTGCAGACCAGATTGTTGACGGTCTGAAGGAATTACAGGCAGGGATAGAACCATAGTTCATTACACGGCGATGTGCGACCGATCATGGATGATCTTTGTCTTCATGCTTCGGAGCAGAGTCCACAGAATATTCTCGCGGTATAGGGTACATAGGTAATCAATACGCGTGACGAGTTCGCAAGGACAGTGAGCTTTTCTACGACAGTGTCACCGTTGATTTGCCTCTTGGTTCTGGTATTTCCAATTTCATAACCTCCATGCCAATGCCACGGTTTCAACTTTATGTAGAGGCCATATCTTGCATTGATATCCTGTCTAGCTAATGGGCGTCCCTTTAACCATGCGTAAGTAGAATCCGACCGGTGCGCTAATGTCAGACCTTGCGAACCGGGATATCGGCAGCTGCCAAACTCCTTCGACGGGAAATGTATGGTTATGATTCGGGCAAGTTTAATGGGCGGTTCGTTAGCGGGTGGATTTGGGATGACGGGGAATCGGGAAGGGGTGGAAGAATCCGGGGAGGAGGTAGAGGGTTGATAGATGCGGTGATGTGGAGGAGGGGGTTGCTCAGCGGATTGAGGATGGAGTTCTGAACGACATGTTTTTCGCATATGGCTTCTTTCAAAGCCCCAGAGACAGACTACATTCGACAAGGCGTCCGGTCACCGTCGCGGTTGCAACCCCAACTTCACACAATTTACGCGATAGCTACATCGCTCCACAGACTCTACACCATAATGCTGCGAGAACACCCAAAGTTTGCTCATGCATTCCCATACCTGACGTATATACAAGATCAGAAACTGCCGTACCCATATGCAAAAAGTCGAGAAATTCCCCATGGCCCCAAAAACTCGCCCCTCATAATGGCGGGCATTGCCAAAAGCATAACCTCCAATGCAATCGCTCGTCCGGTGCGACCAACCACCCAATGCAAAATCCCCTTACTCCTTCCATCTCTCTCTTCTTACGCACGAATCTTCTCCCCCATAAACCCACTCTGCGTCACATCCCCCTTCGTCCCGTTCTTACCCTTCTCCAACTCCCACACCGCGGCGAAAGGATCATTGCTAGGTCCTCCGGGCCACCTCGGATACTCGAGGTTGATGGACGTATAGTCCGCCACCTCTTTGCCGTACAGGTGCTCGACGAAGGCGAAGGTGAGATCGATGCCGGCGGAGACACCAGAGGAAGTCCAGATGTTGCCAGCGTCGACCCAGCGGGCGGTGGGGATCCAGTTCACGCGTGGGCCAGTAGATGTTGCCTTATGATTGTTAGGGTGAGGGCTGGGAAGAATGGAGAGGAGAACATACCCAGGCCCAGGCGCGCTTGTTGGTTGTAGCGTTGCGCCCGTCTAGTATGCCAGCACGTGCGAGAATTGTAGCGCCAGTGCAGATGCTGAGGACATATTTGACCTATTCCGAGTTAGAATCATCAGACCGCCATTTAATTTGGCAGGGAAAATCCTCACCTTGGGATACATGGTCTTCACGAATTCAATCTCCTCCGTCATATCCCCCCTCGTTGCCGCGCCCCCGGGAACAAGCAGAACGTCAATATCACCCTTTTCCTTGTCCTTTTTGCCAGCCAAGACCTTCTTGAAGGTCGTCGTCGGCATAATCTGCGTCCCGAAGTTCCCATGCGTCATGTTCATCGTGGGTGACTTCTGGGGCACTGTTGTCACGGGTGCCAGCGTCCGGCTGAGAATAGAGAGATGGAGGGGTTGGTTAAGCATGAGGACCTGCGAGCCAATGACGTCGAGAGGGCCATAGACGTCAAGGGCTTGGAAGCCGGGGAAGACCATCATGGCATAGTGGAGCGGTTTGCCGACCGATGTGACATTCTTGGGAGCTTCCGGTAGAGCGAGCACCGATGGTAGGGCCATTAGTGGTGCCAAAATCTTGCTAAAGCGCATATTGAGAGACGCGTGACTGGGTCGTAGGGCTGAGATGCAGGGCTGAGATGTCCTAGGAGTCTGGCAAGTATGGTGGGGAGAGCTAAGGAGAGCTAAAGTGATGTGCAGCCGCTATGTAGATTGGCCTGGAAGAAGCTAAAGTAGATTGGAACGAGGATTGGGCCAGAACTTCGACACTGAGACGTAGTGCAATAGCTTTGGCAAAAGATGCTACCTCAAACCAGGAGGCAAGTAAAAGATGGCAAACGCGAGCCAGGCGTGACGGGAGAGTGTGCTTGTGTTCTCACCAGCAGAAGTGACGTCCCTTTTATATGTCCACAGCGTAAGCACGTATTCTCCTTGACGCCCATGGAGGAATCTCGCAGGATGCTGAACCTTCCTTCAACCGTCTGTGTCCAGATTGAGCATGCCGCGCCTTCGCTGGCAAACGGTGAGCGACAGTTGCGGCAAAACCGTAAGGGAGAAAGGATCAAGTGACTTCGAAACAAACCAATTTCCGTAACGGGTCAGCAAAACGGTTGTTCTCGAGGTGAAAGGTACATGATAGGATGCAGGACGACTGAGCATGTTTGAGAGATTTGGCAATACTGGGCAGCAACGTGCTCCATACTGGTGCCGTGGGAGAGCAGAATTGGTGTTTGGGTGCAACAACCGGGTAGCGAGGATGCACGATAGATGGGTCTGAGGGGCCGATATTGGCGCTATATTAACCAATAATCCGGGGATGCGGGGGACATTGTAGATAACCGTCGGAATATTTAGGCAGGCGGCCGTGATCACAGGACCTCATGGTTTTGTTTTATGAGGCTTTCTTCCGAGTCGCTGGTGCTGTGGGTCGAGGAAGGGGTTGAAACGTCACAAGGCTTGTCCGTGATATGTTTTGCAAATCCGGCCGACTCCGATGCCTATGGACAATATATAAAACCAGGGACCGGAGTTGATGCTTGTATAGATCCTTGGTAATCCACGAGCATGCCCTCGTGCATACGGGAGATGGACCGTTGCGTGGTGTAAGTGGTGCATGTTGTGTTAGTGCTCAGCAATCGAAGTCATGGTGAATTGTTGCGTTTGATCGCCGTTCTCTCTCCACGTATGGCGCGCCCGGTTTCTGCTGAAACCCTCAGAAAAGTTGGGTGTTGTGCCAGAAGGGAAGATGTCACTTTTTGCTGCTTGTTTCAAGTGTGTGGTGACGGGAAGGGATGAGTGGTGGAAAATGTCAGCATAACGTTGGTGGAGGACGTCGAAGGTTTGCCAAGTCCGGTTCCTGAAAGGGAAAGGCCAGTGACGTCGTTGTGGCTGAAGTGCCCAGGCCAGGTGCATCCCAAGCAGAAGTTTCCCATCAGATCACACCTCCATCCCATCGCAGTACTGTACTGTATTCTCACGTCTCTCCGCCTCCCCCGCCACGTCTATCATTTGTTTGCCCATGCTCCTGCAGCTCCACCTCATTGTCATTCGCCCATTGAGGTAGCCAATCTACCTCCTCAACCCCCGCGCGTCCGCGACAGCTCAGGACCGAGCCTGCCATGGGGCGCATGAAGCCCACCATGGAGCCTCGACGCAAGGTCTCCACCCTCCATTACCAGACATTTCCGACCCAGCCGCCGACCTCTCGCGGCCGGCCCCCTTCTGCTTCGCCGCAGTCTCGCAATGGTGAACACTCTGGGTCCGACGACGAGCACCATGAGTCGCCTCTCCCGACGAAACAGCTTGCCATCCTTGCCATCATCGCCCTCGCAGAGCAGACTGCGCTCAACTCTATAAACCCCTATCTACCCGAGATGGTCCAGACATTTCCGGAAGTAAGAGGCGGACAGGTCGGAATGTATACGGGAGTCATCGCCTCTGCGTTTGCCTTGGCACAGTTTGCGACCAACTATTTCTGGGGCTGGCTGTCAGACAGAATAGGTCGCAAGCCCGTCATATTGACAGGAACGGCACTCACAACCGTGGCCTTCTTGGCTTTTGGCTTCTGCAAGACGCTGTGGCAGGCTATACTGGTTCAAGCCTTTATGGGTCTGGTCAATGGCAATGCGGGCATTGTGTCGACTTGCCTAGGCGAGATAACGGACCGTACCAACCAGTCGAGAGCATTCACCTACTTGCCCGTCGTATACGGTATCGGGGCTATAACGGGGCCCTTGGTGGGCGGTGTCCTCGTTCTCTATGAGAACCCCTTTAAAAAGGGCGAGAAGAACCCTCTCCCTTACGTCCTGCCGAATCTTTTCTCTGCAGCCATCCTCGTCATAGATCTTGTCATTTGTATATTCCTGCTTGAGGAGAGTCACGAAGAAGCTAGGAACTTTCCGCCCCTGGGGAAGCGAGTTGAGAATCTATTCGCCTGGTTATGGCAATTCACATCGTCGACGCGACCCTCGTACCTCAAAAAGCTATTCAGGACGCGCAGCCACCATCAGCATCATCATCATCATCATCATCATCGGCGCCAAAGCGATGATCATCTTGACGGTATTCAAGAAGAGGACGAAGAGGACTACTCAGACGAGCCAGACACACCCATGTTTCCCACCGCGCCAGATGAGCAACTTAGCAGTCGAGATATCCTGAACCGTGATACTCTGCTGCTCCTCGCCACCTACTTCATCTTTCAGCTGGCCAACATAGCCTACAACTCACTGTACCCCGTCTTCGCTGAGGAACCCCCACCCACCGGCCGAGGCCTGAAGCCCAAAACGGTCGGTCTCTCCCTGTCCTTCGCAGGCCTCATCACCATCGTCTTCCAGGTCAGTCTCTATGGGAGACTTAGAGACCGCATCGGAAACAAAGTCACGTACCGCGTCAGCATCGCCGCCTTCGTCGTCGCCTTCGCCATAATGCCATTTGTAGGCTACAAGGATTCTCCTCCACCTTTCGGCATTGGGTCGGGTATGGGCTGGCTCTGGCTCGAATTGGGCGCTACCCTAGTTATCAAAACGGTCGCCAGTGTGGGGGGCCTGACGTCTGCACTTCTGCTGGTAAGCCATCCCCTCCAGAAACCAGATCTCAGCTGGATTTCTGACCCCGTACTTGATAGATCACGAACTCTGCGTCAAACAACAACGTCCTCGGCTCCCTCAACGGCCTCGCGCAAACCCTCTCTGCAGCCGGCAGAGCCGTCGGCCCATTTATTTCTGGCTCGCTTTTCACCGCTGCCACAAAGCTTCCGCACAAGGGCGAGGCGCTGCCTTTTGGGATCTTTGCAGGCATCTCGTTGATCGGGTTCTTGCTAGGGTTTGGGATCAAAGGGGAAGGATTGGAGGCTGAGGGATGGAGCAGTGAGTCGGGTGAGGAGGAGGAAGTGGAGGACGAGGAGGCGACGATTGGCGGGAGTGGGAATGGGGATGCGAATGAGAGGACGGGATTGTTGAGGAAATGAATGATTGATGTGACGGCTTGATGGACGATGCTGGGATGGAGCAACGTTTTCTTAATGTATCATAATGCATGTCAGGGGTCGGGCCGGGTAGTCTTGAGCATGGCGTTGCGGGATAGCGGGTTTTATGAGCTTTTGGTCGTCTTCGCATATGGGGTTTTCCTTATGTGGTTCTTTGTTTAGACGAGCAAGGTACATGGCATATGGGTCTTTCGCACGGCTGGATGGTTAAATGGATATCAGAAGGATGTTTCGATTGAGAAGGGTCAGATGTAGGCTTCCGTGTATCCCTCGCACCACTTGCGTGTATCCTCCATTTGGTCGTACACTCCTCCTCGAGATGTGCGCGCTTGTGTCCAACCTTCCAGCATCATTGCCCGAATTCATACATCGCCCATGTCGTGAGCGTACTCCTGCTTTTCCCCCCCAACGTATTTGACAGTCTCAGGCCGTTACATCAATTCATTTCCTCATCTATCGCACAAACCCGTGCGCTGGGTTCGCCGTCCTCGCAGCCTCTGCCCTCGCCGCATCCGCCGCAATCTCATCCTCCGTCTTCTTGTTCCCCCTCGCAATCAGCTTCTCCAGAAACCCGCCTTTTTTCGTATAGCCCTCGCGCTCGGCTTGCTCGTATTCTTGCAGGTATGTGTTGCGCTCCTCGGGCGAGAGGCCTTCGAGTTCGGAGTCGGTGGATGAGCGGCGGTATATATCTTAAGGGGAGTCAGATATGGGATGGCGTTGGGAGGAAAGGGGAAGAAGGGAGGGGAAATGAGGAGGGATGAAGGGACAGCGTACCGTGCTCGACATCGTGGTGTGCAAGGGCAGCAGCTTTGTCATCGCCCGTCAGAGGATGGCCATGCTTGCTCTTGTCTTTGTGGCGGCCTATGTTGAGCTTCTCCTTGACTTTCTCCATGGCGTCGGTTGGAGAGGGTGTGTATCCACTTGATAAAGGAGTGTCAATCGCAGGAAAAGAAGTAGTAGCAAACTGTTGGAACAAGGGTTTGAGCTAAGAGGCAGTAGTTGTAGAATGGAAATCAAGTATCGCTTGTCCGGGATGGAGAGAGGTGGCAGAGTGCAGGAACCCCGCCTGCAAAGAGTGGAGTGGAAGCTGTTGCACCTACGTCATCGGTGCTTGCCAATTTTCGATCCATGGATTTGGGCTTTGGAAGGAGGGAGGGACGCATAGATCGGGGGAGGCAATTGCGGGCTGGAAGCTGTAAATTTCACAACGGGTCTAGGTACGCTGATTGAAAGATTCACCATGGTGCTGGATGCGCGAGCTGTAATGAAGGTAGCTTGTCGATTCCACAACTCGATCGATAATATCGGGCCCCTGGCTTAGGCCGGACCCTTATGACCCGCTGCTACAGGAGATCTCGAAATAGAATGTCGGGCCCTACTTGAAGCAGATCCCCTGCTCTTTTACTGTGGCAATGTACTTAGGGATCTGGTCTATGTTGAGGGCTCTCCTTATTTCCGTCCTCTACTGGTTGCGCAAACCCACCTTCAAATCAGACAATTCCGAAGTCCTCTAAATCTGCTCTTCTCCTTATCAATTGGAATCTTTTCTGGCTCAGACGGTTGGAAAATGGGTAGTCTCCCCACCAAGGAACGAAATCCAGATGGGGGAGAGACAGCTAGTCCTCCAGCCTTCCCCTTTACATTTGATTCCGCTCCAATGTGGCTCACAGTCTTTATAGAGCGGTATTTCCGTGACCGCTTTATCCGTCCGTGGCTTTCAAGTGCCTGATCCATAGTACCTCGGATCTACTTGTTGCAGGCGATTTTCGAGCCGTCAATCCCGATTGCCTTGTCCTTCTGAAGACGCCTTGCGCCTGCATAGACCCCTGAGATCCAGTGTCGGCTATCTTCACAAACAAAGAGTCTCAGTCATTCCATCCTTTTTTTCACAGCAGCCGATCCGCCATGGTAGTGTGCCTCGGGGAGATAGGCGCCCCAGTTCTTCCATCGACAATCGGGATCAGGTCGTCCTTGAAAATCTCGCGTTCGCGCCTTATATTGTCGTTTACAGGAACCATATTCCTCCGCCCGGTTTTCCACCTTGGCTTCTGTCCCGGTTGGGCTTTCCCCACGCCCATCTCTCGCCATTTCTTAGGTGGCTTCACCCCCATCTCCACGAGATTGGACCATATCCGTTCTCCACGCTTGTCCCATCTCCTGAGCCTCTCCTCCGCCTCTTCATCGCTGGGCCTCCACTTGCTCTTCAGTATTCGGCGGATCGCTTCGGGAGAGACTTTGAAGTATTGCGCTAGCACAGGGGTCGTGAACTTTTGCGGCTGGGTCTGGTGCAGGTGCCGGATGCCTTCCATCGTATCAGGAGAGAGCTTCTTCCGCGGGTTCCAGGCTTCGCCGTTCAGCTTCTTCTTTATTGCTGCTTTGTGAACCTGCCATGGCTCCGGCTCCTTTTTCTTCTTCTCGCTTTCCGTGGCCTTCTTCGCTTGATCTTTCTCATTCAACTTTTCGGCTTTTGCTTCTGTGGGAAGCTTCTTGCTTTTCGGCTTACTTATGGTTTCTGCCGTGGAGGTCTGGGACCAACGCGGAGAGGTGGAAAAGTGTGCGACATGGGTTCGATGCGGGAGCGGGAGGCGAGGAGGTAAAATGGGGTCAGCTCTCGTCAACGATCTAATGAACAAGCGCAGCGTAGTCCGCGCGCAGTTGGCACAATTCATGGCTGAAGGGTGCGAATTCCTGAGCCGTAAGGAAAGGGGAAGTGTCTGAGATAGGGAACTTCGAAATGGAAATTTTGCGCACGGACCTCGACGCCACACAACAGCCACAGTCAGTCGGCAGCCACTACCACTGGAATTGCGTCACAAGAGCGCCGCTACGAACTTTCCACATCGCCACTTTCGTCCGCATGCCGAACTGCTCCTCATGCCTCGGAGATTCGGGCCCTAGTACCACAAGTAAAAACGAGCCCCACGGAGACTACTTTATCATACTCTGTTCATTTATATAGGCTCATGATGCTCTTCCATCATGACCCTCTCAACCCTTAGTTCCAGCGCCTGGGAACAATTGACTGCCCTCTTATCGAACATCATCCCATGATCCTCCCATAGCGTCTTCGCTCGTGCTTATTTAGTGGCTCTTCACTCCCGCTTCTTGTTTATGTGCTTTTCTTGTAGTAGAAGTGATGGCTTGGCGAAACCCCTTCCGCCGACGGACTGAGAACACGAGATAGTACGTATTCCTCTTAAGCATAGTACATGAATTCAGAACGGATCGTATATTAACTCTTGCAGTTGCTGGGGCTATGAGTTCGAATGGACAGAAGATCATATAACACCCGAGCAAGCAGAGCCATTGAAGCATTCGTATGATGTACTGGCTGAAGAATGTCTCGACCGCCTGAACGCCATCTCGCCACCAGAGAATGGTCAACTTCCGCGGAGCAACAGTCAGCAAGTCCCGCCTCATACCATCGAAGGGACACGGAGAGAGGAATCAGACCGGCTCCCATTGCCGCAAAGAGATCTCTACGCTTTGTTAAAGGGACACCATACATCTGATCCCAAGCTTTCCCAGCTATGGGAAGAAATCAACACAATTCCGCCTTGGCTGGATTGGGCTCAGATTGAAAGAGGCCAAGATGTGTTTTACCGCTACGGTGGACCAGCTCTTACTGGACTGGCCTATCAATCGCTCCTAGGAGGCATGGGTGCAGCAAGAGTTGTCGAAACCCTAGCACGCACTGGTGGCTTCTCAACAAAGGTGGCCAGGAGGAGGCTATTCGAGACGACCCAGCATATCCTGCAATGTACAAAATCACTCGAATCGCTCAAACCCGGCGGTGCAGGACATGCATCGTCAATTCGTGTACGCTTTCTTCATGCGGCTGTAAGACAACGGATATTGAAGCTAGCGAAACATCGGCCTAGCTATTACAATGTGGCGGAATGGGGTATACCTGTCAATGACCTGGACCAGATTGCAACTGTTGGGACCTTCTGCGCTACCTTGATATGGCTCAGCTTCCCACGTCAGGGGATTTTCCTGAGGGAGCAAGAGAAAGAAGACTACGTTGCTTTGTGGAGATATATCGGGTATTTGCTCGGAACTCCAACGGACTATCTCGCGACCCCCTCAAAGGCGAAGGCAGTCATGGAGTCTTTACTGTACTATGAAGTTCAACCTTCAGACATGTCGAAAGTACTAGCAAACAACATCATCAGATCCCTCGAGAAACAGCCGCCAACATACGTATCCGCAGACATGCTCGTCGCCAGTGCTCGTTGGCTCAACGGCAACGAGCTCGCAGATAGCCTTGATTTACCGCGGGCATCACTCTACTACTGGGGTTTGATGGCAGGCCAGTGCCTCTTCTTCATGGCCTTATGCTACGTATACCGCGCCAGTGCCTCGTTAGACCGAAATCACATCGACCGTCTGAAGCGCATCTTCTACGCGGTCATCGTAGAGGCGAAACACGGATTAGCAGGGACGGAGACCCTTTTCGAATTCAAATACGTGCCAGAGTATGAGACTGTGACAGAGTTGGGTGCACCAACAGAAATAAAGCTTCAGGGTTCCAGTGTTGAGAGGCGGAACTTGCGGACGCTGGGAATCTTTCTGGGAGTGGTAGGCATTGGCACATGGGCTTCGCTGAAGCTTGCGTCGTCTCTTTCTTTGGCGATTCTGGGTTCTTCTCTCTTCAGCAGGATTTGGTGAGCGTACTTTTATTTTAGGCCCACGTCATCCCAAGAATCGTAGGCGGCATACGGCGACCAGCCCTATGTTAGAGCCTTAGAGGATCGTCACTCCACTTCATACACAGTCCAATTTTACCTGTCTTTTCACCTCTGTGTTCATCACTTCAGGGGCCCAGTGTCTGTTCTTCTTCGAACGGGTTGGAAAAAACTTTCTGCTAGGGCGTCATCGATAATTCCAGGCATATCGCTTCACCGCTTTCACTCCCACCGTCAAATCGACCCACGTTCCTACCTCACGTACCTCCCTCTACGAAACGCCCTCCCACAACCTCGCCTACCCCAACCACAGGATGAATCTTGAAACGACCATCCTCTTCGAAGTTCATGATAATGTTTGTGGATGTACAGAAGTATGGGATTCCGCGTCCGGCTGCCCTCGACTCACGCAAACGCCACAACCGTCCAGCGTAGCTCACTCTACGCCCGAACCATACTCACCTTTCGATCCCCTCCTTCGTCCACCCCATAGTCGACCCGATCCGACCAAGCCATCTACGCCTCCGCCCTCTACCCCAGACTGTTCGACCTCCCACTCTCACGCAATGTCACCTCCATCTCCACCTTCCTCCAACAGCGATCCAGACACAGACCCGCTAGACTTCCTCTCCTCGCTTCTCGCAACTCCACCGCCACGGACCTCCGGGCCACCTCGCGAGACATGCTTCTTCCGGTACCACGGTCACTGTCGGGCAGGAAATGCATGCACGAAGGCGCATGAACATCACATCACCTGGCCCATCTCCATCCCGACCGGTTTTGTACATTTCAGGAAGTGTGAGCTAACCTTCTGTCCGCTACGAGATCCACTTGGTCGGGTGCAGGACAGTAGCATGCCTGAGAAGGAGCGAGAAAATGACGGGATGAACAAGGATAGGAAGCCTGGTATTGCCACGGAAGCGAAGACGCTCGCTACAACAGCATCCAGCTCACATACTCTATCTTCTGCCTCTTCACAAGAGCCCGAGACGTGCTTCTTCTGGTATCATGGGAATTGCCGGCGTGCAGATGCATGTCCGTTGGCGCATGAAGTCGTGGGCGAGGAGATGGTGAAGCCGCCGCCTAGGTACAATGGGAAGCGGCATGTTGGCTGTCACTTGGCGCTTTGTCCATTTGCCAGCGTGGAAGGGGGCAAGGAAAGGGGAGTGAGTGGGCATGGGTAGATTCTTACAAGAATGTATGGGGAAGGGGTTGAGGCGATGGTAACTGAGGAGTGGCGACCTTGGGAGGCGATGGATCAATTAAGGGTATATTGCACAACTGTGATATCGCCAGGGTCCCAGACACTAGCTACATTCACAGTCGCTTTCGACACATCGTTGAAAGAGTTCATCGCTAGGGTGGAACCGGGCAGCACATGCTAATGTATTGAAAATTACTACCGGAATTGAGAGTCGCATGTACATGTCCTGGACCTCGAGCTTTTGAACCGGAACTTTCCCTTCCCGAGACTTTTCTTCCACAGAATATTCGTCCAAACTTTAGACCCCATGGGACCATCTCTCAAGACCTACCCGATTCGAGTGGTGACGAATAGTAAACCAAATTCACTAGATACCTCATCAGGACAGTTGAGCAACGCCTCTTTATCTCGCAAACATGCCGAGCTAGAGAAGAACACTACAGCTCTGACCACTCTAGACAGCCCTGAGCCGATATCTCAACGCTATCACAAAGGGAACAGTGCGCCGAGGGGATGTGGACATTTTGAGATTTGGGTTTGAGAAGATTGTATTTGAGAGGTGTCGACGGGAAGCCGAGTCCTGTTGTGGAGTTTTGGACCTGGATGAATGAGAGGGAGAAGGTGGCATCCAGGATTGATGGGACTGTCATTAGGGGCCCAAAACTCAACGGGAATGATATCTCTTTATTGAATCAAATGTGGAGTGTCTTTTGGCGAACCAAAGTTAATATCACGCAGTGGACCAAGTGTAGTGTGCCTGCATATGCAAGTGGTGTTTCCCAATAAGGTACGAGTACCGGCCTTTGTAGATGAACAGATATGCTTCAATCTCTGACTGCTTTGAGGAAAAAAAGTTGACGTCTGATTTATCCTCGTCTTCTCAGTTCTGCGCTGCGTGGCTGGGCTAGTCGCCGTTTGTTATCCTGGCGGGATAGGGTTGGATCACTGAGCCTCAAATCCTCGCGGTCCTATGCCATCCTAAAGAGAACGACATAATTCCTCTGGGTCAAGGAGGAAAATGGTTTTGAGCAAATGGAATTGGGTTTGAATAGCAAGACACGGCGGAAAATGGGAAGAGAAGAGTGAATGTCCCCAGGCGGGTCCGGACACTGTTTCATTGCGGCGGATGCTACGCAGGATGCGCCCTATTTGAACATTTGTATGGACAATATATCACACGGTGTAGACACATGACGGCAAGATATTCTCTCTAACCATGTTATTACATCCGCAATGAGCCAGTGAATGACTTCGCTTTGTAGGTGAACAGGCAGTTGAACCCCCAACCTAAGCCTGAGACTCCCGTTGAGCGGCAGTTGACACAGTATTAACCCTTTAAACTGCTATCATCAGGATATAGCGCAAGAAACATGAGCATTGGGTGCGTGGTGGCTCAGTGATGTGCTTGAGCCAGCACCATCTTATATGCATCAAGCAGAACAGTATTCGGTAAGTTCTTTGAAATCTCCCAGCATGGGAGAGGTTTCCGTCGGATACAGAGTTTACGCAGCCCTATGTATGTTCTCTGTGATGGTCTCGAGTGTCACCGGAACTATCAAGCCATCAGGATGGGTCCCATTGCCTGCACTTGCATACTCGTGACGTTTTTCGTCCGAACGGTCCTCCCATCAACTGCTACTCACTGCAACCCTTGGGAAGCCAAACTCTCGAAGTCGAAACCATCTCTCATCCTGCAATCTCCGCATCCGATCCTAACCGCCCAAACCCGCATCATCCTCCAACTCGAGATGCTCACGACTCGTTACCCCAGGCTCCCCGCATTTTCAGCCACGGGCGCTAAACCCATCACCAAGAACCTAAACCCTCCCTATGCATTCCCTCCGCATTTCTATCTTAATAACAATTTCAACCCTTGAAGAAACAAGACAAGAAAGAAAACTTTTCACGCACCCATGCCGCCACGAATACGAGCCTCCCGACGCTATCGCCTTACTGCATATGTAGATTCCTAAACTATCCTACGGTAGGTATCGTAGAGAGCAGAGAACCCTGCCTGCACCACAGTTGCGGCTGCTTCATCCCCTGGAATCTTCTTTGCCAGCCATGGCGCACGCTATCTCTCACGGTGTCGCTTGTAGAATCGAGATTTGCGAGATTCACGGCTGGCTATGAGGGTGTGGCTGTGAGAGATGGACGCTAATGCAGGACCGGTGAGGTTGCCATTTTGGGATGGAGGCGGGAAAGACGTGGGATGGGATTTATAGAGGGGAGGAAATACGGAATGGTGAAATGGAGGGGCCGGGTGCCGTGTGCCACGCAGGAGAGGGATCTGATAGGAGCTCGGGCTTAACCGGTGAAAATGGAGACTGTTTGTTGAGGGTCGAGTGTGAAGGTGAAGTATGTTGTTTTGTTGAGGAACCAGACGTCGGCCCAGAAGGGAGGACAAACACTATGAACCATTGGGTATACTGATGCGCTAGTCAAGTGGTGCAATATTCGTTGGGCAGACAATCTGCGAAGCTGCCTATGTATTCTGTCACTCGCTATCCCCAGGCTCCTCCTTATAGCTAATTCTGGATACACGTCCAGATCTCTGCCTACTTGGTACGGGAGAAGCGCGCGGAGGAACGTTCCTCCTCGAGGCCTCATCCTCACCGTCATCCAAATCGCTCAAGGACGAGCTACTCTCCTCCGAAGGCGATTGCGTGGGCGCAGGCCTAGCAGCCGCCTTTCTTGACGGTGCCTTCTTCGTGGTGGGCGTTTTCTTCCCCGGAGTCCTCTTGACTGGAGTTTCTATTCCGGACTCTCTATTTGTCGAAATATCAGGGTCTTCGGCGACTGTAGCAGTGATCTTCCGCTTCTTCTGCGCCTGCGCAGTCACCCCCTCCTTATCTTCTTTCTTCTTGACCACGCGCTTTGGCGGCCGAAGCCAGTGATCCATACCAGGCGGCCAATAGACACGACGGTCGGGTCCACCCATACTGATGTCCTCGTCTGGTATCAAGGGCGGCGGCCGGTCTTCCTCCTCAACTTCTATTTCAAGTTTCTCATCCAAAGCTTCGATATCGTCTGTTATCGCCGCTTTCTTCTTCTTGCCGCTTTTCTTCGGCGCTTTCTTTCGCTTCGGTTTGAACGGCTTGTTCTCGTCCTGCCGCATGTGCGGAACGACATCGTTGAAGAGGTCGAATCCGGGGAGTTTGAAGGTGCGCATGAGTTCGAAGACGGCTTGTTCCTTGTCTTTGGCTTCAATCATGAGATCCATGTCGTTCGGGCACGGCGGGAGCGTCATGACACGCGCCGAGTGCTTTCTCCTCGCTCGAGCGGTGACGGCGTCCGGACATGGCTCGGAGTAGTGCATCTTCGGAGTGATGCCTTTCCTCCGCCATGTTTCGATGATGGCCGGAAAGAGCTTAACAATATCCTTCGTTCCCTCACGGATCCTGCTGGAGTCGAAGATGATGTTGTGATGGTGGAAGTCGAGGACCAAGGGGATGTTCAGTTCCTGACAGACAGGGAGAAGGTCGTGAACGGACCACGACACATCATCATTCTCCAAGACGAGGCGGCGTTTGATGGACGGCGACAGTCTCGCGTAGTTCTCGCGGAAACGGTCAAGGGTAGCAGCTTTGTCACCGAAGACGCCGCCGAGATGCAGAATCATCAGTGCGTCGCGATCTTGCTGCGGTGGCAGCTTCAGCAGCGAGAGCATCTCATCATGGTATTCCAAGTCACGGATCGCAGCGTCGATGACGGGTTTACGAGGAGAGCCAAGCTGCGTGAACTGGCCTGGATGTGTAGTCACCCTATGGCCTAGCTCCGCAACGACTTTCCCAGCCTCCGCCAGCGTTTCTGCCGCGAAAGGCTCCAGCCTGTATCCATATTCTGGATGGCTCGCAAACGGGAACATCTCACTGCTAAGCCTCATGAACTTGATTCCGAACTTGTCATTCCACCGCACCATCTTGATGATGTCGCGTGCATTGGCCAACCCTAATTCCTCCACATACCTCTGGCCCCTCGCATGGTCTGCGGGCTGCTCTTTATCCGGCCGATTCTTCGTCGCATGTTCTGGCTGTGACGGGTCCTTGAGAGGATGTCGGTGCTCCAGAATGCTTGCTATTCGGCAGGTCCGTGAACTGAAGACGGGCGGTGTAGCACTGCGAAGGTAGGTATTGAGACATGCCTGGAGAACGAAGGCATCTGATTAGCCCTCCGCTAGAATACGATGTAGCCAGCAGAGAGGAACATACATAGCCCAACCGCCCTTTCCAAGGAAGGGGCAGGAAACCGGAGTTCACCGGCGGCGGCCGGGACAAAGCTTCCTTGACCTCCTCCTCATCCTCGTCTTCCACCTTCAAGCCCTCATCCACTTCGGGGTCCGCCGTCACCCCCACGTCTTCCACCGGGTCAGCCGTCGTGACAGCGTCTTGAAGAAGTGCATTCGCAGATGGGTTGTCTGCAATCGCACTGTCCCCTATCGCACGCTCTATCGGAGACCCTTTCCTCTTGTTTTTAGTCCGGCGACGATGATCACCGGGTGCTCCCGTATTCACTGCGGCTTCGGAGAGCTTCTCCTTGGCTGCTGAGTTCCCCGCAGCACCATGTACTCCGCCCTCGCCACGGTCCGCAGACGCTGGTATGCCGTTTCGTATCCTCCCGGACGGATCTTCGGGATTGAATGTTGCAGCACCGACCGCGCGCGTTGACTGGCGTCGCGGTGTCTTGGAATCCTGGACTGCGCTGCTTTCACGCACAGTTGATGGTTGCTCTGTGGTGGAGGACTCGTAAACCGCGACGGTAGAGCGTCTGCGCTTGGCCATATCGTTGGCCGTCGGCGGAAAATGGGAGGGCGACGAATGGCGACCTCGAGTGACAGGTGAGCGTATCCGGATCGTTTTTCGGATTCGGCTAACAGCTGGAGTGCAGAACAAGCGAACAAAGCGTATCATCAATGCCCGATGGAGAGTTAAGTCGGACCGTCCAAGCTACGATGGAGGCCCCGGAGTTGCGAAGGGAGACGCATTGAGCGACTGCGCCTTCGTTGTCGCGCCATGATGGAGTGAAATGTTTGCGTTCCGCGACGGCGTTGATGTGTCAGTGATGATGACGACACAGTCATGATGGCATTATGGAGAATGGTGGTGGCGGATCGAGGCGGGTACGACTGTGAATGGACATTCCCATTTTTACCACTTTGGCATAGCGAACGGTCCCTGCCGAGGCTCCTAACCAGCGAACTTTTGCCACAGCAAGCTGTCAAACTGGTTTACGTACAAAGAATTTCTCCAGAAAAAAGAGTGTGGGGGTTTCTTCCATCTCGCATCGATGCCACAGCCACATTGTGCCACGAGCAGCACCTCTGATCCGATATGGCAATACAGCCGCGTTCATACTCCGGGTGTTATAGCCAAGCAACCCCCAGATCTTCCTATCCCTACCACCCAGCGGTGTGTTTTTCAAGGACCAGCATCCTGACATGAATTCAAGCCGCATGCTACAGCTGCGCTGCACTTTTAATTAGCCGTCCCGAGTCCAATCACAGGCGAGTCTCCGTTAGGGACTATCCGGACCATAGGACTTCTACCACGGTCAGGTCTGTTATCAAATGTGCACACGATTTAAGTCCTTCGAGTCCTGAGTTTTGGTATAGATCGCTAGAGGTTTTTTATCAAACCAGCACTGTTTTGTTGGTCTTCGCGCTGCAACCGCGACGGAACAGTGAATTGCTCCTCCGTAGCATGTGTCCTGTTCGCCAGACGACATTGTGCACACGGAGATTGAACTTTGCAGTCTAGCATCATGCGGGAATAATAACACGGATGCGTCTCGCATATACCAACGCTCGCACCGCCTATCAAAGAGCCTCCGGATGTCTGCGGCTCCAAAAAAGCCTCAGTGCTTTCAGGTACACTGCCAGCAAGCTATTAGCATGTGCTTGCTTGCGCCATATCGTGGTATCTTTCGCACATTATCTACAGGCCTGTGCGCTGCATGAAGATGTTGTCAGGCACGGAGTACGGACACTCCCGGATGCCTATCTATCTTCTAACTTCTCCCAAGCTGCAATTTCCTCTCCGGTCTACAGCATCAAAACAGACAATTGTCCCGACAGCACGATTGTCCAGCTGCAAAGCAGAGTCACCAAATGCATACACACAAGATAGCTCACGCGCCTACCAAAACTGCCTTGCCTTCCGCGCCTGCGACCCCCTCACTTGGACCGGCGTCAACCCCTCCCAAGGGATTCTATACCCCTTGGAACAATAGCCGGTGCAGGTACGGGGACGGAGTCAGTGCACAGGAACAGGAAAGGCACGAGCGATTTTGTACCTGTCAGTCGCTGAACATTGCTCTTATCAGATAATCCCAGCAATAGAAAGCTGCGTTGTCTCGTGGTGACCGTTACCAGTATTCCTATTGGCTCCGCAAATGTCCGCTGATCGCCAGTAACTTGGTAGAAAGATAGCCATCTCTCACAGGAGATTTGGCCTGGACTACCGAGTATGTGCGCTGCTTACAGCAGTGTACAGGCGCAATTCACACGTGTCTCCATGCGGCCGCATCATTCGCCCGCGCCGTGTGATTTGCTACACAAATGTACGAAGCTCAATACCAATCAACTAGCTTTCGTCTACCCCTCCGGTATTCCGATCTACATACAATGCTTCTTACTCTGTAATCCTCTAGCCAGGCTGATGAACCATCACCATCGCACAAGGCCGAACAATCCACCGGCGATTCCGAAACCACTTCTCGCACACAGTTTTGTGGCCTTGCCACCGCTCAGCCGTAAGGCTCAAATCAACCATTGTTTTTGTCAGAACTGTAATCCTTCATAGTGTGGGTTTTCTCCTTCAACCAATCACACCTTGTCCAACGCCCAACGCCCGGCTAACTGTGTGTGGAAAGGCTGCCTATACTGTGTACACTGCAGATCATCGCGATTGCGAGTTTGTCCATGTCTCTGTTCCCTAAGTTGACAGATGCTTGATGTTGTGAAACCTCACGTCTGCCGGAAAGCTGAAAGCCGGTTCTGGTTCTTGGAGAAATAACGGAGGGTAACAGAGGGGAAGTCAGATGGTGCGATGCACGAAGGTGGTGCGATCAGGCATCGGTGGTGGAGGGGAAATAGATCCATGAGTTGGTGATCGTAGAGATCGCACCTCCACCTTGCACACACAGAGAAGATGCAAATCCGCGTCCTGTGCACAGTAACTGGCCTGCCAGCCATGGTATAAACCGCTGCCTGTCTATCCCACCACCATCCATCTGCCTTGCATGACACTCCACTCAACGTCACACCCTTCCCGACAACCGGAGATCCCCCATCCCATTTAATATATCGAACACCATGTGCCCAGGCTCACACGCAGACCTACTCTGCACCAAACTGCATATACGCTGTCCCCAGACCCTAGACTAGGCATCCCGCTGGCTGTGCCTCCGGTAATATCAAATACCGTATGCATGCGTGGCTACGTAGGTATGCATGTCTGATGTAGTATGATAGCATGCGACCAGATGCACCCGTACTACCTGCTTGAAGATACGCCTTGGATGGATTTAGGTTCATGTTATGGGTAATGAGAATTATGGTCTCGCTGCTTGGAGGGAAGATTATGCTGTCGGTGAGAATACACTGTTAGCGCTCGCTGCGCACAGTGTCCAAAAAGACGACTCTATAGCTGACATCGATGGTTCCACACTTGTGCTTCCTGTCTTTCCTCAGCATGATGCCCCCGTCCCTCCATCTGTATCACCACTCACACCTCACACCACCCACCCGCTCGGCGAGCACAAAATCTGCAAGACCGTTGGCCTGGTGGACATGCGCGCCTGACAACTACCACGCCGCGAAGCACCAGAGTCAGGTTTTGTGCGCGCCTGCGTAGCTGAGTGTTCACATGCGCGCTACGGAGTGGTTATGGGGGATTCGGACGCAAGAAGAATAGGTGCGACGGTGACGGAGCTCTGTGATGGGCTTGTGAATGGATGACGTGCGCGTTGGGGAAGGGAAGTCGAGTGTGATGTTGAGTCTGACTGTACGGGCGTAGGCATGTGTGTGTGTTAAGGTGAAATTATTGTGAGGTGCAGTCAGATGATCGAGAAGCGGTGTATATGTATGAGGTTGTACAGTGTACTAGATTGTATGGCCGAAACTACAATTATGGCGGAGACAGAGATGGACGGTTGAGGAGTGAGTACGGAGGTATGGTCAGCAGCAATGGTCTCTTGCGCAAAAGTTCATGGAAAGAATATGCAGTGAGAGACTTCAACGACGCCATAATTCTGCCTTATCATTATTGTCATTTTCGATAGACAAATGACAGCACTGCCCATGTTCCGAAACAATACCCGACCCCACAAACATATGTACTCGAGGAGGGTTTGTACCAGTACCTGCATCCAATAGCATTTTTTCGCGAGGATTATGTACGTTGGTTCCCAGAACCATAGATGTGCGCGTGGGATATCTTCTTCGTAACCTATCGTAATTCGTGCTCAGAAACGCCAACACAGCAGCGCCCAGTTGGCCAATCAGGACCCTCCTTGCCTGAAATATCACATTGCACCCAGTGCTAGGTAGACCCCTTCCTTCATATCACAATGTACTCCCCGTCGACACGGTCCATGGCTCTACGCCAACGGAACGCCTGCTGCTGTGCACCGAATGGCCCATGGCCGGCCCCGCCGTTACTCTCCCCCTCATCGTAATCCTGCCACACCTTCTCCAACACTTCCAGGCCACTCAGGTTGTTGAAGAAGCCGCTCTCGCGCTGAATCTCAATGCATCTCTGTCGCACCGTGGCGCGGTGTCCTGGGTCCACGCACTCGGTGCCGATGATGAACAGTGGCCAGAGGAGGAACTTGTTCATGCAGCTCGCCACGCCAATCTGCGAGATGTGGTGAAGACCTTGTGCTACGAGCGCCTGGAAGTTGAATGCGCTGGATGGCGGAGTGGGTTCCGCTAGCCGCTCCGTATACAGAAGTGCTGCGTATCTAAAGCTTTCACTCATGTGCCGCAGCGACGATGCGTCCGTTTGGTTTCCGTCGTCTGCTGACGACACTGGTCCTCCGGCGGGCGGATCCATCTGCCAGGCTTGGAGGCGCGTGCGAATGTCATTCCACTCGATCCAAAACGCGGTCGGGCGGTGATCGGCCGGCGGTGTTGTTGGGGACACACGCTCGTTGATCAGACCGCCCCACCCGTTCCCGTCATAATGATCGAAGTTGAAGGAGTAGAAGTCTCTTGTTGGTCGCCTGGGCTTCGGTGATGCGCGGGGTGTCGTATCCTGTTCTCTTACGGCCCGGTTTTGGCTCATTAGATTGAGTCTACCGAGTCTTGCGATGAGTTTGAAGAGACGGCCTTCACAGCCAGAGAGATGCTCCAATGCGCCCAGGTTGGCAGTGAGGTTCGTCATGTCCAACGACTCGCCTTGGACTTCCGTCTCGCGGTCGTTGACCGCGCTGGTCATGACATCAAACCACGTAAAGAACAGCTCGATCCAACCAATGAATTGAGATTGCACGCTTCTATCGCGCATACTTAGTAGTTTCTGCACGCCCGCCAGTTGCGTCTTGAACTTCGCAAAACCCGAGTCGCAGACGTGGAAAAGACAGAGAATCAGAAGGGTCGCCAGGACGGAGTCGTCCTGAGCGCCGCCTGGGCGCGCCAACTTGCGGTTGAGCAGTGTCACGGAGGCGGCTTTGTAGTGTTTCTCCTCATCGGTTGGCTCGCCGTGCATCTCGCGCAATTCCTGCGTCGAGATGGCCTGGAAGGAGTGCTCTGGCAGATAACCATCATTCTCTGCCGTACTGACTCGCCTGCCTTGTAGGGCGTTCCGCATCCTCATGTTGTTTGTTGCCAGTGCGGCAATTGCGTTTTGCAGTCCTTCGTCTCTCATAGCCAGATGCATCACATGCATCCGGTAAGGGTTGGACGAGGGCTCGTCAAAAGCGACCAGTACCCGGCATATAAATCTGTCGTAGTAGTCCAGCAGGTATTGCATCCGCGGGGAAGGGGGCGAAGCGAGGATAAGACTCTGAGGAATGGCAGTAGTGAGCGCGAGTTCGTCTGAAGACAAGGGGCCTGAACCATTGGAAGACATACCCTCCGTTGGGAGATAGGAGAATCCTGACTGAGAGAACCCATTCGCACTCGAAGCCATCTCGCCTTCAATGAAGATCTCGGGAAATGTAGGTGGTCCCATGTTCTGTTGTGTGGAGCTGGCGTCGGACAGGTCCTGCACACTCTGGTCGGAGCTGATACTGGAGCTGAGGTCATCGGCCATTGGAAGTGTGCGCGGGATATCGTAAAACTGGAAGTTGTCTATGGAGCTCATAGGCGTCTGGTCGTGCCAGTTGATGGGTTGGAACTGAGGAAGGGATGAGTCTCCAAAAGGAAACTCATCATGAGGAGTAGGAGGGTATTCGCCAGGAGAGGGAAAGTCGCTATCGCTATGGGTACCGAGAGATGCTGAGGAAGTGGAGAGTCCCGTCTCGTCATATGGTGCATGAAGAGATGTATGCAATCGCTGTAAATGAAACCCTGGCTGTAGGTGGGGTCTCTTCAATTTGGATGTATGCGGATGAAATGCATCCACGTGGTCCCCATAACCAGGTCCCCCAAAGCCCATGGGAGCCCCAGTGGTGGGTGAAGGAATGGGAATGGGGCTCGTGGGACCGAAATAATTGTACTCATGCGGTCCAGAATATAATGTAGGGCTTGTTGGGCTGATAGGAGAAGTCACGCCGAAATCGACGCTGTGTCGGGTCTCCAATTTGGTTGGACCCTGAGTTGTAGGCGTCGCCGTCGACGACGACGCAGTTGAGCTCTGGGATTTTGTTTCTTGCCTCGCAGTGCTGCTGGTCTGCGTCGGTGATTTGGGCACGGGGAGTGACATGCCTCGAAGCTTTCCGCGACTGGCAACTCCCACGCCCCACGTCAGTGTAGTGCGATAGCCGGTACAATCTTTCCCCAGTTCGATGCACTGCCCGCAGTATGGTCGCCGTCGATCGCACTTGATCTGCCGTTTCCTACATGCAAAACAGTCCTCACTTGCCCCAGTTGCCGGCGCTCTTCTCCTTCGTTTCCGTGGAGCCGCGGCATTGTTCGTGGCGGTGGCAGCGGCTGCGGTGCTGTTCTCTGGTTTCTGGGCCTCAGTGTGTTGGGTTGAGGGTGACGACATGGCGATGGCAAACAATAGGTATGTGTAAGTGGACAAGGCTGTCAACAGAGTAGCATCTGCAGGCGGAGGAATAACGAGTACAGTATGCGTGAAATGGATAAACAAAGTGATGACGGGGGGGTAACGCTCAATGAAGGAGGGGAGACCTCTAGTATGTGGGTATTATTTAGATATAGGGACCCTTGGTCTCCGTGCGTGATAAGATCAGGATTCATGCCGTGGGGAGTGAAGGATGGAGGTGCCAAGGGGTTGCATTCGATTTGCCGCGGCAGGATGCACGCTAGGATATCAAAAAGGCGAAGATGGTCATCCTGAGATGTGTACTGGGGGTAAGGAGGGTGATGATGCGGGAGATTTGACAGCATGCCATGGCCGCGCTGCATGGGAGGAGAAGCGGACGGATCAAATCTTCTGGCTATGGCGAGCAGGAGAGCCCCGAGCAGGCACCCCACATACAGCGGCGAGTTGCCCATGAGCTTGAGGGTTACATCGCCTTCGCTTCCCTACTGTGCACACCCTGGAGGTGTTGGATCACTTGGATGCATGCCCTTCGGAGCACTTTTGAAAAAGGCGAGGGCAAGACGGAGGGCTTGCACGCCACGACCGATGGGGCCAATTGGGAGACCATCAGGCACTGATGGCGCTGCTTGCTTGCGGGCGCTTGCCTCGGTGGACACAACGTTGTCAGCCATACACAACGTCTGCCGGGCTGGCAGCCGTGGACCTGATCGAGTCCGCTGCGGGAGGGGGATCCCTGAGGTACTGGGGGGTCTGCTCTGTGCGGGTGTGGCTCGCGTTGGCACATTTGCTCTCCAGGCATTTCGCACGAATGGCAGCACGTAGCTTGCCAGCGGCGTTGACCGACAAAGGATAAGCGTTGGGCATCGTCGTGTGCGGCGCCTGGCGATGGAAGCCGTTTGGACGCTGCAACGAAGGCTGATCGAACAACCACCATCGAGTGAGAGGCGGTGACCACCTTGGGGCACCGCCGCCAAGGGGGCCGCGGGAAGATGAAGGACGTCAATCGTTCGCCTTCCCCTTCATCTCGCTCGAGCTAAACCTGGTGGCCACCTTTGGCCTGCGGGAAGAGAAACAGTCTCCATGAAAAGGGGTTCGGGGAGCGCGAATAGGAGTCGGTACCCTATCACAAGGGCCCATCTCCCACAGCGCAACAGGCCGTTGGCGAGGAGAGGCGCGAGAGAGAAACCACTCCTGATGGATGACGGCGGCGATGAGCGGAGGAGGCCGAGGAGCCATGGGAGAGAAGGTCCGGGGTGGAGGGGAACGGGGAAGGGACCGCTGGTCGTTCCACGCTTTCACACGGACCACAACACCTCCAGCATGGAACAGACCTCCGGAGTGCAGTTCTTGGATCCGCTCTGCTGGAATTTTCCTTGATAACGAGCGACGGGAGGAAAGATATGATGACCATCGTCATCCTCCTCCACCATGACGAACCCCCACGAGCCTCCGTCAGGCGCATTTCGAGTCTTGAAAATTGACCAACACCAGCAGTCCGCAGCTCTCCCTCCATCCTCGAGCCCATCCTACGAGTACAAGTAAGACAACATCATTCTAGCGTTCACGAGCCGTTGAGACGAAGATCGCTGGTCACGCAGCCAATCCCTGGCTGTTCGTTGCAGCTTGCCCAGCTTTCCAGCGCTCGCCTCGTGTCGAACTCCTCTTCAGCGCCCAGGTGATTGCATGCATGGCGGGCGCATCGCCACGCAGACATCCATGGGGTGCTGCTGTCTCCCGTCGTGCCCCTTGTATCACCGCCGCAGCCACTCCGGGCGGCGTGCCTCCTGGGAGACCGAGGAACCATTCCGCTTCGGAATTGCATGTGAGGCTAACTAAGACACGCATCGGCGACAGGTACCACTTCGGCACGCTGTCAGTGCGGAGTAGTGCAGCCACCAAATCATCAGTTAGCATTACCAAACCGCCGTCCGCCTTCTTTGCCAACATGACGGCCATCTCGAGCCTTGAAGTGCGGCTCTGGAGTGATTATGAAGCGGTACAAAGGGGATTGTACAGTTTTGAGAGGGTACCTGGAGTCTTGGACAAGGTTTAAGCGTTAAACGATATTCCAAATGCTTGCCCCCGGGGTGCCGAAACGTAAAATTTGCGGGGTAGACATTCATCCATCGATGATCCGGGGTGTAGATCTCCAACACAACAGAACGTCTGTTCCGAGGAGCTACAAGTCAGCCTTGACTTGATGATCGAAAATTATTTTCGTCCGCTGGCTCCGGGCACATCACCAATGACGGCATTCGTTGATGCGAATGAATAGATCTAAGGCATGACTCCATAGCCAGTTGTCCTTGGCTCTATTCACCCATCTTACTGAAGAAGAGCCTCCAGAGATCCTCCGGGTGCCAGGAACAGAAAGCTGTCATACGACCGCCGAGTAACTCAAACAAGGAATTCAACTCCTCTGAGTCTAGACGACAATCGGCCATCTTCAGGATCGTGAGCCCCTGACGCTCTCTGGCCTGTGGGCGAATGTTTGAAACATCCCTTACCATTTTACCGGAGTCCAGCAACACAGCTTCGTCGCGGAAGATAACGCTTGCGCATCCGGTGATTTCAGTATTCGCCAGGACCACTTGGCATGGACCTCGAAATGGCATGTGAAATCTTGGATAATACCGGTAGGTGAGCATTTTATTCAGCGCCGTTGCGATTCATCAATACCCGACTCGAGTCCTGGACTTTACCTCTCCAGCATTCCTTAACCGTACAGCTCTTTCTTTTGAAAATCGTGGGGTTCAGTTCTCCCACCTGATGGCTTCCCGCCGGGTGTGCTAGTCTCAAGTTCGTACACCTGGGCAAGACGTACCGTTGCAACAAGACCGCACCACACTAAAAGGTCGGCTGGGGAAAAGGCGGTCAAAAACCTCACCACTAATTTATGAACCAATTGATGCAAAGTTGATGTCTCAGTTGATCTAAGAGCTAGATGATTAGTGGCTCGGCACCAACAGTTTCTCCATCACGTGTTCACTCTGGTGCGCAGGTGGAAATGACATTTATCCAATCACTTCGTGATCTCATCATCTTTTCGATCTCAACGGTAATCCCACCCAGCGAGTCATTCACGATCACAGTCCCCAGCATAGCGCGACGCTACTGTGCCCCATTGTTCCCTCCAAAGTATAAGCACTTCCCCGGCACAATGTAAGCAGCGTGTTGCTCGACAAGCGCCGCTCGAATGTCAGCGCGGTTGGCCTGGTAATAAAACAGCGGCGCCCTCCGGCATTCTAGGAGCCGTCGCCCTGCAGAATTTATGTGGGGAACTTCGAGTGGAGTGCATGGTCGCCGACCTCTTCTGCAGTAAATCTTGGGGCTCTGATGGAGCTACGCTTGTAGGAAAGTCAAGTAGATGGAACGGAGATATAGAATCAGGCGAATTGTGTGCAAGCCGGGCTTGATGAGGCTGCCGGAAGCAAAAATGGCGTGGAGAATTACCGACGAAACTCTGTACAGTGAGTAGTCTCACAGAATCTCTCGAGCTTGGCGGCAAAATTTCACAAATGTCTCGAGGGGCAAGAGCAATTGCCTAGCCGTTATCTTCAAGTTGCCGTATACGCACATATGATAATCCTTTACAGCGATGGTTTCACATTGAAATATAATTTCTTTCTTTTACCTTTGCTCAATGACGCCGAAGCGCATCAGGGACATGCCCTTGCCGATCAGCAATCGAAAATGACAATTGAACACTCCGATTCTCTTCATGATCAGGTAGTGAATGCGATTTGGGCGTTGTCCGTCATACTAAGCGCATCCTGGCGGCTTTGGAAAGGGGAAGAGTCACTTACGTCAGTGACCTATCTATCACTCATTTACAGGAGAAAGGGAAGGACAACGAGCAGAGACGATATTGCATTGAAAGTATTCATATGCAGCAAATTCGCAGCGTTATTTCGGACATCCGCGCCAATGACCACACTCATGAATGTCTATCTCCTCGGGAGACCACAACAGTGGCTCAGAGATCACCGGTGGAAAGGGCGAAATGCAAGGGCTCACGCCAACGACTTCGTCAGTAATAATGTATCATATTCGCCAACCCTTTAGCACTGCGTCAGGTATATACCATCAGCGTCACGGCAGGCCTGAAAGACTCAATCTGAATCGGATACGAAGATTTATTGAGGATTATATCCACCAGCTTGCAGAGTTCGATTAGGTCAATGAGCTCGAAAGGGGCTTGAATATCGTGATACAATTGGTTTCTGTTTCTTCTCTCGTGCGCCTCGCGTTCGTATACTTTCATCCCCAACGTAGCCGTATCACTGAGCCTATCAGCGGAAAAAATCCGCAGTTTGACCCTTTTTCGCTCCGTAGCCTTAAAGTATACAGCCATATACATTATTTATAATTATCTCCCGGGACCTCAATTTTTATAGGTGCGTTTATATCGCACTTTTTATACAATTTACTGAACCATCGCAAGGCGACGATGCGCCTATCAGGCCTCCATAAGACCTGACTTTGTACCCGCACTAGAACCTTTCAAAAGCTCCTTAATCACTTATCCATAAGATTGCCGAATTGGTACAGCCGATCGGTCAGGGAATCGCTCGTTACCAAGCCCCAAGACCCCGCCCATTTCAAGGGAACAAAGATAAGTTTGGACACAATAGGAAAAATTAGCGCAACATCTCGCTATATGGGGTTCCTCTCAACCAGCAGATTGTTTCGGGTGTGTGGAGGCTGGAACGATAGGAAGAGTTCCCTCCACCTCAGTCACTTGCGTTCGATAAACAGGGGCGATTTCGTGAAATTGGTTGTTATTCCGCTTGTATTCACCGCACAAATTGAACACTTCAGTGGAAGAAATGTGTCCCAAAGGTCGCACATTGTCGAATGAGCTCTGAACTCCAAGTCTCCATACCGGTCTGTTATTCGCGTGCCACGGTTCGGCGAATCTCAACCCTGTTCCAACATCCATTGCCATATGCACATAAAGTCGTTTCGCAACAGCCTAACACAAGCATGGGAGATGAATCGTCTGGTAATTACTGCAGGATCGTCCACTTGGTGTTTGGCTCCTGAATTCCTTGGTTAATCTTTCGGCTCTCGGGTATTTGACAATTCACTTACCCAGTTTGCAAGTAGAGGTCGTAGTAGCCCGAATCGGTGGATTTGCATACCAGCCAGTTCAACTCTAGTAAAGGGGTTTCAGTTAGCACACTCTTCAAGACTCCAGGGAACGCCCAGCGTCAGTAAGTACCCAATTATAGGGAGCTTTAGCAATTTTGGCGTCCTCTATCTTCTTCCTGGCGGAGCTGCCTCTCTTCCTCGGTTGCCTCCACTTTTTCAACACCTATCAGTCCACCAACGGCCCATACTAGAATAGAAGAGAAATTATACTCACGTCTGCCAAAACTGCTCCCCTGCGTCGTAATGATTGTGTCCCCCTCCAACCCCCAAGCCGTCGTCTCGCCCGTCGGTCCGAAAACGACAGGCTTATAACTCGTGCTCGCAGATACGATATTCAGGTACTGACTGGTTTTCTTGCTCTGGATGGTCGACCCGATGGTGAATTCTTCGGCAGAGGCTTCAGGGCCGAGGACGGGTATGGTTTCTATGGTGGGGGAGAGGGCGTTAGCAGTTCGCGGTCACTGATTTGCAGCATGAGGGTGTAGAAAAATGACGATGTTGGAATAAACCGGGGAACTTGAACGCACGGTTTTTCGCATTTGCTTGAAGGTAGAGATGGTAGATGGGATCTCGCACGCCGCGGATCTTGCCGACGGTCGCTGCGGCGGCGTTGATCACTGGTGCACTGAGGGCACTGGGGAGGAGAAATAGAGCGGGCAGGAAGTAGGGAAGCATATTAGGTGGTTGATTCTCTGTTGCCGATGGAAAATGGTTGTCGATGGAATGCTGCCCAGGGTGGATGTTTGATGGGCGCAAGAGCGTTCCCGGCAGGCCTATATATACGATCGGCATGGTGTAGATCTGCCTTGTTCTTGGAGGGCAATATATAATATAGATGGATCGTGGGAAAGACCCTGTATCTCGTTTATCCGCTGTACGCGCAAATCGGAGTGCCTCTCTAATTGCTCTCACGAACGAACTTATTATACTTTTGCCAGCAATGGAATGAAAATAAGTTGGCGGGTTCGTGGGATACTTCACATTGGCAAGGCCATGCGAAGCATGCCCGGTTGCTGTTGGAACAAGGTACGGTTGTCCGGATTAATGGTGTGGGGTGCAGGTTGTCATGGGCCGGGGTCCAAATGAATGTGAAGTGGAGAAAGCTCATCATGAGATATCTTATGGTCCCAAACAGTCGGAGCTTTGATCCGTATATATCTACGATGCTGGGACGTGGCAATCTTTCCATAAAGGACAAATGTACGGAACGGCACGGAAGCAAAGTTCATGGACTAAGTGAATTCCCAGCCTTGTGATCCTACTTCAACCGCTCATTCTAGCTATTTGAATTCCCTCCCATGGCACAAACTCAGATGTCTGGAAGTGGCTGGTACCCAAGTATATAAAACACAAACGCCTCAGCGGAGGACGGCCAGTCCAGTTGGAAAAGGGATTATGGTGGAATGCGCATCACCGACGGGAAGGAAAACGTGGAACTGATCTTGGTACAGAAATTCTCGTAACAATCATCATCTCCTGAATATAGGGCGAAGGTTCGACAAAAAATTTGGAAACGGCGCATTGGCGTTGCCCCGTCGAACTCAGTCGTGACACACTGGATGGACGTCCATCAAGCCATCAGCACGATAGATCTCATTCTTCGAAGTATCGACCGCTTAGCAGAAGGGATGCATCGCTAGCAAACCTTTGAAGGTCACCATGTTCACCTAGTGTTTCAGCGTCGATGGCTAGGGTGTAGGATTCTGACATATCTGCTTGATGCTCGACCATGTCCGCCGAAGACAAGAACATTCATCAGCAGCCAGTGGTTCGAGGGAAATGGGACGTATGCAGGCGCAACGGGGATTTCGGAGATTAGGTTGTGGAGTATAATCACACGGTAATTGCGAGTATAGAACGTGAGAAAGCGAACACATCTCTGACATTTCCCATCTTGCAGATTCTTACCGAAACGACGACGGTTTAACAATTATCCATGAAGAAGGCCTTCTTTGTGCCATAACCCTTTACCAGAAGGTACCTCATCCATCCCCGTACCGCCGTCCATCAGCTAGATCATACCCTCCGACTACAGGAGGGGGACTATGCATGGGTGGCGGCAAGCTCACAGGACCCAGCGCATACTGTTCTGACGGCGGGTAATACGCTGTTTCCGCCGTCAACGGCTGTGCATCCTCACGTATACTCCAAGCTGCGGATTTGCGGTGGTCAGGCACCAGAGGGTCGTGTGGGACGTCGTGGTCTCCGTCATGTTTCTCGTGGTGATGGCTGTCGCTGTACTCCAGCGCGTAGGGCTGTCCACTCGATTTCAATCGCCAGTTGCAGAAGGCAGCGCTGATCCTGTCGAAGAAAAGAACCAGGAAGAGGAGAGCGAGGCAAGTCGGTAGTACGCCGGGGGAGGCGATGAAGCTGTACAGTGCGGTTTCGCTGACCATGATAATGAGGAGAATGGCACCGATTGCCAGAGCCAGCAGTCGTGCGATGACGGATACGAAGTCGAACAGGTCGACCTTGTGGCGGCGGATAAGGAACAAAAAGGCAATCGAGCATGCCATGAGGATGCAGAAGCTGGACCAGTAGTATGCGTATACGACTTTGAAGCTGTGGATCGCGATCACGGCCGCGGGTGTGGTTTTCAGCTTGTCCATGGGAATCTTGATACCCAATCCTGCATACAAACCGGTAGTGACCCAATACACCCACTCGACAAATTCTACCGGGGGCTCGTCCGGATTTTCGATATAGAACTGGGCATTCTCCGGCGAACATATGCCGGTGGCATTGCCTGCCGCATAGATGGCCATTGCTGCCCTCGCGGTGACGCCAACGGTCTCTAGTTTGTATTCAAATTTGAAGGATTCCGTGATAGCCATGAAAGTGTCTCGTAAAGCAGCGCCGTCCAGATGTTCCACAAGGCAGTGGAGCTCGTATGCTCTCTCGAGGTTTTCGTAGTGCTTCAAGACGTATCGCGCGAGCGATACTTGCTGAGCTCCTTCCACCACACCCACGATGGCTAGCTGGAAAGGAAAATGGAGGAGCGACCAAATCTGCTGTCGGATTGTGCCGTAGTGTCCATGGGGGAAGTTGTCGAAATAGAGGGCCCACAGCAGAACCTAGATCCCACAGTGTTAGACAAGCTCCGTGACGGAAAGGTTAACGTAGACCCGTACCAGGAGAGCAATGATACACATGACAGACAAGCACCCCTCTACATCTAAGCCGTCTTTGCCCATGAGCCTGGAGACGGTCTTGGTCACTCCAATAGCACCTTCTCCAATCACAATGAGCGTCAGGAGGCTCATGCGTTCCATCAGGTGGGTCTTCTTGAAACTCAACATTCTCCAGTTACACGAAATTGCAATCACAGCGATCGACTCAAACAGCATTACGATATACCAAACCACGTAGATGCGCGGGTGTCCTTCCTCCTCTTTCCGGAACGCCGGGGTCATGGCTCCAAAAATGGCCGCGCAGACGCAATAGATGAGTATCATTAGACCGAGAGGAAGGAACAGTTTGGAGTAGCGCGCGCGAGCGGTATAGAACTGGAAATGTCAGGAAGAATCTCTCTAGACTGTAATTATACTAACCAGAACGACAACATATTGCACAGCGAGTAACGCTCTGCTTATGACCAAGGTGTAGCACAATATGCGAAAGTTCTGAAAGGCGTAAGAGAATACTCCTTCAAAACAAAAGCCACACTGACAGTATTGCTCCCCTTAGAAGTTCCGGGATTGAAATTGGAGCCGACTAGAGCCAATCCGACGAAGACTATGAACTGTACTGTCTTGCAGACACGCTCGTATAGGGAATCTCGGGCGAAGCGCACATCGTGCAGTGTTACTTGGAACCAGCAGGACCAGAGGATGCCGAAGAAGCCAATGTAGGCGAGGAGGTATTTCGAGTCCGTGACAGAGTGGTAGGTAGTAAATGTTGCGAGGTTTGCTACGAAGAAGAGATCAAAGAAGAGCTCCACGGTGTTGGCCTCGTGTCTTTGCGAAAAGACGAGGTGTTCATGATCAGCGCCGGTTAATGGAGATTCGATGATGGGAACCGTTTTATGTAATCTTTTCAGGTGCTTCTCGGCGTCCCTTCAAAGACGGTCAGACAGGTCATAGAATCACTATTGAGATTACTTACACATCCCGTTTCCGACTGGCATGGAGTGTGATGCCCATTTGAAATGCGCCTCAGAGGGAAGTCCGCCGAGGGACCGGCCAAAATGTCAGGGAAGAAAGATCTGAAGAGTGCTTGTATCGAAACGCAGCGTGGAGGGATGCCATTGCTTATGAGCAACCAACATAATTTCAGCCCCAACTCACAACTGTCAGCGCAGCGCTGTGGCTGTACAGCACCGCGATGCCCTTTGCGGACTTGGAAAAAAGCCAAGCGAATAAAAGCTTCGCAGCCAAGGTAAGGCGGTGGTGTCAAGCCTTCGAACGCTGGCCTTAGACCACAGGGCAACAGCCACAACAAGAAAGTGGTATGACAGTTGGGGCTCTGCGAGATGGCGATTGGGCGGAGAGTTTGCTTATTCTGAGTCGAGGGAGTTTGCGGCTGGGTACCCCAGTTTGTTGGATGACAATTCGGACAGCTGCGTCGTTGGACGAACCTACCGGTAGCTGGACGTGGCTTTGAGGGGAGCTGAGTGCCCTTCGCACACCTAACAAAGTTCTGGACTCTGGAATTCCCAAGATATTGGATGCGATGCCAGGCTGAGGGCCGGGAGCTAAACAAAGCGACCCGAGGGGCTGGCTGAGAAGAAGAGACTCGGTGGATTTTATGGGACCGTGACAGCAATCGTCTTCTACTTGCACGGGTCTCGCTTGGTGTGTAAGGAATACTGTGAATGTCAGGCGGTCTCGTCACACAACGACTTTCTGGTGAAGAACAGCTTGAGCACATATTGCAACCGGTGAACAGCAAGTCTACGGAGGAGGGAAAGCTGGATCGAGTTGTCATCTATTTATAGTCCGCATCAAGCGATTCACGCCATGCACTAGGGCCGATGAGGCTTCCCCAGCCTTGCTTGGCATTTGAAACCTTCACCAGCTATGTTATACTTGTGGAGACCTCTTCATGTTTCTGTATAGTACCGAGCATCTTGTTGATCTTTCTCGTTCATGCGTTCAACAAGATGAGCATCCTTTACTTAGCGCTCGAAAGGGATCGGTTCACATGGAGGGTCTGCGCGAACACGGCCCCGGAAAATGGATATGGACTATGGTAGCGGGCCAGCGCAACGGCCATTGCGTTACTGGCTTTTCTCTTGGGGGTCTCTCAAGTACTGTGTAATAGTCCCCTTGCGCAAAGGCTGCGAAGACTCCCCATCAGTCGATTATTGGTCGCACGATGTGCGAATTCCATCTGTGTGTTGCTGTGTCGCTGACTAAGCATTTGCTGCGTCCCTCAAGCCTCATCAAACTTCTGGGTGGATGTTCCTGGTTCATCGACATACTTGGCCATCTGCTCTCCCGACGCCAATCTTGAGTCCTATTCGAACGTTAGCAGATTCGCATAATAGTTGAATACTGTGGTAAACTGCTAACTTGTAGACGCCACTTGTTCGGGCGACATGCACGTAGCTATGATGCAATCGTTTGTTGATCAACGGGTCCCTGAGAGGGTTTCACTGACTGCTATACGAATCAATACTTACTGTTAGTTACGTTCCCGCACGGTTTCTGTACGATTGACGGCATCGATCGAAAACGATGGTCTTCCCAAGAGCGTCACCCCTCGATCTTACCCGCTCTCTGCGGCCTCGAGTACTGTTACAAACCATTCACGGTGACGTCAGTTCTCGTCACGCAGCTTCACTTACCCCAATCGCCTCTTATATGACGGCCACTCACCACACTCTTCCCCTACATTCTCCCAATACACCACAGACCGCACGAAAGCGAGTACAACTATTGCAAAACCAGCTCCCCGCCCTCTCTCGAAGCATTCACGACATGTCGAATAACAACGCCGAGCTGGAGCTCAGCAAGGTCTTCAATGTGAAGGATAAGGTGGCCTTGGTCACCGGCGGTGGCTCAGGTATCGGCTTGATGATCACCCAGACACTTGCAGTCAACGGTGCGAAGGTGTACATTGTGGGGAGGACGAAGGAGAAGCTTAATAGGGTGGTCGAGGTATACAGCAAGGGCATTCCAGGCCAGATCATCCCAATTGTCGGCGATGTCTCTAGCAAGGAGGGGGTGCAGTAAGTCTGGACTGTCTTGACTGACCTTTTGCAATGACTGACTCTGGTAGGAACATCCTCAAGGAGGTCGAGTCTCGCGAGAAATACCTGGATATCTTGGTAAACAATGCCGGAATTGCCGCACCAAAGGCCGATACTTCCGGTGAAAAGGCTCCCGAGGAGGCGGTTGACCAGTTCTTCAACTCCACGACGGTGGATCAATGGACGGAGGTGTACGCAACGAACGTTGTGGGTCCCTTCATGATGGCCACGGCGTTCCTGCCGCTACTTGCCAAATCTACAGAGGCGCAGCACGGATGGTCTGCCACCGTCGTCAACATTACCAGTATCTCGGGCACCATCCGCATCTCACAGGGCCACTTCTCGTACAATGCCAGCAAAGGAGCTGCTGTCCATCTCAACAAGTTGTTGGCTGCGGAGATTGCGAAGGCTGGCATCAAGGTCCGCGTCAACGCAATTGCTCCTGGCGTCTTCCCGAGTGAAATGACCACGCAAGAGAGCGACGACAAGCAGAAGAGTCAGATGCCGAAGGAAAAGAAAGAGATGCTACCAAGCCAGCGCCCAGGGAAAGACACAGACATGGCCGCCGCTATCCTCTTCACCGTTTGTTGCCAGTATCTGAATGGTCAAAACATTAACGTTGATGGAGGATACCTCATCCAGGCGGGTACGTAAAGAGGTACCGGGCCACGTGTGTACTGATTGCTTCGCGTCATCCTGGGCTCCTCAGCCTGAACAGCAACAGTAGAACTCGGCTGCTGCCATGATACTTCGGACATATTGTATTACGACTGAGATGATAGCAAACTAATGACAATCACGTTCATGACCCCGTCCGATCTTCAGTTGTGCTTGTTTACGTCACTTTCTCTCTCCATTTTCAAATCCAAATATAACTCGGCAATGAGCATGGGGATACAATATTCGGTACATATCTGCATTGGCTACCCCACAGCTGAATCAGGGCTTCGCAGTGATTGGCCCACTTTTTGAACCTTGCAGCCCCTTTACTTAGCTTTTTTTCTCTCGCGCGCTTCCATAATCATTTTATTCGACGGTCCCACAAACGATGAACTGGGAAACATTTGGATTGGTCGCGTTTACGACCTCATCCGAGGTCAGCTCGGCCAGTGAATAGCCCGGATCGCTCGGAACTGCCCCGTATGCGCTCTGCCTTCCGAGACCCTGGGGCCTGAGTCCCCTTGCCAACATCGGCCGACAACCAACTTCTGGAAACCATTGAGGAATTTTACACAGTATATCCAATGCTCAGTAAGCTAGACGTCTCCCTATCAGCTGATATTCTCTCCTGTCAATTACTTTCGCTGGCAAACTATCGCCTAGTCTGGCAACAATTACGATCTAGAAGCTGAAAACCAAACCATTGCGCCCCCTAACCGAGAGGGCTTCAAGCCACGGATGGCTCGGAACACCATTGTTCGAGTCCACCACCGCGTGGCTCGACCAGAATGGGCGATCACTAGCGTGCCCCTGTTGTGGAAGTCATGGATGCTTCGACGCGCCGCAGGGGAGGGAGGTCGTCGCGGCTGAAGGATATTGATGTCTGTTTTAAAATCCCCGCTGCACCCTGCACACCTTGGCTCCTTCACTTCTACATCTCGCATTTCCGTTTTTGTAGCTCCTCTGTCACGCAATACTCTCTAAGGAATTACCAAGGTTAAGCTTCACTCTTAGTCAAGTCATCATGCGCGCTTCTCTCTTCACTTTCGTGGCGGTGCTTGCTGGAGCGGCTTGGGCTCAGAATTGCGGTCCCCAGTATGGGAATCAGGTTTGCGCCGCGGGCCTCTGCTGTGAGTACTTTACATATCCGAGTCAAGTAGAAGAGTTGTCTCTAATAATTATTTCAGGTAGCCAGTACGGATGGGTATGGTTCCAGTCCATTTATACACCAACACTCCCACATCGGCCCATCACCCCCGGCACCTATGATACCGTTCGCAGCTCATGAACAAAAACAGTGCGATACAACCGCTGCCCACTGCGACCCGGCAACCTGCCTGAAGGCCTTCTCTGGAGCCGGATCCAGCTGTGCCGTATGTGTCCCTCAAGCTTCACCTTGTAGCAATTCACAAAGCTAAACATCCCCAGGGTACCAACACCAAGCCGCCAACATCAACCTCCTCCGCCTTCCCCACCGGCGTCCCCGTAATCGACACATGCGGCTCCCAAGGCGGCGCCCATTGCCCCGGCGTTGGCACCAACGTAAGCAATTCCTTTCCCTGGTCCTCTCCGCATATCGTAAGTAGTGGACCATATCAAATAACCGTTTCCCAGGGCTACTTCTACCGCTGCTGCTCCTCGGCCGGCCACTGCGGCCCCAAGAACGACATCCAGGACCAGGCTCTCTATTGCGGCTCCGGATGCCAGGCCGGCTACGGAAAGTGCAACACCATGGCCGTGCCGGTCTCCAACCCGAACGCGCAGACGGGCATTGCCAATGCCGGAGAGGCGTGCGGTCCGTTGGTGAATAAGAAGTGTGCGTCGGGCTTGTGCTGCAGTGGAAGCAATTTCTGTGGGACTACGGTGAGTGCTTCCGTCATCGCTTGACCTTTACCATGGGTGTTCTACGGAGTGTATAGTGTCAGTGCTGACTTTCCTTCACGTAGGCCGATTTCTGCGGTGCCGCGAATTGGTGCCAGCCCAAGTGGGGAAGGTGTTCGTAGATGCTCGTGGATCTCCGTACGATACCTAGATATTAGGCCGGAGTGGGCGAATAGGGAAGAGACTTTATGATTACGGTCGACGTCAGAGCTGGAGCATCGCATATTTGCCTGCTCTGTTTACACGCTCTCGAATGACCTAGTAGTAATACAATGGAGGGTAAACGTTCCTTACTCTAATCGACAATACAAAGCAGCACCTTAATTGGTCTTTCCCGCTGAAGGTCACTTACCTAAAGGATCTTTATTAAACCTCCCACCTCGAACACTAACAGCAATTATTTTGACCAATCACTACCTCCAGTTTTCACTATTCAGTACCGAATATCTCACTTGCCTTCACCTTCCCCCGGCAGAATCCAACTTCCGCGGTAGCGCCACTGTCCTCCCTCCCAACCACATAACCCCTTGGTCTACATCTCCAAATCGCCCCTATCGCCCTCGCGCACAAGGCTACGGCGTATGGGCCATGACCTTCCGCACCACCTCGCCCGCGCCCAACCCCCGGCCTACGCTACAGGATACACCACATGGAGCAACTCGATGTACCCGGAGTGGCACAAGGACTACGACGGCGCGAATCCGTTGGGCAGGGCGATGAACCGCGTAACCGCCTGGCCGGGCAACATGCCGCTGGAGTGTGAGAAGTTTTCGCTTAGGGAGCTGTGAGCCTGGTGTGCATGATTTGAGGGAAGTGGTGTGACTGATGGGATGTTCCGTTGGGTGATCAGTTTGCTGGAGAGGAGGACGTTCATGAGATACCCGACTGGAATGGGAGGACTACCTGCGTATACCGAGGACTCAAGTGCCGGATACGACAAACTGGTCATATTCAAGGACGCCGAACTGATTTTGAGCAGATAAAGCAGGAACTCGCCCGGCTCCATCTTGCCAGGGAGATAGTTGACCCCGAAACGCTTATACATGCCCTAGATCAGGCGACACTCACAGCCTTCACACCAGATGCGGCCCTGGACGCGTGACCCAATCTCGGGAATTCTACGATGCCGCGCGGCTTGGATGTATAAAGAGGTATGTCTGGGATTGGATAGCAAAGGGTCGCTTCCTGTATCCCCCGGCCGTGGAGGAACAGAGGGGTTATAGCGACGCTGTCGGAAGAGGAGGACGTGTGTTGGAACGACGACGATTTCCCGAATTACCGAGTAACGTGGGGAACTTTCGTGAATCCCGTTCGAAATTAGATAACTATCCAATCCGTGTGTGCGTCTAAAGTTTGCTCCTTGTTCAGCAATTCAATCTTGATTCTTGTGAAATGGTCCAACTCTGATTTCAACTGATCAATCTTTCTCTTCACTAAGCGTTCCGCTGGGCAACCCGCGTTCCAACCAGACCACTTCGGCCTCTTATGTTCCTTAAGATCGGCTTCGATTTGTAGCAACCGCTCTTCTGACTCTGCTCTGATGTCTAGGTGCATCTTGCCGCCCTCATGCGGGATAAAGCGTCTGGTAACACATTTTTCGGCCTCCATATCTGCTAGTGCCTTAGTCAGGGTCGATTCATGCTGACCTAAGTCTGGCGCGGTCGAAATGTTGGCGTGTTGCTTCAGGTGAGAAAGGGTGTGGAGGGCCTCCAGTATTGTCTGGTGCTTTGCGTCAATGTATTGCACGATGTCCTTGATCAACATGTTGTGGTCCCCTAGAATCTGTATAATCCGAGTCTGGATACGGCTGAGAGTTTGTATTTTTCTTGTCAAAGGGCGCATTTTGGCCGCCAACAGTTTGTAATCTTTTTCAGGACAACGCTCCAAGGCAGTCGCTATGCTATCGAGAAACAGCGACTCGTGAACACTGTCCTCCCAAATTTCGCCGAAAAACACTTCCCTGAACACGTCATCGAAGATTAATTCAGGCATTCGTGCTGTGGTGAAGATGACCCCTGCAAAGATAAGGGCCTCCTTCCGGCCTCTCATAATTCTTGGGATCGTCCGGTCCTCGGCCCCCCGCTCGTAAAGATACCTCAGCGTCTCGTTGAACGCAACAGTAATGCATCGGAGCTGGAGGCCACCTTGCCCTAGCCATTGTTGGAGCAGAAATTCAAGCGTGGCCCGACGACAATCTAAAGGGACATAGCGAATCTTTCGACATCCAGGCTGCGAGACAATAATTCCCGACCAGCTTTCCAGCGCATAGAGTATTGGGGCCGCCTCCTTAAGGGTAGATGGACCGAGAGGAAGGGTATAAAACTCCTTAAGGTAAGGAAACAACCCTTCGCGAGCCGCAACAGTGGGTAGACTCGCAGCTAGACGCATTTCCCTCTCAGTTACAGCCATGAATTGATAGGAATCAATACCGGCAGACCAATGCACCTTCCCGATTGGCTTAGAGAAGGTCACTGGTTCATATCGATCCATCGCGGCGTCGAGGTCTTCCAAGTATCGCTTCAGTGTCTCGGAAGGCATGTCCGGCATCTGTCGAAGAATGGCCATCAAAGTGGGAAATGCCGCAAGACAGTCCCATTCGGTTTTGATGATAGACAGGCACGCAGATGCGAGGTTCATGTACGGATTGAAGCCACAGGAATTGGTCAATTGAACCAACTCAGTATGTATGTCGGAGCAAGCGAGGAACTCGCCAACAGTGCGGTGGACTAGAATATTTGTTAATTTAGGGCCTGGTTCAATTGGAGTGTACGTACGATAGTCAAGAAAACATGGGCGTGCTTCAGTTTTACGCTGTCGGAACGGAGGTGCCCAGGGTGATTTTAGCAGAGAGTTTCCCCAGTTCCAAGGGTTGCGGTAGAGCTCTAAAAGACCGCAACACCGGCTCCTGATGCGTGCCTCCGTCTTGGAATACAAATAGGTCCATTTTTCATCATCTAGTGGCTCATTAGACAGCGAGAATACCTCTGAGGGTGCGTCCAAAGCGAAGATCAGCACAGTGGTCGTGAACGGATCCGACTTAACAGCTCGCCAAGCCCGAAATAGCTGGAATATCTGGGAAGCCTCCGCCCGATGCTCCGGCACCATCTTCGAAAACATGCGCTTGTACAGTTGTCGAAGATCAGGGGGTAACGATCGTAGTTTGATCGTAAGGTCCTCGATTCCATCACCCTCTTCCAGTCCCGTCATGAGGAGTCGAACGACAACCTTTACCCAGAGGAATACCCCTTGCGCTTTTTCTTGAAGTTCTGTTCGTAGAGCTTGGGCTTGCTGTGGATGTTGGGTTGTCAAAGCACGCATATAGCGATGTCCATCCAGATGTCCTTCAATGAATTGTTTCATGTCCTTCCTGGTGAGATCTTGGAGCTGCAGAGTAGGACAACCATGAAAGGTGTTGATAGAGGCTGTGATAGGCCGACTTGAAACGACCACCTTCACATGTTGGTTAAGCCTGGTGAGAGACCTGAGCCACTGCCCTATCTCCCTAATCTGATGTTCGTCGCCCTCATATTCGTCTAAGCCGTCAATGAAGATGCAGATCTTCAGTTTGCCAATTGTTTTTTCGACGAATATGTTGAACGCTTCCATGGCTTCGACGTAGCTGGGCTCTTCTGCTAACTGGGTGGCATCCATGTTCCAGCAGAGACGCGGGAAGACAGCGGGGATATGATCAGGATATCGTTGTAGTGCATCGTAGAGAAGTCCCCGGAGCATGCCAACTGCACTTTTCTGTAGTTTGGTCCCCAAGTTCCAGAAGAAGCAGTGCAGGACGACGAGCGAGCAGTCTTCGCCTGCCCAAAGCGCCAGAAGCTCCGCAGTCTTCTTATGTTTAACAACGAATTTCATCAGTGTAGACTTGCCGCTACCAGCCTTCCCATTGACGAAATAAGGATTCGCGTGATCTGTCGAAAGATATACGGTAAAATCATCCCAACAGATTTCATTCGCAGGCTTCTCAAACAGCCAGCTGTAAGTGTCCCTGTACGCCGGGGTGATTTCGTCATATCTCCAGGTTAGCTGGCGAAAGTCCAGCCAGTTCAAAATCTGCGTCTCGCGGGTGCATGCCTGCGGCAACTGCTCACGCAGCGCCTCGATCTTTGTAAGAAATTCATCGATTTGTGCCCGTACGTGGTCCACTGTAAGATCCGTCCGTCTATCCGAGCCATCAAAGTCGGACAGTGGCGTTAGCCCTTCCGGAGCAAGCATTGGCTGCTTATTGGTCCCTAGCTCTCTTATATATTCGAAGACTTCGGTAAGATTACTCTTCGCATCTTGCCGCAGACCGAGGTTTAACGCAAGGAGCAATGTGCTTCGAAGCTCATAGAGTTTCGTAACGAACGCCTCTATCTTGTGTTTATTGAAGGAATGTCGCAAGCTAGCCCTGAAGGCGCTCAGGGAGCGTTTGGAGTTCGTCCTAGTTGAAGAAGAGGCGTTAAAGAGAGTGTCCAGGTAAGAAATGAACTCCTCTCCCGCAAACTTGCACTCCAGCGCGATGTCGACAAGGTGCTGCGAAAGACGTTAGTGACCAGAGAGGTACGTGAAACACCATATACCTGATCCTCTTCTGCCAGCGTTGCATTCGTGGCCTTGAGGCCCTTATAGATGATGTCGGCCTGGGTCACGAGGGTTTGCGAAATCTTGTGAAGCTCGGAGAGGGAAGATGGACTGCCGTGCTTTCTGATATGCCAGGCCTCGGAGATGAGCTTCGAGCCAAATTCAACAAATTGAATGACATTGCTGGCGAGGCCCACTGCAATCAACGGCTCCATCCTCTTGTCATCTGGACATGCAGTTGAGAGCAGGAAGCTGAAGTGCGATCAGGCTGAGATTGACACTGCGCCACGCATGTGCAGCACCAGCCGTGGCTGTGTTTCATCCTCCATCTGGGATAGATGTGCCATGCGCGCTGCCTGCAGAATTGACAATTACCGCATATGGAACAGAAGCTGTGGGCTAACGTTGTTAGTACCTGAGGTTAACAACGGAATAGGGATGCCATTCGCGTGAGGCTCCGTGAAGCTGCTCAGGCCGTATTTCCGCACTGCGACGCGGCCCGCTCCATCAAAGCGCTTTAAAATTGCTATGCCCTTTCAATCAAGAAGAGAGTACCATCCCCACGAAATATCAGCTGGGCATGCGATGAGAGAAGATGGAACCTTCGCAGCTAGTCCGTTCTCGGCCAAGCTCTGGTCATTGCCTTCGAGGGTTGACACACTCACTCATGTCAAAGACGCATAAATCACAATTTCAGCACTCATGCTGCTCACTGTTAATGATTAGCTAACAATTTGCACGCCACATGTCGAAAGCATCCGTGCCACTTCTCCGAATCAATCGCGCTTTGCCTTGGCCTCTGAACATTCCCACACAGTTTCACGGTCATTTTTCTCACTATTACGAGATAAAAAAGAGCTATATTCAGTATTTACATGTACCCGGGCAGCTTACTGGAGCTCGGTTACATGTCTACTATTCACCCTTCACCACAATCCCACAGGGGCGTGGTGGAGGAGTGACGTGCAACACCCCCAACAGGGGAGACGTTCACATCGACCAGGTTTGTTTGCGGTCCCTAGCAGCTGCTGGGAGAAGCATTTGACTTGGCTTACAAGTCTGCACACTCCTCAACGACGCCATCAACCAACTTCGACACTTCCTGCTTGCCTACCTTGATGCCATTCAGCTCCTTCTCCATATCCTCAATCTTCCACTTCTGCTGACGAGCATAGACTGCATGCTTCTCGACCTCAGTCCTATAGTCGCCATCCATCCTGCGCCCCACATCCTTTAGACCGCGAACCTCCCGATCCCGAACCTCCACTTCCATCTCCCGCTCACGAAGCAGCGTTCGAAGCCGAGCAATCTCTTCGTCTTTCGCCTTGTCCTTTGCCGCTGCCTCGTCGCGGGAGAGTTTCAGTGCTTTGACGTGGTGATGGGCGATTTCCCGTGCCTTTGCGGCGTCGGCCTTGGATTTCTCAACCACCGACGTCTCATCGGGCGTGACAAGTGCATACTTCTCCTGCTCTAGAGTCGCGATGGCCGCGTCTTTGACCCTCAACTCCTCGTCCATCTTCTCCGTCAAGGCTACCACCTTCTCCATCTGCGCCTGCAACGTACCAACCAACTCGCCACACAGCCGCTGCATCCCCAGCGCTGTCTCGGCAGCCGCAGCAGCAGCGTGCCTCTCCCCCTCCAACATCTCATTCCGCCGAGCCAGGGCAGCAGCTCCATCCCGCTCAATCTTCAACTTACCGTCACGCTCTTTCACTGCGCGCTCCAAATCATCTACCTTGGACTGTAAGGCAAACAGTTCCCGGGCTGCGATGTGGTACTGCTCCTTGTTGATCTTGGCTTCCTCGACGAGGTCGGAGTAGCTCTTGCGGAGAACCACGGACCACGGAAGAGGAGGAAGATCTGGAGGTTTGGGCGGAGCTGCGGGAGATATCGGAGGCTGTGGTCGAAGTGGACTTATCGGGCTGGTGATTTGGGTTTGGGTTACCGGGGGTTTGAGGGGTGTGAGGGAAGGGCGATACGGATGGAGGAGGTGTGGTGAGGATGGAAGAGGAGTTGTTGGGGGTGCGGGTGCGTTTGAACCAGATGAAGCGGGAGGGGGAGGGGGAGGGGGAGGCCATTTCGTTTCTTCGATCTGATCTGGAGTCACGGCTTTGAGTGCAATGGGCCAGGTCTACACCCTTAGGGTACGTAGTGATCGGTTAGTCGCAGCGAGAGCGAGACGGAAAAAAGAGAAAGGCGAACAGTTCCAGCTGTTCCTCGCCCCTCGTCCTCGATCAATCGCCCGGGCTCACTCAACCTCAATCTCGATAGTACCAGAAATCCAAATAAGCCGTTTCCGTGATTTCGGATCTACGTCCTCCATCCTTGATGGGGGACCGAAGCTCTATTTAAACGCACACACGTTAACAATGTGGAGAAAGCCTAGGTTGGGCGCATTGTACAGACACATACTATGCAGAACCTACGTCTCAATGTCCGTGGAAACCCTGATCCTTGGTCTTGTCCATTGTGAAGCCTTCTTGTGTGCGAACAATGTCGACCCCCTCGCCCTGAAACATTTGTAAACGCTTGCATTGCCGACACAACACGAGGGGCAGGAGGATTCCACGTTCCTAATCCCCTCACTCAATTGGAGTAAGCAAGTTTTCAACATTTTGTAGGGCGATGGTAAATCCAGGATACATTTTTTGGAAACAAAAGTCTGACAAGTGGGAGTGGCAGACAGCCTCACTCACTCTTCGCGCTCACACTGACTATCTTTCTCAAAATCCAGTAGTAGCATAAAAAAAAAAGTATTCATGATCCTAATCATATCATACACCTTCCCAAACCAACAAATAAAATCCAACTCGGACCCTCAAAAGGAAAAGAGAAAAAGAATACACACAAAAACCAGAAGAGCGCGACAACAGATATAATGCCGCTGCGAAGCTTCCACTCTTCCAATCCATCCCTTTCAACCATTTTTCCATGCTCATAAATCCACTCGCAATCACATGCAAATCCCTTCCTCCCTGCAGGTACGCATGTGCTTTGTTCCTTTCCGCTCCTAGTATCTGACGACGTACCTCGGTCCATTCTCCACAAACAAAAAGACATGCGCCTTTTCCGTACCGCGGCTCGCCCCGATTCACAACTTCGACGCCGGCACGGGTGACTGAGCCTGCATCACTCACAGCGTTAGCCTTTGTCCACAAGTGACAGGAAGCAGCAACGAGGAAGGACACGGAGCCAAGAACGAGTGTTTATGTAACATCATCATTGTGAAACATTTCATTGACCATTCCGCTCGCAACTTCATGCATAGCTTACAATACATTCACCAACGCCATACGCACTTTTCAAAGGGCCCTGATACATGTGATAAAGAAAGGAAGAAATGTAGGTAGACGGGAAGAGGTGGAGGCGTAGGTGGGTAGGTAGGTAGGTAGGCAGGCAGACGACAGGAGAGCCGGGATGTCTCTACAACTTGGAAGCGCTCTTGGGGGCACCCACATTCGTAATCTCATTATACAACAGCCTAGACATTGTTAGCACGCCATTCCAACATCCAACCTCCAACGGGTGTACTCACGAAGTAAGGAACTCGGCATAATCCTCGCCCGTGACCTGGCCCTCGAAGTACTTGGCAGCAAGGTGGAACTTGTTTCCCTTGGGCGCCTTTTGAGCAAGCTTCTGCGCCTGCTCGCGCAAAAGCTTGAGCGCATAGTCCTTGGTGACCCTCTTGCCCTCGGCAGTCTGCACCTGGTGGCGCGCCCACTGCCAGAGCTGGCTCCGGGACACCTCGGCGGTGGCGGCGTCCTCCATGAGGAAGTTGATGGGCACGCAGCCGACGCCGCGGATCCAGGCCTCCATGTACTGCAGGCCGATGTCGAGATTCTTGCGGATACCGTCCTCGGTGACCTTGCCGGGGACGTTCATGTTGAGAAGGTCGTTGGCGGTGATGTGGACGTCCTCGCGGCGGACGTGCATCTGGTTGGGCGTTGGCATGAACTCGTTGAAGATGTCGGAGGCGATCTTCGCAAGAGCAGGGTGGGCGACCCAGGTGCCGTCGTGGCCGGCGCGCACCTCGCGGAGCTTGTCGGCGCGGACATTGGCCATGGCCGCGTCGTTGGCAGCGGCGTCGTTCTTGATGGGGATCTGAGCAGCCATGCCGCCCATGGCGTGGACGCCACGCCTGTGGCAGGTCTTGATGAGGAGCTTGACGTACGCATCCATGAAGGGGACGGTCATGGTGACGGAGGAGCGGTCGGGGAGGACGAAGTTGGGGTTCTGGCGGAAGCGCTTGATGGTGCTGAAGATGTAGTCCCAGCGGCCGCAGTTGAGGCCGGAGGAGTGGTCACGGAGTTCGTAGATGATCTCGTCCATCTCGAAGGCAGCGGTGATGGTCTCGATGAGGACAGTGGCGCGGATCGTGCCACGCCTCATGCCAATGTAGTCCTGAGCCACGTTGAAGACGTCATTCCAGAGACGGGCCTCCAGATGCGACTCCATCTTGGGCAGGTAGAAGTACGGGCCGTAGCCGCGCTTGACGAGCTCGTGTGCGTTGTTGAAGAAGTACAGACCGAAGTCGAAGAGACTGCCGGAAATGGGCTCGCCGTCGACGGTGAAGTGCTTCTCCTCGAGATGCCAGCCACGGGCACGGGCAATCAGCGTGGGGAGGGTGCGGTCGGTGCGGAGCTTGTACTCCTTGTCGCCCTGCTTGAAGTCGATCTGCCTGCGGATGGCATCGTACAGGTTGAGTTGGCCATTGATCATGTTGTCCCAGGTCGGGGCGCTGGAATCTGGGAATTGTCAGTCCGGAAACCTTCATTGAGAGCTCGTAATGCCCTACATACCCTCAAAGTCGGCCATGTAGGTCCACACATCTGCGTTCAAGGCATTGACAACCATCTTCCTGTCCGTGGGGCCGGTGATCTCCACACGCCTGTCTACCAGACCGGGGGCCGGAGGAGCACCCTTCCAGGTGTCATCGTCACGGATGTGCTTGGTCTCGGGGAGGAAGTCGAGCAGATTGCCCTTGTCGAGCTCCTGCTGGCGGATGACTCTCCGCTGGAGCAGCGCTTTCCGGCGCTCGTTGAATGTGCGGTGAAGGAGGGCGAGGAAAACGGCAGCGTCCTTGCTCAGGATGTGGCGGGTCTTGTCGTTCAAGGCGCCGAGGATGTTGACATCCTTGAGGATGAAGTCTGGGTTGGGAGCCATGACGAAGGCCAATGTGTAGGTAGGTTTTGGTTGTGTGTTTGGAAGCTGTGATGGGATTCCTGCGGCTGTTCTACGATGGAGGCGGTAGGAATGCGGGTGGAATTCAGGGTGGAAAGAGATGCGTGAGGGCGGACAAACGGGGAGAGGATGGTCGTATAAAAAAGACGTCACTCATCGCGAAGGTCATGCTGGGCCAGGGAGCTCTCTCAGTGCTAGCGGAGCAAGCTCTGGGCTTCTCGGTGCCGAGGAACTTCTTTTTCTGGCGGGCGACTGGCACTTGTGCTGGAACGAGCCTAGATCGGCGGCGGCGAGAACGGTGAATGGAGTGGTGAAGGGTGCTGGTTCGGGCAGAGGGAGGGTGCTGGTAGGAGGGTCGTTCCAGCTCGGTTCGCGCTTGTGACAGCGCCAAGAAAATAGATGCGGGGAGGGAGCAGCCCACCTCTGACATCAATCCCAAGTACATGCAGTTACTATTCACCACTGGCTATTCTTCCCACACCACGCCTTTCTTGTGTCTAAACAGCTTCCACAAATGATTCATCTATCATGGCAAGTAGACAGAGAGGAGACGAGTCGCCGGATGCAGCCGGCAATCAACGGAATTCGACAACAGCATTGCGCGCAGCCTCACACACTCCCCGACGGGAATCGGGACATGCCGGGTAGCTCTGTCCGATAAGGGAATCATGCTGTGAACTGTCTTATAGGATAGTCTATCGAATTATCAAAAAGCCGTCAATATCCTGGCGAGTCCAGGGTTCCTAAAAACTGTGTACGCCGGGGTATATGAACAAACAAAAACCAAATACGAGGAAACACTCTTCTGCTGCCCTCTGCGGTCTCCCTTGCACAATTGACCTAGATTGTCTCCCACATCCACCTCTGTGGTATGTCGAAGAGCCTCGTGAAATCTCATTCCAGGCGCATTGCCTATAGGAATGAAGAAATCGAGCCCGGTGGGCTTGTTGTCGTCGTCGCGATGCCGAGGTTTAAGGGGAACTCCGTGATGGGGCATTGATGCTTGGGAGCAACAGAGGTATCGCGGATACCCTCAATCCGACTCTTGGACGACTGTAGACTCGTAGTCGTCAATGTCTTTTGTTCCAAATGCGCCAGTTTCGCTCCTCGGAATCTCCCCTGTAAGCTCCTGGCCAGCCATTTGTTCAGAGGCCAACTCATATCATCCCACTCCTCTGCAGATTCCAGTCTTTCCCCTCTCTCGCTCAAAAGAGAATATTACCATTACCCGCCCCATCTGGTTATAATAAATAATCTCTCAAAAACCCCTTCCTCATCTTCTTATTGAATTCCCCAGAGACCGCCCGCAGTCCCAGACTCCCGTCCTTTACTTAGTCACCTTCTTCCACAAACAACCATCGCACATGCCCTGACTCCGGTTCGCCACCTTGTGCTCCGTGTCGGGACACGGCCGCCCCAGCCGCATCTGCTCCGCCTCTTGACAGATTCTGAGCACCGGCCCGTTCCCCGGCGACGGCTGCGCAACCCAGTGGTTGCACGAGTGGAGCGTGTATAATATGAAGCACATGGAAGCGGCGCGCTTGTGGCTATTATACGCGACCCCTGAGAGCTGGGAAACGGAGAAATTCGAGAGCAAAATTTCGAGAATTCGGAAGATTGGTCGGTCTGGGTAGGGCCGGAGTAGCGAGGCGGTGCAGGAGTAAGGTAGGGAAGGTAGTTGTGTGTAAATCGCGCTCGATGTTGAATATCCGCGCAGCGTCGCAACTCGAATTAGACAAGGCAGAAAATCGCGGAATCCAACAACAGATCCAGGTTAGACGGTCGGTCTCGGCTGGTTGCTAGATAGGAACTGAGGAGGACGAGCAGGATCACTGGAGGTTCTGATGATTCGGCTGAACATGCCAATCTCTTCTCTTTGATACTCTTGTCAGGGGATGCGGGAGGGTGGACCAGATGGAGGACGCTTTTGCGAGCGCGCTCCTTGTCCCGGAGAGATTGATATAGTACCTTATGTGTGTAATGAAGGTACAAAGCTGGACTCGGGTAACAAGGCCAGACACAGCTCCCTTGCTGGAGCGGCGTATGGCGCGCTGCTGGTCGAAAGCGGCGACGGCGACGTCGGTTTGTGCTCGAGTAGCGTGGACCACACAACCAGCGGGGAGACGAACGAAGAAGAATGTGGGACAATGGGAAATAGGGGAGAGGAGGAGGACAAATAGTAGGTTCACCAGACCAAGGGCGATAATATTTTTTTCTTTGCGATGCAAAAGGAAAGACGGGGCAACGAAAAAGCAACGACAAGCCTTTCTCTTTCTCTCCCCCTACTCACCCGCCCCTCCCCCTCCCCTTTCCTTGAGATACGGTAGCCGCAGCCTTGGAACGTAGATCCAGCAAAAGCAAACAAAACGTCACACGAGACCCCGAGAGTTGGCTGGATGTGGCCGAAGCCGCGCAGCAAGGGGGAGAAAGGGAGAGCGACCCAGCAGCTCCTGAGGGCCAGGTCCAGCGGTCGAGCTGGCCTCCCCTCATCGTGTGAGACCTCTCTGGCTGAGTTTACCTGGTGAGGGCAGCTCACAGCTGGGGAAGAGGGCTGAAAGTGATGATATCATGTCTGTCAGAGCGGTGCGCTGATTGCTGGGGAGAAGGCTGCCGGGCGGAGCTAGTGACAGCCACAGGAACCTTGGAAGGTTGAGGGCTGGCGCGGCACCAAGGAGCGCACTTTGTTCGAGTTGTTAGCCGTGAACTTTGTCCAGCAGGACTCGAGGAAGAGAATTGTGACTGCGACTCTGTGGCGATGTGAAATTTGCGTTGCGCTGTCGTACATTATTGTACCTGCACCTGCATGCATGCAAAGTCAGGGGAGTGACAGACCCATGCCGCTATGCCCCATTGAGCATTGAGATGCACCCCCTTGTGACTTGGGTCCCCTTTTGGAGGATGGGCAACTTTGGGCACTTTGCTGTATTATGCACATGGGATTCGCAATGTTACTGTGATGGAATTCCTGAAATGTGCTTCGCTTCGTATGTCTCGTGGCCAGGAGGCCTTCGTATGTATGTACAGTACAAGGTAGCCCCAGCGTAATCCTGTCCAGGTGTCCAGAGGATACGAATCCCCCTGATACACCCATCAGTCAAGCCTCAGTTGTCGTCCTCTGTCATCACCCCCTCGCCGAGGAGTCCCCCCGCCAGACCCTTCATTCTCCTACTCAGGAGATCATCGTCACTGGCCAGGCTCACCAGACTCTTCCTCCGTCCCTCTTTCTTCACCCTCGTCCTCGTTCGTGGCCGACCTCGCCCGTTGACATGTCCCTTCTCTCTGGGCTGCCGTATGCTGCTACCATTTGCAGGCAGAGATCCATTGGCACGGGCCGGACTCTCCTTGCCCTGCCCTTTTGCAGCACTCGACGGCTTCAGCACTGACATCTCGAGAGGTCGGTCCTCCTCCGCAGACGATGCAGTCCCACTGCGATGATGATGCCGCCCACCGCTCAGTCCATCCACGGCTTCTGCCAACCCAGCAGTGGCTCCCGGGCCAAAGTAGTCACTTCGTTCACGGCCTCGTCGACGTCCGGCTCCGTAGTACACGGCTGGTGTCTCTGCTTCATTGGTCGCGTAAAGTTCCTCTTGCCGCTCTGCCCAAGCGAATGCCTCGGTCATCCACTTGCCGCAGCGCAGAATGTACTTCCATCCCTCGGGGAACACGCCAACAAACTGCAGAAACCCATGGCTGATCCCAGGGATCAGATCCACGTTGACCCAGTCTTCATCGCGGAACTCTCCTCTTGCCCAGTCGAGACCGAGCTCCCTCGCTGTCACCCACTGTGCTCTCTTTGCTTGTCGGAGCCGGCCTGCGAAGATGACTGTGTCGTCAACAAGAGGATCTCGCTCTCCGGTAAGCATCCAAGTGCGCGGAAACCTAGCAAGCAGTGCTTCGGGTGCCAGAAGAGGCGATAGGAGGAAGTCGGTGCTGAAGTCTGGACGGTTATGCGGACCAATGTAGAGGATAATCATAGCGCGCATCATCTCAGGCGTGAGTATGCGATCATTGAAGTAGGATATCATACTGGACATGGCAAGGCGCGTCTTGATGGTAGTCGCAGGTGGTGCTGGTGCTACGGCTGCCGCAACCTGGGATTTATCAGACGTCTTCGCAGAATCTGAGAATGGCGATGCCCCGCCATTGGGAGCATCGTTTTGTGCACGCAATTTGGCGCTGGTAGCTACTTGGTTGATGGTTACGGTATCCACGCCGGTGTGGGCAGCAGAGATATGGATCATGGTTGGAGGAGATGTCAGAACGGCAGCGGAACCGGGATCTTTCGAGGTGTCGTCGTGCCCGTCGTCGCTCTCCTCGTCGGAGGAGGCGCCAGGAGTGTTTGGTGCCAACTGGCGGTATTCGTTGCTTTTGTGGCGCAAAATCCGGCGATTCGTCTTGCGGACTCTGGGCTCCCTAATCAGAGCCATCTGCTCGTCCGTCATCCAGTTGCCTATGTTCATATCCAGCGCTGGATAGATGAGAACAACGCCAACGGGAGGCGGGAGTTCCTGCTCGCCTTGCCACCTCCTCGTCTCCGTTGATCCGGTCTGGAGGATCATCAAAACCATGCCAACGGCAAGGTTACCACCGGCCGAGTCTCCGGAGACCACAATCTTGGGTTCGTACTCGCCAGACAGGCCCATACATCTGCCCCGACTCGCAATAAGGGTGTGGTAGACGTCGTAGCACTCGTTGAGCGCATAAGGATATGGATATTCGGGCGCTTTCTTGTAATCCAGGCTGAGAACTGGAAGCCCGTATTTCCCCGCCCAGCCCATTAGCTTGTCATCGTGATTTCTCGGATCCATGGCAACGAACCCCCCACCAGGGACATCCAACACGATCTTATCATGACCTTTGAGCTCCGAGAGCGGTCCATTGAAATACAGCCACGCAGTCACAGGCTCTGTATAGGAGCTCTCCCGGGGCCTGGGTATCCGGAGCTTCCGCGGGGGATACCACATGAGGCGGGGCCGCATCAAGCTCGCGAGAGCCGCTAGATACGGTGTTGTGCCTTTGTTCCAGCTAACGCGTAGGTGGTCCACGGTCAACGTCGCCCTGATCTTCCTGACCTTCTCGTCGGCTTGCTCGGCGCATATCAAGTAGTATACACTGAAGACGATGGAAAGAAAGTCGCGGAGACCTTTCCTCCGGATCCTCATTGCGGACCAAAAGCCGGCATCCAACGCCGTCGTTACCCATGTTGCGCGGAAATACGATCGGGAGTATAGGTTCGCCAGAGGCTCAGGGCATTCGAGTCCCACAAGCTTGCCAAAGTTGCGTGCGATGTAAAAGTACAGTAGAGTAATGACAACGGTTTGCCATGTTGTGAGCCTGTCGGAGAGAAGCGCGGATATGCGGCGGATATAGGGAGGGCCGTGACGGTGTCCACTTGTTGCTGTCAGTAAAGCATTCCTGCATATGGTTCAAGATGTTCGAAGTCCAGCATACCGGGATAGGTAGAAGGACCAGAATGATACTACTGCCAGCACCTGGGTCTTTCGAAACTGCACCGAAGGCCTCCCAAGTACATGGTCTATCATGTTCACGAGCGGACAAAGGAATCGTATATGTCCCTATAGGGACCAAATCGACAGTTAAGTACCCAGGGCTAGGTATCGGCGTAAAACTTGGATGAATGCAGAGGGAGCGTACCGGGAAAAGAATACGGCCAAGGGAACGGGGATCGAGGTAGAAATGAAGGTGAAGAGTCAAGGTCAGCAACTGCGGTCCATGGTAGCCGTACACTCCGGGGTCCAGCCCACCCAGTGAGAGGGCCTTGGAGAGGCATTTCCTCCATGTCCGCAGTGATGGGTACAAGCATGTGACAGAGAGGCCACCTGGAGGGGCGACGATGACATGTGCCTACCACCTCCGGAAACAAAGCCGGATGTCATGCGCCCCACGCCAAGCCTTTATTAGCCACAGCTTTGACAGAAATCGGCCTAGTTTTCACCAGCCACATTCACTGCCCAGGTGGTTTTCGGACGCTGCCACAGTGAGTTTGTACTGTTTCAAGGTTCAAGATGCGAGGATGGACTACTGGTGGTGATAGCCAAGCTGATATAAGCCAGCCTGGTAATGAACGGAAGTCCAATGTACCCTATTGCCAGCCACGATGCACTTTTGTAGAGACAGGCCAACCTACTGAATGCGAGGAACGAAAACAGATATCTCCAATGCTGAAATAAAGAAAGGGAAAAAGAACATCTCACTCAACCTTCGCCTTATTCGTCACATCGCGGATCCACTCCCCAACTTCAAACCCAACACGCCTGAGCGCCGCGGCTTCAAACTTCACTCCTCTCTCTTTCCTCACGGTCAAGCATCTCACATCCTCGTTGAGCTCCACAAGCTTGGCATTGCCCTGTTGTGTCTGAGCCGACTCCTTCGCATCCTGGTACTGGGCATTGGGGTCCCGGATGTAGATGGTCAGGTCCGGGCCTACGGTGCCTCGCCACAGCGTCGCCATCCACTGCCAATGATCCGTCGGACTGTATGCATCCGTGATGGGGATCCGCGAAGTGTAGGCGTTGGACGCATTGAGCTGATATGTTGGCAGAAGAATGACTGGATTCTTCTTGGGCTCACCACCATCTTCCTTGTCTTTTTCCTTGTTGGAATCGGGACTTGACACGGGCGATGTAGCTACTGGGGTTGTGATGTACTGGATCATCTCCTTGCTCTTCCCATGCCACTTTTTGATCAGATCCAGATAATCCACAAAAGTAACATCCTTGGTGTCCGGCTTCGGCACCTTTGGCGGGTCAGCAACAAGAACTTTGTAATCATTGGTCTTGTCGAGATCATCTTTGAGCCACTCCGCCAGTGTTTCGATCGCCGCAGGTTCGTCACCTTCGATAGCTATGATTGCCCCGCGTACCTGAACTGCCGGGCTTGTAGGCCCGGGCTCCTTTAACGGAGGAGTTATGCGGCCGAGGACCCGGACCTTTACAATATAAGGAACACTCATGACCATGGCTTCAACACTCCGACTCTGGTCATGCTGACTGGGGACGTGGACACTGAGGTCCAAAGACATTCTGCGGGTATCACGGGGCGTCCGCGGAGGCGGTTGCATAGCTCCTGTATTGGGCGGCGAAGGTCGCGCGTGATTGAGAGCCGGGAGCGAGTCACGGCGAGCTGCGGGATAGTACACAGATCGCCCGTTAGTTGTAGGCGGATAGTTGTAGCGTCGTCTTTTCGAATCCGGTGTACCAGGACTGTACAGCATCGAAGGGGCGTCGCCTTGGCCAGGTGAAGGCACTTGGATGTTACTGAGACTCGAAGGCCCGACTGGGGCGCGCCGCCGGTATGCTGGCGACTCAAGACTAAGGTTGCTCATAGGAAGGTAACGGGTAGTGGGAGTTGGAACGTCGGTCGAAACAGGCGGAGGCAGGTTCCGGGTGGCAGCAGGCGTGAAGGGACTTGTAGGAGTCTTGATGCTGCGTCCACCACACTTCGGACAGCGATATTTGTCGACAGTTGTATGCTCACCAGAAGGGTTCAGAGGTGATGATCCTGGCTTGCCAGGGCGCCGCGGCTGATACCGGTAGTCGGGATATTGTTCTTGGTGCTTTGCTTTCTCTTCCTGTCGTATTTGTCAGACTCGAAGCATTTTGCACATACTCGAGACCATCTGATTATACCTGTGCCAGTCGCTGCCAAACTAGCTTTTGTTCTGGGCTTTCGGAGTTCCACTGCTCTCCGATAATCTTCGATATGTCTGGGTTTGCAATTCCTGGATTGCGGGCGACGATCGCCTGCTGGTGGTGCTGCCGATAAAGAATAAATGCTACATAGAACTCAGCGGCTGACGTCTGACAGCGAACAAAGCCACGACTCTTTGTTCAACTCCGCATCCACTACCGTTCCTAGTGATCGATCTCGGAAATAAGAACAAAGAAACTCACCATTTCTTGGGCGGGGTATTTTTGGTTCTGGCTGGCAAAGGCAGACGTTGACAGGCTCTCCGGATCCATATCCCGTGGTCGTTAGGCGGCGGGGCAATCTGGAGTCTGTTGGAGTGTCTTCGATGTTGTCTACGTTTTCCTCATCTTTCCCCGTAACGAAATGTCTTTTGCGCGCAGTCTGGGGAGACTGTGGCGGAGATGGCTTCTTGATGGAGTGCCTGGTAGTTCGAATTGGGCTTGCAGGTCCGCTCTCTTTCCTCGAACTTGTCTGTGGAGGTGCCCCTGAATGTTGTATATCGTCCATCCTCGTCTCGGACTCGGTATGACCGGACTGCATCTTCACCCGGGTGTATCGGCGGGGAATGTTGTAAAAGGTCGCAACCGGAGGAGGGGATGGAGGACAGATAATAGGCGGAAGCACACGACCGGCAAGCATGATGGATGAATTCAAGTGTCTTTGAGGCAATGTTCATTGTAACGTGGAGAGATAACGATTTATGGTGTCCGGAAGTTAACTCTCTTTGTACCTGCACCTGGAGGGACCACTTACCCGCCATCGCGCTTTGATCGGAGCTGTGGATGATCCAGTAATATGATTGTCTCGGGCCTAGGCGGGATGTCCGAAGGCGTTCGCTTGGGTTTCTTTGTTCTTGTCCGCATCCAAAAACGGCAAAGGCAGCCATGCTCAACCAGTGAAACATTCGTCGGCGGGGTATGCAAGGAGAACAATAATGCGCTCGAGGCTAACAATAATCAATGAGTATTTTCCTAAGGCGGAGCTGAGTACTCCTAACGCGGGAGAGCGACACCTCAGTGTGATAGGGACTATGAGGTATCCGACGAGAAGAACAGATGTGCTGCCTCAGAGGAATTCTTCCTGTGTGAAGTGCACCTGTTCCAGCTGCGCCGTAACGCATGATTTGTTCTTTGAATAACTGTCCAGGCGTCCATTGGTCCGGCTTCTTTCCCGCTTGTTGGTCTTCAGCGCGCCAATGCATGGCGCTGTTCGTCAATGAAACAATGTGTTTGTCTGCATGGCTGATGTTCATCTTCGGCTACTGATGAGCAGGCCGAAAGTGTCCTTTGTCCAGCTCCTCGAGCTATATGTGATTGCTGGCTCCATGGGGTTGGAATGTTCCGATTATCCTCAACCCTCTCAACACCCTCTGCTGATGCTATTAAACTTACTCCGCCGCTGTAGGAAGCCTGGATACGTTTGGTTGTGTCAGATCTCCCATTCGAGAGCAGGGATTGCCCTCTTCTGCAACCGACGAAGGCGACAGTGCCATTCTGGATAGGCATGACGCTCAAAATCCAAAATCGAGCAAAACGGTTACAGAGACCAAGGGAAAGTTAGCAAGTGAGCGTCGAGAATTTCACCTTTCAGAGTCCACCTTCCACTTTCCTTGAAATTATCTGTTTCGAGTGGAGGATGAGCCGCTGTCTCAGAGTTTATTGTGTCTGAGACGACGGTCTTTCGCCTTTGTCAGGTATCGGGGAGATGCCATAGCCAATGAGCGTCTATACATACCATCCCATGAGCCCTCGTCCCGGCTTGCAGTTTCTTGGGAATGCCATAGGAGGACATACGTATATGATGAACCAATGGTCGAAGCCGGTGGGAGGTGACAATAAAGAACAACTTTGTAAGTCGGGGCGGGGCAGATGCTTTGTTTACGATTCTGACCACAAGTAGAGCCAGATCCTCCAGCTTCTGGTGCGGTACATGTGCCGGATGCAAATCGAACGGGAAGGGCAAGGTTTCTTGACTGTCCACCGATTGTAGGCGGCTTAACCTAATCGCCCAGTCTTGCCCCGATCGTGACAACGCAGCAAAAAGAAAAATCAATCCGGACTTTACAGAGACAGTGTTTGGGTTACAATGTAGTTTGCACATGCATTGCTCGGGTAGGATAGGGGTTCGCCGCTTTTGCTGCAGGCTGTTTCGCGTCGGATCCGGGGATGTCGGGAGAACTGCCGTGATCTGGATGACATATAGACGGCAAAATGGCTGCGAAACGGCGTAGCGGGCACCAAGCAAATCATTCCGCGAGGAGTTGAGGTGTGGAGCAGTAGCAAACAGCTGCAGCGGAGGAGAGAGACAAAGGTTCACCACCAGCGGCCGGAAAGCAGGTCAGTTACCGAGAAGCACGGACCACACGGAGTACCTCCAATGCCTTAAGCTTGGGGACATGTACACAACCTCACTGAAGATTCAACCAAGTACCCGAATACGCCGTTAGAAGGCCGTTTTGAGATTCCAACAGGCAAGGCTAGCCTCATGTCCGGATGCCTCGAGGCTACGGCGACAGCGCAATCTGATATTCGGTTTGGGTAGGTAGGGAAAAGCAATATTTATGGAGTCTTGGGCATCAATTGCAAGGGACGTGAAAAGAAAAGTACGTCGGTATCTTTTAACGGCGGTTCTGTAGGAGCGGGCACTCTACGGAGTAGAAGCGAACATTTCGGCGAAGACCGTATTCTGCGCTTGGATGTGACTTGGAAGTTCACACATCGACACCACGGGGACTTCCAGTCGCTTCCATGATTGTAGTCGTAACAGGGAATGTATACCAACTTCACGAGTTTGGCATTCGTTCTTATGATACGTTTTTGGCACTGCATCGTCATGGTTCACATCACACTTTTGTACATTCCTTAGTACCTGCAGGTATCGAGCATGTGTTGCCAGGGGCTCTTCCATGATGGTTTCGGTCGATCCATCACAGCTTGACATTGAATTTCCACGTCTGGCCTTAGCTCGTGGTATGTATAAAGGCACTCCATGTATTCAATCTCCTTTGCAGTATCGCTCTTATAGTATCGCTTTAGTTACAACTGCATCGTTCACTTAGTCGAATCCTCACCGCATCTACTCCGGCGTTGAAAACAGCACCCCTCGATAGCTGCTTGACACACAGACACCAAGAGCTCAGCCAGAATGTTCATCCCCTTCCCATACACCGGCGCTCACTACGAGGAGTACTGCATTCACCACCACGTACCAACCAACGGCCCTTGGATCAGCTTCCCTGGTCCTTGGGGTGGCCCTGTGCCATCTCACTATGCACCCCCTTACGGTCCTTATCTTCCGCAAGTTGGGGGCTACACCTACGGAGGTTTCGCTGCTGGACAAGTTCCTGGCTTGATGCCGCCCATGCTGGGATTTGGTGGTAGCTTTGGGATTCGTGATGAGTTTGGTATTCAGAGGGGCGATTGGGCTGGGCCGTATTGTGGAGGTACTGAGGGGAATATACCGAATTAAGTCATGGGCTTCAGCAGGTGCGCCGTGGAAGTGTATACTGCGACATGTTTCTGGGCTGTGGGCAGGTTACAAGGAAAAGGAACATTTCACATGCAGTGTACATTGCTCCTTAAACCTCATTCTTTCGAAGCGTGAGAGGAAACCCTTCCAGTCAAAGTGCCCATTACCTCCACGTTATCAGCTGTTACTAATGAGTTGTTCGTGCTTTCAACCGCACTCTACTTTCTTCTAGGCAGACTCATCCCCTTCCTTCCCTCATCCTCCTCAACTCCACCTCCTGCTCCTCGTCTTCCTACCCAACAAGTCGGCACATATACATCTCTCAACTCGATAACTCCTGGCCTATGAAGCTCTTCCTCCTCCTCAACAACCTCAACCTCCACACTGCTCTCCCACACCCTTCCTTCTCCACTGTCTCCTTCTTGTGCCGCTTTCCTTCCGTCTTCCTTTTCCGGATTTGTCTCTTTCGTAGCATTCTCCTCTCTCTTCCTCTTCTTCTTTGCTAAGGGCGCAGTTCCTTCTCCCCACTCAACAGCCTCGATGGCCTGGATGACGGCGCGTTCGCGACGTTTTCGACGTACGCGCAGGAAAATAAGGAAGAAGAGGGTCAGGAGAAGAACCGTGCCGAAGATGGTTCCAGTGAGCGTGAGGGCGAGTTGGGTTGTGGTCGAAAGGGTCCTCCGGTGAAGAAGGTGTGCGGGGTACTGTGTTTCCAGGTATGAGTGTGAGATCGAAGAAGAATTGTGCGATGCTCGAAGCGGCGCTGTGTATATCGATGATCGGTGCCGGCGTAGTGATATACAGGTAGAGATGTGATGGCTCTTCGGATTGCGGGAACACGGAAAGTCGATCTGTTTGACATGTTGAGGAAGATTCCCTTGATCGAATGGAAAGGACTCGTAGACGCCGTACACAGCCCAGACATTCTTATCTCTTAAGTACGAAGAGAACGTTTGTCGGAAATGTGCCAGCATTGTGAGAGGAGTGTACACTTTTGAGAGAAGCTGTCTGAATGCTCTCATCATGAAAAAACTGCAAAGGAGATCCTGCTCATATGCTTGAACGAAGAAGTAAAAGGGATAATGGGAAACCGTGCGGGGAAGGAAACAAAACAAACATGTCCCTGGTTTGCATGCATGGCAAATGTCGTGCGTGGACGTGTACCATACTGTCACTTTGGCATTTTAGATGTTTGGGGCGGGAGGGGCGCTTTGTGTGACATAGAGCGCGCCCCGTCCATGCACACCCTATTTCATGAAAAATGGGACGAAGAGAGTTAGGTGGATCGAAAGCTACCCTAGAGTAGGTGAACAGAAAATCAGTTCAAGTGACAATATTGCATTGGGGTTTATATTATCCTTTCTGGTGGGTCACTTCTGATCATGGTCGGTTGGCGTAGCAAATTCGAACACGCTTATGGGATCCCAGTTCAGACTTGCGCGAGATGTACAACCTGGTACAGCATCTGCTGTGTGATGATGGTCAACGGTCCTGCTCTCATTTCGCCGCGCTTTTCCGAGATTGTAGCGATTGCTGAAAACTCAAGCTCACTTGTGGGCTTCAAGGTCATTTCCATTGAACTCTTCATCACCGTGTTCCTTCGTTCCGAACCCTACAGACGAAGAGGCGATCCCTGTCCATAGCACGCCGGATTCCTCCGGCATTGGGTCTTCTAGCGAACGCCGGCGTCTCGCCATTTCGCCCGTAATTTATTATACTTTCCTCGCCGTCTTTCCAATGTCTTCATCCCTAATGTTGTCACGGTATTCATTGTCTTTCTGTTATAAATTTTAAAACTGAAAAAACTTCTAGACAATTCTTTCAATCCTCCGTGGCGCAATTGGCTAGCGCGTCTGACTGTTATTCGAATTACTTTGGATCTCAATAATCAGGAGGTTGGTGGTTCGAGCCCACCCGGGGGAGAATTCTACTTTTTTCTCTTTTACTTTTTCCTGTTTCCTCCCGATTTTTGACATGTTTGAAGCGACCTCAGGGGGTCCGCAACAATCGCGGTCCCATTTATATATTATTTTACAATCTTGCCCCATCAGCTACTTCCATGTTCCGTTGACCAGTTCACTTCCGCCGAGACAATTTCTCCTCCACGCAAAACAGGAGGACTCGGGACTGCTGGCAACAAGCTCCTATTTACAGCACCTGCCGTCAATTGCGGGTGCGGATGGAGAATCACAAAGCTCGCAATTATGAACCTCGAATGATTACCGACGAGCCTAGGTTTCTAACCAGACCGGGACACCAGCGACAAGTTGGATTGGGGTGCGCGGATGACGAGCCTATCGTCAGGTCGACTTGGCTATATCTTCCGCAACAACAATGCGGAGGCTTCGAGCAATGGACCTAAAACTCCAGAAACAAAGATAATGGATGGGGCTGGGAGCAGGGGCCGTACATGTGCACGGACAAGTCTTCTTCTGCTTGAATGTCACTGTTAAGAATCCGGGGGTACCGTCACAGAAGTGTGCTTGTACTGTACTATTTCACGTCTCAGTATACGGGAAAGGAGCTAACAGAGAATTCATACAAGCAAGACGACGACTGAGGTGAAATGCGAGGCCAATGAAGTCGTGCTCGAGCACGCCATAACTGCCATCGAACACCTCTCCAATATTTTGCCCTACCCTAGGTACGTTGTTCTTCTCCAGGTACCAAGCTCTTCGGACGCCAGATGCGTGACCGCCCTGATTCCCATTCGCCGACTACCTACCTCCGAGAGAGACTCTTCCCGCCTATTCCCTAGCGTAACCTTTCCATGGTTTTCTACTGTAATCAGATCGACTGCCGAAAGCGCAACTCAAAAGAAAAGAAGTGGAACTAGTGAGAGTGCGCCAGACCGCATCATCAGCTTTGTGTCGAATAAAAGCTCACTGCCTCGCTCAAATGCTAGCTCTGTACCTTTCCCTATACCAACTGGTCGATGGATGAGGGTGAGAAGTGTCCGTTCTGAGGCACTGAGAATCATGGGTTAGCAAGTACAACGAGCTGCCTCAAGATGTGGTTGCTTTGATAGACAAGTGAGAATGGCCGCTTCACACAGTGCGAGTTACACCAGAGACATTCTGAAGCCGGAGACATGGAAGATTGCGGTTGAACGCATGAGGCGAGGAAGGTCATTCCTTGGTTCCAATAGCATCCCAGATCATGAAATATACCAGATATTCGCTACACTAACAATCATTTCCGTATCACGATGATATCCAGCTGTCTCATTCTCGCCATTGACGGCTCAGTGACCACGCTACTGTGCCGTACATTATCAGGTAGGCTTCTGTAATTCAAAGAACGCTCCGGAACCCGTGCCACAACGATATACAACGATATATGACCAGTAAACCCTATGGTTGCTTCTGTCATCCTGAGCGTTCGCTAAAATCGACACACTGAAGCGGGGGTGGGCACCGTGCCAACTAACTCGTAAGCTACAAGTATCAAGTTCGAGCATAATTTCCTTTCATATTCGGACATCACAGCTGCGATTCACTCCACCAATGGTCGTGTCTAAACAGCTCAGGTGAAGATCCAATATGAGAGCACAATTTTAGTGTCGAGTGAGGGTGAACATTTGGAATCGTCCCGTGGGCCGCAATTACTAGACAGGGTAGGCTTTGGGAAACCCCTAAGCTTCGTGGTACTTTTCTTCGTATTCACATTCCTTAAGAGGGTCCGGAGGGGAAGCGCTGATTGTGAACGGGGAATGCTGAACATACGGAGGCTAGTTTAGACGTATGGTATTGGTGCATAGGACGGCGGGAGCGGACTGTTTATCATTGAGGAGGCAATCTGGTTTGAATTGGTAGTCAGCAGTGGGCTCTCAAACGACCTTATCTGCACGATGTACTTAAACTTCTATGTGTGAAAGCGAGTGTGGTCATATAAGAACTGTGTGTGCTATGTTCAGTGTACACCAGTGGTACTTAATTCCGCAAACATAGGATGGGGCGCGAACTTGATGCTCATTATCGACACCGTGACACGTATACACCAGCATTCGTTCCGCCCTCCTCAGTAACTTCAAGCAAACCGCGTCTTCTGATCCAACCGCAAATCGCTACCACACGCCGCTTTCCCACTATGCGATCAAAACTTCCGGATTTGGTTCCAAGCTGGGATCGCCAATATAGAAGGTAGCCCAGGAATATACATCCTCATCCCATCCCCCCATCTTCCTCCAATATCCCTCCATCATCAACCACTCCCACTAACTTCCGTCCCACCACCCCACCCCTCCGTACCCACAGCATCATAACTCAACTCCGTTTCCACTCCATCCAACCACTCTTCAATATCCCACGGGTTATTCCCATTGTGTAAATCCCCTCTCCCAAAACACGGCCTCGTTGCCGCATCACTTTGACCCTCCGAGGCAAGGCGAAACCGCATCTGCTCCATGGCCACCTGTTCCCCGAACGCGGGAAACTTCCACTGCTGCGATCGTGCCATTTCCTCTCCGTGGGCGTGAATTCGTGCTTCTGGTATATGTTGTGCTCTTGCATTACGATGCACATCATGTACGACTGATGTTTGTTGAGGGAACCAGTTAAACGGGCGAGGTGAACTGGGTTGTGTGGTTGTGGACGAGGAAGATTGCGGACGGAGAAGGGTCTTACGGCGGACGAGACAGAGTTTACCGCGTGGTGTCCGGGAGACAGATACGTAAGTCATGGTAGTTTGTGTTCGGCTTCTTGGAGTTCAAAAAGGACGGAGAGGACGCGTACGTTCAGGCGGCGCGAGATGCAAGGATGGAGCGGAAATTGAAGGACGAGCGCTGACGCGGTCGCGTGTAGAGGGCAGCGGCAGGTTGCGACATGTCCGTATATATGTTCTCAATTGTTTGTCTGTTTTGCGGTTGTCAGTTTGTGTCGGGTGGATCGTAGGTTTGCGGTGGCCGCGTGCGGTGAGACTGATTCCGGCGGGGAGCTTGTGAAAACTTTTCGCTGCTTTTACTGCTGTCTTGTGAGGAAGTGAAGAGGCAGCAGGCACGGAGAGGCGTTGGTCGCAAGTCATGGAGGCAGGGATGAACAGAATGAGGCAGCGATGAACAGAATGAGGCAGCGATACAAGACGGGCATCAACAACAAACGCAAGCTTGAGTCAACACAAGAGAAAAGTAGAAAAACTTCTTCCTCGAAGGTTCGCATATAGCGAAGCAATCAATGAAAAAGGTCTGCTGTGGGGATACTTGTGCATCAGTGCGCCTCTCAGAGGGCAGTACCTCGAATCCACAGCGCTCAAGCAAGCGAACCCATGTTCCTATCCAGCGCTGACCAGGCACCGGGAGCAATGAATGGCAAGAAGAAAAAGAAAAAAGAAAAAGAAATGTGGACGCACCTTCTACGAGCCCCACACCCGCTCGCAGTGATTGATGGTCTGCACCTTCGAACAATCGATCAAACGGGCAACAATCGATCAGACCTCTCATGAGGACAGAATGAAAGCCGACAAAGTTGAAAAGTCACTCAGCGTGTTCAAACACCGTAGAGGATCATTGAACTGCTGAGGGTTACCCCAGGAATCTGAAAAGCGTTGTCATCATGTTCAGAACCAAAGTAGGAGGAGGATGAACTTACAGAATCATGCCGCCAACTCTGGCGCTGCTGTGAGCCCCGACCTCGCTCACAGCGATGGTCCACAACCTCTTACCTTGGACCTCTCAGAGAAGCTGCGTGTTAGTGCTGCTCGGGTTAGTCTCCCGCCGAGCGGGCCTGCTGGGTTGTCAGCCTCTGATCAAAACAATCAGAACTGAGGAAGGATGTACTGACCTAATCAAAATGAAGCCGCGCTTCCTTAACCAGGGGCCCCACCCGCGCCCAAGGTCATGACTCACGCCCGTGTACAGAGCCTCTGCCCGCGTTCAGCCCCGCGAGTGGGATGGAGAAGAGAAGGAGGGAGGGGGAGGGGAGAGGGTTTATATATGCAGCCTGGGAGGCCCGAGCGAGGGATTAGTCATCTGGAGCGACCGGAGCGAGAGAGATTTTTGGAAAGAGGCTTTTCGAAGGTGCTGGAGGGGTTTGGAGCGCTCTGATTGGGTTGGGGGGCTGGGAGACGGCAGTGAAACACGATTTCTACATGTCTCGACGTCCCGATTGGGTTTAGCGGGGCAGCGGCGGTGACGGCAGGGGTACGCGCCCCTCCGAGCTCGCAGGGCGTGGAGACAGGAAGGAAGGGAATGAGAATGGCTGTGGGTGTGTGTGGTGTGTGTTTTGGGAGGTCGGCGGGCAGTAGGGAGGTATCAAAAACGGGCGATTTCAGTCGGAAAATGATTAGAACAACACGAGCCGGGCACGGGAGGATCAGTGGAACCAACGCTACGGAGAATTTGGCCCACGTAGATGGGTCTGGCGGCTGCGCGGTTGCATGGGTCGATGTGGGTGTGAGCATCCATGCAGGCCCTCGAAGTGGGCACAATGAAAAACGCCTCCAGTCTGCTGGTAATGAGATAGAGAAATGAAAGAAAAGTGCTACAATCAGTTTCATTGTAATTGATGACCCCAATGTGTGCGAAAAGCTGTGCCACTCGTTGCCAGCCCGCCTGGCTGCAGCTGGGAAGCGTTGCTTCAGCAAAGCGAGAATTCAGCTATGAGATCGTTTCTCGAGGGCGGCCATATGGCATAAAGCTATCTAGAGCACCAATAGCAATCTACTATGTGACGATATCTCCGTGAACGCGGTGCGCCTTCTCATGGGCGAGAGACTCAATCGTGTTGAGCGTAGGGGTAACAGCAGCATCAGATTTGACGCACTTAACTCCCAAAGCCGGCGAAAAACAACCGTCAGCAGTGAGATACTAGGATTTTACAAATGAAGATCACCGAGTCCTTCAAATAAAGTTTCTCTCGGCGCCATAAGAACTGCGCGAAAGCGCTGCGCGGCGGCTCCATGGAGCGAGGCCGCGAGGCCGGACGCTTGAACCCCATCACGAAAGCCAGCGCCCGGAAGGCCAGAGCCTCGCAGAGCGCGATACAACCGCAAGAAAGTTCTAGCTCGCTGCAAGCGCTCCGCGCCTGATACGCATCTCGACCGCAGAAGTGGCTTCAGCACACTGTCCCACCAAAATAACCAGGAACGCGTCAGGGTGAGCCATCTTACTTCCAAACCACCCAAAAATGCAGCTAAAGACATTACAAAGAGCTCAGATACGCATCAACGTGACCTGAACCCGCATCGCCTCCAGATACGTCGACGAGATCGCGTAGTCAGCCGCCAATGTGGCGAAGTGACCAAAACGCAGAAACAACACGGCGGAACGTCACCCCATAAGCTTCTGTCTATCAAAAGCACCATTTACTACACTACAATACTCCCAATCATACCAGAGAAACGATCCGCCGCGCCAGCGGAGACGCTATACAGTGTACGCACACGGCGCGACTGGCTAAACACCACGGGTCTTGGAACACCATAAACAGACGAAAGCCGTCATCGGTGAGTCAGACAAAGACTTGCCTCGATACGCCACACTCAGAAGTGAGGATCAAGACAGCGACGGACGGAACGCGCGGCATCTCACCTTCGCGGTCCCGATGCCGGCGCAAACGTACAGCTCTATCCACACCAGCGCGAACGCCTCCAGCAGACTCAAATTTACAACTTACAGACACCGCCGGAAAGAGCTCCCCACATCGTGAGCCAATGTCGGGAGTATTGGAAACCCTCGGAGCCAGTGCGATGGGCGGGAGAGCGAGCGTACCTGGATAACATGGACGTGTCACGGGAAGCCTAATCACATATTCTCTAACGGTTTAATCAACGATACAATTTAGAATCCAAGTCTTCTCAAGCTGCTCGAGCGCCTTGGAAAATACCGTAAGCCACACCCCGGTTCCGTGGAGACGGCGGCATCAGGCACAATCAAGGTGAGCTCACTCATACCCTAGGGTACCGGCACCAAACCCTCGTTAAAACACCAGATACACCAGATTACATATTACTCTAAGCAGTACGAGCGCCGGGGAGGATTCCATGCGCCACTACTTCGCCGAATGTCTCGGACGCCGTCACCGAGGGTAAAACAGCGGGTGCGCGCTTGAGATTCGGAAGGTCAAAACAACATGAGAATACAGGCATCAGACCGCTCGATGGAAACACAGGGGACGATAGCTGAATAAAACATGGAGCAGCCGCGATAGAAGCGCGGGATACAATAAACACGATACTCCGAGGCGAGGAGCGTACTATGGCGTACACGGGACTGACACGAAAGGGCACTACAAACGGGCTTCTCAGAGCGAGATAACCTCTGGCCTCCATATTCTCCCAACCTCACAGACCTCCTAAACCATCACCAGCACCTTTACTCATACAAACACAAGCCCCCATCCACTTCTTCTAACCACGCTCATCCGAAACCCCAGCCGTAGCTCGAGAGCCAGAACCGCGCCACTCCCAACCCAAGAACACCCGCGCCCCATATCACTCCGAACATCCACCCTAGCATCTACAAAGCCCGCCGATGGCAGCCGATACTAGAGTCGGAATAATACCAGCACCCAGAGCGATTCCCCTGGTCACATACGATAGCAGTTCCAAGCCCCACTCCAACGGTGTTCCCTCGTCAGCCTATACTGCCTTCCCTTGAGACAACGTATCCCAGTTTTCCACTACGCCGAATCGCCGAAGCCGAAAGCATGATTACGCAGCAAAGGAGCGGAAGCAAAAGCACAGGGAATATACTGCGGACGGAAGACCAGATGAGATGACAATGCTGTGTATGATTGGGGGGATTGGAGAGGCAGGCGGATGTAGCGGCTGTGGGCGGTTCAGCGCGGAAAGAGGAGGTCTGTTGAGAGACGAAAGCTGGATACTGGTTCAGCTCCTTTGAGAGAGCGTCTTATCAGGTTGAAGAGATTGACTAGTGCGAAGAGTACTTAGCCAGGGAGCGAGGAATTCAACACCGTGGACGAAGCAAGAGGCCGTTTTGAATCAGAACAGTCAATCAAATCCGTTCATTCGTAAGGTCTATTCGTTACCGACTTGACATATCTAACTTTCAATGCCGAACTTCTAAAATCCTACTTCAGTTAGTCAAATCCTCAAGCAAACTCAACGAAACTTACCAGCCTCAGTATTCCCCTCGCCCATACTCTTACTCCCACTACTACCGCTCTGAATGGATCCCAGGATCCCGTCAATGTAACCCGCACCACTCCACTTCTGATGCGTCAAGACATCGCAGCCGAGTTCCTTTTCGCGCGCCTGGACGAGCTTGACATATGCCAGCATTCCCTCGTCCTTGAAGGCGCGGGAGAGCTCGCAGGTGATGGTTGCGGTGCTGTGTAGGCCGGCGAGGGAGATGAGTTGGAGGACGAAGCTGCAGAGACCACAGTCAGCAAACGGAACAGGACCAGCGCCCTTTCTGTAAAACATTGAAAGAAGTGCAGAAAGAAGAAGAATGAACGTACCCATGCTTCGCCAAATCCCAGACGAAATTCTTCAGCGCCTCCTCCGAGAAGCCCTGACCCATCCAATTGAAGCTCGGGCTCAGATTATACACAAACTTCTTTCCCGGGTGCTCTTTTCGAATCTCCGCCGCGAAACCGGCCGCCTTCTCCACGTTCGGATCCGCCGTCTCGACCCACAGCAGATCGGCGTACGGCGCAAACTCCTTTGCGCGCTTCGTCGCCGCCTTCATACCGGCCTTGTAATGGTAGAAGCCTTCGCGGGTGCGCGGGATGTCCCAGTTGAAGTAGACGGGCGTCTTTGTGTATTTCTCCGCAAGCTGGCGACGCTTGAGGAGGGAGAGGTTGGGGTTTGCGGCGGTTTCGGCAAGGTACGCATCGATGGTCGATTGGGAGGCTCCCTCTTTCTTGAGGTGCGCTTCCACGGCTTCATCGAAGGTGGAGAGTTTGTGCTTCTTCACCCACGCGGCTTCAAAGGCATCGATTTCCTTGCCCGGCGCACCCGCGGCCTCCATGCTCTGCAGCGTCTCGGCCAGCGGCTCGGTCTCTTCGGTCACGCCCATGATGAATTCGTGGTCGCGCACGTCGACGGCGCTGCTGATGAGCTTGCCGCTTTCCGAGTCGGTGCGCGCAATGACGAGGTTCTCGCAGCCCATCATGTCCCACTGGAAGCGGGCGGCGACGAGGCGGTTGATGTGGTCGCCGACGGGGACGAGGACCTTGCCGGCGAGGTGGCCGCATTTCTTGCCGCCGTGGAGTTGGTCCTCAAAGTGCACGGCTGCGGCGCCGTTTTCGGCGAAGAGTTTGGCTAGCTTGATGACGGCGGAGAGACCTCCATGGCTGAGGGATTCTGTTAGTACTTTCGTGCCTCCGAGGGTGTCACATGTTGTACGTACCCAGTGTCTCCGTCGGCAATGATGGGCCTCATGTAGTCAATGTAGGGAGTCTTTGCGCGCTCTTCGGCGGTCATCTTCCTCCTGTTATCCCAGTTCTTCCGGTCATGGAGCTGCTGCGCCTTGAACAGACGCTGGACCTGGTTCGGGACGGTGTTGTAGGGGTAATCGCCAAAGTCGGCAGATACTTCATTGGTGGTGGTGAGGACTGACGAGCAGGCCCAGCCGGAGACGTAGAGAACCTCCTGGTTGGGAGCCTGCTGGGTCATTTGCACGGGATCAATGGCACCCACTATGGCAAGGGAAGAGTTGAATCAGCCATTGTATTGCTACTGGGAGATCTGTATGACGCACTTGTGTGGACGGGCTCGCCCTTTGCAGCGCGCTCCTCGAACAGGTTGAAGAGTTTCCTCGCCATCAGTGAGCTCGGATATGTCTGTTGCAGCGCACCCCTCTTGCTCACGACATCCTCTGCCGAGTATGGGCGCTTGATTCCCTTGTATCGTGGTGAGGCCCACCAATCCCTCACCTGCTGCACCTGCTCCTCGAAGAGGGCATCTTCGGCTTGTCCTGCCTTGTCCGCCTCCGGTAGCAGCTGGAACGAGTCTGCAGGGAGCGCAGACGACACGGGAGGTTCTACGGGTTTGAGGGTAGTGCTCGACATGCGGCATACGGTTGTGGATATGGGTCGCAACAGCTGGTGGGCGTGGGAGGGGGTTCGGAGGGTTCGGCTCTGGCGGGCGACGGTTCGTGATACTGTCCGCAACATTGCGACGATGAATATATGTGGGAAATGAGGACTCGAGGTCCTGCTGTTGATGAGTCCTCGAAGATGGGCAGCTAAGGGTGAGATTGGAAGCTCGTGTGAATGAGCAATGTTTTGTGGATTTTGCCACCCGCGGACGAACTCGAAGCTCAACCGGCCGACAGCTGGGAAGACGCGCGAGGGCAGCGTGCACAAAGGTTTTGTTATACGGCGATGACGGCGGGCCGGACGATCTCTCTGATAGAGGATGGGCACGACAAGGCGTGGTTTGTGGTGGAGTCGCTTTGGATCGATGGATGAGGGATAAGTTTCTCCTCCGCACCGAGGCGGGCCGAGGCTAACCTTCTGCCATGGATCCCACTTCCCCATCCGCTGGCCAACAAGGACAAGGACGCATCGCCGGAGGAACGCCTGTCACCTGAACTGTCTTGTCCCGAGAGTTGCCGTTCTCTTTTTTTGCTCTCTTTTCACTTCACGAATAATAAACACTCCCCACGGCGTGTTGTTTGACCGTGTCGTGCGGCCTCTTCCATTCCTCAAGCTACCCCACCACCTACACCACCTACACCACCATCACTACACAGTTACAGCCATGGCTATGAACGCGCGCTCGGCAACCCGCGCCCTCAGGGCTTTCAAGGTAGGCTTCACTTGAGAAGAAAAGACTGTAGAAACTGAGCAGACAGCTAATGGAAGCTTTCACAGGCCTCCGCGGTGCGCCCTGTGTCTTCCGGTAAGCACTTGGGCCAGTCCAAACGTTGCGACGACAATTGAAAACTGACGAACCACCTGCAGTCCAGGCATGCAACTACTCGACATCCGCCGAGCCCGACCTCAAGGCGACCTTCAAGAAAGTCCTGCCCGAGAAGCGCGAGCTCCTCAAGAAGGTCAAGGCCCACGCCGACAAGAAGCTCGGTGATGTCAAGGTGGAGAACACCTTGGGTGGAATGCGGTATGTTGCGACATCCAGAATTACCCCATTGACCCCAAACAATGGTTTCTGACAAGCGCCAGAGGCCTCAAGGCCATGGTCTGGGAGGGCTCCGTCCTTGACGCCAACGAAGGTATCCGCTTCCACGGCAAGACCATCAAGGACTGCCAGAAAGAGCTCCCCAAGGGCGCCTCCGGCACCGAGATGCTTCCCGAGGCCATGTTCTGGCTTCTCCTTACCGGTGAGGTCCCCACCACGGCGCAGACCCGTGCTCTCTCCCGCGAGCTCGCCGAGAAGGCCAGCATCCCCACCTTCGTCGAGAAGATGCTCGACAACTTCCCCAAGGACCTCCACCCCATGACCCAGTTCGCGTGCGCCGTCTCCGCCCTCAACTACGAGTCCAAGTTCGCCAAAATGTACGAGAAGGGCATGAACAAGGCCGACTACTGGGAGCCCACCTTCGACGACTGCATCAGCCTGCTTGCCAAGCTCCCTACCATCGCCGCGAAGATCTACCAGAACGCCTACCGCGGCGGAGGGGCTCTCCCTGCCGAGGTCGACCTCAACCAGGATTGGGCCTACAACTTCGCGGCCATGTTGGGCAAGGGCGGAAAGGAGAACGAGGGCTTCCAGGACCTCCTCCGTCTGTACCTTGCGCTCCACGGTGACCATGAGGGCGGCAACGTCTCGGCTCACACCACCCACCTGGTCGGCAGCGCCCTCTCCGATCCCTTCCTCTCCTACTCGGCCGGTCTCCAGGGCCTCGCTGGTCCTCTCCACGGTCTGGCCGCCCAGGAGGTGCTCCGCTTCATCCTCGACATGCAGAAGGCTATTGGCGGCGATCTGTCCGACAAGAGCGTCAAGGACTACCTCTGGAGCGTCCTCAACTCCGGCCGCGTCATTCCTGGCTACGGCCATGCCGTGCTGAGGAAGCCTGATCCCCGATTCGAGGCGCTCATGGACTTCGCCAACGCGCGCCCTGAGATTGCTCAGAACCCCGTCTACCAGCTCGTCAAGAAGAACTCCGAGGTGGCTCCTGGTGTGCTTACCGAGCACGGCAAGGTACGACAATTTCTTGAGTTTGCTTGAATCGGATAGCTAACAATGCTCCAGACCAAGAACCCCTACCCCAACGTCGACTCGTCCTCTGGCGTCCTCTTCCACCACTATGGCTTCCACGAGACGCTCTACTACACGGCCACCTTCGGCGTCAGCCGCGGTCTTGGTCCTCTGGCACAGCTCATCTGGGACCGCGCACTGGGTCTGCCCATCGAGCGCCCCAAGAGCATCAACCTGGCTGGTATCCTGAAGCAGGTCGAAGGACAGTAGGGAGATGCTGAAGAGTTGATATGATACGGTGGAGAAGGGAAGAGAAGAGGAAGAAAAGCGGAATGATTTACTTGCTTTGTATATCACGTTAAGCGGTTACGCAAGTTACGATAAGGACATTATGTATGATTCAAATGGAATAAGGAGGTTCTTACCTTGTGTCCATCTGAAGCGGGTGATGTCGACTACTGTGTAAACATCTATCTGTCTATGGCAGTCTTTGTGAGCGTTTTCGCCAAGAGCTCAGGCTGGAAGAAGGAAGAAATTGAAGCATGGACGATCATGGGGCTGCGCTGTGGCGGTGCAGTGCCTGGTCACATAACAGGGGTTACAGAAACATCAACCACCCTGCGGCTGCGGCTCCGTGCGACGACAAACATTCCCCGCTCATCCGCATAACCATATGTAGCTGCACTCATTACCAGCTTGGCTGTTGTGCTTTTACGTCCCATGTTCCATTTCACTTCATGAACCGGGCATTGCGCTCGTTTCCCTCCGCATCCGCTCCAGATAATTGCGGCTTTCTGATACTCCTTTTTACCTTCTCCTAATCCTTACGCTCATTCCCATTTTCCTATCTTGGAATCCACTAGACTGTACCTGATCCAATCATGGCCCCAATTCCAGAATCCTACGAACTGCGCCGCGGAAAGTACGCACGCATTGACGACCCGGCCGACGACGAAACACCCACACGAGCATCCTTCTCCTCCGACACGTCCTCGTACGAAGACCTCGAAGAATTCGATCCCCTGAATTACGATGCCGGGACTTTGAAAGTCAAGAGGAGTGCTACAGATCTTAGGGCAAAAAGGCGGAAAGCCTCGCTACGGAAAGATGTCGAGTTCGGGGAGAAGCTGAAAGAGACCGGAGGAAGGAGGAGGAGATGTGTACCAAGTAAACTGTGCTGCGGCTTAGTCTTGCTCTTTGTAGCAAGCGTAGTCCTCCTCCTCTCTGCAGGCGGAATCTGGGCCTGGCGCTCCGCTCCCCTAGACGGCCAGTCTCCGCCTTGGTATCCGACACCCAAGGGCGGTACAGACCCATCCTGGAAAGACAGCTACGCCAAAGCCGCCGCTCTGGTGCGACAAATGACGCTCGTGGAGAAGGTGAATATAACGACGGGTACGGGGTGGAGTATGCAGATGTGTGTGGGAAACACTGGACCAGTGCCCCGGTTGAAGTTCCCGAGTCTGTGTCTGCAGGACGGACCGCTCGGGATTCGGTTTACGGATCATAGTACTGCGTTTCCTGCGGGGATCACGGTTGGCGCGACGTGGAATAAGGAGTTGATGTATTTGAGGGGGAAGGCGCATGGGGAGGAAGCACGATTGAAAGGCGTGAATGTTCTTCTCGGTCCTGCCATGGGTCCGCTAGGCCGCATGCCAGCTGGAGGTCGCAACTGGGAAGGGTTTGGGTCCGATCCCGTCTTGCAGGGCATCGCGGCCGCGGCGACGATTCGCGGCATTCAATCCGAGGGGGTCATGGCGACGGCAAAGCATTATGTGGGGAATGAGCAGGAGCATTTCCGGCAGGCGTGGGAGTGGGGAACGCCGAATGCCATTTCGAGTAATATCGACGATAGGACGTTGCATGAGGTTTATGCCTGGCCGTTTGCGGAGAGTGTGAGGGCCGGCGTGGCAAGTGTGATGTGTTCCTATAATCAGGTGGGTTGTGGAAGAGCATCTGTGAGATGATCGGATGGCTGACGGTCACAGGTGAATAATAGCTATGCCTGTCAGAACAGTAAGCTCATGAACGGCATACTGAAAGACGAGCTGGGCTTCCAGGGCTGGGTCCAAAGCGACTGGCTCGCGCAGCGCAGCGGCGTTGCGAGCGCTCTCGCTGGTTTGGATGTCACCATGCCGGGGGACGGGCTGAAGTGGGCAGACGGCAAGAGTCTATGGGGTCCCCAGCTCACCAGGGCTGTTTTGAATGGCAGCGTTCCCATGGAGCGTTTAAATGACATGGCCACACGCGTGGTTGCGGCATGGTACCAGCTGGGTCAGGATGACACCAGCAAATGGCCTCTTCAACCTCCTGACGGTGACGGCGGGCCCAACTTCTCCTCGTGGACCGACGAGGAGATCGGCCTGCTTCATCCTGGGAGCACGGATAAGACTACTGGCGTGGTCAACAAATTCGTCGACGTGCAAGGCGAAGGCGAAGACTTCCACGGCAACCTTGTGCGTCGCATTGCAGCAGAAGGCACTGTTCTTGTCAAGAACGAGGGTAATCTTCTCCCCCTCAGCCGCAACGGCCGGAAAGAAGGCACGAAGCGAGCGAAAGGCACAGTATTCCGCGTCGGTATATTCGGCGAGGACGCACGCTTGAACAGGAACGGCATCAACGCTTGCAAGGATCGTGGATGCAATGACGGTACTCTTGCTTCCGGCTGGGGCTCTGGAGCGGTTGAATTCCCGTATCTGGTTGAGCCGTTTGCGGTGCTAAGAGAGGCATTTGATAACGAGACAGTCACTGTGACCGACTGGCTCGAGAACACCATCCCTGAGGACAAGAGCATCATGGAAAATCAGGACCTCTGCATCGTCTTTGCGAACGCGGACGCCGGAGAAGGCTACATTGCATGGAAAGGTAGTCCCCCTCACTCTTTTTTCTCTCTACCCCTTATCTGCTTACTAATCAATAAACACCAACCCGCTGACATCCCCCAGACATCCGCGGCGACCGCAACGACCTGCACCTACAAAAGAACACCGAAGCTCTGATTAGCCACGTCGCATCATTTTGCGGTCGCGGTCAATCCCCCGTCCTCGTCGTCATCCACACTGTCGGCCCTGTCCTGCTAGACCCATGGATCTCCCATTCCAATATCCACGGCATCCTCATCGCGCATCTGCCCGGCCAGGAATCGGGAAATGCTCTCGTGGACGTGGTGTTCGGGGATGTGAATCCCAGTGGGAAATTACCATATACGATTGCGAAGAAGGAAGAGGACTATGGACAGGGTAGTAAGGTTATTTACTTGCCTGACTTGAGAGAGGGGTTGGTTGTGCAGCAGAACTTCTCGGAGCCGGGGATCTTTGTGGATTATCGATGGTTCGATAAGGAGGGGGTTGAGCCGAGATGCGAGTTTGGGTACGGGCTGAGTTACACGACGTTTGCGCTTGAAGGGCTGAAGCTGGACACGTTGGGCGAGAGGACGATGTTGCCGAAACCGAGACCGCATGGTGTGGAGCCGCCAAAGTTTGACAACAACATGCCGGATAAGAAGAGTGCGCTGTTCCCCGGGGGCTGGAAGAGGATCGAGAAGTACATCTACCCCTGGCTCGACTCGGTGGATGACATTGAGCCTACCGTGGCGACAACAGCATCCGCTTCGGCAATTCCCCAGAGCCCACTTAGCCCCGCGGGTGGCGCGCAAGGCGGAAACCCTGATTTATATACTCCGCTCCTAGCCGTGGAAGCGACGGTACGGAATATGGGTGCGAGGGACGGAGCCGCGGTCGTCCAGCTGTATATCGAGTTCCCTGCCGATTATCGTGATCCGGAGACGGGGGAGAAGGTGGAGTTTCCCGTTAGGGTGTTGAGGGGGTTTGACAAGGTGCAGTTGAAGAAGAAGGGGGAGGATGGGGATAGGGAGAGAGTGAGGTTCGAGGTTAGCAGGAAGGACTTGAGTTATTGGGATGTTAGGAGGCAGAATTGGGTCTTGCCGGTGAGTGGCAAGTTTGGGGTTATGGTGGGGTTTTCGAGTAGGGATTTGCCGCTTAACGGGGAGTGGTAGGTGGTGAGTGGGTGGATGGGAGGAAGTGGATGGTTGGACGCGTGGTGGAAGGAAGCAGGGCGTTATATACCTATCCATATTTCCGTGTGTGTTGAATTTGATATCCAGTTCACTTTCATATTTTTTTCCCTTCGTCGGGTGGAGAATGGCTTTGCAATTCTCTCGAGGCAATGAGGCCGGGACACTTTTACAACGACACGCGTACTAGAAGAGTCCTAGGCCATGCTGAAGATCAGAAATGCCAGGATGGGTCCAAGATTGGAGCAAGGTAGCTCTTCCTTTATTTAGTATATACCAGATGACTCCATATCTGCTCGCTTCTCCCTCTCCAATCCCCGCCAAGTCCATCTGTCACATTCTCTATCTCCGATCCATAGGCCTATTTCCATCACACTGTTACTCACTGCTCGTTACTCACTGCTCTAACTACCCACCGTGGTAACCGGAAAAGCCTCACACGCTCCTCCCAACTTGGTTCTTAACCCTCGATCCCATCCTCACTTGCCTTGCCATCGATCCCATTCCCACCGGCCCTCGCAGGCCCACAGACGCAAAACGCAGTCCCCTTCACTGGGCCCTCACGGCAGCAGCCCGGGTCACCGCACGACGCCGTCCACACGGGCTTTCCGTCGGGTCCGCACGTGAAGATGACCATGAAGTACACACCGCAGAAGAAGGTGCCTGGCTTGCAAGGCTGGAAGGGCGGCACGCTTTGCCGTGCGAGCATGAGACCGGTCGTCGGTTGGGAAGCTGAGAAGTTGGATGGCGCTGTGAGGGAGTGAGGTTGATGAGCCGCATATTGATGGTCTTCATGCTCATCGTCCTCCGGAGAAGAAACAAGACGTCCGCCTGAATGCTCAGCGGGATCGACATCGATTTCCCACCCGTCCTCCAGGTTCAACGTCGCATCCGCCTTCTCACGCACGTCCCCCTCCACTGCCGCGAACCTAGGGCTAGGGCAGATACACCACGCCATGTCCCTCCAGCGATTATAATAGCAGCAATCCAGTCCGCCGCAATACGCCGTGACGCGCCAGGTGAGATCCTTAGCGCACCAGACGGCGGCGGAATTTTTCTGTTCGAAGTTTTTGGCGCAGCCCATGGCGGTATGTTTGTGGCAGGGTACGCCCTGGCCATGGAGGAGAACGTGTGATGAGGAGGCTGAGTCGAGGTCCGGCGAGCGGGAGACGAGATTTGGGGTCGTGGGGGAGGTGGAGGTGGACGGGGTTTTGGGTTCTCCAAATACGGTCTTGGGAATATCTCGGCGGGATGGGGGAGGACGTCTGCCCAAATGTTCTTCTGTAGGCTGGACATCGATCTCCCACCCGTCGGACAGGTTCAACGTCGCATCCGAATTCTCACGCGCATCCTCCTCTTCTACTGCCCCGTCCGCAAGGCGACGGCAGGCACACCACGCAAAGTCGCGGCTGCGGTTATACTTGCAGCAATTCACTCCGCCGGCGCACCATTGCTCGATGCGCCAGACGTGATCTCTACTGCACCAGATGACGGCCGACTTCTTGAGTTCGTAGTTTCTGGCGCAGCCCATGGCGGCCCATTGGTGGCAGGGTTCCGCCCGAGGGGAAAGGTGGGCGAGTGAGTCGCGGACGACGCGCGAGCGGGAGACGAGGTTGGGGGTTTCGGACGACGTGGACGTCGTTTGGGGTCCTTCTATCGCCTTGGGAATATCTTCTGCGGCCGGCGATTCGATTTCCGCGGCAGCTCCGCACGTAGTACACCAACTATGCCAATCTGTCAGCTTTGTTCAACTCGCAAACAGGTCATCCATTTCATTCGTTCACTTACGCCTTGCCATCCGATTCCCGACAGCAGAACCCTCCGCAAAGCGCAGACAGCTTCCAGAAGCCACGGCCATCGCAGACAAAGATGGCGTCTTTCTCGTGCACAAGGGCGCACATGTAGGATCCTGGGCGGCAGCGAGGAGGTAGCGCGGCGCCCGTGACTACCATATTTTTGGCTTTATCTGAGCCGAGGGTACCGTGGGCGGCATCGATGGAGTGTGAGGTTTCGAGGTTGTTGCCGACGCTGTTGATGATGGTTAGTGAATTGGAATCATGGAAAGTAAACAGAGTGAGCGGAAGAAACAGCAGACTAAGATTAGGAAGGGAGTATCCATTCCCTATCCAAAGCTGAGTACATTTGGACTATCCACAAAGTCCTTCCAATGTCACCTTGTCGCCACCATGCGTTCCCGTTCTCAACCCGAAAGATATACACTCAAGGGAATGAAAGGAAAGACAAGACCTACATTACCAATCCGTTGTCATCGCCCTCGACAGGTGTAGTCAGAGCGGGAAGGCAGTCAATCTCGTTGGTGTCCAAATCATGGCATTTCCAACCCTCGGGACACATCCCATCCGGGTAGAAGTCTGTGCCGTTACACTTCAACCATGCCCGGGGATCCGCATCACAGCATTTCGCTTCGCCTTTCTTGCAGTTCAGCGCATCGTGCTTGTCGGTATCGATGGCACGGGGATACGGAGTCGGGATAGGAGTGGGCTCCGCGATGGCCCGGGTGAAGATGTTGTCGGGACACTTGCAGTACTCGCGCGGCGTGCCCTTGTTCTTGCAGCAGCCCCGTTGGATGCAGCCCTTTGAGCAAGGAGAAAGGATCTCGGGGTGAACCGACTCGATGGCCTGTGGATACCCGGTTGGGGCTGCAGTAGCCTCGGTGATCGCGCGCGTGAAGATGTTGTCTGTATAGTAGTAGGATGATTAGAAACTTTTCTTAGATTCGGGGGAATTGAAAAGTAGTAGCTTACCAGGACACTTGCAGTACTCGCGCGGCGTGCCCTTGTTCTTGCAGCAGCCCCGTTGGATGCAGCCCTTTGAGCAAGGAGAAGCAAGCTCCAGGATTTCAGGATGAGGATGAACAGACTCGATGGCCTGCGGATACTCGCTCGGGACTGCAGTAGGCTCGGTAGGCTCGGTGACCGCACGCGTGAAGATGTTGTCTGTATGGTAGGATGATTAGCGACGTTTCTTGGATTCGGGGAAATGGGAAAGGTAATAGCTTACCAGGACACTTGCAGAACTCGCGCGGCGTGCCCTTGTTCTTGCAGCAACCCCTCTTGATACAGCCCTTTGAGCAGGGAGTTGCACCCTCCACAACTGTAGGATCACCCGACTCGGTGCCGGGAAGCTCCTTGGAGAGAAGATCGGTGAAGGAGGTGTCGCCGTCAGCGGCGTTGCAGAAGTCGCGGTCAGTCACTCTAACGCGCCAGACGCCAGACTCGCAGACGAAGGGATAACGAGAGCCCTGGACGCATATGCACTGGCCGTCGGTGCATGGCTTGGAGAGACCCTGTTGGGACATGTTAGCACAGTTCGAGGACGGAAAGTGTAGGAGGGACTTACTGAGACTTCAGCCTTGAAGATGGCGTCTGAACCTGGAGGAGAAGTGCCGGTGTCGTCTACAGTAATGCTGGTGACGACGCTGGCGAGGCCTGCAACGAGGATGCCCGCAACGAGCTTCATGATGACGAGCTTGAGGAGCTGTGCAAAGGATCGCGTTAGACTCGAACGTCGAGATACCCGAGACAAAGTAGCTCGAGGATCGAAGCCGGAATCAGGTGAGAGAGGATCAAGGTGAGATTGCTTACCAGAAGTTGAGTATTTGAGAAGTCGAGAAGTCGAAAGGTTGAGAGGTTGAGAGGTGAATTGGGACCTTGATCAGGTGAGAAGTTGGAGTTGTGGAGGAAGTGGTGGAGGAATAGAAAGTCAAGTTGAGGAGAAGGAAGTAGGGTTGATATAGCCCACTGAGGAGCAGCATGGGCCTCTCAGGCGGAGCGCTCTCGTGAACATGAGACAGGCGGTCTGCATCCTCGAACAGCTTAAAAGAGATTAGTGTGCTCATCACATTCACTCTCACTTGGAGGCACGGCACAAGGGCGCGGGAGTGGCAAATTGCGGAGCCCACAACCATTGAGCGGTCTGAGTGCAGGGACGCCAGCGGAAGACGGTGAATGGAAAGCTCGAAATAACGACTTATCATCATCATACTGAAAGAGCATCATGACGCTCAGGGGGCCATAGTTGGCTTCCGGCTCTACGACAGAATCCAATGAGCAAAACACATGCACAGAAGAGCTGAGTAATGGGACGCGTAACATAAACGTGCTTCATCTAGATAACCAACATCGTCTGCGTGCCTATCGTGATCGCGACAAAAGTCACATCCCTCAATCCTACTCTATGTATTCAAACGCAATCCCACCCGACCCGGTCTATAATCAAACGCCATTGAATGCCGGGAAGTCTATAATCTCATTTCGCGAAAGGATGCAAACTTTTATGGGGTATCTCTCTATTCCTCGTCATCCGTATCCGGTGGGTGGGGTGTGCCCTGAGTAGAAGTTAGCATGCATTGCTCATACGATGGTGAAGTGCCAAACATACTTTCGGACTGTTCAACCATTCAATATGCCTCAATCTCCTCCTCACTTCCCGTTCCTTCAGCTGTGCCCTGGTCATCTTCTTCTTTTTCTTCGCCTTGAACTTCATATCGTCAGGCTTGCCCTCGGCCTCGGACATGACAGGGGTGCCGTTTGTGCTTGGGTTAGTGGAAGGAACCGCGGAGCTAACGGCGCTGGAGCCCGGTCGCGAATCTTCGAAGCGACTCATATCCACCGCAGAACGGCCCTTATGGGTTACACGACCGTCAACTACATGCCACTGCTCGGGGCATAGAGCTCCGACGAACTCTTCGTTGTGGGAAATCATGATGACACCGCCCTTATAGTCGCGAATGGCGACAGCCAGACCTCCAAGCGAATCACGATCCAAGAAATTGGTAGGTTCGTCGAGCACAAGCAAATGGGGGTTGTTCCACAGTGCGCCGGCTGGGTGGAGTTAGTCTACAAACGCTCTGAATCGGGAGATTGGGAGTGCTTACCAAGTACAACCTTGACTTTTTGGCCACCGGAAAGACCAGAGATCTCATTATGGTTGGCGATTTCAGGATCCATGCCTAGATCTTCGAAGTGCTTCGAGATGACCTTGGGCTCCAGGACACGGAAACCCAAACCTTCCCGTGAAGCTTCATGATCATCAAACTCCTGCACCAACTTCTGAAAACCCTTCTCGAGCAGAGTCTCACGAGAAATCATAGTGTTGAACTTCGGCAGCATATGCTGCCACTTGACTTCATACTGGAAACTCTTCTTGTACTTCTGGCGACCGATAAGAGCCTCAATCTTGCGAGGCCCCTTTCCATCGCCAAGGTCGATGGGAGTCTCCAGCTGAGCCCTATCCTCCTCGGTCAGAACACGGGTCTGCTTCATCAGCACCTCACGATCATCACCATTGGCATAACGCCACTGGAGATACTGGTTGGGGGTCTTTTCCAGGTGCATCTCGACGTGTTCCAGGGCATGCTGCTTAATATACCCAATACGCAAGTTGGGATGCTTCTCGACCTTGCCTTGTTGGGGAATAAGCTCACCAGTGAGGATCTTGATGAGCGTAGATTTACCAGCACCGTTTGCGCCGATGATGGCAACCCGCGAGGAAAGAGAGAGGCTGCAGGAAGCGTCGTAGAGTGATGGCTTAGAAGCACCAGGGTACGTGTAAGTACAGTTGGTCATGCGGAGAATGGAGCGAGTGTTAGATTTGACTCCAGAAAGGATACCAGGCGGGGGAAACTTGAATTGGACTTGAGAGGACGACAAGGTGTAGTAGCTCTGGGCCTCCGGCTTGACCTTGACGAAATCGGCCAAGTTACCCTTGTAGCACACAAGCTTCTTCTGCTCGTAATGGTAGATGTCCGTGCAGACTGCATCCAAGAAACCGGAGTCGTGGGAGACGATCAAGCTGGTGATTTCCGTGTGCTTCTTCAGGTAATCCTGTAGCCATTTGACGTTGGCAACGTCCAGGTGATTGGTCGGTTCGTCGAGCAGGAGCACATCAGCGCGCATAAGCATAGCGCGGGCCAAGGCCAGCTTCATCTTCCACCCTCCAGAGAGAGACCCAACTTTGTGCGATTGTCTGCCTTCCGGGCCGGCCGTGAAACCAACCTCTTCCAAGACCTGGGAAATGCGTTCCTGGCTCTCATCTTTAAAGCGAGGATCGCGCGAGATGTACTCGAGTATAGTAAGATCAGCGTCCTCCCCCTGATTATGCTCGACGAAGCAAGTCTTGACTTGGTCCTGGGGCGGGAAACCCTCAAGCTTGCCATCCGCAATACTTCTCATCAGAGTGGACTTGCCCGCGCCATTACGACCACAGAGACCATAACGGTGGCCCTTGAGAAGGCGAAGATTAGTGTGCGAAAGCAGCAGCATGCCGCCATAACCCAAGGAGAAATTCGCGTTCACGATTTCAACCTCGCCATCGTCTTCTTTCACCGGTGCCCCGAACTTCCTGTGATCTTCTTCGACATAAAACCGATGGATGGCCTCCGAAACCTTCGCAGCCGCTCCAGGATGAAGGAGCGGTTCCAGGTAAGGGGTAATCAATTGCGGGATGCGCTCGTGCGCCCTCAGATTCACGACCTCGGCGACCATCTCCGAAATATAATCTCTCGCGTGAGCCCAAACCTCCGCATCACCAGGGAAATTTAGTAGACCCCCAGCAGCGCTGATCTGTTTATCCAGAGCCTCCTGGACCTCAGCAGGCGAGGTGCGTGAAAGAGCCCCTTTCTCCGCAAGACCATCCTTGTCAGCCATAGCCTTCTCGATGACGTCCAGAGCCCTGGCGCCAATCTCTCTGACTTCAGGTAGTGAGGCACGATCCTTGACGGCCTGTACACCGGGTTTCAACTTGGGAAGGAAAGCACGCGCTTCGATGGGGTCGTGGACGAGTTTGGTAAGATTCTCCACGACCACAACCGTCTGACGGAGCACTTCTTGCGAAGTACTGGGTGTGTTCAAGGAGCGCTCTAGAAGAGGGGTGACCATGGCGAGAACGGGAGAGGTGACGACGGCAACGAAGGTGGTCTGCGACAAGGCATGGATCGCCTTCTGCTGGCTCTGCGTGGACGGGTCTTCGATCGCCTTCACGAGCAATGGTATACGAGGAGCGATATCGTCGTTTTGGAGGAGTGTAGTTAAGCTGTTCATAGTCTTGACTGCCTGTTTTGCAACCTTGAAACAGGTCAGCAGCGTGAAGACAGAAACCGTAGATTGTACTCACCTCGTTCTTAAGGTCGTGCATTCCAGCTTCCACGATGGGAATCAGTCCTTCCAGCTTCTTGCCCATAGCCTCCCGGAGGACATCTTTCTCCTTTTCAACTTCCAAAGACTCCATTCCCATCTTCGCCTTATCCGCCATGCGGCCCAGCAGCTCATAGCCACCAACAGCACCCTGCCACTTGCCGGACTTCTTACTCAGATATTTCGAAAGCGCAGGAAGGAGACCAACAACCTTGGCCTCCGCATTCAAGTTGTCGAACAACGCATCCAGTGCGTATTTCGCAGATTCCCGGACCGGGGCCGTCTTATCAGACAAAGCATCCAGCGCCAAAGCAACCAGTCCCTCTTCTTGAACCATGAAAACGACCTCCGCGAGTTTCTGCGCTCGTGGAAACCGTTCGAATAGCGCGCCGAGCGCGTTCATGGCGCCTTCTCTGCGAATCGGGTTCTTCTTGTCCCCTGCCGCCTTCTTGATCTCTTCTAATACACCATAACCCCTAAGTCCGCGAAAGCCGACCGAGTTCTGGAGGAGTGTGGAAAGCGCATAAGCTGCCTCCACCGAAGCGTGCGACGTTTTCGCCGTGAAGATTTGGCTCATTAGCGAGGAGATATCGTCGTAGGAGGGAGGCGGGGCGGAGCCCGCCTGGTCGACCATTATTGCTGGGGCCATGGGCGGCGACTCAGAATGCGGCATCCCCTTCTGGAGAAGGGAAACCTAGAGATATTCCCAAGTGGCGCTCGAGGGAGAGTGAATGGAAATTTAGGGACGGAGGCGTTATCGATACGCGCGGTGCAATATTTCGTTTATTTAGGCGTTCGCCTGCTGCGGGATTAGTGTTGCGGCCTGAACACTGTACAAGAAGTGTATCGGGGTGCCGAATGCCGCAAACGCTCGCACCTGAGAAGAGTGGAGAGTGTAGTAATTGTACAAGAGGAAAGCGAAGGGTGCCAAAAGGCGAAGTGTTGGGGCGGGGAGGATTTGCGTTGGGCCTCAAATTATTTCTGGTCTCCCTTGGCTGACCGAGATGGACCGAGCGAGCCACTGGCGTGCCCGAGCGCCACCCACGTTCCAGCAATCCCCGCGCTAAACCACTTTGGTTTGAGCGATGGAAATCGATGCGGCTGATGAGTAATAAGACTAGGGGGTGAATTTCGCTGCATAGAGTGCGTCCCATTTATAAATGTGACTTTTCTCGCGAAAACAGGCATCTTGGAGTGACAGTTTGAACAAAGGGGCTAGTAGGGTTGTGATGTCACTGTTATTGCTCCCTCTTCACAGAACGTGTACAAGGGAACTGCAATAGGGAACGCTCGTGTGTCAATGATAAATGCTGAACTATGAATACTGCTAAAGGAAATCTATACTACGCGCGCAAACGCAAAGAATACTTATCGTCGAAGTCGTTGGAAGGGCATATATGGAAAAAAGGGAGTTCAATACCGGATCGCTCTCCCAAACTGAGCATTGCTGACTGCACCCAAGCCGAATAAGAAGGAGATCTCAGTCAATCACGACTGAGCGTCTGCTAGGATCGTTTGGAAATCCCTTCTGCCGTTGCACCGCCTGCTGTTGAGGCTGACGAGTACGAACTTGCGTGGTTGCACGCTCGTTGGTCGCACGAGATCGAAATGACGACAGCAGGTCCTGACGTTCCAGCTCCGTGTCGCTTGTAAGATCAACGGTGCCATCATCCTGTGGAACGGTTACCGAGCTCTGCCGACGTGGAAACTCGGCTACTGGGGGTTGGAATTCAGGCTGCTTGTGCTTGTCCTGCTTACGGTGTTGGAGGGCTGGGCGGAACGAGTGCTGTGGTGCCGTTGAACTATGATAGGGAAGCATCATGGGTGCCGGTGGCGGTTGCGTAACTAAACTCAGAAGTCTGGCCGAGGGTGACGTTGGCAGACCAGCTGTAAGCGCGGCGGTATGCATCGCATGGTTTTGGAGCTGTGTGGCGACATCCTGAGATGGGTAAAAACGAGTAGTGGGCCACCTATCCCTCGTCGAAGTACCACCATTGCCCGATGGAACCGAGGGTGGTTGGCCCAATTGCCGGCGACTGGCTCCATATCCTCCATGGTTGCCATTGTGCACTAGGCTCTCTGGTGATTCGGTGTCTTGCGCAGCAGTTGTATCTGCAAATGGAAACGGAGGCAGGACTGGAATTATCGCACTGTCTTCCGGCTCGGATTTCACCACTACGCTCTTCGGACCTGCGGCGTTACGTACTTTTTTGCGTTGCTCAGAAAGCAGAGCCCCGTCCGATGGTCTTTTTGAGGTGCTAGTTTGAGGACCGATTTGTGTGGATTGTGCAGTTGACGGGGTTGATTTCGCCGGTTTTGATGCCTTTGGCGCTGCTCTGGACTCTTTCAACGCTGCTCTGGACTCCTTTGGAGCTGACCTTGACTCCCTTGGAGCGACGGTGGTGCCATCCACTGCGCCTCTGTGTAGTTCCAGGTCGTCTATGTAATCCCATATGAACCTCCATATGGAATCATTCATGCGCAAATCAGTGAAATTCTCGCGGAGCAGGTTCCGGAGATATTTGATGTCCCCAATAAGCAGCCTGTCATTGCGCTCATCAGAATACATTGAGATCAAGACAGCGATGGCCACCATCTCTATTGGTGCAAAGGTCTGTACCCCTTTGAGCTTCCTTTCGACGTTTCGGAAAACTTCAGGATCCAGATTGATGAGCTCGTTGAACTTCCTGAACACAGCGGCAAGGTGCGATCTCGTTCCGTCATCCAAGGCATTTTTGTTCTCAACGAGTTTCTGGATATTGTTGATCTTGGACTTGAGGGAGGGAACTCCGCTGGCAGCCGCAGGGTGTTCCACCTCAAGAATCTGACTGAAACAACTTAACGCCATCTGGAAGTCTTTCGCGCGTGAGCAATCTTTCAACAGGGAGAAGATGTCAGGGAAATCTTCCACGAAAGTTTTGGCCAGCTCCTGCCAGGGACCAGATGCTGCTCGTATCTTCTCGGCTGCGCTGAGCTGCAGCCCCATCTGTACTCGCGCAAAGAGGTCTTCTTCCTGGCCTCGTGACAGGTCCTTAAACTCGAAAGACACAAACTCTTTGCTAAGAAACTGTCTCTGGGCTGTTTCTGAAAGCACCTTCCTAGGACGGTTGGATGTATTACAGAACCACCTGACTATGTGAGACACGCGATCTCGCAAATTCCTCATGTATCACTTACCATTTCTCCCCGCGGTAATCGTGGCAGGGAATCATCCCTTTGATGAAGGCGCGCACAGAGGAGAGTCTCTGCTTGCCGTCCACGCATACCATTGAGTGGCTAGTTTTGCCATCTCGGCTCGTAAGGGTTTTCTTGTTGAGGATGATAGGCGGGATATAGTAATTCTCTGGAACGTACGTTTCAGTCGGGAAGCAGTCGACAGGTGAGGGTGCTTCTTACCCATTAAAGAGTTGACAAGGCCAGTCATCCGATCAGCTTGTACATAGTGAGCCAAGATAGGTTCCACGCTTCGACTAACCCAGGAACTTACCTGTCCATACCACTTCTCTTTGATAGTCGGGATCGACGTCAATGATGCCATCTTCAAGTCCCTCTATGATCAAGATTAAACAACGTCTTTGGCTAACATAACACAGGGCCGGGTGCACACACTGACAAGGTAGGCCAGCGACCTCATCAGCACCGCAGGCTGGCTCAATTGCGGTCGTGGCTTGTACGAATCCGCGACATCGTCATCGCTGGACACTTCATCAAGTTCATCAAGTTCATCTTTGACGATCGGCTAAAGAGAGATGAGTATCCAGAGCAGACGACGTGTTGAAAAGCATTCAGTTAAGGAATCAATGTGCTTACAGTTTGTGGTGTTAGTGTTGGCTCCATAGGCACCCCTGGCATGGCAGACTGTGAGATTCCCAGGGCAGAACAGGAGCGCAAAGTGGCAAAGCCTCTAGAAGAAGGAACCTATTAGTAATAAATTATTAATAGCTAACGTATACCTTTTAGAGAGTGGAACTAATTTAGCCTGTTTGATGACTCACCTATTACCTTGACATCTGCTAGATCTAGACTCTGCAAGCGTATATACACGTTGTCCTATTGGATGTTACGTTGTGCTAAAATTGCTTTCATGCACCCTTGACGTGTCTGGTCTGCGTTCCACACGTCTTTCCCTTTGCTATTGACGCAGTTGATTTTGAGTTGATAGTCTCTCGCATGTGAAACAAACCAGGGCTACAAACTGCTTGTGCCCACTAATAAGCCCCGATATCTCCATTATAATCCGCCATGCCTTCTCTAATAACCCGGCGTAACTGCGCAGCAGCGCGTCCAAGTTCACCTCCAGCTTTTGTCGCTTGCTCAAGGCCCACTACGACCGCCGCCTCGGCTCTCTCGTGGAAGACGCGCTGTCGATCCTCCCTATCCTCATACATCTCCGCCTCCTCGTCTCGAGCCGCACCAAAGAGGTTGAGGTGGGCATACGCATTCGATCGCTCGGATAGCATGTGGTGCTGAGTCTGCCATAGTGGGAACATGCTGCCCTCGCCAGCAAGAGCTGCCTCCTTCTGCGATGGAACCAAACCGCACCTCAGGAAGGATGCGAGCGCATTGATCTGCTTCACTTGGACTTTCGCATCCCCTCCTGCCTTGCCAAAAGACTGCGTGACAGACCATTTCCCTGAGGAATTGTTCTGCCAGCCAAGAAGGCCGAGGAAGCACTTCAGCATCTTCACCCAGCCGCCCGCACAGCTAACGACTTCATCCCCGGCAACGCGGAGCAACCATTCCAGAACATCCAGGGAGGATATGCGAATATCAGCTGCAAGGTGCGTCATGCCTGCTCGTGTGTGAAGCAGGAGTTGGTCGCTATGGCTCGCAATGTCACCTTCAGGTAAGCTCTGAAGAAGCTTGAGAAGCTGCTGACGGACCGCATTCGAACCATCCAAAACAAGTCGCTGCACGGCAGGCAGAATGACCGATGCTGGCTGCGGTAGAGGAGCGCCCGGAGGAAGGCTGGATATGGCTGTGGTCAAGTACGCCAGGGACTCGCGCCTCTGCGAGTCAGACTTGTGATTCAGCAACGACAAATGGTGCGCGCATTGAGCTGCCAAACTCGGTGCAGTGGACGACAGCGACTGCTGTGTCAATACAATAGCTGCCGTAAGTCAGCTTAGGCTATCTATAGTGATGAAGGGTGATTCCATACATTTGGCTTTGAAACTGGTGTCCGTGAAGTTGGCTGCTTTCGCCTGCGGTTTCCCAACTTTCAACTTTGGTTTCTATGCGCATATTAGACACGACTATGTTACAAATGGGTGCTATCGGACTCACCTGGAAATCCTTTTTCTTTTCCTTCCTTTTTCTGGCACTGGATCCCATGTTGCCGCCTCACCCGAAATCAAGGTACTGTCTCCAAGGAACGTCGGCAGGGGTTGAGCTCGTCAACAGCATGAATATCTATGCAAGATGGAGGACGCAGTTTGTAGCCGCAGAGACGCGCATAGCGGTGGACCTGATATATCGTCAGGACAGGAAAATTCCGAGCTCGAGATCTTCTTTTCGGCAAGAAGCGCTAATCTGATTTCGGAGAGTCGCGGCTTGTCTTGGCAATCCACTTCACCTCGTAAACACCAGACGCGTTCAACTCCCCGGACCTCACGTCAAGGAAATTGCTGCCATGGCGCAAAACACAGTGAGTGTTTTTTGTCTCTAGCGAGCAGAGACAGCGCTGACGCCGCCAATCAGTTTGAAGAGACTCTGTCGCATCTTACCCGGCTGAGCCAGAAGCCAGGCGTACAAAGCACTCTCATACTCTCCCGCGATACCGGTGCCATTCTGCGGACGACCGGCTTGATCTCCAAAAGCTCATCCGCGAACCCAAACAGCACCTTGCCGGCCTCTGCCGAAACCTCGTCAGACTCGTACACTAATGGCCGCAAGGAAGGCGGCTTGCAGAGCGCCGAAGACGTTGCAAGCATGGTCTGGGCATTCTTAGGCGCAGCGGGAAACCTAGTGGAGAATCTGGACAGGGAGGACGAGGTGAAACTACTCACATTGCGTATGAGGAAAAACGAACTGGTCATTCTGCCGGGTGCGCGGCTCCTACTCTACAGGCTTTAGGGGTTTGCTAACTCAAGGCAGCTCCCAAGTTCATCATGGTGATGATACACGACACGCCGCCAGCATAAGCGAATCCATCAACTATTATCAAATACCGTATATTAACGACAAACCCTTTCCAACCTCTACTTCCTCTGCGGCGATCCGAAGCATGCCCACTCCTTCATCGGCGGGCGAAAGCGTTCAAGTACCAATTAGCCCCGCAAACACCCTGGCCGTCAAGTCCTGGTCGCAAGACTTCCTGTGGTCAGTTCTCTTCCGAGCATCTGTGGGCCCAGCCTGCTGGTGCTTACTGTACTTGGCAATGGTGCCCCGCCGAGAAGAGACCCCAGCCAACTGTAAACCCCAGGTGAAAGACGCCATTGTCCTCCCAAAAGGCGTCTTCTTGAACACGGCCTTTCTGAATTCTGTTCACCTGCTGTCCATGTCTCATTTGATACCGCGCAACATAGCTCAAGTCCCATCCTAGGGAGTAGAAGGACAGCACCGTAACCCGTTCGACGGTGGGGAAGACGCTGTGAAGGGATAATCCAGGGATGAACGGTGGGAAAGTTAGGCCTGAAGCCTTTGTTTACGCGAACCCTCTCTCCTCGCTAAAAGTGGGCGTGCTGTTGCCAGAGGACGAGAAAACTCGGGAGCATAAGGTGGAGTGGGGTCCTTGCATGTGTATGGGGGGATGGTCAGGCGTCGAGAGTGCCTAGTGACTTGGATTTGCTACAGTGGACGAAGAGTGCGATGGGGATGGTTGGGCAGCTGGGAGTTCGGGGCACAATGGCTAACCAGTCGGTAGGAATGATGGTTAGTTTGTCCACGGTTTGCCGTTGCTGGCATACGGAATAGGTCCAGGTCTTTCTCACATGGCCAACGAAAGACTTCAAGTTAAATAGAACTGGGGATGTAGTAAATTTCGTGATTCCTGAGTAAGGCGTAGTTCATCTATTGAGCCCTTCCTGATTCATGCCGATTTCCGGCATTATCCCAGGCGGACGCTACGTATCAGACGTTCCAACGCTGAAAACGCTGTGTCGGAGGGTCTTGTCTCGTTTACAGCTTCGCCAGCACGGCATCGGCGCCGGAGACGGTGACCTCGCCGGGGGACTTCTCGTTTTCGGCGTAGACGACCTTGCCGTGGTCAAAGACCATGGCCCAGCGGCCGCTAGACGATGCATTAGCTTGTGATGCAGAAAAAGAGCAGCAGCAAGAAAACATACTTCCTATCACCCATTCCCGCCGGCCATCCATAGTCCCTGCTGAAGAAAGTCTTGGTATCGCTCAGAAACAGCTACTCCCTATTAGCCTTGCTCCTCTCCTCCTCCCAAACATAGCACTACTCACAATATCATCCCCCTTAACCCCATTAACCTTTCCCCAGGCATTCATGACCCACGCATCATTGCTCGCAATCACGGCCACGATATCGACGCCCTTCTTCTTGAACTCGGCCAGCTTCTGGATATATGGAGGCAGGTGGTAGGCCTGGCAGCCGGGCGTGAAGGCTCCTGGGACGGAGAAGAGGACGACTTTCTTGTCGGCCCATTCCTTGGAGGCATCGTAGGGTTGCGGGCGGCCGCAGACGGTGGGGTCCGAGTCGGTGATGGGTGCCCATCTGAAAGTGGTTAGCTGTGCGAGGTGAGGAACTGGAAGGAGAGGGCAAGAGAAGACGTGTATGGGTAGGGAATGCTTGGGAATTATCGAGGACGAGGGGATTGGGGGGGTGTCGAGGATCTGTTACTTACTCGAACTGCACACCCTGCGGCAAACTATCACCAACTTTAAGAGGAGCCATTTCAACGAATTGCTCAAATTACAAGGGCGAAATTAACGAGAGCCTTTTGGAGTTGAAGCTGACGCCAACGTTTAGATATGAGAGCGAGTGAAATAGTGGTGGGCGGAGTACAAGTTGGTCGAACTCGGGGTCGGGGTTCGGGAGGGGTAGCTCCGGCTTATTGTTATGGATGCTTCTAGTGGGGCCGAGGCGCGGGCTGGTGACGACAGAGGGGTGGTTTTGACTCGACTTGCTTAGTCATCTAGGGTCCTCAACACACCTGCATTCTCCACTCCATACATTCATAGGTATATGCCTCCGCTTGTTGAAAGAGATTATAACACTGTCCGGGTTCACACCCTGTGCTAGGCCAACTGAACTATACAGTTGTTATCACTATCATATATGCATATTCACCCCTCCAATTCAACCCCTTCCTTACACCCTTACACCGGGTTCCCCATATGTCCCATATCCATCTTCACAGACGCAGAAGCCAAGTACCCCTACCCTTCCCGAGTCTTGGGATAAGGGATTCCCTCCTGTTCTAGAATATCCTTAGGGATCGCAGCAAAGGCCATATCTCTCTCACGCTCATATAGCTCGATTTCCCTGAGAAAGCGATCGTGCTTCTATGGTCATTTAGCTCACGACATCACCCCAAAAAGAGAATATCGCCTTACCTTCTTTTCTGCCTTGGTTGACTTGCCATCAGCATTACTGACATCGTCTGCTTTCGAATGCGTGATAGGATGGGTCTCGCCTTCGGTAACAGTTTTGAGGGACTGGGTCTATTAGCAGCATGGTCTTGAAGTTCGCTTGAAGAAAATAGTACCTTGGTAATGCTCACTTCTTGTTTCCCTCCTTCGTCATTGGGCTCAGTCGGTGGTTTGGGTAAATTCCTAGGGGGAGAAACAGACAGAGCCTTTAGCGTGTCAACAACTTGAATTTGTTCGCTAAAGGCCTGCGACTGCACTGGGGCGGGCTCCTCACCAGACTCTGAAGTAGCGATTGCAACCTTCTTCTTCTTTTTGCTCTTCTTCTTGGATTTTCCTTTCTTCGGCAGTTCCTGTGAAGGAGGTGCAAGCGCACTGGGAGTCTGGAGAGGTGTGTGGAATTCCGCGGCGGTCGGACTCGGTGAAAAGGGCGGTGAGATATTCGCCAGAAGTGCTGAAGAGCTGGGGATGGATGTGGTGTCTATGTGACGTCGATCTATTCCATATCAATAAGAGACTGTGTGTCTAGATTGGGCGGACTTCACCTACCTTTCAGAGAGTAAAGTACTGTGTCTGCCTCCGACGACTTTGTGAGAGTAGATCCGGCCACTAGTGCAAATCTGTTAATGACTGTTTCGAGTTAGGCAGGGTCGACTACATACCATCACTTGTGCCCTTCATCGCACGAGGAGATGCTGGTTCTGTTGCCGCACTCGAACCACTGCTAGCAGCTTTGCTACCACTCGTTGTCTTCTTCTGGAGAAGGTTGAAGATCGGAACCGCAGGTTTGAAGAAAGTGGACTTGGTGCTGCTAGGCTGCTTCTGTGTGTCGCCAGCCGCGGCATCCCGAAGATCCTGTGCTGATAGCGTTGCGGTATCATGCTGCTGATCTTTAGAGGACTGGACACCACTGTCCCCGGCGTTCGGAGTGTGTGCTTCCTGCTTGCGCGTCTCAACCGACTGAATTACCTCTACATCTTTGCCGGATTGAGTAGATTTACCTCCAGTTTTGTCTTCTTTTTTCACAACTGGAATGGCAATCACCTCTTGGGGGTTTCTCTCCGTTGGCGGAGTCGGCAGACTTCCTTGAGCTTGGGGGGGTTGGTCGGGAAGGGCCGGAGGAGTCCCAGGCCTTGAAGTGTGTGCCGAATGCTGCATTTCCACCTTGCTAATCGTCCCCTCAACGTCATTTGTGGAAGGCGCCGGTTTGTTGGACTTGGCCTTCTTCTTCTCCTTCTTCTTCTGCTGTCTCTCCTGTTTCAGTTGCATCTTAGACTTGGCGTACGGAAACATGGGTTCGGTTTGCTTTGCGCCCCCTTTCTTGGACTCTGGAGGAGCGGAATTGGCTGCTAAAGCAGTAGTAGATTCTGGCTGGGGTTGAGGTGGAGGCGGGTTTGTGACTGCATCCCCAACCATTTTTCGACCCGATGTCGTAACAGATACAGACGTGTGCAATGTCTGCGGCGAGGGTGGGCTTCTTTGTGAGATATCCCTAGCTGCAGCGGTTTCTTGCTTTGCGTCATCCTTTCCAGAATCTGACTGAGCCTCTCGAGCGGAATGGAAGCTGGTTTCCCGCTGCTCTTCCTCCGAATTTGCATCATCTGGTCTTGGCGATCCGACGTTAGTGCTTGTGAGGTCCCTCCGAGTAAGTGCATGTGTGGAGGGAACATCGACTTTGATGCGCTTGTTTTCATCCGCGATGTCCAAGGTTTCGTCCTTGATGTTGGACGATTCTATGGCTCTATTGGCAAGCGAAACAGTGCGTTGATGTGCATTCTCCGCGGGCAGGCTCACATCCGGTGAGACCTTCTCGCCGGTAGCAGCTGGAATCGATGCTCCGTCCCTTGGGGTCCCATCTTCACTGTCAGAGGCACTTACGTCAGGATGAGTTTGAGAAGGCTCTGCCTCCCCGATGATGGCCTCTGATGCTACGGCGATCTCCCCAGACTCCGTGCCGGAAGCGTTAGGAACGCCTACAGCCTCGTTTTCACACTCGGCATCAACAATTCCCTCCTTCAACGAAGACTGGGTTTCCTTGACATCATCGGCGTTTCTTGGTGCGTCCGGAGATACTTCATGTTGGCCTCCATTCGCGCGTGGTGTTTGAGCAGAAGCAGGAGCGGTCTTCTTCGGAGCTGGCCCATTATCGCTAGCCGCTACTGACTCCTTCGAAGGCGACTTGTTTGACTTCTTTGTTTTGCGCTTCTCTGGGCTCCCCGATGCCGCCGATTTCTCCGGATTTCGCCCCTTAAGCAAATCACTTCTCGCATCTTGTGGTGAGTAGGTCGCCGCCGGCTGCATCGTGGGGACAACAGAACCCGTCATCATTGGCACCTGGTACGAAGCCGACACCGCTCGGCTGCCTGGATGATTATTTGAGAAGGACCTAGCCCCAGGAGCTAAGGGAGCAAAGTATCGTGAGGGCACTTTGACGGCAACTTCCTTCCCGCCGAGGACCTTCCCATTAAGTAAAAGACCTCTGCGCGCATCTCCAACGGAAGCAAATCTGATTACGTTAGCATATGAGATTGGCCGCCACGGATTGGGCCTCTCACCTGACGGTAGCTATCAGCTTTTGCCTCCTATCCATTCTCACTCTGACACTTGACGGGAAAACGCCCGCCACTTGCACAAAGAAATCGTAAATGGCTACCTCATTGAGGTTATGAGGCACGTCGAACACGACTAGGTCTCTAACTGTCTCATTTCCCGGACCTATCCAATTCTCGCCACACCCAACGACTTGGTCGGAGGGATTCACTACGGTTTGACCGCCACGCATCTGCACAGGGATAGGTCCGCCAAGTTCAGAGAGGATCGGATCACTACAATGGTTATAGGATCCCAAGGATTGTCCTCGTGGCCTTTTCGCACCCTGATTGTAAGACAAAGTACCCCGCGAGGTCCTCCGCTTCATCTGTTGCGGTGGGATGTCAGCGAAGTCTGGCCGCATCGCTCCATATGGATTGTAGAGTCCTTGTTGCTTGTCAGGGCGTCCGCCTCGAGGCCGTGAATCCGGCGTTTGGAAAGGAGGGCCACTGATGGTCGGATCAGTCATGGGAAGAGCGAGTGGACCTGATGGCTGAAATTGTTGATCAGGTCCCTGAAGCGGACCATGCTGGCCCCCTGGGTAGGGAACTCGGCCCTGCACTGCTTGCGGAAACGTTGGCGGATTTGAAAGCGTATAGGCGGACATTGGAATTTTGCCTGCAAATAGAGGTGGCAGCTGCTGAACCGGTGCCGGTCCTGGTCCAAACGGGTGCAACATGGGAGGCAAAGATGCTGGCATTGTTGGAACCGCCCCGAAGTTGGGCATCGGAGGCGCCATATTGTGTGGAGGACTCGAGAACTCCTGTGGCGGGTTGAACAGGTAGGGCTGATTCATTGAGGGTGGACCGACGTTAGGATACGGTGGGTGCGGCTGTGGACGCATGCCCACGTTTTCCGCCCAGCCTTTGTTCTCCGGTTGATTATACGAGCCAGAGCTGTGTTGCCTATCTCTCGCCTTCTGCTTCCCTACGTTCGGGTTCTTCAGTCGAGGACCTTCAGGTATCGTAGCGAGCTCCTCCTTTGGCAGCAGCTGCTTCTTGTCGGAGGGCTCAGGGGACGTCTGCACTTCTGAGACTGAGTGAGTGGGTGCCATGTTTTGTGAGCCACGTCTTGGGATCTTCTCTGCACCTTCACTAGGCTTGTTCCTCTCTAAGATGAGGGTTAGTCAAGGATGCCCAGCATAATTCAGTAAGTCGTCGTACTCACCTGATACAACGCCAGACCCTGCCTGGGTATCGAGGTTGGCAGAGTTGACGAGAGAATCATCTCCCTTGGGAGATTTTTGAGTCTCCGTGTTCACCGTCTTGTCACCCTTACTCGTCGAAGTGCTGTTCACGACGCAACTGTTGAAACATCGACGCATAAAGTTCGCAGCGTGCCAGAGAAAGTGTGTGGGGTATTCCGTGGTCTCACCGTCGACGAAGAGTTGGGGGACAACCGTGTAGGGGTTCTCGGAAGTGTAAACAAGACGTCCAACTCGATCCATGCGCTCACGATCCTTCAGAGCCCACTTTTTAGCGAATTTCCTCATCTCGGCTGCGTTATCGTGGCAGATGAAGGCCATGACTTTCTCTAGGATGTCTCGACCCTGGACGTGAATCTCCACATCATCAAAGAGGTCTTCAATCGTCCAGTGACTGTCCGGTAGAAAGTTCATGTATTCGTATGGATAGCGACCTTTCAGGTAAAGAGCATAGTCACGAACGTGTTCCGTTTCATACTTTGGGGTATGGACGACGACAGGAGCCAGCGGATCTTGCAACACACGCTTGGGTCTCCGCCCGAAGTCGGTGGAAAAGAGGGCTGACGCTGGCGGAGGCTCGAGTGGTGGGAAGAAGAGCACATGGCGGAACGCAGGGTGGTGAGGCGACTTCTCCATCTCGACGCCAGAACTGTTGTCCCTTTCCGTCGCGGTGGTCTCCTCACGCTGAGCGTTCATAGCGACCGCAGGGTCTGGGGCAGGTGGCTCTTCTGTCGGCTGAGCAATGGAGCCCATGATGTCGAGGACGACTAACAGGACGGCAGTAAAAGTGAACAGGATGCGCTCAAAGCCCACTCTCAGCGCGGGTTCGGAGGGGTGTGCTGCAATGCAGTTGGGTGAAAGGAGGAATCTGAAGACGGAGATGACGCCACAACGCCCGAAGAAGGAAAAGAGATAGAGAGGAGGGAAACACCAGAAGTAGATGAGTGAGGGAGTGGTAGGTGAAGCGGAGGAGAAAGGGTGGAGGAAGCTGGGGCCGCCGCGCTCAAGTAGGCACTAGCGCGCCGTCAACCCGCAGGCACGTGGTCGCAGCAACAACCAGACACGACCTCGAAACCGGGATGTGGACAAGTAGATAGTAGGACAGAAGGAAAATAGAATGAGTAGACGGAGGGAGAGAGCCTGAAAGTAGGCGAGAGAGGTGAGCCAAAGGTACAGAAGTCAGGACCAGAGCAAACGTGTGAAGAAGGTAGCTGGGCTTTACCACCAGCCAGCGCAAACACCTCAGCATATATCCTCCCTTCTCAATGTCGGCCCACCCAAACGCCCAGCATTAATGGGAATACTCATAAAGGAGACATGCCTTGTCAACAGCTTTTATGAGGAACAACACTGCGCACTGACATGGAAGGCAACACGAAGAGAACAGTAAGAACGCATAGGAGTAGCGCTGCTTGCCCCAGAGTACCCGTGAGCTTAAGTTTCCCGTCCCTCAAGCTTGGTTCCCGGCTCGCTTGCAGGGCAATCGCGCATGTAGCCAGCCGTCACGCGTGTGGCTTCGCAAGGAAACGGGCGTCAATACCTATGACAACCCAGCGGGTCATAATCACTGTATACAAAGCCTCGGCCTTTCCTCGCAGCAGAATCCGGTTGTCTGTTGTACTTATCTTGCAGGAATTGGATCTTATATTACATGCCTACGGTTTCGGGATGGAGCGCAGCAGCGACAAAATCTCCGATTCATTGTCTCCCACCACTGTAGACATCATGTCAGAGACACGTCAAAAGAGACAACGAACCACTTACCGACTCTCCCTTGGTGCCAATCTACAACCTGCAGGAGCGCGTCAGCACAAACCTTTGCTTCCGGGATGAATAGCTCCATACCACAGGCCTTTGAAAGGCATTCCCGTTCTCTTTGAGCCGCCTCAGCGCATCCGCTTGATCGCTAGCACCGCTAACAAGTTTCGATGCCGCCGCAGATCCTCCAAGATACTCCAGGATATTCTTCAGCTGGTCACCAGTTGGCGGAGCCTCTGTGACGTCAAGCTCGAAATCCGCCCTCTCGGCTTTGGTTTGAGTATCGTGGCTGCTTGCTTGATCTTGGGTCGCGTGTGTTTTCGCCGTCGCGTTCGCTTGCTTGAGAAGCGTGAGGACGCGCATTGAAGGTTGGCTCGATGGTTTGTGGAAGAGGGTGACGACGTCCTTGGCGCCGTGCTGCGTCTGGTCAGTGGTTGTGGTGGGAGCTACATGCGGCGGAACGAACCTCGCCAAAGAGTTTCTTGAACATTGTCGTGGACTGGTGATGACGAATTGACTTGTGCGGCAATTAAAGTCGAAAGTCTACAGCTGTTGAGGAGGTGATGTCGGAAGCTTGGGGTTGAGTGACGTCGGATCTGATGTTCACCAACCGTCGATCCCGTCAGCCTCGTCTTGGTGATGCAGGGGTAAGCTCCTCGGAGCGCCACCCGGAATCCCAGTAATGATCGTATGGACCGTATGGCATCCCTCTGTGAAGAAATGCGCAATCATATATTTTGCATAGTCCTCAGAGATGCAATGGCTCTCAACTGATTGGTTTCACCGGAAATTAGGCTGCTATAACAAATGTTCCTGGGAGTAATTCAGATGAGCAACAGTTCGAGACAAGCTTGCCCGCACAATTTGACTGACCCAGAAGGACGGCAAATTCACCATGTGCCATGCGCCATACATGTTTCATGGCAAAAATGCTCGCAATCGCTCCCTTACGTTGTAATGGCTCAAACCATGGGCACATCGCTGCATAGGTGAACGTTCACGCCAAGAACAGCCTCACGCGAACCCGAAGATCCTCGGTTCATCAGATAAGCACCCTAGTCCAGATCATCTCAGACAGAACCTAGCCTGTACATCCAACATCCCCTCATCAACGACTCGACCTCATCCTCCCTCCCATTGCGCTCATTGGCGCTTGCCAGCGCTCAAACGAACCCTAGGAAGCTGCATTCCACCGAAGGGTTCATCTCTGTACTATCCGCATCGAACGATGCTTTCAGTTCTCCTCCCTTTGATGCTCATCTTGTGCACTCACCTTCCATAGCTATTGCCTACCACCTCTATTAGTACCTCTCAAGATGCGCCTCTCCGCCATTATCTCTCTTTCTCTGCTCTCGGTAGCATCGGCTATCCACCTCCCCCCTCCTCAGTACATCTTCTCCAACTTCCCCGAGGACAAACCTCCCCATCATAGCAATGAACCGCACCACCCCAATACTCCAGACGCTCCTACAACGAACATCAACATCCCCACAGTCCACGAATCCGCCATCCTAGCCCGCCGCATCCTCCGCCTCGAACGCCTCGGCACGCTCTCGACCATCTTCCCCGCCCACAAGGACGCCCCGCACCAACCTCCCCCCAGCGTCTCCGGCGTGCCCATCGGCATGATGGACTACTTTGGCGACTGCGAGCCCAGCACGGGCAACCCGACCATCCTAGCCATCAACATCGCTACGTCTTTCCGTAATGTTGCCGCGGGGTCTAACATCACGTTGTCGCTGCGCTGGCACCCACCGCATACGAAGCACTACAGCGCCGCCGCTATGCCGCGGTTCTCGCTTCTGGGCGAGCTGCAGGATCTCGGTGCTGAGGATGTCGTCAAGCACAATGTGCCTGGGTGCTTTGTCAAGTATCATCCCGATGCGGCGACTTGGTTACCCGGGAACCCGATCCATGCTAGCCGTTGGGTGAGGCTGGTCGTGAGGGAGATATACTGGGTCGGAGGCTTTGGGAATGTCGCGTATATCGGTTGGATCCCTGTGGAGGAGTGGCAGAGTGTGACGGAAAAGGAGATTGAGGAGGCGAGGCTGCCTGGGGAGAAGCGGCATAGGTGGTCGTTGTGTGAGTTGAAGAAGTGGATTGGGTTGGGTGAGGAGTAGGAGTAGGTGAACTCCCAGAGGGTTCATGAAGCGAGGTTGCTAGGTTGGGAACTATCGAACTCTTGTGTTTCGAGTGTGTCAAGGTCAGGAGATTGGACGTAACGGGAGGACTTCTGGCTTCTGTACATCGACCATAGCTTGTAAGGCACGACTTTCCCACACGGCCGTTCCCACTCTCATGTCTACATGATTCTAGATGGGGAGCCAGAAACTCTCACGGAGTTCCATCAAAGGTCCAACCCAACATACTTCACTTGCCACGACGACTGGATCTGGACCCCAGCACGATGTATGAAAATCTCGTAGCTCATCTCACGCAAATGCGATGCGGCTTTCCATTACTGAGTATTCTTCACGTTGCCAAGGGGGACGGCAACAGCCACGATATCAGCTTCCGGGACATCAACAGTCACGATCAAATTCTACGCCTTCCTGGTGCAGCACGCGATACCTTTCCGCACACATTCTCCTTCCCAATTCTTCACCTTCCCCCTCTACGGTTGCATCTCTTCTCCTTGTACATCGCATCGCATCATTTGCGTGTCTCGACGCTTCATGTTTGACGTTCGTGCATCAGTTACGAAGCCATTTGGAGGATCTCGTCTTTCGGCATGGAACCAGTGCGAAAGATCGTGAAGAATGCTACTGGAAAGCTACGGTGGCAACATACATAGGGCTCCTAGGATCCTGGTTTGAAGCTAATATGTAGAAAGAAATTATAAGATCAAGTTGCACCACGAGACTAGATCGCCGTAACTCCCTTTGGAAAGAAAAGAGCGGCAGTAACTTGGTCCCGCTTTTCTAGCCTCGCCTCATATCCTAAGAAACTACTACTTCTGATCTCAGAAGACCAACTTGTTGATCAATACATCATAGGAAAGAGTGCCCGTTGATATAAGGAATATGTGAGCCGAGAGCTCCCCTCACGTTTGGCCATGGCTTCTCTTTGTCTGGTGGTTTTCATAGGTTGTTGTTTGTGTGCAATTGCTCACAGATTGTTAAGCAATCGCCCTCTTCCTTATGTATCTAGTGAGAGCACGCTCCCTCATGAGATAGAGTATCGGATTCGGTTTCTTCGGCTCACGGTTATTCCAGAGAATATGTAATTAGTAGAGGAGTACGAGCTTTCCGTGTTTGGAGATTTCGATATCGAGATAGCATAAACGGGTCATGTGATAGTGGAGAGGGCTTCTTTAAGCTGTATCCTTTCATTTACAGCCTGGATTCAATGTCACTCACTGCTACAGTTGGAAGGACGGTCGTTGTATAACCTGAGCTTAATCTACGAGACATAGAACATCCCAAAAAGAATATAGAGACAATCACAGAGAGGCAGGTCCTCAAATCATATCCCTCAAAACGCACCGTCTCCTAATACGTTGAACTCACTGTTGAGAGTCTCATGGGACAATTCATACTCAACCCCCTCCCGCAGTACTGCAACGCGCCATTACTCGATCCTCCCCTTACTCACTATTTCACCGCCAATATCGCCGGTATTCACATCAGATTGGATCACCATTGCCGGGTCCGACTCTTCAGCTACATCCCCGTCGCCACACAAAAGGAGTTCTTCGGCGTCGACACTCTCTGGCTCGCCACGCTCGGACGTATCATCTTCTGTGAGGAATTCTTCGTCGTGTTCTCCTTTGGCAAAGACCCCGCCTTCGTGGCTCACTCTCTGAACGTCTCCAAAATCCACTCCTTCTACCGGTTTGCCCTTCATGAAGGAAACTTTGCGATATCTCACCGCAAATATCTGCTCCCCAGCCATGGTTGCTGTTGTAGAATAGCGCCCCTTGTCCCGGGAGCCGATATTCATGCCGATGTCGGCTTGGTCGTGAAGGTTCACCACGCCCTGCGTTGCCGCTGTGATGCAGCGCCGGTAGGAATGTTTACACTGACCTTCTTCCCGCCTGCATACTCCCGCGTCCTTCCCATTTACCCGTTAACGCAGGACTTGTATCCCACTGCCATGTAACCCTTTCCTTTGTTGTCACGGAGTAGCTGCACAATCTTTGCCCCGTGCTTCTGCACAAGCGCGTGGAAGGCCTCACGATGCTGAGGGAGGGACCTCGTCCTCACAAAGGAGCTCTTCAAGCTACTCTCCTCTTTCGCCAATTTATCGAAGTCCAGTTCGAGAATCATTCCGACCTTTTCTTGGGCAACTTTGTTCTTCTCAATGGAGAATAAGGACGAGAACTCTGTGTCGACGATCTCGAGGACTTTGGGGTTTGCGAAGAGAGCTGGCCGGGGATCTTGAGGTTGATATTCATCTGTGGGATTCTTGAAATCCGCCACTATGCGTCCGAGGAGCCGATCTCCTTCCAGCCCTGGGATCCTCGTTTCCGTCAATATAAATGACGGGAGCTCGGCTGTCTTACTCTGCTTGAATAGGCTCATGGTGTTGTCGCACGCTCAAATCTTCGGAGCTCACAGAATGCAATGACACTACGAGCTAAGATTGGAAATTGCCGTGGTTGCGATGGTTACTCCGACCTTGGGTGTTCAGAGGTGATGACATTACCTACGTAGTTATTCCCCGCTTTGTTTCGCTGACATCATGGCCATGTTACAGTGGCTTGAAGTGGAGGAGCCAGCTGGAAGACCTCGCAACTCTATATTATCCGAACCTCCTACGGTTGCACAACTACTTACAGTTTTGCCTTTGAACATAACCAGACGTTTCTTTATCACTTTCCTTTCAATGACTGCGGTCATTCAGATCCGAGAGACCGAATGCCTCGCAGAGGGCAAATGGCGGGTGATGCTGACTTGTGATTCGAGACTCATCAAATGCACACGTTTGTGACCCTCGAGGACACTCCATATCGATGAGACTCTTAACTCACCCCATCTAGTCACTGATCCCTTTTCCTTATCTGAGAAGGCCCGTCTGAAATGGATCCTGGAAGATTATCCAACCAAATTCCCGTTCGATCTCGACCGTGTCGAAGATATCATAGGCGAAATTCAACAATACGCAGAATCGATTGTAAAGCAGTTGAGTCTCAGAGAATTCGTCAAAGAAGCTTTGGTCTCATGCCAACCCTGCACAAATGTGCTGATTGAGATCGTCGAGTGTGCGACAAGCTCCGCCTTCCATAGCCTTCATTGGGAACTACTTGAACCTTGGCTTGACATCGCTGGTGCACAGTCCGTGGAAGTTCGCATTCTTGTTTCTCGGGTGGTCCTGAGCGCTCAAGACAATTATGCCAATGGCACGATCCAAAAACCATCGCCACGTGGCGACCAAGGCAAGTACGGCCCAAAGATCCAGAGGAAGTACAATATACTTCTTGTTATCTCGAGACCGCGGCAAAGGAGAGATGATATCGATCCCTTGCTCGGTGCGAAGGCTCTCAACGACATCATCTGTGAGTTGTTTTCTGGCTCGACAGACGCCCCTGTGAACCTAGAAATTGTAAGGCCAGGCTCATGGAAGGCCTTTGAGTCATATATCCGTGAACGGACGGAATCCTGGTGGCGCGCAGGAGGTCACGGAAGCTGGTTTGATGTCGTACACTTTGATGTGCACGGAGTTATTCACAACGGCTCTCCGGGTCTACTGTTTCTATCCGCCTCTGGCAAAACTCTCTTACGGTCCGCTGACCTGGTCGCGGAAGTACTTGTCCGACATATGGTGCCTTTCGTAGTCTTGCACGCTTGCGAGTCTGCGAAAGCTACGACACAACGAACGAACCTCGCCAAGATACTTGTCGAGCATGGAATCGTTCGGGTTGTAGCCATGTCTTATAAACTTACCGCTACTGCGGCTCAGATTTTTGTGCGCACCTTCTATCATCATCTCCTTGCCGGCACAGCAAAAAGTCCATTACCGGCTCTTCACGCTGCTCGTTCCGTGCTCTTTACCAATCAAGTACGAATCGGGAAGTTGGACCAAGAAGTGGTTTTGCCAGACTACCTCGTGCCGGTCATGTACGTCTCGGCGGATGATACCGCAGCACATGCATCCTCAGATGATGTCCTCTCCATGCCGTTGCCCCAGGTCAAACTACCCGAAGCTTCTCAGAGCTTCGGTATGTCTTTCGTGGACCCGAGATTGACACATGATGTTCTTGGGCGCGAACAAGACATTTTGGAGATGGAGTGGTTACTCCTTCGCGAAGGCCATCCGAACATTGCATCGATAACCGGTCCTGTGGGAGTGGGCAAAACCACGCTTGTCCAATTCCTGGGCAACTGGTGGAAGAAGACAAGGCTGGTATCAAACTTCAAGTATTGGTCGCTCAAACACCACGCTCCAACGACAGTCATCCGATACCTCCGTGCCTGGGATGCGAGTCGGCCGACGCACGACTCTCAGTACCCGCGTCTATTCATCATTGATGACATCGCTGCGGTGACTGGGACAGGCCTGGATGACGTCCAGAAGCACCACTTGACGGAAATCCTCACAAGGTACCGAAACCGCAGAGACCTCGTTATACTAGTGTCCCGTATCCCAGTGGATTGGTTACGGCTGGAAGACTATCAGGAGTATCAACTTAAAGGGCTCTCCAACTCGGATGCCCTCGCCCTCGCATCACGAATCCTGAACGAAATTGGTTGGGGATCCTTTCTGGAAGAGCGGGGAACACTCGACCAGATGGAATGCTTTGCCAGCCGCATGGACTTTAACCCACTTTCGATCGATTTCTTCCTTCGCGGATCCAAAGATCACGTGGATTGGATGCAACGGAGCGGCCTGGTCGCATCAGCCGAATTCACATGGGATCGTCCGGATAACATCCTACCAGATAACCCTGAGCGACTTTTACATTTCCTTTTGTTAGCGTGTGTGAACGATCTCCACGAGTCAGAGGGCCTGCCGCAGTGTCGCGAGTCGTTTGACTACATCAGAGCGCTATATGACGGTGACGATACCAGAGCACAGCTCGTCTTACTAAGTCTCTTACCGTTCTGTGGCATTTATTGCGAGGACTGGTACATGACGGCAAGACACTTTTGGATTACAAGACCAGGGAGTACGTGGACAGTGCCTGGGGAGCATTACTTCAGACAATTCGTCACAGAAAAGCTCCTGGGTCCCGGTTGGGCTGAGCACATCGGAAGCATTGCTACGGACGACGGTACACAGTACAGGTGCATCAGGATCCATCCCGTCTTCATCAATTCCTTGCGGCTCATGGTCATGCTCTCTCCTAACCTCAAGTCCCTGTCCGAAAAGCTATGGCTTCACTTTGTTGTCCATGAGACTACCTGGGCGTATCTTCGCACCGACTGGGCAAGATGGAGGGAATGGCGTAGACAGGTGCAGATGCGGGCAATAAGTCTGCTGACAGCTTGCACCTTGGGCTTCAATCTCGCAGTCCTGAATGATGGTCGCATTGTACAGCCCTACTACGTCCACATCATACTCAATCTTCTCTGGTTTACAGCCATTGGGAGTAGTACGCCAGCTCTGACGCCAGCCATGCTATCCTTGAAGATGGAACAGCTCCTCGATTTCGTAGAGAAGCGGCTTATCGCGGGCAAGAAGGATGTGTGCAATATCCACAACACGGACCACGTGGGAGCAAATATCGACGTGACGCTACGCACATGCGACGCACTCTCGAACCACTTTCATGAGAAGGCACATCAGAAATCTGCGGATATCTTAAAGAGGCTCGTGAAGCAGGTTGCCTTGGCCGCGAGACGCGACGAGAACTGGGACCACAACGAGCGCCGGTTCTCGCTTGCCAGGTGTTTGGCGACATTCAGTTACTGTTCCCTGCGACGGAATGAGTTCAAAAGAGCCAAAAAATTGGCCTCGTTGGCTCTCCGTTGCCATAAATCCGGAGTGTCCGCACAGGAGAGAGTACGCGGCATTGGACTTCGCATGAAATCGTACTACATACTCTGGATTGCTGCGATTTTTTCCGAGGGCAGCTCATCAACTGTAGAGTGGTACGCACAAGAGGCGAAGGCTGCCTTAGACGACCGGAATAAAATTACGGACGTTGACTTCGCGGACATTCGCCCACAACTTCAATTGGTAGAAGACCTAGATTGTGTTCTTAGCAGCGGGGACCAAGAGGTTCGCAAATACCTCTCCGAGACGCCGGAAGCAGCAAAGATCCGAAGAATAGTTGAGCAGGGAAACATTGATGCAGCAAAGACAGCTTTGTATAAGGGCATCGAGAAGGCCCAAAAGACAGGTAATACGACCGCAGAAGGAGCGTTTCACGCCGATCTTGCCGAAATCTGCATGATGTTAAAGGACTGGCTAGGCGCAAGCAAGCACATAGAACAGCTGTACCTTCTCTTCAAGATGAAGGATTGTGGTCCTTGGAGCGTTCCCCATCACTATGATCCCAGCGACATGTATGACCTCCTCTATCGCTACGCTCGGTATGGGAGTGTATTCCTCCGGCTTAGGATGTTTCTCCCAGCCATGCTATTTTGCTGGCGCGCTTTGGAAGCGGTCGGAGCCGTCGATGGACCCGATGGAGCTGAGTGTCCACTACCAAATGACCCTAACCTCTCTGTGGACTTTTCCATGACCATTCTTCGAGCTAATTTATGCATACTTGTCGGTCAACCTCGGAAGCTGATATCTCCCGAAGAATTCAACGCACTTGATGATCTTGGCCAGGAGCTCGTAACGTCCCAAGTGCAGAAGAATTGGCCAGAATTCGATCTAGTAGGCAAGGATATCGCAACGCGGCTACGCAGAGCATATGATGTCCTCGAGGCACCCGAGGTAGGAGGACCACCACCAAGCCAGCCCAAACCCCACGATGTCATCAGCCTTACCGCCATTGTGATGGATTTGAGCAGAGGAGAGAATGGCGAGCCGAAACTCGACTTGGGTTTCCGCGAACGCGGATTGGAGAGACAGACGGAATGGTATGACGAGGCTGACGATCCAGATCTAAATGCCGTCGAAGACCTCGTGGCGTTCTCAAGGGGAATAGTTAGGCCAGAGAATCCGCGATAGATGATAGGTGCCGAGGTCGGTTGCGATCTTGTAAATACAGTTATCCGAAGGGGCAGTCTAGGGGTTTGCGTGCGAATCAGTGTTTAAAATAATGTTTTTTCTTTTTCTTTTTGTCGATTCTACAGCTTTAGTGACCGCTGCCCTCTAGTACTAAACCATTATGCCTATATGTGAACATAAATACTCAGCCTTCCGGCCTTGTGTAGCCAGGCCTATGGGTTTAACAATGTTCCATAGCTCATCAGACCGGGGGGTTGGGGGGGAGGGGGGATGGGGGGGGCCGAGTAGAAGAAAAAGTGATACGTTGTGTCATGACCGCTAGCAGAGAGGGTGCAGGGTAGCTGATCCTCCTATAAGTTCGCGAATTTAGGGGAGATAAGCTAGCTGACAGGCACTAGTGCATGCCAACAGTGTCTATTTAAGTAGAATTGTTTGATGCGCTTGTTATGGTATAATTAACTATTGCACCAAGTGATTCGAGAACCCTAATTCTATTAGGTATCTTCCTACTGCAGCGGTGGCGGTTGCGATAGGCAATCATCACAGCAACGCGCAATCATGTCTGTCACCTCGGGACTAGACAGGACAATACTGCTTTGAATAGAAAGAGAACAGAAGTGTATAAGTTCAGATGTGTTTAATATTGTAGTTTTTTCGTTATCTTGAAGGGTCCCCACCTGCATGAATCGATTGGCGGACCCTACACACAAATCAAGTTCCAGTGGTAGGAGGGAAGAAGTACGGAACGGTTGCGAGCCAAACCGTTACTAGAGCGCACTTCCCAAGTTAAACAAAGAGTGATGATACCCAGTGAGATTCACGATACCCCAAGAAATGGTACGAGAAGTCCCCATGGCAAAGATTATTATGTATGGCACGGTGGGCATCTCATCGAGTTTACCGCTATCCCCAGTCTGCGATGTTATTTTCTCTCCCCGTTATCCAGCGAGATACTATGTTGTTCCAATGCAAGTGAGAGCCGCTTGCTACACGCAGCCGCATCTCTCTTGCAATCTTGCTCAAGTCCCAACTCAACCAGCGGACTACTAGAAACCATCCAAGACTCAAAGAGTACACCAAGATCCCGCAAATATCCATCGTCCCTGACTTCCACCTCCACACCGTTCCCTTCCTCAAGCCCTACAGCACCGCCGCCCATGGTGAATAGATTAACAAAAGGCAACCCAAAGCGGAACTCCGGGACACAAAGACAGCTTCCACTCATGCGAGCAAACCCCCGTGTACCTATGTATGTATATCTACCCAACGTGCCCGTCAAATACGAGTGGGAAAGGCACATCTCAAAAAGACAAAAATAGCAATCCCCTCCCCACACCAAAATATCATCTGCAGCAGAGCGCTAGGAGACAAGATCCGTCGGCCCACTATCCCCTTATCGACCGGATACTCGGATTCCGCCTACATGTATCTAGGTACATACATCCCATCTTCCTTTTAAGCTAGTTACATGCACCAGAATTCAGTTTGCGACTAATGCTACTGCATGCAAGAAGGACGCTCCACTACTGTAGGTACTACGAGCTCGCAGCATCGGACTTGTGGAGGAAAGAAGTCTAGTGTCGCAGTATGTCAGCTGCTCTGCATAGTACGAGCCTCGCATACGCACATCCATCGACTTCTAGAAAGGAAAACGAATCCTTCCTTGCACCACGCTAGACTTTTTACTTCTCAAGTCCCCTCCGCTAGCTACTCCCCCTACTGGAGCTAACCCATGGCTCGACCTGCACATATGCCATTTCCCCAGACTCCCAATATAAATCCCACTCCTCCAGGAACGCCATGCATAGATGCAAGACGCACACCCTATCTCGCATTGATACCCCCTCCCACCCTCCACAGCCCCAAATGCCATATGTACTTTCTCCCCTCCTCCTCTCCTCCGCATCACGGACCTGCGCACTCACCGGGAACCCGGCAACCCACATCCATGCGCCCGGCACGAGGGAACCCAACGTCATTCCAGCACAATTAAAGAGAAGCCAGAAACGAAGCCGCTAGTACACAGTAATCCGTATCGGCGACTAGTCACCCCAAAGTCATCCAATGCGATAGAGGGATTGTTATCGATTGCGAGCGGGTAGGGACGCTAGGTACAGCGAGGTTAGCGGTTAGGCTCGTCACCTCGTGTTCGCGGGCCGCAAGCCGCTACCAGAGTTTGTGTGTCTCTGTGCGGTTTAGTGTCGTTTTGTAGCCATGAACCGGAATACGATCTAGTACGGAGTATCGTTAGTCTAGTGAGGTTCAGCAAATATACCTTGATGGAGGCGAGGTGTTGAAATCATGATCGCATGTCGGGTTGGAAAAGTACGCGATGCATAATATGGCTGAGGACCCATTGATTCACAAAAAGTTACACCACTACTGTACTGTAGTGACGGGGTAGTGCGGGGATAGATCTTGGTTGTCTGCGCTAATCTGCGCAAAGCACGACTACGGCGCCAGACCTCAAAACCTAAACATAGACCTCAGTAGATGAACACGACCACACCACAACGATAAACCTCTCATGTGCCCATCGCCAGCCTCATTTTTCCCAGTCGTATCTACTTACGTGTAATATCTTGGACCACCTACCTGCAACGTCATCACATGGACCGATCTACACTGCATCTGCATGATAGATTGAAAACGCCCCGAGACCGGCCAATGTGTGGTAGCGAAGGCGTCGGCCGTCCAGATCACCTGCATGGAGGCGATCGGTCTCGTCCTCGTGCCAAAGACAGCCCGAGGTTGTATCGAGATGGCGGAGAGAGCCTTTGGGTGTATTATTGCGCCGGGCCTGCAGATTGGGGGTGGGCGCAACTGAGGTCGCATGTGCTGCTGGGTCGTCGTGCGAATCCGGCCCTGTTCGTTGATGGTGGCCTCACGCAAGGCGGCCTGATTACACCATGGGGGTTTGCAAATGTGCGGGGGGGTTTATTGGAGATGACCCGGTGATGGGAGGGCGAGATGCCGTCATACCTAAGAGTCCATCCATGCAAACTGGGCCTCTTCGGTCGATCTTCCGTCCATATCGACAGCGTGCCCAAGCCTACGAGCTGCAAACAGTTTCGACACAGCCTGTTGCATCAAGAGCCACACAGCCATGGGCCCAGATGCCATTACGAGAGATTGATTTTCCCCTCACCTGTTTATCTCATATGGAATCGGTCTCGAGTAGAGCACCGGGTCACCAGCTTGAAGGTGCATTGAGGTAACGCAGCCACGAGCCCGACATCCAGGTTGGGACTCTGAGGACTGCATGCCGAGAGCATGAAGAGTGGGCGATGCCCGCCAAAGTAGTCGTGGTTCACCTCGTCTGGAGCGACATCAAGCCTATGCGTTGCGCAATGTCCACCGTGCAGTAGCAACGGAGCGGTAAGTGAAGCCTAGCACAGGATGAGGTTGGACTGGCCGACCTCCGGATTCTAGAATGCGGCTTCGTATAGAAGTGAGGGTGAGGATGCGAAAGGCACCCAGCCAAGGCGAGGCTGCAGAGCGATAGAACACTTGAGGTCACACTCGTGGTGTTGTTCGAAGAAATTGGGTTGCATCGATGGGATATTGTTCCGGGGCCAGCTTGTGCAGCTCACAATGCTGGAAATGCAGCACATCAATCCGGAAAATCGCCCGCATCGTGATGAGCAGAACAAGATGCTGTTATTGGAGAGATATTGTAGCTGCATGAGCGACTGTTTTCAAGTGCACCCACCGTCGATCAGGGATCGCCGTTGACTAGTTTCCGTTGGATCAGCTACCGTGCTGTCCATAATTAGCATGCCAATCTCGAAAAGAAAGAGAAACGTCCTGTTGAACCAAACAGCAGCCTCCGAGATATGTGTCAAGATTGCAAGGCAATCTTGTACGACAGTGCCAAGTTTTGAGCTGCAGCTCTTCACATGTTCGACAGTAAATGCAGAGTAAATGAACTCGCCTCGAGTAGGTGCTTGTCTAGGGCGAACTGGTCGAAAAAAACTGGTCGCAATCTGCGTCTGCCTTCATTAATCTCCAACGTAAATGTGCGTCATATGAAACGAGGGTGCCCACAGTTCATAACCTCTCTCATCTTCAGGGCGGGCTAGTGGAGCGTGAGCAGGGAGGGAGGCATATACTCTGTACGTACTGTACAGTACTGTGGTATATGCTGTGTACGGAATCCGAAGGCCTGCAACAACTCAATCTTGGAGATGCGGACAGAGTGGCATCGGGCTCATCTGGAACATGGCTCTGATCAGTGATGAAGGCTGCCAGGCGGTGTTTGGGGGTGACTGAGCAGCCCCATGGATCTACGTCAGCAACGGGTGATTTCCTGGTGTGCCGTGGTGCCGTGGCCGGAGGAGATGCTGGAAGGGGAGAGGCAGGGATAGGCCTCGTAAATTGCAGACCTGGTCCATGCCGTCGGTCACTTTGAGAATCCCAGTCTGACGCCTTAATCTGTTTCGGGGTTGGGGTGACATTGCTTTGGGAAGGAGCTGGCCTGCGTCGTTCGGCCGAAATCCGAGACCCCTTGGTGTTGGAATTGGTTGGACTTTTGAAATACCTATATTTTATTGATTTCCATAGCTGCAATGTCATATAGCACCGAAAACCGCAGTCGTGCATGAGACAGAGTCGGCGTCTGCATGGGTGACGAGCGATCGTCAAAGCTCGGCTTATCAACGTCTTCGGAGTTTCAGAGGGAGAGAGACTGGAAATCCTCCTGATGACCGAAGGACAGAGACGAGAGAATACTGACCGCCTTGTTCCTGCGATGTGCATACAGTACTGTGTACTATGAAGGCGGCATATGAGCTTGGGTCGGACGCGGGGGAAACAACTGCCCGGCAACCGGTAGCGGATAACAAAGTGCCAGGACACTCGCGTGCGGAAGGATTAGTCGATACGATGCAACGTGGGCAGCAGGCGAAGCAGTGACGGACATGGAACTGGAAACATCGAGGCCATGGAATCGCTGATGCTGCTTCCAACAACCACGCTCTTCCCTCCAAGCGAGCCATGCAATAATGATACGAGCCGGGTGTCGTCGCAGATCATGGCTAAGTTATTGGCATTTGCAGCCAATTGTCGTGCGCGCATTAAAAGGATCCCTTTGCCGAAAACGGGCTGATGCAGGGTGTATTGGAGAGATTAACCGGCGACGACAGCAGAACAGAGCACCGGCTGACGATGTTCGGTGGGTGCTGACAGCCTCGTGAGACCCAGGAAAGATGCAGTCAGACTTGGCCTCTAAACGGTCGGTTTATAAGTAATATAAGCTGCCAGCATCTTGTCTGGAACCTGGAATTCAGGATTTCCAATCCTTGTCGTGGTCCCAAGTCGGCGACGACGTCTCTCTCTCTCTGGAGCCAGGAGAGAGCCCCAAGGCATGCATCGTATCATGATGATGCCGCAAATGCCGCTTGGTAGCTACAGAGCCAAAGCAGAGCAGAGGCTCCAGTTCCAGTGCCGACTGACGATCGGCGACCTCTCCCAGCACAGTTTGAGCCGTGAGTCGACTGAGTCGTGAATGGCCAGCCTCGGTACGCGGTATCCCCTGCTTCGTTCGCCGCCGCTCTGACCACGACGTGGCCTCGAGGAGAGTCTCCCGGGAGATCATGCGCATGGTTTCATGCACTCGCAAAATGTCCGTTGGGTCGGGATTCATTCATCGACACGCTGAGAGCCGTCAGTTGGCCCTCGCCATGAGCCGTGTACACAGTATGGGAGGAACATCATCATGTACTCCGTACTCTTATTACTGCCTGGAGGCACTTTCTCGGGGGCTCTCAGTTTTGGAGGGCGCATCACCAGAAAGCCGCCCATGTTGATTATTTCCCGGAACGATGGCGGTTCCACGAAGGTCATCTCCGCAGCGGCCGCACGATCCCGGGGTGCTGGGACTTTTGGAAAATGGCACCAACCACGAAGCCGCCCTTGCCGAGGAGGATTTCCCGATTGCCCCTTGACGCCCCTGGTTGCTCATCCTCAAGGGCATGTGTTGCCGCCCTTGCCTTGCAGCACGCTGCAACAGACTGGAGGAAGCTGTGTGTTGTACTCGGGGAAACGCGGCGTTGCAGACACGTGGGAGTTGGGTAACACGAAGCGTGTCTGGTGCAGCAGCGACAAGTTGAGATGCAGCAACGCCTGGCCCATGATTGGCTGCCATGGCGCAAAAGCCAGAGGATGGGGATTCCGCAGAGATGAGATGAGGATTCACAAACGCGTGGAGCTTGGCTTGTTGGGTTTGGATCGACCAGGCTGCCGTCTGTGAGCGATCCATGGATCCTCGATAGCGAACGGGGGATCAAACAAGCCACGGCGACAACGAAGTGCACCCGTTGCGGGCCCGTGCAAATGAGCTTTCGTTTGGGCGTCGAGGATGCACAGGAGGCACAGGATGCAGCCGCCTTTTCCGCGATTCCCGTCACGAGGTGGGAGGTGGGCGTCAGGCTCTGGAAGGGGAGAAGAAGGGAAGAGGGCAGAAGGGACAGCATCACACAAAGACCACGACGAGAACCAAGCAGAAGGAAGGATGGGAAGATGTCCACAGTTTTGGAAGTCGCCATGGCGGTGTCGGAACTTCTTCCGAAGCGACGAGTCATGGAGGTAGGTAGGAGCCAGCGAGCACGAGCTGTCGAGACACAACGGCTGGGGAGTTCTGAGGGAACACAGGAACGCGACAAGGCAAGAGCTGCACACGATAGCGATGCGGGGCCGCCGTTTAGCAGGACCCTGAGGGAGAAGCTTTGGAAAGGGGGAGGAATCTTCGCCGTTGTCGATGCAGTGTTTTTGAAGGATTAATATCCTTAGGGCCTGGTTTGTTGGGTGCTGTGTTCTGCGGATTATTGTTTCTTCCTGTGTGCTGCCCCGCCATGGCTGACCGCTCTTTTCCAAGAGAGATGAGAGGGACGGCCGAGGGTGGAGGGCCTGCAAGCTGCAAGGGTGGACGGCTGTTTCGTCTCTCACTCGGCTGTTCTTCTCTCAAAGACTGCCATCCGTCGCACTCTCTGGTGGGAATGAATGGAAATGTTTCCCTTGACAGCTCCAGGACGCCCACCTGCTGCGCTGACAAGCAGCAGGCGGGCTGCATCGCCACCTCCCTCGTCGCAGGACAGGAGCTTTGCGAGTTTATGAGCTGGACACACTCACTGCACGGGGCGTGGTGGTGCACGCGTCATCTTCATTTATCCGCTGGTTGTCGTCGTGGTTGCGTCGATGGCCTGCCTCTCTTTCTCCTGCCCTCCCTTGCAGCCTCGTGCGCGCGCCGTCTGATCTGCCATGCATCCAGGCCCTGTCCTGGGAATCCGTCGAACCAATCTGCGCCCCTGCTCCCTGCATGTTGCTCCAAGAGCGAAGAGCCAAGAGCGAAGAGAGCGGACGTTCCCAAAAGCGACTCCATCGCCGATGCGGCAGGGAGAGACCCTAGCTGCTGTCCCGCCCCCTGGCTCGACCTGCATGACCGTTCATCTGCTCTAAACCCTTTGTGGTAGCTCTGGCGGGCTTGAAAAGAAACGGTCCACCTTGCTGCTTCACCCACGCTACTGGCGACGGCATGGACGCCACGGCTCTCTTCCCCCACAACCCTTGAAAGCCACACAACCAGCAGGAAAAAAAATAGACCCGCCCACGACTCGTCGACCTGCTTGAGCCGTCCCCACTCCCACTCCCACTGCTTCCACTCCCTTTCCCGCTCCCCTGTCGTTCGGGGGTTGCTGGTGCCCACACCCATGCTGGTGGGCCGCCGCCGACGGGCCACGAGAGAGTGTCGTCTTGTCCCTAGGGTGTGAGAGAGGGAGCGTGCTGCGTCCCTCTTCCCTCCCACCCTTTTTTTAATTGTGAACTCTCAACCACGCCAGCCGCCCGCCTCTGGCTGCCCCCTTCATATCACAGTACTTGAACGCTCCGAGGCCCGGCGCCTTCGTCCTGCTGGTCTCGCTCTCGCCCGCTGCCACACCATCGAACCCAACTAACTCACGACGCCGACGTCCCGGCACATTTCTCCCTCCCCCTCCCTCTCCGTCATCATTACAGCCCTTTTTTTATTGCTCCCATTTCTTGTCCCACTCCTTGCCCTAGTTCCAAGAGAAATCTCCCTCCATCTCCCCTCCGTCAACGCCGAGCCACTGTCGTGACCCGTCCACCACCATTCCATGGCCATGCATCTGGCTAGTATGGTACACGGCAGCGGGAGGGAATCCGAGGTGCACGACCAACACCGTCCGCTGCACCACCAACTGCACCAGCAACCACAACAAACACATCAACAACCACAACAGCAGCAGCAGCAGCAGCAACCTCTCCAACACCAACCCGCCTACTACCCCCAGCACCCTCAACAACCACATCAACAACAGCGGCGAGCCTACGGACCGCACTCGACTGCTGCACCTAGCCCTTGTCCCTCACATCACAACGGCCCCGGGTACCACTATCAGCGTCCTCCTCAGTCGCCTCCCTCGCCTCCCGTGGAGGAGCAGAAGCCCTCGCTTCCCTCCATCTCGAGTCTGCTCACCATTGCAAACTCCGAGAGAGCCAACTCTGAAACAGGTAGGTCCCCATTCCCCACACTCGCTCCTTCCTTCCTGCCCACGTACTAATTTCCCCGTCCTAGCCGGCCACAGCCCTAGGTCGCAGCAACACCCGTCTCCCCATCTTCGTGAGCAACACAATAGTTCCCACCAGCTCCAGCTCCAGCACCAGCAGCAAGCGGGAGGCGCACGTCACCGTTCGCCGCCCTGTCCACCATCAGACCTCCGTCCTGACCAGGCCTCCCACGCCTTCGGTTCCTCAATCGTCGGCAATCCCAAGATGACGATGCCTCCCACGCCGCCTCTGCACGCCGACCCGGCCGTTGATGGCAACCAGTCTCCTTCAGTCGCTTCAACCCATTCTGCTAGTCCTTACTATCTCGGCCAGTCGATGAACAACATGGAGCCTCACCACCAGCGCCAGCACACTGCACCCGCGTCTGCCGTCCACCGCCAGCCCGACCCCTACCAACCTTCCACGTCTCCTTATCAGAATTCTCCCTACGCTCAGTCCCCCTATGCCTCTTCTCCTGGCCCCGTATCCTCAGGCTCTTATTATGCGCCCGACGCTCATTACGGCAACGTCGGCATGTACGCTCAGCGGCCCCTGCCATCCGCCTTTGACCCTCACGCCATGCCCATCCATTCCCAGCTACCTCCAGCCAATGGTTCCAACGTTTGGCAGCACCACCACTACATTAGTACCTCCAACCAGTCCGCCTACTCCCCATCTCAAGACCGCTACATCTGCCCCACCTGCAACAAGGCCTTCTCGCGCCCGAGTAGCTTGCGCATTCACAGCCACAGCCATACGGGCGAGAAGCCGTACAAGTGCCAGCAACCGGGATGTGGAAAGGCATTCAGCGTGCGCAGCAATATGAAACGTCACGAACGGGGTTGTCACGCGTCATCAACTGCCACCGCCACCACCTCGTAACCCAACACAGCCTACACCTGGCATCTTCCACTTACCAGCTCTCTCCCTGCGAATCTTTCTGCATTTAGAAGCAGCGGCGGTCGTCATCACTTCTGTCAGCATCCATTTTGCCGAGCGTGATACCATTTCTATAGCGTGTCGCTTTCCTTTGGGCGTTCATAGTCTGCATTTGCATCGGCGTTCAGTTTTCAAAGTTTCGCTTTTGCTCGGCTTCGTTACAGCAGCAGTTCCATTCGCTTCCTCCTGTTTTATTGAGCTATTTCGATCTGCCGCATTCGTTTCTACAGCGTGGAGAGCATGCGCTCGCTACTCGGTTCCGATCACCAAGGGTGTCACCTGTCATCCATCTCCATTGTATCATAGCGACCTGCGCTTAAGCATACAAATGCTTTAAGAACGCGCAACCAAAACAGACCAATAAACATCTGGACCTTCCTACTATTTGCCTTTCCGCAGGTTTCAGCATTGTCGATATGTACATATTGCGGAGAGGGATTCCTGCATGAACTCCCGCCTCGCATCAGGTCCGAGCTGCAAACTGAAGAGACCGAACGCATGAGACAGGGTATGCTTGCTCGATTTTGTCCCCGAGGAAACTGTCATCGCAGGCTCATCCATGCAACTAGTCTTTGTCGCCCTACGCTACGGATTCTACTCGACTGCGCAACACTCGCCCTGGGAGCTCAGGGGCCCGTCACCAATCCAACCTAAGCCCACGTGCGCTGTGAATGAGCGCCTCGGGATGGTGACTTGTTGACAGGAAATGTATTGAGTGCTCGCTTGGTCTGGCCACGTCCCTATTTGCAGCAACAGGAAACTCTCCAAAGCCGTGCAAAGTGAGCGCCGCTGTCACGCGGAGAATGCTAATAAATCACGCTGACGAGCATAGGCAGTTGACATGGTGCTAGGCGTCGTCGATCAGTTGAGCTTACATCTCCTAACAGCCACTCATGTCTGGAAGAGATGTCAGCCATGGACCTTGATCCTGGTCTGCAATCAATCTGTCGGTTGCGTTTCAGATTCATTTCTCCGAGCCTCGCAATTCGGGGTTCGTGGACCATCGCGATTCGACGTTCAGGGTCCCCCGGGCGTCATCAAATGTTGTTCAGATATGAAGCACCCTTCTTCTCGCCGCGAGTCTTGTCCACGTTCAAGGCTGGAAGAGAAGCAGCATAGTTGGGCCGCAGCACGGTGCAAGGAAACTCCGCCCCCGCCCTCTCCCGCAGGCGAACGGACACATAACAGGAGTACCTAGGTACACCGTAATATGGAGCTCCTGGACCTCACAATATTCGCTCCTACTCGCCAGGCTCACATTAGTGCGCGACAGATCCTCCCTACTTTGGTGCAATACAAGTAGTTTCAGGAGCTGTTCATAAAAAGGCGGTCCCTCAACAAGGTTTTGTCTAGGCGTCTGCCCGAAAACTCAAAGTCACTCGGTAGTCACTTCACCATGTTTTTCTTCATCAGATGTGCTCCAGAGAAACGTCCCCCTCACGCATCATATCAGTGCGCCAGACGGCACGGCAGATGACAAGGCGCACTCGATGGCTGTAAAGTTTGCGCCGTGGCTTTTTACTCTTTCCAAGGATCCCCTTTGTTGCCTGCTGCTGATCATGATCAGCGACGTCCCGTGTCCCTCTCCCGAAGCTGGCGCAGCACATCATTTTGGTGTTGTGCGCTAGCGCGACCGTCGGGTGGTTCCAAACTCTAACCATCTGTCGGTCATGCCCTATCGAGCATACCGGGAAACGCCACAACGCCCACTGTTCCTATTTCCTTCCTCTCGGAATCGATTCGCGACCATCTCAACGAGCAGTGAGCGTAACACCAAGGAAGTCTCGGCAGCAGGCTTCCGGAATTTCCTCGCCTTTTCCCGGCTGCATGCTGAGTAGGTTAAACTCTGGATGTGCTCTGCATCTTGTCGTCACTGTCAGGTAATTCGCCCCTGAACCTCGGTTTCTGGAGCCAGAGACCAGGCCGGAAACTTTGTAGGACCCTGATTCAAGTATCCAAATAAGTAAAATGTGATCGGCGAGAGATTTTGCTGTGTACGGTAGCAACAAGTGCGGGGACGACCTGGACCTTGCAAACCTCTATCGAGCTATTTATTCCTACAAGTAAGTTCGGGATATCGATGCGCCCAACAACAAGATTGCCGGCTCCAGGGATTTCTGAGATGCACGCAAATGGGCCATGCCCCATAACGCTAAGGCAAAGTAGGATTGGAAAGCATACCCCTTCCCCTAGGGCAAAGGACGATTGGAAAGCCTACACACCGCTAGCTTTGAGCCAGGAATGAGAGTCTATACCTCACTAACATGCTGGGTTGTGGATCCGCTGTCCAAAGGCATGTTGACTTCAAAAGAGGCACCATGCGAAGAGGGACAAGCTTTCGTAACAATATTTCTTATCCCCCGCTAAGATGTCCAGTACCTAGGCACTGAGATAAAACGACGAGGTGTGCAAGGATGTACTCCGAGTCCCGCCGCCTGCAGCGTTCCACGACATGTATGTAACACAACCAAGTACGATTACTTACGGAGAAACACGTTGGATACTATCGAGCGCCTTTAGAAACTAGGAGCCCGCAGAGCTCCAAGTACAGTAGCTTCGACGGTATATATATGATGATATAAGCCTTATAATATATCCGACCAACAAAGAGATTCCATACCCCACAGAAATAACAAAAACAGCGTCCCTCACCCTCAATTCCGTTTTCCCTTCCTCACTTTTTCAACACCCAACCCCCTCCTCTGCGTCTTGAAATTGGGTTTACCACCACCACCGCCTCCCCTCCTCCCCATACCAGACCCCGACTTCGCCTTCCGTACCGCCTTCTTCCTCTCATCATCGTCGCTGTCCACATCCATCTCCTCGTCCTTGCGCCTGCGATTGCTGAACTTCAGCTTACCCTTTTGCCCGCGCTGCGCCGCATCCTTGCCCCGTATGGCATCCACGTACGCATTGATGCCCTGCTCCAACGTCGTCGCGTCGTCGTTATCAATGTCCATGAGGACATCCCCTTCGTCCGCCCCGGCCTTCCTACCCGCGCTCTTCAGACGGACTGCAGGGGTCTCATCATCATCCGACGCACCGATGATGAGCTTGCCGTCCTCATCCGTCTTGACCTTCCTAGGCTTATGCGCAACATTCCGTTGACGCAGCGGTTTGGTCGAGGAGATATTGCCCAGTGCGCGATTCGACAGGAGATCCAACGGCTCCTCCTCGTCTTCCACAATGTACGTCTGCGGCAGCTGATTCGCTTTTCCGGATAGTTTGCGAGACTGTTTCTTGACGAACTCGTCCTCGGAGTCTTGATTCTCTTCTTCGCTCTCGTCACTCTCGGAGCCGTACACAGCCTGATCGTACTCGCTTTCGAACCTGCCCTTCCTCTTCTCCTGCTTTGCCGCACCCCCTTCCTCGTCCTCGCCGCCGTTCATCAGCTTCTTCTTCTTGCGCTGCTCGCGCGTCTTGCGGATATGCGTAATGAGCTTGCGGTCCTCGGGCGGGCACGCGCGCTCCACCGCCTCGACGCTGAACTTGCGCACCATGCGCTCGACAATGTGCTTCACCTTTGCCTTGAAGTGCGCTTTGTGCTCGTGGCTCCACACCATCAGGTTGCTCAATAGCGTGTTCAGTCTGGGCCGCACCAGGCTCTCCGGGAGCGTCACCACCTCGACCTTGACGAAGCCCAGCACGCTCCGGACGATTTCCCGATTGGGATTCTGCAGGAAGATGTCCATGAGCTCGACGAGGTTCTGTATCGTCTCCTTTGAAATGCGCGAATGGAATTCGTACAGGATGCGCGTAACGGCTGTGATGGAGGCGGAGATCATGTGCGGCGTGGATCCTGCGAGGCCAGCTGATACCATGGTAAAGTACTCCTCCAGGCTGGCTTCCACCGACGGTGCATCGGCGGGCATGCCAGGTACTTTGGATTGAACGACGGTCCCGCCGAGGTTCATCTTCTCACCCATCGCCACGAGGAGATCATAGGCGGCTCCTCTGGCCTTCTCATTGACCTCCTTCGCGGAGATGACAACTTCAGAGAGGATCGACGGTATAAAGTGGAGGTCGCTTGCAGGGAGAGTCTCTATGATCTGTGCGATGGCGGCTAGGCGGTCTCTGCGAGCGGGAGCAGACGCTTTCTCGGCGCTCTGCAGGAGAAGCTGTTGCAGTTCAGCACTACGTTCTTGCAGTGCTGCCTTGCCAACGGGCGATTCTGCCAGACGTGGGATCAACTTGTACGCTTTCTTCTGGAGCTGGGGGTCATCATCCTTGTTGACCAGGGTAGCAGCCATTTGAAACAACGCTGGATAACTCTCTCGAGGTAGGTAGACGGACATCGTAATCACCAGGTCCATGAGGGTATGGCTCATCGGCGGCATCCTGTTCTGTGACTTCTGTTGCTTCTGCTTATCAGCTTGCGTTTGCGAGCCAGCTTCAGCCAACGATGCTTCCAGATTGGTCGCAACACGTTGGAAGGTGTCCATTAGCTCCTACAATATGTTAACAGATGTTCTTGCGAGCTGCGATTGCTTTGACATACCTCCTCTGGGATGATGCTTAGGAAAGCGTTGATGGTCCTCAGAATACTCCCACGATACTGTGGCAGCGTCTGGCTGTACACGTTGAACAGAACAGCCAGCATGTTCCCTGCGAATGTGGCAAGGTGATTCAAGTTCTTTTGTGCATCTTCCTTCGTGATGCGTGCCTGCACGAACAAATCATCCTCTCCTTCCAGGTTCAAGATGGCTTTGTTGCTCTCCACGAGGTTCTGAAGAGCCCGGCAGAGATCCGTTCTCAAATCGGATTGTCCATACAGGAGATTCGCCAGCATCTCCGCGAAGCTCTGATCAAAAGCCTCAACAAGATCGAGCGGCAAATCGCAATATCCCGGAAGAATCGACCAGATCTGCTGAACAACGGTTTCGAAAACCTTGACCTCCATCGTCTTCTCCTTTCCAGCTTGGTCAAGAACCTTTTGGAAGAGAACCTCGCTCAGAGGAACCATTGTAGATCGGAAGTGAGCCAGCTTGGTATTGTGTACTGAATCCCGAAGCAGAGGTAGCATCCACACCCTTCCGGGCTGTCCTGGTGGCGGCTGCGGAAGATTGAGAGGCAGTATGTCGAGAACGACATCCGGGCCCATGGAACTGATGGCTCTTGAAATGACTGCATCGGCTTCCTTTTTTCCCGCAAACGATTCGTTGCTTCTCAGTTCCCCTACTATACGGACAATCGGCCTCAGTATCGGATCAGCGCGCCACCGGAGCGCTTCAAACATGGCACAAAGCACATTGAACACCTCCATCCAAGCCGACTGATATTTGACACTCAGCAGATCCGCCGCAGTCTTGGCTACCTTCTCGAGGATCTTCTCATCGTATATGGACGGCTCTAGGATAACGCTGTCGGGTATTAGGTTCACGAGGAAGGAAATAAGGCACTCGGATGCCGAGATTCGAATATTGTGAGACGGCGAACTAAGAAAAGCCGAAAGCATGGCGAAGAGTTCTGGAAGTTTTGCGAACGTTTCCTCGGGTTCGATTTGCGCCGAAACTTCGTAGCCTCTAGATAGGACTGCTACCCAGGGTGGGAGCAGCTGCGAATCGGTTTTCGAAGGTTGAAGCTCGGATACGACTTCTAGCAACCTAGGGAGCTTAGTAGACGAAACCTCGCCGGCCATACCCGCGAAGATGACTTCGAAGATTTCGAATGCTGCCATAGTCAAGTATTCGTTGCTGGACCGCGAGATATTCAACAACAGCTCACAGAGAATATCGATCTTCTTGCTAGGCCAACCTCCAGACGCAGATGCAACAGTCCTGATTAGGTGCAGCGCATGTATCAAGCCAGGATCGTTGCTGTGAGCATCCTTATGTCCCCTGTGTTTCTTGTTTCTGTTCGCGGCCTCTGCAACGTCCTTCAACATCTTCAGCGCGGTTTCAGCACACATATCCGCAGCCGGATGGTCTGGGGAAGGGCTCGGAGGAGGGTTGCTCAGGACTTTCGCCAGCGCTTCCTGCGCTCGCTTCCGTACTTTCGGTCGAGGGTCGACGGCGATATTCAGCAGGCCAGCCACAGCCCGTCTAGGGCTGATTTGTGACTGAGGAAGTTCCCATCCTCGCGCGTCCTGGGTAACCAACAGCGACTCCAGACAGCCTATCGACGACCGCAAAAGGGGTGCTTCGGCATCTTGATGTGTGAGAGCCGGGGCAAGGCTCGTAAGGATTTCGGTGAATTTGGAGCGTAGCAAAGGTGCCGGAACGTGCGGAGTGACGAGGTCGAGGAGGTATATGACGGCTGTTGCAGTTTCCTTATTTACTATGCCTTCGGTCGTCACCTGGCGGTTGAGGAGTGCAAGAAGCGCAGCGAAGTATGCGGTGGGCGTGAATTCCGACGATTGTCCACGGAGCGTCTCCTCGATCGCGGAGAGCACTATGGCAGTTTGCTGCTGATTTTGGAGCTTGGGAGAGTCACGGATCTTGGAGAGCCTCTCCTCAAGCGACATGGCGGGCGGGTTCCGAGGGTTGTATCCGTCTGCCAGTGCGGTTGACCTCGACGGGAAAAATGTTGACGCACAAATCTGGTGTTCAACATTTTTGCCGGGGGCGGTGAGGGGCGTATCGATAAGGGCACCCACACGGGTTATGGATTGAGATACTGGCACGTGACAGCGCGAGGTTTCATGTCCGCAAGTCTCAACCTTAAGATCTTGACATGGAACTGAAGATGCTATTAGACTATATCGGCTCGGTATGGCATATATGTGCCATGTATGACGAGTATCAAGTTTGGGTTGTACAACTACCATTACAACTATATCCACAAATACGTGATGCAGAAATGCGTCGACCATCTAACAAAAGTCCAGGGTATACATAGAAGACGACCACCAGCGCCAGCTGCAAATCGTAACGATTCAACCCCTTCGCTTCCCGTGAAGCCGAAGGAATCAGAGAACCAAACCCCTCGTTTCTCTATATCCTCCGACGAGATAATATATACCGTTACAAACGAAAGTAGAAGTTGGGCCAATCCCAGGAGTGAAAGTCAACGAATCCAGGGCTCCTCGCTCACTGCCCATTCTCATCTTATTCCTCTGTCAGTGTCTCTGCCGCTTTGACGCTATTCTTGCTACTCTTCTTCCCGATATTCAACATGCTGAACCTCTTGCGTACGCTATTCTTTCTCGGATTATCCGACTTCTCGCTCTTGACGCTCTTGATACTCTTGCTCGTGTTCGGCCGCCTATCGACACTTTCGCTTCGCCGCCCACTTCGGACAGGAGTCAGGTGGGCAGAAGGCTCGCCAAAGTGTTGACTGAGCCGCTTCGCCGCTTTGGAAGTGTCCTCTTCGTGGTCCCGTGAGGGTGCGACAGCCGCGAAGCCATTAGATTGCTGATTGTCAATAGAGTTCTCGGCCTTGTGCTCGGTAGGCCCGTCTGTGAATGCGCTCCTCACTAATGCAAGACCTATACTTAATCGTTTCTTCTCCTGGCGTGCAGTCCAGCCATTCAGGGTAGGCGATCTCACCCGGCTTCCATCTCCTTGGCTGGCAGGGCTTACAGGTGAACCACCGAACTGCCGCAGTGGAGAGTTCGTAGACCCTCCTCGTAGCGAGCCAAGGGGTGAGACTCGAAGCGGTGTAGGGTTTGCCGGTGCCAGGACAGTCAACTCACGTTGATATGCTGAGTCAAAACCTTGGATATGTTAGAGCAGTACTTGGGGAAGCGCATATGAACGTAATCTGTGCAACTTACGTTGAGTCAGATCAGCCTGGGTGGCTTTCTGTGCCGGCCTATTGAGAAGATTTGTTAAGCAACGCCGTACCACGAGGGCGTAGTCTATCAGGGCCACTTTCAGAGCATTCTCCAGAGGATCCGGTTCCACCGGGAGTGTCTCTCCGTCGACAAAATCAGAATCGTCTTGTTCGGTCAACAAACTGTGGTAGTTTGCGACACACGCCTCATGCCTGGTATCAACTGCCACAGTGAGATCCTTTATGAGGGTCGTCATGGCAGCGTCCTCGCCATTCTGAACCTGCTTTTCGAGTGCGGCCAACTCCGCTGTCTTGCGACATGTCCTATCGATAGCGTTTTGTAATGGGCTCGGCGTTACCGTTACCACCGATATTATCTCACTGCGACGCAGGATCGTTGGAAATGCCTCGGCTGTTGTGTAAACCGTCTTTTCTACAACGATGTGCTGCTGCCCGTCGGTACCCGTCCGATTGATCCGTGAGGTGGTTGCGAAATGTGTCGGCCTCGAAAGGAGATGGAAGTCTCTGACCGATTGTGCGACTTTCGCACGCTGGTAAACGGGATGGGTGAAGTCCTTCTGCGGGGATACGGGGAAGATGAGTAGAAACTGGCCTTCCAAGATATCTTCAGCCCCAGTATTCAGAATCTGAGCGGTAGGATGCTGCTGTTGCATGCGATCAATGAAGGTTGAAAGGCGATCATTGGGTGAGCCCTCGAATATAAACTGTTTGTCGCGCAGGCCTGCCGGAAAACCGAGTCCTTTGTAAACAACTCTAAAGTAACGAGGATTCGCACGCTCCCCCTTCGCTATCTTTTCATAGACGTAGGCCATGGCGTGCTGAGTTCTGGCTAGCTTCGGAAAGTCGAAAACGTTGCTCTGATACTGCGTGGCTAGTTCCATATATGTCCCGAGAGCGTTATCCCACGACTGCCCTTTCTCATAGTATTCGATCATCCGGAAATATAATTGCTCTTTCCTCTCGAATGCGCTTTGCTCAGGGAAGTCGGGGTCGGCGAGCGGTTCCAGCATTGTCGATGGTTCCCAGTCGTAGAGTTCGGCATGCAAACGGAGGGCGAGGCCAGCTTCAGTGTAGTTTTGGGCTTCTTTTTGCAGGTCCACCAGCTGGTGGACATATCGTATATAAATGTCCTCTTTCTGCATGTCTTTCAAGAATTCCATCAGATGGAGCGTATCCATGATATGGAAAACTTCGCCAACGGCCTCTGTGCTATGTACGGCGACGAGGAGATCCATCTGTTCATCAATTGTGGCGATAAGGTCCTTGACAGCGACGAAGAGCGCATCGTCAGCGTCTTGGGATACAGGTTCGAACCTGTCAAGAAGCTCTTGTATGAAATGCTTTTGAAGCACGGCCTCTGTGAGGTGTTTGGACTTGAACATCCCGTCTAGGCAATCAATCATCTCGGCCTGGATCAGCTCTAAGCCAGCGTTCAATGTCCACTCGCTGATGATCATCGTCTGCAGGATGCCAGTTGCAACGCTGCGCAGACCTTCATGTACGCTGAGACATAGGTGGACGATTGGCGCAACCAAGCCTGGAACATATTGGACTTGGAAACCGCCCAATTTATCCAGGCCATATTGTTTCTTCTCGTCTGCAGTTGTCTCCCATCCGATGGCTTCCCAGCTCCTCTGCAACAGTTCGGCGCCCATTTGCCGGACGTCCCCGGCGATCTTCCAAACCGCACGCCGTTTCTGCTCTGGGAACGTCTCCAGCGCTAGAGCATCGCTGCCGACTAATTTTAAAAGAACATCAAAAAAGGAACGCCAGAGGCCTGTGTCGAAATTATCCACGTCCTCCGGGTCGGAGGGGAGGAACGAATCAATCATAACACTCGCTATCTTCTCCAGCACTTTTATGGTGGATTTGTGCTGGTAGATATGGACACTGAGCCAGGATTTGGGGAAGGCCTCGCAATCGAGTATGGAAGTGAAGACCTGTAAAGCTGTGGACAGGAAAGGGGCGATATCACTCTGTGGTAGGTCCGGATGGATTATTGTGGGTGACGTAGACAGCGCTGCAAGAACTGCAGAAATCTCGACCATTGCTTCGTCGATCCTTGCTTCGGTGGTAGTGGGACGAGAGGGAAAGGGGTACGTAGTGGGGAAGAGAAGGGAGAGAGTCTTCTTTGCCGGCTGTGTAGTATCCCCTTCTCTGTCTCCCTCTTTCCCTCTTCCTCTCTCGCGTTCCCTCTCTTTCTCCCGCTCGCCTTGAAGTGCGCGATAAGAGTGCACCAACTTTGGCATATACGCGCATGCGTGCTCGCCGAGCTCATCCACCTGGGAAGCAACGACTGAGCAGCACAGCCGCACCTGGTCCTTCCATTGATCATCCACACTATCCACCTTACCCCAGTGTGGAGCAAGCCATCTGACGGTATTCATGAGGAGAATCCGTCGTATATCTGGCAAGTTGAAAACATCCATATGGAAGAGATGACGGATGAGCAGAATTTTGTAAAGAATCAACTTGCCCTTTGCTGTGGAGCAGGACTCGACAAAGCTGCAGGTCAGCTTCAGAATGTCGGTCGGATGTATGGAGGGCGAGAGTTCCGGAAGCCAGGTGTGGAACTGCTGCACGAGAATCGTCTTCGTCCCAATCAAAACCGGCGACGGATTCTCCATAAGAGCCTCCAAAGCCTGGAAAATAGAGCGGATATCCCTGGCAAAGGTTTGTTGACGGGTCGTTATACCGATCCCCGCTTCCTTTTCCTTCTGCTGCTGCCGAGCGCTCATGATGAATTTAAGAATCTGTCGCCCAACTTTGAACGTGGCTCTCAGCCGCCTTGAAGACTCTGGATCTGTCGGGTTGGCAAGGAGTCGGATATAACTACGCACCAAGCACGCCGTAGCAAAAGGATAGTTGAACTTCGTTTGAACGTACTGGTCTACCAGCGGGCTTAGTTTGAACCGCCGGTCATGTACGATGCCGAGGACTACAACGAGGGCATTGAAGACAAGGTCCTCATACTCATCGCTACCGGCATATTCGACCAGAATCTCAAACAACGCATCGAAGACCTCATTCAAGAGCTTCACCAACTCTATCTCCGCAACGAAGGGAAATCTCTTGAGGAGTCCAATTAGATCTCCGGCGGCTTGGTCACGCCACCTGAGGACACCGAGCAAGGTTGGATCCTGAGAGTATTCCGTACTGCACAGGTATGTCCGCAGATTGAGTGTAGCGAGGGTGCCCATGACCAGCTCATCTTTTCTTCTCGCTTCCCATGGGAGGCCGAGGTAGGCGCCCTTTCCGGCGATCATGCTGGATGTGTATTCGTCATATCGATAGAGGGAGAGTGAATGCTCCCCGTCCCGGACAAAGGCATCCTGATTCCAAAGGGGCATCCAGCCCAGGGCGAAAGGGAAGCCTGGAGCATCAGCTATGCTCATGACAATGTGGGAACCAGGAACGTCTTCGGGAGGGATGGCGAGTCGAATGGTCGCATTCCACTGCTCTCCTCTCTTTATTGCTGTAGTGCGCCAGGCGGTGTGGCCGACACTGTTGCTGGACGGATAGATACACCCCTCAATTCTGTCGCCCGATGCTTTTCGGACCTCAAGAGTCAACTGCAGGTTTAGCATGGACGAAGCCGGTGCAAGCGGTACAGTGCCAGTCTTTGGATGTGAAAGGCAGGCATTTTTGGGCAGAGAAGGTTCGACAAGGGTGACGTAGATGTCGCTCCGAGGCTTTGTTGGTGCTCCAGAGAAGCCAATCTTCCGCGTCAGTTTGATGTTCTGAAGGAGCGTGGGCGTCTTTTCGATCAGACTGTCTGAGTCTGCGTTTGAGAAGGCTTTTAGGTGAAGTATGATGCGGTGAATGGATGCGTGATTCCTATATAGACCATTCGGGCTTGGAAACAATTCGGGGAGGATATCATCCCAACCTTGGCCATCCTCTGGAGCCTCGTCAAGAGCGTCTGCCGGGGTCCACATGGTGACATTCTGGTCGCTTTCCGATAGAGCTCTCATGAGCGGGTCGACCCGGAGCGCACCCATCGCAACAGCTCGCTTCATAACCTTCTGATCGCGAGGAGACGATGGTTTTGCCTTGGCAGCCGACGAATCGGGACGTCCATCCTGGCTTTGAGTGCGGTCTACATCTACACTGGTTGCCCGATTTTCGGTCGATGCACTGGACGGCGAATCCTTGCGTTTGCCACCAAACATTGCACTACGCCGCCCTTTGACACTTCCGACCTGCGACGATTGTAGTGTTGAGGTGGTGGGTACCTTTTCTCGTGACGAATTGGCAGATTCGGGATTAGCTGGCTCAACGTGGAGCGGCTCGTTAACCAGCAACTTGAAAACCAGGTATAGGCAGGACCCAGAACTCGCTCCTTCGCCGATATCACTGGAACTTAGGTCAACAAAGAGTGAGCGCAACTTGTCTCCCGATACATGGAGTGGAGTTCCATCCTTCCCCGTGAGATCGAAGGAATATACCTCCGAGAGAGGTTTGGCTTTCTCGCCCGGTTCCTTCAGGCATAAGTGCATGCTCAGTTGGGGCGAGCCCTGTGTTAGATCTCCCAGCACATGTTTGATGCTGACATAAAGATGGTGTAAGATGTGCTCATCCACATGAGGGGTTGGACGGGCATCCAGCAGACTCATTATGGATTGGAGTTTCGTGACTTCGATGGCCGAGTCGTCACTTGTTAAGATGCGGCCACGTTGAGACGGACTCCGCACTATGACTTCCTCGCAAAACACCTTGTTCCCGGCCACGAGATCCCAGACGGTACCTTCGCGTACCTTGTCCAACTCCTTCGCTGTGAGTTGCTTGTTTAATAGCTGGCGTCGAGTGGTATCTAATTTCCGCACGAGTGTCTCCATCTTGTCGAGGTGAGCGTACTTCCGTGACAGGATAAGCTCATGCACTTTGGTGGAGTGCCATTCCCGTAAGCACGAGGCAATCTCATCCACCAGCGGCTCCTGATAGGACGTAGGGGTTTCGTCTCCAATCTTCAGCATGGGCACGGGGGCGGGTGGGCGAGGCGCATTGGGATCGCGAGACGTCACGGACTCGGGCGACAAGGGAAGGGCGAGCTGTTGGGGGTGTTCTGAGCGGGCGGTGAATTGCGAACCACGGTCGGACCGCGAGCTTCCTCGAGTATGTGAGGCAGTCCCTCTAGCAGGCGCAAACGGTGGGGTTGTGCTCGTGCTCCCTGTAGGGGTAATGACGCCGTTGGATATGGGGCCACCGAGAGCTTGATGGGAGCCGGGGCTCCTCTCCGGAGTGTCGGGTAGGGCGGGTGTGTGCCTTCCTTCGAACAGGAATTCGAGGACACGAACGCAGACGCGTGGGAAGATGCCGGAAAAGACACGAGCTTCCAGTGGTTGTCCCTTGGCACTGGTGAGGCCGGCCAGCAATGAGGGCGCAGCAAGCAGGTATCCACGGTACCAGGCGCCATCCTTTCCACCCTGCTCAATGATGTACAATTCGTCGCCAATCTCGAGGGGAAGGTCTTCGCGGGCGGAGGGCTGGAAGGGATAGGTGCAGACTGCGTATGCAACCTGAGGGAGTGGTCGCCAGCTAGACATGTCGCCGGTGTGCAGCGTCTGTTTGGGCGCAATACGTCTCCAGCATTACGGGGAAAGGAGAGAGGCGGCGGAGCGCGCCCGACAGAGCGAACAATTCGCTGTCCGTCCAGGCCGCGGGCCACGAGTGATGCGAGGTCGGGGTGGTATCTGGCAAGGTGTACGGAGTAGCAAGGCCTCCGATGGGTCTCCCAGGGGTCGTGGAGAGCGATGTGCGGAGGTGCGGGAATCTGGGGAAGTGCTGGGCGCGGGGGGAACACAGGACGAAACGAGGGCGAAACACGTCCAAGTGGACGCGACGACAACTCTTGAAACGAAACGGACGTGCAGCCGTGAGTCGTGCACGGCGACAAGAATGAGGGTGGTGGGTGGTGAGGGAGGGTGAAAGCAGCTGGAGGAACAAAGGACACGGGTGGGCGTCGAAAAGTTTCCAAGGTTCCCCAAAGCTCCTGCATGGCGCTAGGGACGAGCCCATGCATGCGACCCCCTGCTCGCAGCTACAGATCATATTACTGGGTATGTACACATAATTATTTATCTGTAGGTAGCTATAGCCTCTACATACTACACTGCAAGCACTCAATCTGATGGATTTTGGGATATCCAATGCATCTCCTACTTACATGACGCCTGTTTGAAAGCCGTTCTCCTCGGCTTAGGCGCCATGTATATAGGTACATATGCGGCCACACGTAATGTGGTTTTCTTATCACAGTGCATACACTGCGAATCCCGGACTTCAAGTCTGAGGGATCACCCAGATTGCGGAGGTAAGTGGTAGACATTCAATCGGCATCCATCACTCACGGAATCAGCTATCCCATAGGTACAGGAACGCCAATCCAAGGCAAGATAACCATTTGCGAACGGCGTAGTTTCGCCCGGATGAAGAAGTAGCTCTGCAACGTTATCAGCATCATTCTAATAAGCCAGCCAGGCTCTCACTGCCATGTACTCACTGCTCGAGCTGGATTCCCATTCCAGTAATGACTTCGCACTGGGCCCGTTCTCCACGCGAGAGCTCTGCCATCTCCACCTCATCGCCACTGTTGAAGACCATCCTCTGGCCGTTGCCAAAGGTGGCCCACTTTGGCGAGACGAGCGTCTTGTTACCGGAGACTCGGAACTCGACGGGGTATTTGTTCGGATCGTAGCTTCTCACGAACGAAGCGAGATAGCCTTGCATAAAACGGCCCGCAGCAGTAGAACCTTTGCTCCAAATGGCAGGGAGCTCGGACACGTGTACAGCGGTTCCGACGTTCCATCGATACGCCCGAATGGGTACAGTGCCGTCTGCGGCATAGGCAGCCGATATGTTCAGTGCGCCGCAAGTGTAACGGATGTGGCCGTAGATATCGGAAGCGATCTTTCGCCATCGACTGTCGAAGACGGGGTCAACCGGTCCTCGCCACACCCTCCGAAAGCGGACTATTTCCTTTTGATTGATGTTGGTGAATTGACTGGTGATGAACTGCTCGGCACGACGCAGAGAAGTGATGGTCTTGGGGGTGAACACCGTTCCCTCATTGGTAGTATCCCCGAAAATCGTGGGGACTCTAACCAAATGGCCCGCTTTTATCTCGTTGTAGGTATAATCTTTGATAAAGTTATAGTCAAGCGTGGGATTCCAAAAGTATACTGGAGGCGCAGATCCGCGAGGAAATGCAACCTTCATTCTCCGAACCGCCGCTTGAAAGGAGACGGCATCCATATCTCGCAGGCATTTGAGATCAGCGCACTGAGTCTCTTGCAGCAGGGCATCGTACGCAAACTGGCTCTGCTCGGCGTTGCGTATTGGTGGGAAGGCTGGAGATTCAGCAAAGGCAGCGTGGAAGAGGTCATCGTTTCTACCACCATAGGCAGTCAAATGCATCACGACCGAGCCTCCGCCAGCACTAGCCCCTCCCAGGACAATGTGATTTGGGTCGCCTCCAAACTGACCATTATCGTCAGCGTGAATGCTGTAAGGGCAACTTTAGGCACATACCTTGCTGATATGTGTCTTCACCCACTTCAACAGCTGGCGCTGATCTTTCAGGCCATTATTCAAGCTTAACTCTTTATCTTCAGCAATCTCCTTGCTAGCAAGGAATCCATACGGGCCGACCCGGTAGTTGAAATTGACAACGACCATCTGGCCATTGGCAGCGTCGATCAGTTGGGCACCATTGTAGTCGGCATTTCCATTGTCATTGAAACCACCCCCTTGGATGAAAACGTAAACGGGCAAGGCGCTCGTGTTTGTTGCATCGGCTGGCGCAAACACGTTCGCGAATAGGCAGTCTTCAGATTCACGCCCTCCGAATTCATTCTTGAGCACCGATTTCGATCCGATGCAGATAGATCCGAACTGACTTCTATTAGCCTCACAATCCAAGGCACATGCGAAGAACTGAAATACCTCACTGGCGTCGACGACAATACCAGGCCGTTCCGGGAGAGGATCTTGGGGTGCAGTAAAGCGCAAGCCATCTACCCGGGAAACCGAGCGGGCATACCGCATACCGGCCCATCTAATCACACTGCCATTGCCCTGATACACGCCTCGATATTGAGCATAACCCAGATCGACAACTGGGTCCACAGCAATAAGCCGCCGGACGCATAGTGCGAGAAACGCAAGGAGGATGTTGACCATGTGTTGTCACCGATGCATCGAGCAGGTGATGTCTGACAGTCGGCGCGAATGGCAACGAAGATGTGGACCGGAGCTCGAGATGATGGTGTTGTCGAATTCTGGAGACAGGTCCAGACTTGCCCAGCAACCGTCTGTCTCGCAACACTCTGATCTCTCCTAGGGTAGGTTTGACGACGCCGGCGTGGAATCAGAAGTTCACGGTGACATGCGGAGTGACGCTATCGACGCTCCATATTTTGTGGCTTCCTCAAAACTCCAACGGGAATAAGCGGGAATGAATGAACGAGGTGAAATGAAGAGACATGGCAGAGGTGCTAGGGAAGGAGACAGTGGTAAGTATATATAATAGGAGCGAACCGTCGGCATGTCCACTCTGCCGTGGAGAGGTCTAGATCCCGGTTGGCCATATATTGCCATTGCTCGAGCTGACAGAAGTCCGCGACTCATCAGCGTTTGTTGGTTTGAGGGGCTCCATTTCAGGGTCTATCTCCCGCAGCGCTGAGTGGAGGCGGAGTCGGTCACGGACCCTCGAATTCACACTGCGGCCAGAACACCGGGGCCGAGGCCTGGACTGGATGAACCATGTTGGCGTATGCGTATGTAACGGAAGATGGGCAATCACAATCACCGCGCTGACGTGCTTCTCGGGCGAAGGAGCAAATTCTTCAGTGATAACGCTATGCTTATTGAAATGTTTTGGGGGAGCATCAGGGATGGTCAACAGTGTCGTGGCGATGGGAACGGGTCATGGATAGAGGTCAAATCAAGCGTGCGCCAAGATGTACCTGTGGCCAAGGGCGTTTGACATCCCCGCTATCTGACCAACGGCCTGGTAACATAGGTATACGCAGAACACCTGATGGATTGGCAGCTTGCAACAGATATAAACAATTGACTGCTTCAATCTTTGCTTGTGCGGGGGACCACATATTGCGGCACAGTCCACTCGTACGATCCGTCAAATAATCGGCTTACCGGCCGCTTTGATCTCGCACAGAGAATGCGAGTCGTACGGGATTGGCGCGATAGAGGCGCTCGAGATGACGGCAGTCGATGATATAGAACCCTAGATCTAAATCACGGGAACGAAGCACGGGTTTAAGATAGTTATATACAGTTTCCCTTTTTCTAGTAAATATCTACCAGATCGAAGTGGAAACCAAGTTGGATATCTACATAGAGAGAGTGCTTCATGTTGTGTCGGTGCGCCTCAATATCGCGTCAGTCGCTAACCGCCGCAATCCAATCCCATGGCCGAGTTCTTCCACGTGGACTGCGTATGTTGTACCCTATCTTGGAGCACTGCAGTGCCACCAGACTCGAGGGAAATGTGTTTTGCTTCGCTTAAAGTACATGAGCCGGTACGCCAGGTTGATGCTGCTTGCGAGTCTGAAAAACCGTGTGCTGCCGAGGCCCTCTCGATGCTGCTTTGCCCGTTGGAGAAGCGCATATCGAAGCACAAGGTCTGTTCTTCACCCGACCTCCTCGCCCTCCATGCTGCCTACCATTTCAAAGAAGCATTCGAAGAACAGACACCTCCCATCCGAGCTCCCCGTCTGCATGCTGTCTTGGACGCTCTGCTGAGAAGACGAAATTTGTTTTTGCCCGGACCCTTCACCCTTCCATTGATCTTTACACTGCCAACACCCTCACACATCAAATCCCCAATGACCTAAAAATCCGTCACCCTCCCATTATAACTCCAATCCCCCTGCGCCCCCCACCTCAACGGCTCATTCTTGGGGCCCCCAATCTCCCCCGTCTTGGGATTAACATCGCCCTCAAACTCCGGCGGCGCTCCCCTTCTCAAATTCGGATGCACCTCCTCGCCCTCCTGGATCCTCACCGCATCCACCGTCCTGATCTCATCCCCAGAAGCAAGATCAGGTGACTGGTTGATCCTAACTGACGACGACGACGGCAAGCTAGAAGAATCCGGGGATTGATTGATTTCCGGTCGAGGCGTGCTGAAGGCGCCCGTCGATTGTCTTTGCAGACGCTCGAAGATTTCTTGCTCTTCCTTGGGGAGGCGCGGTGGCGCAGGGCCGGATCCAAAGGGTGACGAGGGTGAGAAGTGCCGAGGGTTGGTGGAAATGGTGCGCTGAGGGTGCACGCGTAGTCGCTGTAATGGTCTTAAATGGCGTGCTAGGCGTATTGTCTGCATTGTTGATGTGTTGGAAAGTATGGAAAGTAACGATGGAAAGATGACGGGATGCTGAGGGTGCATTTGAAGATCAATCGGGGAAGTCCTCGCCGAGGCTGTGGCGCTCCCACAGCGGCCAATCACAAGATAGACAGGTTCCATAGTATTTACCATGGAGGCAGCGTATCGTGTATCGTAGAGATATCCGTTCCCATTATTGAACTCTGAATTCATGGCTACTTTTAGCTCCTTTCCCACGCAGAAGAAGAATCTGTTCCGCTGTATTACTCATGATGACGCGAAATCTATGATAAAACCATGCGACACCTCCTTCTTCATCCCAGCTTCATGCAATGAAACCTTTCTCCTGCCCAAGATTCTCTGCGCTTCTTCTCGCATCCAAGAACAACCCCTCACACTCTGTAACATCATCCAGATCAATGCGGCCGCCTTCCCTTCCGCTCACTCTAGCCAGGACGCTAGCTGGCGCCAGTAACTGCAGAGCGTATCTCAGGCTGACCTTCTCTCCAAGTTGGCTGATCTTGTCAAGAGCTGGTTGTGTTATCGCAAGGCCCTCTGTCTTTGTGCGTGTTTCCACAATCCTCCGGATCTCATCCGGCGTGTATGGGTGTGTCGGGATGATAAGCAGACGCGCAAGCAGATCAGGGGGTATTCCGTGTGCTGATGGGGGAAGGTTCTCGCCGCCGCGAATATGTGTGAGGCCTCTGTTGGACGCAAGGATAACAAGCGGTGATAGCGGGGATTCCAGAGCGCGATTGAGGAAAGTGAAAGCCTCTAGGTCGAGCATGTGCACCTAGACTGAAAGTTAGCCGCTGTGGAATGATGGGTCCGAATTTCTGTCTCGTACCTCATCGATGAAGAGAACGCCCGGCACCAAGTCGGCTACCCCTTGATCAATGTATTTGGTGACCACCTTGTTGATCTCTAATCTGAGCTTCTCTGTGATTTCCGTCTTCTTCGGCTTCATCAGCTGGCCCATCATGCTCATTATGTCCTGTCCTCCCTGAGGTCTTGCGTTTGCCACATCCAGATCATGCAGGGTGACATCCTGCACAATCTCCTTCTTCTTGTGTACCTCGCCCTTCGGGATGGGAACGTACTCCTCCGCTTCCAGGTCGAATTCGGTGGCATAGGCGTCTGACCGTCCGACGCGCTTTACCGCACCTGTGTTGGCCTCAATGTAGATGACATCGCCCAGACGGACGCGCTCCTTCTGTATGGCTTCGTATATGGACGGGTCGAGCCGCAACTTTTTCGTGCCCTTGGCGGACTTGAGCGTGATGAGGAGATGTGATATCGTACGGCCGTAACCTCCGAGAGGGTTCTCCGCTTCCTCTGGCGTGAGCTCCACCACCTCGCCTTCGTAGACTTCTTTGGTCTCCTTGACGCGCAGACCTGTTCACGTTGCGTTAGACAATCAATGCCTTAGACTACGCATGCGCAGCCTGCCTGCGACCAAGCGCATCCACATACCAATCGCTCTCCTGAAGTTTTCCATAAGTGCCTCCGTCTTCTTCACCTCTGCGGAATAGATCTCGCTGCCTACAATCGGGCAGAACGGCACCTTGGTCCCCAGTTCCTGGCTTACCGCAAGTGCGAGAGCTGTCTTTCCAGTCCCTGGTCCACCTGCGAGCAACACGGCGCGCCCAGACATCTTCTTCTTCTGTACCAGGCTGACGACGAGTCCGCAGGCCTGCAATTGCTTGTGAATAACGCAACAAAAAAAGTTAATACAGAGGGCATAATTTGTACCTCTCGCGCAGCGGCCTGCCCAATGAAACCTCCACCCGAAGGCGTCGCATACCCATTGCTGAGACCCAGGCCTTTGATGTGTGAATGCGCAGCTGTTCGGTTCTCGCGCGTGTTGCCCTTGACTTCGCTGATGGGGACGGATGCCGCCATGCTGGAGACTCCGTCGAATGCGGATTAGGTACCTGCGCGGCTAATCAATTACCAAAGAAAACTGGAAACTGATCCGCAAGAGTGTGAAGATAAGTATGGTCGCGTGGTGTGGAGCGCGAGAGTAAGTTGTTGGGCTGCTGGAGATTTCCTGTGACGAGGGAGCTCTGCCGCAGCGAAGAGGCGCAGCCAATCAGGGCCCGTTGCCCTGAGATGCGAGTTGAGGGTCCGCCCGCCGCCACAGTGGACCACCTTGGTCACCCTCTCACTCCTCCCTTCCCAGGAGACAACACTACGCAATCCGACTTCCCACACAGGTCAAATTCCGCTCCCAAAACCGTGCCGCCCATAGATTATGGACGACGCTGTGTTTATTTCTTTTGCTCACTACCTTCCTTCCAGATTCAGCGGACATGCCAGTTTTCCGCTCTCTTCTTCTTCCGCACCCTCGCCAAAATGCACGAGCTCCTCTCCCTGAGTGAGCCACTCATTCACGACGAACGAAGCATGTCGCCGGTTGGAAAGGCACTTGGGCTACAAACCCTTTCGGAGTAATGCTCAGACTGTCAGTGCCAGGTGTCTCCTTCGTTCAGCAGGAGACTCTCCTTCTTCCGGCCTATGCTAACTGCAGTCAGATTCCAGTGTTCACGTCCCGCTTCCGACACCACTCCTCTCACCCCAGGGATTCCATACCCTCGTCGTCCCACCGCAGAACTTCGACACCCCAACGCAGATCCTAAAGCGACAGGTCACAGCACCGGTGCTGTAAGAACACTATCACGACAGTTCGACGGGTCATCTTGGACGGGCTTGTCAAATGGCTTTATAAGTATGTTCATTTGCAATGGCATGCCGCCACCAACCCTGAAAAGAGCTATCATACACGGGCAAAGCATGTCGCATAAACCATCCTCTCTGTCGACTCCCAATCGGTGTGGCCGGCGAGAGCCGCCTCCCAAAGATGCACACGACCATTGCAAAGCACCAGAGCCTCGTCAGTCATCAAGCCCTGTCCGGCGTTCGCTCCGGCCGCACGATCTATGCAAATGGGAAAGGCCGGAATTATACCAGTACTCCCAAAGAGAACGCAGGCGTCAAGAGTCTACTACCGCGGTGGCCGTCCACGCCGAATCGACCACAGACGCACCCACTGCCAAAGGTGTCGGTTGCTCACTACCTGCTACTGAGAGCGAACGCACAATCACGAAGAACGCAAGGATAGCGTCTCAAAAGCATGAAACGGGAAGTCGGCCATGACAACCCAGCCGGGGAGGAAAGCCAGATAATGGAGGTGAGCATGTCAACTTCCCGCTCGACGGACCACGGCCCGATTTGCAAGTTGCCAAGCGACAAACCAACGGTGGAGAGATCACTCCTCCTCGCTCTCCGAGCCACTGGATTCGTCCTCACTGGATTCATCCTGGTTCGCTGAGAACTTAAGTCAGTTTTGGAGACAACAAAACAACACACGAGGATACATACCAGGTGGGGATTGACTGGACCCAGAACCGCTACCTTCGAAATGACGAAGCTTCTCGGTGAGCTTTCTGATGCTCTCTTCCTGCTCCTTTTTACCCATTGGTTTGTTCTTCTTCGGCTTATTGACAGCAGGTTTATGCGTCACCTTGGGCGGCTCGAAGTCATCGTCCACGTGCCCGCCCTTGGGGCCACGAACTTGACGAATGAACTTGAAGAGCTCGCGCAAGGTGTCATCACCAATCTCGTCCATGTCAATCTCCATCTCGTCATCATTAACGTTGGCCAGGTGGGGGCATCCGTTCCGGATGATCTGCACAGCTCTGCGCATGTCCGCCTCGCCCAGAGTGCTTATGCCATCGGAGATTTCCTGCTTCTGAGCGAAGGTTAGAGGCGCGGGTGGACGTGAGCGCGCTTTCGCCTTGGCAGGCTTCGGAGGAGGCGGTACAGCTAGGCTACCCTTTTTCTTGGGTGCCGCTGTCTTGCCGGACTTCTTCTTGGCTTGCACATGGGGCGACGCACGCTTGTTCTTTTGTTGTTGGAGCAAAGACTGAGCAGTTTCATTCAGTTGCTGGATCTGCTTCTGAATGGCCAAGATCTGTGCCTGCGCAGGATCCTCCTCGTCCTCTTCATCGTCCTCGTCAGAGTAGTCGGGAGACGGTGGCTCGGAGGCAGGAGCGTGTTGCGCGAGCCAATCCGACTTCTCTGCCCACAGTGCGTCGAACAACTGGTGGAGTTGCTTCCCCATCTTGTTGACCTCGTCGCCCTCGGGATTGAACGTGTAACAGTTTTTGAAAACCAACTGTGCATCGTTGTAGAAGTCCTTGGCGGTCTGGTATTGACCAGACTTCAGGTTCTTCTCGATGGTTCCAAAATCCATGGGCTTCTTGATGACCTGGAAATAAGTGGGAATGTTCAAAGCAACCGGGTCCACCGGAGCCAAGAAGGGGAAGTTGAAGGGGTACTTTTTGGAGTTCTTGATCTCGGTCAGTACCGACTCACAGAACCGCAGCTCCTGTTGATATTTCTTCTTCTTGGGTTTGATGTTATTGTAGGGCAGATCTTTCGGCGCGGGTTTGTGGATCTCCCGCTTTGGTCGATCATTCATGCTTGACGAATCCCGTCGAATGACAGGGAGACCATCGGGCGCCAATGGCCACGCGGCTGAAGGAGAGATACCAGTAGTAGGCGATTTTGCCGTTGCCGTCCTCGGTTCGCGCTTCGCCTTGGGGGCGGGTGCAGCTGCGGCCTTTTTGGCTTTAGGTGGCTTTGCGGGCGGCCCATCCGCATCACCTCTCGGCATCTTCGACATGCCCTTGAGGAAGTATGCCCGCATATTGTAGCCCGCCTGCGTAACCGGGTGCTCCTTTCCGTTGAACAGAATGCTGTTGTTAATGACCAAATCCAAGTCCTCCATGAAATCGCGTACTAGAGGGTATTTACCCTCCTTGAGCTTGTTCTCCATGGTGGAAAGGTCCATGGGATTCGTAACAATGGTTGGGTATGTTGGGATGTTCAGAGCGACGGGGTCTACAGGCTCCTTGAATGCAGCAGCTACCTTGATCTTTTTCGTGTTTCGTACGCGTTCCAGCAGAAATTTGTTTTGGGCATGTGTCATTGGTTCCGTCGGCCATGCTTCCGCATCAACAGCTGTTTGAACGTGACTTTGCCCAGCAGCTGGCGCAGCTGTTGTCGCATCTCCATCCGCCTTCTGAGGTATTTGCGCAATGCCATTGCCATTCGTCTCAGCCGGAAGCGCCGAAGCGTCGGATGGGTTGACATTGACTTCGCCAGCCGCACTCTCCTCTGTCCTCGTCCGTTTGGCATCCGGTACGTCCGCATCATCGTCTTCCTCACGCGACCGCACCCTGCCTGACGAGGGCGCGTCCTCCATATTCTGGTCTACCGCGGAGGTCTCCTGTGGAAGAGAGAGGGGGGACGGGAATGTTGAGGTGGACTGAGTTTGGAGGGAGAGCTCGTTCATGGGTTTCGTTGGCGCGCCACTGGTGGGGGAATGCGCCGCGTCCTCGCTTTCGGCAGGCGCCTGCAGAGCATCCCGCGAAATGTCCATAGCATCTTCCCCGTTGGGCAACTGTGTCTCAGGTACCTTTTGGGTGCTTTCGGGGCCGCCGGATGCGGGCGCAGAGTGGTCGCCACCAACAAGCTCGTCGCCGCTCATCTGGCTGTTGAGTGGAAGTTGCGCTGCTGGGTTGCTGGTATCCGAAGCGTTGAGATCGCCGTTCACTTCCGATTGTGGAGGCGTATCTGGCTTAGATTGAGACACGGCTTCGGCGGATGGGTGGGACTCGGAACCGTTGAAGGGCGTGTTGGAGGAACTGTAGGTAAGAGTGTTAGTGCAAACACAGCACAGCACCACGCGATACGAGGGAGATGGGAACAAGCAGGCGGAGTGCGAAGGCGCACTTACTGATTTTCATTATGAGAGTCAAGCGCCATCTGGTCGGTTGAGTCGCCCGCACCTTCCTTGACGTCCTGAGGAATGTTGTCAAGCGCGGATGCCGTTACTGCCATCAGGCCATGTACCGAGAGGCGTCTGAGCTGATGACGAAAGACTCGAGTGTTCGTCTAGTTGACGCGCCCGCTTGCGACTTGCGACGGACTTGCGACGGACCGAGATCTTGCGACGATCTTCAAGAAATTAGAATCCTGGATCAAGCGCGCGGCACGTGGCAGCTGCGGAGAGGATATGCAGGCGGGGGATGGCGAAGGTCGGTGGAGGTTGGGATAGTGCGGGGTTGTGAGAGAAGGGCGTGTGGCTTGAAGATCGTGGAGGGGCAATGGTTTATATGTAGGCGCGAGGATGCGCAAGGGAAGCTTTGAGAGAACTTGCGCACGTGACGGAGGGTGGTGGCGGCGGCGGCGAGCACCTCTTCTTCAAACCAAAAGAGAAGAGAAGAGGTGGATGAGTCAGGCGGCAGCGAGCCAATAATGGTGAGACTCGGGAGGCAACGCGTACACAAATCAATGCGACGCGCCCGTTAAGGCCGAGGGGTGGGTGCGGAGAAAGGCGATATGGTGCACACCGACAACCGGCGCAGTCTGGCGATGACAGAGGGTCGAGGGTCGCGTATTTGGCGCCGCGAGGAGTGACGTCGCGATGTCAATAATGGGGCCTTGGAAGGAGAGCGAGAGGGAGGAGAGGAGAGGTGGCTAGTGGAATGGCCAAGCGTTTCGTGGCTGTGCGGATGTGGCTCGAGCCGTACGGCGGGGCGTTGATTGGAAGGAATCGTCGGTACAGTAATAATCTCGGAAAAAGGGGGGTGGGAAGCTTTTGCAGGAGCAGCGGCGGGCGGCCAGCGTTTAAGTAACGGCCGCTCGTCCCTCCAGCCCCGCCAAGCCCCCTGAGAAATCCGCTTCTCCGTTTCGGACGAATCACGTGCCCCTCTTTCCGCGCCCACCCCCAGCACCTGCGCGAACACGAAGACGCACGACTGCCCATCCGCACACAACTGCGCTCGTCTGCTTATGGAATCTATCTCCTGTATTCGCAAACCGCCTTTTCTCTGCACTGCCGCGTACCTCTTTGCGTGGCGACCGGTCAATTCTCCTCTCGCCGGACTGCAGCTAGCCTGGCGCGACATTTTTGGTGGTTGCAATTGTCGTCTTACCGTTCGGCAAGGATCACTGCGGCCCGAGCGCCAGAATTTCTCGCCCAAACACCTTTGAATTTTTTTTCCGCCTGCATCGGACACTGGGCTACCTTCATACCTACTACTGGGAACCTCATACCGGATTGCAGACAACACAACGACCGGCACGCCCTGCTCAACCGCGACGCCTACTCGGACCCCTCGCTTCTCTCCCTCACCTCCCCCTTCACCCAGGCCGCTCTCCTGCAGACTGCGTCATGCCCGCGACCGTTGCCTCACGCTCACGGCCGCCAACCAAAAAGGCCAGAGCCTCCAATGATTCGCTACCGCCCGCAAAGAAGACGAAACTAGCGCAAACACCTTCGGCATCCCACTCCACCGGCTACTCTGCACTCCTCAATGGCACTCCGGGCAAGAAACCTGTCGTGGCTGCAAAGATCAACGGCGTTCGGAATTCACGGAAAGATAAGGTAGACGAGGCCACAGCTGTCGTTGGTGACGCACTAGAGGAGGTTGATGATGTGGAGATGCCAGATGTCAACAAGAGCGTGATAGAGATTTCCAGTGCCGACGAGACGAGTGACGACTCTGGCTCGGACGACGAGGATGATCAAGAGGCGGGCCATGTTGCCGAGAATGGCCTAATAGACACCAATGGGCATACCGAGGACGGCGAAGCCGCTGCTGACGAGCTGGAAGAACCTTCGCTCGGTGAGAAGCTACAGGCACAAGAGCCTGAAGCGGTGCGAACCGCCGTTGTCGACGTCGAGGAGGCCTTCGGTCAGGACGTCGATGCAAGAGCTCTCGCTACCAACCCGACGAACAGGCCGCTCGCCCCTTCGACGAATTCGCTTGGGACGGTTCTTGCCCAGGCGCTCCGGACAAATGACAAGGATCTTCTGAATTCTGCCTTGCGCATCACCGACGTCGATTCCATCTATGCGACCGTGGAGCGACTACCTTCTCCCCTGGTAGCCAATCTGCTACAGAAGTTGGCCGAACATCTGTACAAGAAACCTTCAAGAGCGGGCATATTGATGGTATGGCTGCAGGTAGCACTCTCGGCGCATGGAGGATACTTGGCGAGCCAGCCACAGTTGGTTAAACAGCTTGCCTCTCTCAATAGAGTGCTTCAGCTCCGAGGTGCTGGTCTGCAACCTCTACTCCAACTCAAGGGTCGGCTCGATATGCTGCAGGCCCAGCTTGAACTCCGCAAGAGGAATCAAAGAAGAGCCGCCATCGATGAAGAAGATGAGGCTGTTATTTACGTAGAAGGGGAAGACGACGTTTCATCGGCTGATGAGGATGATGCGGACAGCGAACTGGGATCTGACGTTGCGGGAAAAGTTCCAGAGGGCTCGGATGAGGACGAGACCAGCTCTGTGGATCACATGCCAACAACTATGGAAATGGACGAAGCGACAGAGGAGGACAGTGGCAATGATGATCTGCTGGACGATGAAGCTGAGGAGACTGACGATGATGATGGTGATGATATGTCTGAGCCTATGAGCGATGATGACATCGATGGCGAAGATGCTGCTTCAGCGAGCGAGGAAGAGTCTCGGCCCGCGAGACGGTCAACGGCCGGCAGAGCAGGAACCACGCGTCGTTATTAGGCATGCAACGTGCATTTTGGTGCGAGCCGAGTGATGTCAAAATTCTTTTTGTTGTTTTGGGGCGTCTTCATCTTGCATAGGTTGCACGGGAAATACGTCAGCCTCATACCTGGCGTTTTGGGTTGCTATTGAGGTCAGTTCGAGCGATAGGGTCTCATGCGTCAACCAGTAATGGATTCACTGCATACTTCGGGTACATAAATCATCAGGCCACGTTCAATCACTGCTTCCTTCACACCTTGTATGCTGCCTCAATCGCCTTCCACTCATCTCATGTGGTTCCCAAGTGTTTCGATGTCCTTTGTTTCATGAAGTGAGCCTTGCCATGGATAGGTTCGATTCCAATGTCTGGTTTCTTTGTTCTGTACAATACCATTCTGTTGAGCACACCGCATTGTGCGCGTTCAATCTGCTATCAATTGCTACAAATTTCTCCCTTATATAATCCACATCGACCCCCTGACCAATCTCTTACTGTAGCACCGAAATCACCTCATTCTACCTTCTTCTCGGCCTCTAATCATGACGAACTCACGGATTCAAGCAGACCTCTTCGATCTCAACGGCAAACCCATCACTCCCGCCGCTACCCTCGTCCTCCGCCGTACTGCTTCAGGTAAACTCCGTCCTGCTGAGTCGGCCCCGAACTCACTCCGACGTATCGGAGCGATAACTAACGGCACGCCAATACCTTCAGCTTCCAAGTTCTACCACCGAGGTGGCGAGAAGACAGAAGTGGATGATTCATCTGAGTATCTTTGCCCCCGCTCTGAGCACAGTGCTGATTCTCTCAAATCTACAGCGGCTCGAGAATGCTCCATCGGAGAGACGTCTTCTTCCGCATGGGGAAAACATGGCCAAAGGAAGCTAGACACCCAGCAGCAGCGCGATTCACTGTACACTACGGACTATGTAGGTCTAACAGCGACGGGCTTGAAGATCAAGCCGGGTCCAGCACGCAAAGTAGAAATTGCTGCGCCTGTGAAGACGCCAAAGGCGCAGAAGGCAATGGTGCTGGAGGGGAGGCCTAACAGGTCTCTGGCACTGCATGATCAAGGTGCAGAACAGAGGGAGATGAAGGTGGATTGCGATATGTGGTGTGAGGTAGCGAAGCGTATCTAAGCGCACGGATAGACTTGAGCTTGTAACTGCTCTATGGCCTCACAGCTGTGGGAAAGGGGCTCTCAGGAAACAGGTAGGTAAGCCAGCTGGTCTGGTCTGACGGAATGCTGTGCACCGTAAGCATTTCACTTCGTTAACTTTCGTTTTTCTGTTTCGTCTTCCATATGTGTCTCTCCCACTCTATTGTACAGCTCCTTCCCAATGCGAACTTCATTCAATTTCATTTCATCTATAATCAGTGTTGTCAAAGACGGTATATGAATCTGATTGGTTGCTGATGCACAGCGGCGTCGCGCTCAAACATTGTTTACAGTCTCAGCTCTTCATGCATTTCAACTTGTTTCTTTGTCCCATTGGCAACGGATTGTTGCGTCCCGGTCCGGCGTTTGCGCCTGTGCATGTCTTTGTTCGATTAATTGTCTTTCATGTGGGTGGCCTTGATCACTGAAGCCAGTCAGGGCTATTTATGCTCCCGCAACTACACCTTTGCTTTAATCATTAATAACATTCTCAGATCAGATGCTATTAACTAGATCGAATTCCACTACAGTTATCATCGACATATCAGAACCAAAAACATCCGAACAACACAACACATCACGGTCATCACCGGGGTCTGCAACTTCGGACGTCCTCCCCTGCGGCTGCCTACGCTCGACGCTCTTCCAAGCGTTGTCATCTGTACCCATTACGGAACTGCCCGCCTACCCAAGCACAACCGCTTCCTTTTCCTCCACCGCACCCGGACGCATCACCCCCGTCTCGTCCTCCTCCGGACCGCCGTCCACACCTACCTCCCTCCACCGCAGCTCGACCTCCTTCACCGACTTCTCCTCCGTCTTCTCACCCCCTGACACCGCCTTCTCCCCCGTCTCCACGGGCGAAGACGAGACACCCACGTACCACTGGCAATACTACATCCCGCACATCAGCACCAGTACTTCGGACTATTATACGGATTGCTCTTGGATTGCTTTTGATGTTGTGCGGCCCCAAACCGGGACTTCAGGTTGCTTTCTAAAAGGGGAAACGGAAGCAGAAGCGGAACAGTCGCCCGAGGAGAGAATCCAGATGGCGCAGGGGATGCTGAGTCCGATTCCGCGGACGCCGGAGGAGGTTGAGTTGCCGGAGATTGGGGATGATGAGTTTGAGTATTATCCTAGTCCTATTGAGGGCGCGGGGCAGAGGTATCCGTTTGTTAACTTTGTGGGCACGGAGGAGAATGGTGAGGGGAGGTATGGAAGGAAGGAAATTCTCAGCATTGAGAAGGGACGAGACGAGACGGATGCAAGGGAACATGGTTTTAGCGATGGCACAGAGGACCCGCAGATATGTGTTCTTAAACGAGGAAGAGGAGAGACTACCGAGTCGAGGAAGAGAAAGGTTTGGGACCATTCAAGCCTGGAAAGAAAGGGACGATTAGTGGATTGGCTGGGAAGATTGACATTACGTGCTAGGAAGGGGCACGAGAAGATTCGCCTCTAGACCGTGCGTTACGAGTATGGGTTTGGATTGGGGTTGACACCTTTGCAGAGGGTGGCATTTCTTTTTCTGTTTGCATTTGTTAGATTCCTCTCTTTGGGTGATTTCCTATCATTTTCTTTTCTTTCCTTTACAATCGCCTCTATCTTCCCTTTTCCTTCTCTGTTCCTTGTTTTCTCCAAACACTGTTCGATATGACGGTGTTGAAATACACTCGCATTTGCATTTAGGTTTGCATTGTTGTAGCGTCTTCCGAGTTGAACTAAAAACTTAGAACTATAAGATAGCTCACTATTCACGAGTAGACTGTTTATTCTTGTTCTTCGAAGAAAAGGCATCTTATCCTGATTCAAACGCCAAATATCTAATTACTCCTCAGAATTACCGCCATTTACTCTAGGACATTCTCCGATATCACGATGAAGTGCGACCAGAAAAGGAGCACTGCAAGGTGCAACCGTGGCCTCCACTCGACTCTGCATTTTGCACTTTTTGTCTATCATCACGGTTCGCGGCCGTAGCACTTTCACTCCATACCTTGTTTAAAATGAGGCGCATTGTACGTTAACAATGTTGACGTAGGTTCGATAACTACACATCGTGACTGAACTACCCCAGGGTCAGTCTACCATATAAACCGTGATTGTCTTCCCCTACTTGAACGGCCATCCTCCTCCCATTCCTCGACTACCAACCCATACCTCCCGTTCCAGCTCTGCTAGATTGATACACAAGTTGCCTGGTGCAACCGTGATCTCGAAGTCCCCAACAACGAAACCAGTTGCCTGCACTTCGAACCATCAATCAACACTAGCTCACCATGGATCGGGACCCCGTCTCAAACACCCTCAGCCTCATGAGCAACGGCAGCCCATCCTCGCGTACTTCAGGAGGTTCTCACCGTGGTTCAGGAGGTACTCACCGCGGCGTATCACTCAACCCTCCCAAGAACCAACGCCTCCCCGCTGACGAGTACAGGTATCTGCAAACGCGGCATACGCTGGAGAAGCACTTCGGCGGCCGCTCCCCTGCAATGACTAGCAGGTCAGACGCCTCGAGCTCACTGTCCATGACCAAGAGCACATCTTCCAAGCACTCGTCATCGTCATCTTCTAACAAAAAGGATAGCCGGCTCACTCACGACCAACGCACGAGTGTCTCAGAGATCCGGTACGCAACCCGCAAAGCCCTCGGCCCATCCTTCGACTTCACCGACACGTACGTCGCGCCGAAGCGCAAGACTACCCGTCACCACTATGGGAATGACGAGGAAGCAGGCAAGGAACACATTCCTCAGCGGTATATCGATGAGTTCAATCGCCGTTGGGTGCAGGACGACTTCGAGGAAGATGCTCATCAGTTCGTGATGGACTGTCTGCCTAACGGCGTCGCGCCGTGGCGCCGGCATCAAGCTCTGGTTCCGACTGGAGTGCCTGATAGGTCGTGGCATGCGGGCCAGGCTTTGGGTTCGATTCAGGGCTCGATGGCGCTGGAGATGGCGAATCATGGGTATCAGTACCGTGAGAACTTTTTGCAGAAGCGGGACGCAGGTAAGGCTACCAAGGCTGGGGAGCTCCCTGGGAGCACTTTCGACTGGGATGACAGCGATGATGACAAAGATGCAGTTGGAAAGGAGGAGAAGATCGAGAAGAATAAGGAGCGCCGTGATTCGAAACTCGAGAAGGTTCGTCGGAAGATGAAGATTGCGAAGAAATAGGTGAGTCCTAGTATAGGGAGGGTCACAGTGAGCATTATGATGAGTGTCATGAGGCTTTTGCTCCGGCCACTTGATGGTAGGGAGCAGTGATACGGGAAGAGAGACTGGGTGATGGTTTCACCTGTTCATTATTAGCTTCTCAGCTTCTCATATGTTTGGAGAGCGGTGGCATGGGAGGGAGATTGGGGGATAGTTTCACCTGTTCGTCATTCGCTTGTCAGCTTCTCATATGTTTGGGGAGCAATGCTATCTATGATAATATATTTCACATCGATACCCGAACGGACTTCGTGCCATAAGCCAGATTTCGCGTGATAGACTGATCTTGCCGATTTCATATGGGCGCACATGCTACACTTTGCCCATTAACTGTCAGACCTCCTAGATATCCCTTCAATCCAGAGGCTCACGAACCGAAACCAAATTTCGCATTGTAGAGCGCAATTTAAGGAGTCCCACTCCATCCTCCTAGAGTCCATAATAGAAGTGACTGCATGAATTATACAGCACATCGGCAATGCAATTCACAAGTGACAAGTCCCCAGAACCACAACAAAGCGAAAAAGCCAGACCTGAGCAATTCACAAAACCCTTAGCACATTGTTCACGACAAGTGCTCTCTGTACATGGGCGTAATGGTTAGTAACAAGACAATGTGCGGTGACGCGACTCCCATAAAGTCGGGAAGGTTTTCACACCCAGTGCCCCTTACCTCTCCTTGGACCAAAGTCTCGGTTCACCTATATCGTGGTCCACTCTTGGAGGAGGAAAGAAAAGGGGACTCATTCAAACTACACAACCATGTCCGCACCCAACCGCACCTCCACCTCCTTAGCCATCCCCAAACCCAGCCCTACTCGTAAAACCCAGTCCCCCTCCCCTCGCCGCGCCACCAAGCTCCAGAAGAAGCGATACTACAGCCACGCGCTATCTGACGCAGACAGAAGGGCCCTCGCCGCCGGCGTGGAAAATCACAGCCAAAAGCACTGGTCAGAGGAGGATATCAAGCGCTTTCAACAGGATCGCCTAGGTCTAATTCCAACAGATCGCAAGGAACCACATGAGCATGAGAGCGAGGATGTCGAGCAGCAGGCTGCTCGGAAGGATACGGTGTGCTCGTCCAGGTGGTTGCGTTGCCGGAATCGGTCGATGCCGCTCACGCAGGGTATGAGCGCTGATGATATACAGAGCAGGGGCTTCGCACAGAACTCTGGTGCTGCTAGCACGTTGGTACTGCCGCTGGTGATGACTCCACGGGCTTCGATGTCGCTCGAATCTTCTTCCGGAGAAACTCTCCCTGGTCAGGCTTCCGCAGCGGCTACCACGATGAGCTCTCAGCCCTTATGCCGCCGCCGCCGCTTCTCTTTCGAGTCCGATTATGACGAGTTGGTTGATGGTGAGGAGGCATGGGCGAAGCTGCGAGCTAATCCTGTTGAGGTTGTAGAAGAGCCTTTCGACGGTCCTTCAAGCCTCAGCGCTACCTGCTTTTGACAGGTTCCTGACTCCACGCAAGACTGGCAAGGGTGAGGCATATTGCGTACGTCGAATGCTCTTCTTGACTGGTGAGTCTCCTACTGTAAGGAAGCATAGGCGCATATCTCAATCTCTCTACCCTACGGTACGCGATGCCCAGCTTTTCGATTTCAAACTCGACGGTTCGCTCTCTTAGGAGCAGTGAGGACCACATTTCTCCGAGCTCGTAAAGGTAAGGGTCTGATCTCCTTTGTCAAATATTTGATATTTCTCATCTCCCCTTTGTCCGTCAACCACCCCACTGCGGACTTGTAAATGCCGACTGTTGGGTGTATGGCCGGTTCATTGCAGGTGCAACTCCATCTCTTACAAAAGCTGCATATCAGATATCTCGCCATTCTCCTCTTGTGAGGAGACAAATAATAGTGAGAAAATCCAAATATCAAAGGCTCTGGTACAAATAATAATGGCCTGAGTCGTCCAAACTTACTGTGTATTCCTGCCGGCCAGGTGATGTCGAGATAGACGTGCCTATGCGTGATATAAATAAAGTCGCCTTTCCCAGTTCGAGAAGCGCACGTCATCGTATGCGGCGTGTGCAGTCCAGCACCTTTCATCCGATCTTGATTTTGTCGCTCACCCCTTCCAGAAAAACCATCTTTCCCATACTTTCCAAGGTTTTCCCCGAGCCCAACAGCACCTCCCAGACCTCTCGAGCGGGAAAGCTCGGCAGTGCTGCCTTTATCAGTTGGGCTTCCCCCGACCCTGACAGCACTGGCTCGCTTCGCCATGACATGACGCCTCTCACTCCATTCGTTTGGTCCCGCTTGCAGGTGCAGGCTGACAAACCAGGGTTCTTCTGTATTGCCAATAAACACTCCGCTCACTCCACTCACCGGAAACGAACGTGGCGGGCGGAGGGGGAGCTGAAATCATATAACCCGGAAAAAGCGCCCCCGTCGTCGTTGAGCGGGGCAACTCTGCGCTCAGTCGTGTATTTCTCGCCCTCCGTCATCATGGCCGCGCAACTCCTGGAACCATCCGAGACAACGAGACCAGCATCTCGATTCTCAACGGTCGATGCATACGGCAACAGAGTCCACCACGCGCGATATACACTGTACCAGATGCCAAGGCCTCTCCACCGATCCGCCGATCCCGACAGCATCGATCCCGTGGATGGCAAGACGAAGCAATGCAACCGCAGCTTGACGTTCGATAGCTTCCTCGACGAAAGACACCTCGGAGAAGATAAAGCTGAAAAGAGGATCGGGCATACGTGGGAACTATGGAGAGGGGTATCGAAAGCGTTGAAGAAGGCGACGAGCAGGAGTCGTAGGCGGAAGAAGAGAGGGAATTATACGAACATGGAGGATGGGGAGCGGATCCTGAAATCGAATGTCGCTGGTTCGAAAGCTTTTGGTTGATGTTGGGCCGGGTGCAGGCACCTGCTATGTTGGGTCGACGACTTGGATTGCGTTGCGCATTTCGTATTTGCGATCGGTGCCCTGTACGGCGACGATGATTTTTTATCCTTTGAAAGAGGAGCCCTAGGGCTTGTGAACTCAGGATGACTCCTGGCGGACGCGTTTTATTATTTTTGGAGTGACCTGGATATACATGCAGAAGAGAGATGATATCGAAGGAAGATATGCAAGAGAAAAGGACCCGGAGGGCAAGAGGAGCCTGTGTGGAGGTATCCATACCGGCCTTGGATGGATCGACGCAGCCATGAGGGGTCTCATGTGGTGGGTTCACCCCAGGAGACATGCCCGGCTGAGGAGCTTAAGCGTCCGGAAAGGGAAGAGCGATATTGAACAGTATTCGTAGGTGGAAAGATAAACTCAAGACTGAGCATTATTCGTAGCCTTGTCCAGATCCATATCTACTATCCACGGGCCCTGATGGGGTCTATACTCAACTGTCATGATACTCGCATTCACCATGAGCGTCTCTCGTCCCCACACCAGTGCCTCCTCTCCGTCTTGACTGATATCCACAAAGGCTGCCCGGTCTGCCTTCATCCTCTCGTGATCGACTTTGACCGATTCATACCTCTCAACGTGGTACTTCCATGGAATATAGAAGTTGTCCCCCTCCTTCCACTTCACCCTTCGAGCACCCCACCCTTCATGTATGTGTCCGAAACAGTGCAGCTTGGGCTTGCACCGTCGAGCAGCCCGTAGAAGATGCTCGCAGCCGGCATGCGCGCGACCGACATCGTCAAGGATGCCCAGCGGCGGCCCGTGTGTCATCATAACGTCTACGGCTGGGAAATCGGGAACGGGATTCTCGACGATCGATTGTGAGTCCGGCGTGGATTGATCCTTTGGATTGAAGCGGTCCTGGTTATCTGCGTATTGAAAGGCCATGTCGCCGAACTCGGGTTGGTAGGGAGATGCGTAGACCTGACGTTTAGTTAGCGTAGCACAAAAGAGTGGAGTTCGGAAGGCTTACTCTCAGCCTCGCGCCATTCTTGAGTACAAAGCAGTGTGTGCCTTCTTCCAGATATGTCACGCCTGCTGCCTTGGCCTTTTCTCCCTGCCAGAGCTCCTTCGCTCGAGCGGCGTACGTTTGATCCGGGTCGTCAAATCCATGCCAATCTTGACCTCTCCTTGTGTAGTGCTTCTGATCCAGGCTGATGTCATGATTCCCTGCTATCACCAGCTTCAAGTCCGCATCAATACGGCCAAGCATGTCCAACGCTTGCTCATGTTCTTCTAGAAAGCCCAAGCCTGTTAGATCCCCGCAGTGTAGCAGGACGTCTGCCTTAGGCAGAGGTTCTCGGAAAGCAACATCGTGGTTCGTGGACGGGGCGAGGGCTGCGTTGTGCGTATCGGAGATGATTAGAATGCGGGTCTTGACGGTGGATGTCTGAGACATGGCGGCTGGAGCTCTTTCACTGAACTCTCACTTGGCGAAGTAGACTACTACATTAGTAGAGAGGGGTGGCGCACGTGTGGCAGTTCAATGACGTTGTTGAAAGATAGGTTGAAAATTAAATGATTTGTGAACTTCTCTGAAAGTCAATGGACTTGCATGCAAGAAATATCTAAATAGGAGAACTTGAGTCTGACAGCACCAGGTCCATATGCAGATGTTTGCATGTGAAGGAGCGATGATTGGGGGTGAACATGCAACACCGTTATTCGCACCATCGCATCAACAACGGCATTCTCTGCAACAAAACTAGAAGAGAATTATGAGGGACCCTCATTAGCGACGGATAACTTTTGTCGCTAGTGTATTCAATGCAACATACATTCGTTCGAAAGCGTTGGGATACGGAGAGCAATCATTCACTGCATCCATCCAACACGATCCACTTGGGAAACCCATCCCAGTCTGAAAACCGATCATCATTCGCCTTTGAGCACGACTCCAGATGCAGATTGTGCACTGAAGGCGAAAGCAAGTGAACAAAGTTCTCCCATCCGACAAGGCTCCTCTCTTCCCTCACAAGGAAGTCATCTCAACTCTTCTTCAATCCCGCAGCAAGCCGCGACAGATCAATGAAAAGCAAAGCCCACACCAAAAGCATGGGGTGCGTTTGTGTCAAAAATTCCCTGCCGATCCGAAGACCAACAGAAGCGGTCATAGTTGTAGTTTTCAACTAGCAAAAACGCTACCTCAGACGAATCTTCACTGGTAAGCGTAACGCCCGAGCACTGGGATGAGGAAGGGAAAAGAGGTCGGGAGGGCGGCGGGTTTATATAGGCGAGGCGGGCGCTCGGATCACACTATCAGGTGATTTAGGCACCTGGCAGAGAAAAGTACACGTGACGCCTCTTTCCAGCTCGGGAAAGGTGCTGGCCGGACCGTCCACCCAATCAGACCACTCCCAGGGCTAGACAGTTTCCGCGATCGAAGTCCTGGAGTATCAAACAACCTTTCACAGGAAATCACCTGAGGATCTGTACCCAAGGTCGTGGATTGCGAGGTGTACTACCCGAGTGTAAGTCGACCAACGTGCTGTGTAGAAGAGACAACGTGCTGTGTAGAAGAGACATTGAACTCTATCAATATAGGTCTATCCGACTGTCCCTTGGCTATAAGTCTACTAGTATCACCTACGCCTTTATATACTTCTTCAGCCCCCGCAGGCGTTCCTGCGCCGTCTCCAGCACATCGTCATTCTTACACACGGCAAACCGCAGCCAGTCCTGCACGATATGCGCGTTCTCGGGCGTGAAGAACTCCGTCGGCGGTATGGCTGCAACTCCCAACTCCATGATCAGGAACCAGCACAGCTTGAAATCCCGGGGCCGCTCAGCAACGTGTGGCGGGAACTGGTAGTCCTCCGGCAATTGCACCTTGGACATGTTGACTAGCACAAAATAGCCACCCTCGGGATCAGAGTAGGGCAAGCCGAGCTCGTCCCAGATGGCGTTGAACTTGTCCATCTTGGCCTTCATCTCCTTCCTTGAGTTTTCCCAGAAGTTGTGAGCATCGGCTTGCTCGAAGCCGACCGCTGTCGCCTCCTGAAGAGGCGACACAGAAGAATAACAGATCCTGGTGTGTGCGGCGGAAACATACTGGATGAGGTGTTCCGGTCCGATCAGCCATCCTACCCTCCAGCCCGTTGCGTAGAAGTTCTTGCCGCCGGAGCCAACGGTAAGAGTGAGTTTCGCAACCTCTGGCGATAACGTAGCCACGCGTGTGAAGGGAACATAGTAGAGTCGATCATACACTTCATCCGAGAGGATTATGATGTTGCGCTCAACACAGATGTCTGCAATCGCCTGCAGCTCTTCTCTCGAGAACACCTTGCCGATGGGATTGTGTGGGGAGTTGAGAACAATCATGCGGGTCTTGGGCGTGATAGCCTTCTTGAATTCTTCGATATCCAGTGTCCACTCCGCAGCCGAGGTGGTTTTGGTAGCGCCCTCTTTCGGCGGATGCATGGGGACGTAAACGACCTTTCCACCGGGCATCTCGATGTTGCTGATATACTGGTCGAAGAACGGCTCGAATACGATAACCTCATCGCCATCCTCCAGAAACGCCATGAAAGCGCTCAGCATGCCCTCGTTTGCACCAGTCGTTATCGTAACCTCCGTATCCGGGTTCAGTGTACGTCCGAAGAAGGGCGAGTATGCATCCGCGATCGCCTTCTTTAACCTCGGTCGGCCCTTCGTGGGGGAGTACTGATTGCATTCTACTCTATCAAGAGCTTGCTTTGCGGCATCAAGGACGAATTGAGGGGGATTGTAGCCGAAGAAACCCTGGCCCATATTCACAATGGGCTGTACAGGAGAGGCCGCTGCTGCTTCGTTGACAATGGACCTAAGCCTTTAGAATTTGTATTTCCTTTTATCGGACCACGATTACATACCAGACATCCTGCCTCTGTCCTGCTACCCTGGCAGCAGGCTTGAAGGGGTTCTCACGGCGTGACGTCGCTGACATGGCACGGATGGGTCTATACGTTGCGGGGCACTGATATGCGAGAGGACGGTGTCTGGGTATCGCTCTGGGTGCAACGGAGGCAAATCGAGAGCTTGATTGTATCGCCCTTCTCATTTCCGGGAGTGCAGTGGAATAATGGAAGGGACTATGCCCGATTACATATCCACCGGCCTGAGGAATTGCGTGCTTCGCAATGATTTCGGAGGCCGCATTGAAATTACCGCGCCACATTTCCGTCAGCAGCCGCGGTTCAGCCACACGTGGCGCTGCTTTCCAACGTCGCGTAGTTTAATGGACGCGACGCGGACCACGCTGGTGGAACTCTCACCTCCGCCTCCGTCATGGTTGCTTGCCCGCTCTGCAATAAGCAAGTCAAAGAATCCCTAATCAATGAGCATATCGATGACGGTTGCAAGTCCCATATCCTCGAACAATCCGGCACTCCTGCCTCCCAGAAAACACACAGCTTCTTCTCCACTCCAGCCGCTCGCCGTATCCCTCCATCCACCTCGAAGAATGGCACCCTTGCGTCGGCGTCTCATCCGCCATCCGCAACCCATCCGGTAGAGCGCCAAAAGACATCACCGAGTAGCACAAAGCGGCCTTTTGGCAGTATCGAAGATGGAGCGCCAGCAGCTCCTGCGAACGGTGCGAATCTGCCTGAGAGTCCACCAGTAGCTCCGAAGAGGACAAAGTTGAGCTTGTTACACAAGGTTGCACCTCTTGCGGAGCGAATGCGGCCAACCTCTCTAGACGATGTATGCGGTCAAGAGATAGTAGGACCCAAGGGGCTGCTGCGCGGTATGATCGAATCAGGAAGGATACCGTCTATGGTTCTCTGGGGAGGACCCGGAACGGGCAAGACCACCATTGCGCGGCTTATAGCGAATACGTCTGGTGCTCGCTTTGTGGAGATCAACAGCACTAGCACTGGTGTGGCTGAAGTTAAGAAGATCTTCGCAGAAGCGTTCAAAGAATTGCAGCTTACTGGGCGGACAACGATTGTGTTCTGCGACGAGATACACCGGTTTTCAAAGGCTCAGCAGGATGTATTCCTAGGTCCTGTCGAGGCAGGACAGGTCACATTGATAGCAGCAACGACCGAGAATCCCTCTTTCAAAGTCATTAGTGCTTTGCTTTCAAGATGTCGGACCTTTACTCTTGCTAAGCTTACAAAAGATGACCTAGTTCAGATACTGGAACGTGCCCTGGCTATGGAGAACTGCGACTCGCCGCTTCTGGACAAGGAAATGTTGAGATATTTTGCTGATTTCGCTGACGGAGATGCGCGGACTGCTCTGAATCTGCTAGAGCTTGCTATCAATCTCTCAAAGAACCCCTCCACGACAGCTGAAGATATCAAGCAGCACTTGACCAAGACCCTGGTCTACGATCGCGCCGGCGATCAGCATTACGACAACATCTCTGCACTACACAAGTCAATACGAGGATCCGACCCCCATGCCGCGCTATATTACCTAGGTCGCATGTTGAAGTCCGGCGAGGACCCGCTTTACATTGCAAGACGGCTGATTGTCGTTGCCTCGGAGGATGTTGGACTTGCCGACAACACCATGCTTTCCTTAGCTACAGCAACATACACCGCATGCCAGCAAATCGGCATGCCCGAGTGCAGGATCAACCTTGCGCATTGCGTCTCCGCTTTGTGCCTGGCCCCGAAATCGACAAGATCTTACCGTGGCATAGCAAACGTTATGGCTGCCTTGGATGAACCCGGCATAGCAGGGTTGCCTATACCAGTTCACCTACGCAACGCGCCGACCCGCTTAATGAAAGAAATGGGTTACGGGGCAGAGTACAAGTACAATCCGGATTATGTGGATGGGAAAGTAAACCAGGAGTATCTGCCTGAGAAGCTACGGGGGCGAATATTCCTTGAGGATTCGGACTTTGGCTCGAAGGTGGATGAAGATCTGGAGGATGTTTTGTTGCCGGAGATTGAAGATTGATCAAGCAGCCATTGAGGCAACTTGGATCATGAAGAGTTGGCAACGGATAAGCCAGCTGGGGTGGTTGGTTAATCCAGGCGTTAGGTCTGCGCCACAGACATTTGCCCGGTTTTGCTTCCCTTCACGTTTGAATAGAGCAATATACCCCTTTCTTTTTTTTTTCTTGAAAGCCACCTCTTTTTGCGTTAATTCTAGGAGGCTTCAGTATGCAATGCGGGAGGATCGCGATACCACATTCTCACAAGTCTAAGCCTTTGCACCTCTATGTCTTCCGATATTTGTGGCACTCAGGTTCGTGGAAGTACTCGTATTCCCATTAGCAAGGCTTCTGGATGGTCAATGGTCTAACTAACATTGTTTACTCCAGATCATTCATTCACATATGAGCAGCCGAGTTAGAAAGCAACATCATTGTATCAACAACGCAAACAAAGCGAAATGCCTGTCTGAGCGCCACGTTAGCATCGCGAACAAAGCTCTTCACGACTTGTCCTTTGTTTATATTTGACGTACATCAGTTGCTCCCTTCCTTTCCACTATCCGCTCGATCACCGCGAACATACCCATCAACACTTTTCCAGTAGTACTGCATACTGTCATCAACCACGCAATCGACAATACCATGTATTTCCTAGCCTTTATGATAACCTTTTCCCTGGCGGGCTTTGCAACTGCCGCCTCCCCAACCTGGAGTACCTACCAACCCGGAACCTTCTCCTCAGTCGACATCCGTATCAACGAAGAAATCGGAGAAGGCTCCGCCGCCACCATTTCCCTCCCCGTCCCGCTCTTCCCCCGAGAAGAGAAAAAGGGTCCCCAATGGGGCGGGCACTTCGCCTGCCACGACGCCAACTTCACAGGTGCCTGCCACTACTACGTCGAGAAGCGGGGTGCATGCCACGAGTACGAAAAGGAGAATTGGGAGAAGTATACGTCCATTGGGCCTGATAAGGGGCAGTGGTGTTATTTTTATGAGGGGGAGCAGTGCCTTGGGGACCATGTGGAGTTGCGCCATCCTGGGAGTAGGAATTTGAGGAGGAAAAGGTTTGATAATAGGGTCAAGAGTTGGAATTGTTGGAAGGATGAGTAGGAGTGGAGAGAGATACATAGGTAGTGTCCTCGGCTCTTCGTTCCTCTTCCTCACTAGATGCCCTCCTTTTCACTGGACGCATCGTTGGTCTTCGGAGTCTGAAGTAACACATATGGGTACTTCCTTGTCTCGTCGTCAATTTCCTCAATATCCGTATTGTCTCTAACATGTTGTCTTTGGTGAACCTATCGTATAGGCTGTCACCGCGAGCTACTTGCTGAAAATGATTACCGCGAAATGTCAGTTTTGCTAGCTGTACTTCCATCCGCATAGAGGACGACTCAACATCAACGCGTCATGACCACTCAGAATACCTGGGATAGCGGTGAGTCACTCATATCCTCGCCTTTACATGCACCTTTTCACATCACTAGCGCTCTTAAACTGTCCTCGCTTATATCTCACCCTCCAACGCAGGACGAACGCCTGACTCCAACTCTCCTCGCTTCTCCAACCCTTCTTACCTCTCCCGCTCTCCCTCCTTCTCTGTTTAACACGTCACACTCACCACAATATATCTGCACCATCTTTAACATGAAGCTGTCGACTCTCCTCGTCGGTCTCATCACCGTCGGCAGAGTCGCAGTTACTACTGCGGTTCCTTCTCCCAATTATCTCGAAAGTGCTGATCTCGTCAAGGCTGACACGACCGTCAATGAACCTGTCACCGACCTCAGCAGTGTCAATGCACTTGATAAGACCGAAGAGTATACGAATCTCAATGTACTCGAAGAAGTCAATTCCAGCCCTTCTCTCGAAGACATCGGCCTCGATGACATCGACGACAATAACACCCCTCTCACCAACACCACACACTCGATCGTCAACACCGCCGTCACCCTCGGTCCCATATGCAAGCCGCACAAGCCTCGATGCGAGTCGCTCTATCGGTCATGCCGCTCAGTAAGTCCTTCCTCCCTCTCACTCTTCTGACAAACATATTATGAATACAAAAGCGAATGCTAAACTATCTCTAGTGGTGCCAGTTCAACTGCTGGGGCACCTGATGCATCTACGCCTGGAGCCAGAAGAAGGACTGCAAGGTGTGCGCGGCTTATGTGAGGCCGACTTGTTCTAAGGCGGATTATCCGGACACGAAGCCTCCGCCGGGCGAGTATGGGTGTGGCTGTTTTTGGCGGTCAAATGGTGACTGCTTGTGGGGGGTGACATGACAGATTCTGGTGGATTTGAGAAAATTAGACGGGAGGCGGTAGCTACATCCAGTTGCGTGGTGGCTTTACTATTCAGGAGAGTTAATGAAATGGTTAGATTGATGATATCCTCAACCAAATGAAATCCGTGACCTGCTTGTGTATTGCACGTAGTGTGGTTTCCGTAGAAAGAATAATGTCGGCTTGCTTAGCAGCGGGGTTGATAGCCAACGGCATAACACAAGGTCACGCACTCGGAAAATGGTCACGTTGAGATTTGAAAAGGGAAGATGTATTTGTCAGACGCTCATATCATCTGAGATCGTCAGAGTAGTCTCCATTGCTGTGTCCATCTATCGTGGTGTCCGCCGGTATCCGGTCTCCTTTCCGTCTTCCTCTCAGTCACACCCTATCGCATTCTTCTCGCACCATGCGTCTACACCTGCAGACCGAGCTCGCACAATCCACACTGGCTACACTTCACGAGATCAGGCTTGGCCACGCACTCGGTGTAGCATAAGAAGCACTTCACAGCCGCGATGATCTTGTCACGGATATCCTTGGGGTCTTCGGGGACGGAAAGCCTAAGAGTTCATGTTAGTGTCAAGTCCGGCAACAACAACGATGATGGTAAACTTACATGTCCAGAGTCTCGGCTGCGACTTGAGTCAAGCCGGCATTCAACGGCTCCGAAATGCCAGTGAGTTCGCCCTCCGTTTCAGGCTTCATCGCGGCGCAACCATTAGCAGTAACCGAGTTCGAAATCAAGCCCTGGCCGAGGCAAGTGATGTACTCGACCGCTTGGATGGCATGGACGGTATCCTCTTCGGTGTTGCCCAAGGCCTTGACGTCCCCTCCAATGGTGGGAATTCCGTCGACCAAGTCGCCCAGATCAGCGGCGAGTTTTCCGCAGTACTTCTTGCAAGCGCGGCAAGTCAGGATTGGACCCCATGGGCAGATGATCAGGCAAGCCATGCAGCTAGCCTTGGAATGCTTTTGGCGAGTGGCAACCTGCTTGTCGACGGTCTCGGCCATTGCCAGGGAGACGTCGCGCTCTTTGATGGCGTTCTTGTCTGCGGAGGTCAACGTGAGGGCGGAATCTGCGCGAGCAAGCTGAGCGGAGCCGCCGGTGGATGAGGCAATTGCCGTGGCCAAGAGGCCAGTGGCAGCCGTGATGATGAAAGAGAGACGCATGGTGTAGGAGCGTGTGGAAAGTAAGAGGTAGTGAGTGGAAAAGAGTTGAGGTTGTGTTGAGTGAGTGGAACCGAGTTGAGATTGCAGTTAAGGTTGAAGTTGAGGTTGTGTTGAGTGAGTGGAGTGGGTTGTAGGAGGGAAGGTTTGAAGTGGGTGGGGGAGGGTATTATATAGTTGCTGGACGGGGGCAGTCGGTGAGCGCGGTGAAACTTCTAGAGGCACGCTAGTAGGAAGGCCCTCAGAGCCCTCAAACACATAGGCGGTGAGGCGGCAGTATGAAGCTGAGTGGCGATCTCGGTCAGTGAAAGACCAACTTTCGAGGTCAAAGGTGGTACACGGAGTGCCCGCGCAGAAATACCGTTGGCCTCAGAGATAAGGCTCCTTGGATGGCACCGTATTCTATCAGTGCATAGCACCGGTTTATCGTCTCCAGAGGCACCGTGGAAAATCTAGATTGATTGCACCTTACGTAAAGTCGCAACTTCTGTTTACTGTTACTAATATATCCTCTGCGTCAGACTATTCAACGTTAGCTACCTAGTAACTGCAGAGTTTGGTCGCAAGAAGCTCTCACGTTTACAAGCTGCACGAGGGCAACTATCTATTATCATTTGAGCAAGTGGAATGCACACACACTCGCCGGTCTAAATGGTTCCTCGTCTACATAGTTGATGTGGTTGAATCCTTGGCAGTGAATGCAGATGCACGTGACCGATGAGGGGTGTTAAACCAAATGAGACTAGCAGAACCTGGAAGACTTCTGGAATCTGCGTGCCTGCTATGCTTTAGCCCATGCTCGACATGAGGCTATGAGAGAGTCGAGTCATGTCCAGCACTGTCTCTTATATCAAGTAAATTGCGGAAGTGTTGTTTTGCGGTCACGGGGGTTAGTAGCAAACAAGCGTCTACAAAGCGAGTCTCCTTTCTGCCTGACATTGTCATTCGTTATACCCAAATGTAGAGATCGGCGAGTTCCGGTTCCAAGACTTACACTCTTCTAACTCAATGGCCTATTGGACAGTGGCCTCCTGGGCGGTTTTCTTTCTATTTGATCAATATTCCTTAGCTTGACAAGTATTATTCAATTCTCTTCTCGTCTATAGCTGGTCCAATGTGAGCTGAAGTGATCCTCTAAACAACGTTCTACGGGGCACACAATTGAGCTGGCATTATAGAGCCGCTTACATTGGGACCTGGGGTAACGGACGAACCGTCCATATATGTTTCCAAGTCGATGCGCTAGAGCTGCTAGCTCTCGGGAAACATGAGTCTACCGTACAGCAAAGCTTTGGATAAATTGAGCTACTCGAGCCATCGCTTCGAGGCTCTTGAAAACAACGACTTGTACTTCGTTGCCTCCCACTTTCGGATAGAATACCTGTCGCTATGGCAATTCGAGCATTAATATCGCGTGCTCACTGCTCCGGGTTCTCGCCTTCCAGAACTGGTCGCGCTCCTCCGACACAGCGCACGCCACTTCCGGAAGATCTTCCTTATTGTTACCGCGGAATCCAGGCGTTCCAGATCTCCCACGGGGCTCCTGTGTTTTCCTCAAAGGCGCCAATTGCAATCGCCATTTCCAATGTGACCAAGCCTCGTCGTGGCCCAGGTATTCACCTTCCCGTTACGGACGCCAAGCCTTTCTACTCCTATCAAATCATCCAAAACCGCGCTTCACAGCTCGCAGCCATCAGCGCAAGCACATCCAGGACAATTAAATGAAAGGGCCAGAAAGAGCCGTCCATCTCCCAAGCGAAGCACATCATTCCGCTCTTGCAGAAGATCTATCACCAAGTTGATCCAATCGCCGCGATGGCATATGCTGGTAGAGACTGGCAGACCTGATGGGCAGGTGCTGATACCCTCGAAAGCCACGATGCAGGCGTCGTGCGCGTATAAAGACCAGAGACATTGGCTATCATGAACGGCACTCAGCTTCCTGAGCCGTCCAAGTCCAAGTCCCGACCATGAAGTCCGCTCTCGTCTCCTCCCTCCTCTTTGCTCTGGCTCTGGCAGGGGCAGTGCCAAAGAAGGTTGATTACAACGGCTTCAAGGTCTTGCGCGTCAACCTCAATGAAAAGCTGGACAAGCTCGAGGCACTTGAGAAGCTGGCCACCCACGTATTGAACCCTGGAAAGGCCTCCTTCGTCGATGTTGTCGTCGCCCCGGAGAATGTGGACGCTGTCAATGCCCTGTCCGCAGCCACTGTCATAACTGAGGATGTTGGCGCCGCACTGAAGGAGGAGGGAGGTTTCTCGGCTTACGCAGGTTCGTATTGTGCTAGAGTCCAAAGAATGGATGGCAATATTAACAGGCAACTGCTCAGTCCCGAGCGAGACTTGGTTCACTGCATACCACTCATATGCCGACCACCTCCAGTTCCTGCGGGATCTGCAAGCCGGCTACACCAGCAACTCCGCCATTATCACTGCAGGGACCTCAGTCGAGGGACGAACCCTCACGGGTATCCAGATCTGGGGTACTGGCGGAAGGGGATCCAAGCCTGCAGTGCTTATCCACGGCAACGTGCATGCGCGTGAGTGGATCACCAGTAAGGTATGGCGTCCCCTTTCCCACATTTTCCTGATGGCACTGACCTTTCTTCCCACAGACTGTCGAGTACATTGCATGGCAATTGCTCACTAAGTACTCCACCGATGCCACGGTGAAGTCCCTTGTCGACAAATTCGACTTTTACATCGTGCCCATCGTTAACCCCGATGGTAAACCACTCTCAGTTCCATTTGCTTGAGAATCCCTAACTAACCGATGCGCAGGCTTCGTCTACACTCAGAGGACTGATCGACTCTGGCGCAAGAACCGCCAGACAGTCAGTTCCAGCCGCTGTGTCGGCCGCGACATCAACCGCAACTGGCCCTACAAGTGGGACGCTCCCGGCGGCGCGTCCACAGATCCCTGCTCGGAGACGTACAAGGGCGTCGCTGCCGGCGATGCGCCCGAGAACAAGGGTCTCGTTGCTCAAGTCCAGCAGCTCAAGGCGTCTCGGGGTATCCGCTTGTACCTCGACATTCACTCCTACGGACAGTACATCCTCTGGCCGTATGGCTATGACTGCAACCTCCGTGCGGAGAATGATGCCCAACACCGCAATCTGGCTACCCGCGCGGCTTCTGCTATCCGTGCTGTGTCTGGGACAGCTTACACTATTGGTCCCTCTTGCTCTACTCTCTACGCAACCACTGGCAGCAGCACGGATTACACTGATGTCACTGGAAATTCTACTTACTCGTACACATACGAGCTCCGGGATACTGGTAAATACGGATTCTCCCTGCCGGCGAACCAGATCCAGCCCACCGTGCGGGAGACCTGGGCGGGTATCGTGAGTATGCTGAAGGATGCGTAGATGTTTCCTGCATGAAGATGGGTACGGACAGTGAAGGATTGAGTACAATGATTTATGAATCCTGAGCTAGCAATGTCAGAATCAATTACAGTAATTTCGAACAAACGCAGTAATGGTTCTAATAGCCATCTCGGTTCAGAATCTTCAACTCATTTGTTTTCTTCCTCCTCGACTCAATAGGGTTCTGCTTCCACCATTTCAACCCCATCGCCTGCACCCCCTACCGAGGCAGCTCTCCAATTGCATCCAGCTTCGTTGTCTCCGTCCTACGTACTATCCGTTGCATCTTCCTTGAACACATCTCCATATCCCAACTTAATCCCACCCACCATTTTTCCACTCCCACACGCAGTCGTAACCATTCCAATCAACATAATGGTGCCGATAATATGCGCGGCCAGCATCCCATCCAGCGCACTCTCAAAGATTTTGTGTTTTACATGGAACTTTTATATTGCCAGCGAACGATAGAGCTCCGTGTCCTCCGCGGGCGGACATGAAGCTCGATTGATGCTCGGCCAATTGCAACTATTTACAGGTTGATACGGATGAATTGAGATGGAGCTATAAAGAACAGTAGAACCACGGTAGCCTTCCACGTCGTTTTCAATGGTCATCACCTTCGCTCGTCGCTGCTAAGAGAACGGCATGGAGAATGAGAAACAATCATACATCATTTACAGTTGCGGTACCCTCGCGCCCGCACGAAGTCAGTAACCCCATTTCCGCCCCAACTGACTGGTATCAATCATCTCGTGGGCCTCGATATCCGAAGCCGTGGTGCGCGTACCGCTGTTCATCATCTCCTTGACCAAAGCGTCATTCTTTTTGGTGCGCTTGGGCTTGTCTAGCTGGTAGTACTCGCTAGGGTTCGAGCCAGTCACATCGCTGCCCGTCGCCTGCTTGGCCGGAAGACCCAGCGCGGATCGCATGGAACTGACCATTCGCGGCAGCAGTACACCGTTCTTGAAGAGTGGCCTGTATGTAGGTAGACAGGCGGCGATGACGGAGGTGTTTGGTTCCACTTCGGCCCAGATGAAAGCCACGGTGATGGAGCTGTACTGGTTCTGGCCGAAGTCCGTAAGGCGGTAGATGGAGTTGTATAGGAAGACGAAGCGGATGATGGCGGACACGCAGACGAAGCCGCCGAGCCAGAAAATTCCGAGGATGGAGATCTTCTCCTTTGTGGTGACTTTGAGGGATTTGATCATGGGGATGGGGAAGCAGAGGATGATGACGTCGAAGAGGATGGAGAGGCCCGAGTAGCTGATGTACCAGGCGTTGAAATCGAAGCGGTGTTTTGCGGTGGCTGCGTCTTTGAATGCTCCATCAAATGGGACTGTGGATAGGAGAGCCAACTGAGGCTTTGGTCAGAGACTCGCAGTCGAAACGTGGGAGGGATGTAGCGCTTACCATGATAGACGACACGAACCAAAGAGTGAGAATGACCAGCATCCCAATCACGGCTCTTCTGAACCATGTTGCGACTGAGAAGAGTTGGTAGTAGAAAACCAATATGGAGACTTTGATGGTGTACAGAGCCGAGACCAGGAACAGGGTGGATATCCATAACGTCTGGTGAGAGCCAGTCAGTGGAGCCCGCAGGACAGCAGTCGTGCTTGAGCACCCACCCTTAGTGCCACAGTGGCATACTCTCGAGGTGGGATTTTGATGGTATTGATCCCGCCTATGCCACCCGCAACTATCGTGTTTATCGAATGCGCCCAGCAGAGGATCTGAGACTGTTGAGAACCGATTGCGCCATGCGAATTAGGAGAGCGAAACTTACCAGAGTTATGAGAAGCATCCAGTCATCGGCATGCAGTGTTGTGGCTCGATTTTTGAGTCGTCTTGCGTACCATCGCAGAATGGTTGCTCCAGTCGCGATGAGCGGCAAGGATATCGCAACACCCAGCAGTGAAGTGTTGACGAAGGACGCGTTCATGCCCTCGCGGCCAGACTGTGGAGGGCTTCCGCCAGCCATATTGATTTAACGGTTCAGTTTCACCGCTCAGCGGGTTTCGAAGGATGATGATCCAGAAGGATGGGTGTCGATTCCTTCGTCTCCATGCCATATAATATATGGATGAATGCATGCTGCACGCAGGTAGGCTGCATCGCGACCGCAGTCGGACTGGAAACTCTATGCATCAGGTCCCAGCACTCACTCTGACAACCTGCCTAAAGAAAGGCAAGATCCTACGTGAGAACGCATCTGTGGAGCAATCACCGTCTGTCCCGCCAGCCCCCAACCTGACTTTCATACAGATGGCGCACACCTCTCGTTACCAGCGCTCCGGAGGTCCACGGGAAATCCCTGCCAATCTGCGGAGCAACCCTCCCTCATCGGTACCGGCAGTGAATGGTTCGTGTCAGCCTTGTGTGCAGGGTCGAGATTGCGTTGAAACGCCACACTCGACACTTTATTTCTTGTACCTTCCCTAGCAGACACAGCCTCCACCACCTGCGACTTCCTTAATACGCTCTTCTGTACAGACTTGGCAGCCCTACCACAGTGTTTGTATGCCGCCAAAGAAACTCTGTGTAGATTTGCTCCGCCTACGTGAATTGGAAGCTTCAACGAGTCTGTCATAAGTCCGTTAACGTATTACGTGCGGGTCTTGGAGATTAGCTATAGGGCTTCAACAAACATGCTATTTGGAAGAAGCATTGTGGGACGTCATAAACCTGCCCATAACCCGAGTTCCCCTAGAAGCGCATGCGACTACGGGCCCGGCTCCGCTGAAAGAGGGGCGTTTTCGAACAAGCTTGCAGCTCTTAAGGGTTGTCAATATCGACTCGGTCGCAAGAAAAGCGCAGATGTTCAGATCAGCACTATCCATCGCAGCATCGTTGGGCTATGCCGCTGGTGCACTGCCGTGTCTCCCTACAAAAGCTGCAGCCCAGCAGCAAGTATGCCAGTGAACCAGCGACAGAAAAATTCTATAATTTGCCGAACCCCCATGAAAGAGGGTGTATCCGGGGTGTAGGCGCTTGCATCAGAGTGGCGTCTGCTGAGTCTAAGTGTACGAATACGGAGTACGCCCACGGCGGTTGCGCAATAATAGGCGGAAATGTATAGCAGAGACGCTATCAGCGGGATGGAACCGATGCAGGAGATGAACTAAAAGCGGGGAGATTCTATGCTAAGACTATGCAGGAGTGCTGGGTGAGGTCAAGTTTTCGGCACTCAAGTGCTGGGACATGCACTCTCACGTAAGCGGGGGCCGCGACATGGCTCGTTCACACTACCTTCACGACCTCACGCGCACATGCACCGCTGTTAACTCGCGATTTCTGATGTAATGTGGAGCTCACATTTTTAGGCGATGTTACCGACGGAATGGGTCTGGTATACTGTATGGATATTATAGGTATAAATGTAGGGGTCTAGGACGGGTTCGCACTATCCACGGTAAGGCTAACCCTTCCGCCCCCAGAACGGCACTTCGTAAAGCATGGATATACTGCCTTGTCTACTCTCTCACTAGATACTGCCAGAACCATATCCTTACATCTGGATAATTCAGCCCTACAAACGCTGGGAAGCTGCCCCGACGAAACTACAATCGTCCACGAGTGAACCGCGCGAGCGTCTCCTGGAACCCATCCCCGACATCCAGTGCTCCAATCTGAGGGGGCCGTGTTGGAACCACCGTGGACTCGTCGACACTCCCAGCAAGCCCACAAGGACCAGCAGATAGTGACCGTTCCTCAGCCTTACCCATCCACAAGCTCACACGGCCCGGAACCAGCGCCTTTGGAATTCTGACGTCGCCCACGACGACCTCACCACTCTGGTCATTCTCATTCTTTTTCATCGCCGTGGGGCCTACATCATACATGAGCTCCGTCGGACGCGAGAGAGATGATTCTGGTACGCCGGACGAATCCGACCAGACTCTCTCTGATTCTCCAGAACTCCGAGAGACCGGAACTGCAGCAGTAGGCCGCTCCCCGAGGATATACGGCTTAGGATGAGGCGGCAACGGCTTGTCTTGCCCATTCTTAGACACCGAAGTAGCCTGCTGGAAGTCCGGGAGAGATATGCTCTCACGGAGTCGTTGCGATTGAGCGTGGCGTTCACGCTCTCCACGCGTCATGTGTAGTGGTGGGACTTGCAGGTACTTTGAAGAGGAATTCTGCTTCTCCTTTCCATCTTCGTTGCGGATTGGCGTTCCTTGCGAACTCGACTGTCCAGCCTCATCGGTAGTCCCAACAGCAGAAACGGCCCGCTGGGAGGAATTGAGCTGGAAAGCACGAGGGTCCTGTGATTGACCTCGCTCACGGTGTTCGGTCCGTGCTGGTACCTGCAGCAACGCTCCATGAAAGGCACGTCGCTCTTTGCGTCGATCCACCGCCACCAATGCCGTCTTGAACATTCGCCTCTCCTCGTTACCCGGAAGCCGTGATCCAGACCTCTCTCGCCGCAGCTGCACACGCCCTGCGAGTCCAACAGGTTCCGTCAACCGGGCCTCTCGCTCGACCTGAGCATTCTCACCCGGTACCGTCGTCTCCGCTTGAGGGCCCATATGAATCCCCCGTCCTTCTCCTCGCTCTATACCATTCCTCCTCTCTCCCTCCCCATTTCGATCTCCCTCTCCTCTTCTCACCCCTAGCCTCATCCTCGTCCTCCCCCGTCCCCGTTCCTCCTCCTCTTCCTCATCCCCATCCCAAAACACCCTCAAAGCACCCCTCATCCCCCTCCAATCGGGACTCCGCTCATGCGCCATCTTACTACTCCTTTTCCTCGGCTTGACCGAGCCTAGTACCATGGGCTCGTAGTACGCGTGTGGTCGCGGGTGCTTGGCCGGGGGACTGGAGCTGCGGAGCCAGTCGTGGATTGTTGGTGCGAGGGGCTCGGGGTTGGTGGGGAGGAGGGAGGAGAAGGTTTGGGGTGTGAGGGGTGGTGTTGTTGGGTTGGATGTGGTGGGGGAGGGTGAGGTAGTGGGATTGTTGGGTTTGGGAGGGATTTTGGTGAGGATGTGGCGGAGTTGGGTGGTGGGCATTGTTGTTCTTGTTGTGTGTTTTGGGCTATTCGGTGGTAGTAATGGTGGTAGTGAGATGGGATGGGGAGGAGAGCTTGGGGTTGGGAATGGAGAAGATATAGGGTGCTTTGGGAGGGAAGGGTGAATGTCTTCATGATTGCCTGTTTTCCCTAATGAGGCCCGTGATGTGGTAGTAATCGGTGCGAAGGTTCGTTAAAACAGGCGCCTATTGCGGGAATCAGTTGTTCTGTGAGTGTACAATCATCGATCTCGTTTAGATGGGTGAACAAGTGGGTAGAGCTGTCGAGAATCACCAGATGAAATACGCTTGCTCAGTGCGTATTTGGCTTATTAAGGAGGCCCGTGACGCGAGAGTAATTGGTGCAAAGGTTCAAGAACTCCGGTATCTATGGATGAAATTATTGGTGCGATAGGCGTACAGTTCTCGATCTTGTCTAGATGGGTGAACAAGTGGCTAGAGCTGTCGAGAACCACCAGATGGACAATGCTTGCTCAGTGCATGCGGCATGCGGCATGCGGCATCTAGTTTGCGTACAACACTCAAGGAGGGATCTAAGAGCTTCGAAAGAAGCAGTGCGAGCGTTTGAGAAAGTTGGACACCAGGCATCAATGTCACAGAGTGAATAAAGCATGTATTTTGTGCTATTTTCTGCATCGATTGCTCTACGCAAGACATGCGGCTGATATACATATCGCATATCTCCACATACGTATCTGTCACACACTCGACTTTCCCTTCTAACAGGATCCCGCTCCTAATCCTACATCACTCCCCTCCATTCCCCCGCTCTTCAGTCTTCCTCCCCTTACCCTCCTCCTTCCCCACTTTACTCCCCGTACCCTGCTTCTCCCCCTCACCCACAGCCCTCCCAACGGCCTCCATAACGCTAGGATGCACACCCACAAGGTCCTTGTCCCACTGATAGGGCAGCAACGCCGCCACAGCCGCGAAGACGGAGGGATGCAGACCGGCTGCGTCGCTTAGGTAGTCGAGGAGAGATGCGTTGCAGGAGCAGGGATGGGGTTGGGACGGGGACTGGGGTTGGGGGTTCTGTGCGGCAGTGCTGGAGGGGGAGTCTTGGGCATTCGGTTTGGGATTGGGTGTGTTGGGGGGAGACATTGTGGGTAGTTGGGTTTGGGTTGGGGAAGTGGGTGTATGGGTTGGTTGGTTGGATTGTGTGGTATGAGATGCAGGGGTGTGCGTATGGATATGTGTACGGATGGGGCGGAATGAAAGGAGGGAGCAGAGGGAGGTAGTATTTGAAGATTGGAATTTGTTGATTGCATTGCGTTGATGCTGTCTATCTACATTGTAGCCCTTCGTTTCGTACGTTGTTTTGCATTGTTGAGGAACAGTGCGGGTGAGATGTCATCGAGCTCGCTGGTAGTGTGAGAATGAGGATCAAGACTGGAGTGCTATTGAAGTCGAAGACTAGTGGTACATGACTGTTTTCGATATAGATATTGAGGTGGTTCGAGTTAGAGGCGGTGCCGTCTTGCGATGATATCTGCCATGGTAGTGAATCACTAAATGGCTCATGTACCATTAGGAGAGGGTGCGGAAAGACAGGACTTTGCTTTCCCGACGTCTCTCGCGGCTGTGATACCTAGAATGGCGTGCAACCAGCCATGTAAATTCTGTAGTGGTAGGTATTCTCGTTGGTGATCTATCTGCACAATGAAGGTCCAGGGGTATAGTGACGTTTCATGCAGTGAGCGGCAGGGAGTGAGGCCTTGGGGAATAGCTGCTACCAGGCCCTGACCTAGGTTCTGTCCTTTTAAAGAGTATGATTAGAATCATATCGGACAACCATCTGCGCAACTTGCTGGTAGCCATGGAGCAGTGATTGGCTGAGTAGTTTCGTCTTAGAGGCAGTCACGTGATCGTATCATGGGGCCGGAGTACACTTCTCCATACAATCTCTAGAGTCATACAGGAGCTCAGACGAAGGTGGGGAGCAAGATGTATGGGACAGTTTAACACAGAGGCCGTGCACTTCTGTCAAGGGTTGCATATGACGGTTGTTGAATCGTTGATTGCGCACGTGCTTCGCACAGGCAGATGAGACTACGGAGTGCTCTCGATTGACCCGAAGTCGCCTCATTGAGGCCCATGAACCGGTCGCTTTAGAGGGACCAGAACGCTGTGCCAATGCGTGTTCAGCGAATCCCACGCCGGTACATGGCGCATACCAAAGTCTAGCATGCGAAAATAGCCACCGACGCCCTACAGAGAGGAAAGCTAAGAAAACAAAAATTCTATCCCATCCCATTTTTTGTAATCTCTCCGGTTATGCATTACGCTGATGCGGAAATCGACCGTCCGACAAGGCCGGGGTATTATTTCTTCGAGCGTCGATCCGAAAAGAAGTGCGGATTGTTGGCGAGACGGCATGCAGTCTCCCTCGTGGCCGTCTACCTGTGCATAGTACACCGATCGAGAGCATCGAGCAACTCGGGCCGGTCGGCCAGGGCCTGGCGTGCTTGGGTGTAGGTGAACCACTGGCGGGAGCGCTTGTGCATCTCGGGCCACTGTGCCTCCTGCTTCTCGACCAGGGCTTCGAAGAAGTGGTAGGAGGCTTTCGGGGCCTGGGCGGTGAGCTGGTTCGGCTTTCTCCTCTCGGGGACCAGGCCCAGGTCGTATGTGATTTTGACAATAATGCCGGCCTCCTCCCAGGCCTCGCGTTTGGCAGCATCTTGGGCGGTTGCCTCATCCGTCTCCCATCCGCCTTTGGGGAGAACCCAGCCGCCGCGGCGGGTGGACTGGATGAGGAGGACATAGTACTTGTCGGCAGAGAGGGGCACAATGCCGGCAACGAGGCGCTCTCCCTGCGAGCCGTACCCTGCAGGACAGGTGGTCAGCAACGTTGGCCCCGTGAGGGCTGCAATGGTGCAGAAAGAAGCCGAAACGGCGCATCGAGGACGCGGTCCGGCATGGCGGACTCACTCTGGTTATTCCGGCCAGTACGCGACTGCATGGGGAGCTGGTTCTGCTGTTGGGGGGGCTGCGGCGGCACCGAGGCGGCCATGACGGTCACGCTTGCGTGTCTGGAGGAGTGGTACGGGCAGTTTCTGGGAGAGGAGAGGACGGGCGGCGATTGAGAGTAGGTGAGGTTGCGAAGGGCGGCGCGGCGGAGGAAAAGGTCGACGGGCAAAGCGGACGGAGGAGAAGCAGTGAGTGATCAAAGCGCGGAAAGGAAGGGGGAGGATGAGTGAGCGAAAGGCAGGATGGAGGACGTCTCGGCGGTGCAAAAGGCTCAGTCCCGCGGGGGACGGGGCTGAGGATGGTGGAGGGGCCTGGCCGAAGAGAAGGAGAGGACGGACATCGTGGACGGTGGGAGGAGGTGGTAAGTATGGTTTTAGGGTGTAGGGTCGGTAGGGTCGGGTCAGGGTGCAGAAAATGTGGGAAGGACTAAGAAGCGCGGCGCACCCCGGACGCCCCTCGATTAATCCGTAAGTACACAGTGATGAGAGCGTCACGCCAAGCCGCATACGACGGTTTTACAGGTGTACAGTGTACATATAGTAGATGGAAGAATGGGATGCAGGACCACCACGCGCAGTTGGCGGGGGATGCAGAAAGCAGAGGGAAGCAGAAGCGCGGGCGGAGGAGGCGCTGGTTGGCTGGAGTGAGAGAGAGGGTACATATAGAACGCCCTTCACCCACTTGCCCACTGGATTTCAAAGAGCACCACCTTGCGCCCGCAGCAACTCGAGAGAGTCCTGAAGACCCGTTGTTTACTCACGTCGCCCTTCTTCTACTTCTCCCAGGCCGCCTCTTCTTGCCCACTCCCGCCCCAACGATTGCTCCGCCGGGCTTCAATTCACCCATACCTATCCCCCCCACCGCCACTGTCGTCGGAGCAGTCGAGCTCCCACGCTTACCCTGCGACCATGCAGTCCCTGGTGACGCCGTGCGGTATGTATCTGCTCCAACCACCAGGCGGGTCGTCCCCTCGTGCGTGCCTGGCTGGATGGCGCTCAGCCGCGTTGCTCTGCTCCTGGGGTAGCTGATTTAACATCTTTTTCCCTAGGCTACTCTGCTGAGAGTTGCGGATACTGCAAAGACTCGTCGACGGGCACCCGCACGCCCAATTCTCGTACGTAGCCTCTTTTCCACTCTCTCCACTCTCTCCACTGTCTCAATTCTCGTACAAATCACTTCCGCGACTTGACAACTGTGTCGCGTGGGAGGCCGCCGGCCCTTAGGCTTTCCGTTGTCTGGCCCTACTACTAGGCCTGGGCCATTTCACCCGCTCCGCTTGATCTTCCCATCTCATCGGTCCCACTCTTCGAAGTTCGAAGCTTCTGAGTTGCTGGGCACGTGCATCAGATATTTACCCCTCTCCCACCCCTCCAGCTCCCTCCCTCGCCAGCTCTTACAGCGTGCATCCTCCATCTTGAATAAGATAGATGCGCAAGAATCCCTGTTTCGGAGCGAAGGCAGGATGTAGGCAAACCTACTGCCTGTGACAAGTCCAGCAAGCAGTGTCTCTAGCACATGCAAACTCTGCTGCATCGTCTGATAGCCTTCGTCGATGATGATTCTGCGCGGGTGAATTCGGGAACCCGTCGACTCCACTCACTGACGCCGCTGCATACTCAGGAGCATCGTATTACATCACGTCCAACAGACTGACGGTCGATGTCTATCAGGCTCTCGTCGACCGAGGCTGGAGGCGGTACGTCACTTCTCACTGCTGCGCCTGGATAATGCCGCAGAAGTTGTTCGACGGACTAACGACTGTTCCCCCTAATTAGGTCCGGCACGATATTTTACAAGCCCGACGTCTTGCGCCATTGTTGTCCGCACTACACCATCCGGTTCGTAACGCACTTGCTTTTGGGCTATGCTCGCTGACCTCTCTCTAGTCTTCCTGTCGCAGAGTTCAAGCCAACGCGGGATCAGAGGCAATCGGTCAATCGGTGGAACAGACACATCCTTGGCGAGGAATATATCAAAGAAGCTGCCAAACTGCATCCAAAGTCGAAACAGTGAGTGATTTAATCATGCCAGCACTATGATGCTAATCGACTTGTAGAGAAAAAGCTCGGCAGCGCAACTCCTATGATCTCGTCTCAACCATTCATGAGAGCGAATATGACCATGTTAAACGCCCACCGGAGCCAGCGCACAAGTTCGAGGTGACACTCGAGCCGGACGAGTTCACCCAGGAGAAGTACGACCTGTTTCGCAATTACCAGCAGCATGTACACCATGAGAAACCTCACGAAATCTCTGCGGGCGGCTTCCGTCGGTTCCTCTGCAGTTCCCCCCTCCAACGTACCACTAGGACCGTGGAAGGGAAAATACAGCAGCTGGGCTCTTTCCACCAGTGTTACCGTGTCGACGGGCGGCTAGTGGCCATGGCTGTCCTGGACCTGCTGCCCCATTGCGTAAGCGGAGTTTACCTCGTCTACCACTCCGACTTCGAGAAATGGAGTTTCGGGAAGATCAGTGCCATGAGAGAAGCGGCCCTTGCCCTTGAGGGAGGTTACCAGTACTACTACATGGGCTTCTACATCCATTCATGTGCCAAGATGCGCTACAAGGGCCAATATCAGCCTTCCTACATCCTCGATCCGGAAACCTATGAGTGGACCCCCTTGAACGATGACATGCGGAAGCTGCTGGACAGCAAGCCTTTTGTATCGCTTTCGAGAGAGCGTCGACGAAAAGCGGGCTCGGAAGGTTCATCGGACGAGCATGCAGAGGATAGGTATGAGGACTACCCACACCCAACTGCTGCGGAAGGCGACCGGGCTGTCAGGACTGGCATGTCACTCTTTGATCTCAAGGTTCCTGGGCTCATGTCGGCGGTTGAGATTATGGAGGAAGGCATATTGGACACCCTGCTCCTGAGACTCAGGCGTGTACCTGGTCCAGTCGAGGCTCAGGTAAGCGACTCTCACACCCAAGCCGGAGCCATAGTTAATGAATCATAGAACCTTGTCACCTGGGAGAGTAGTCCAATGACGGATCCAAACAGTATCAAGGGAATGCTCGCAGAACTGGTGGCATGCTTGGGACCGGAGGCTGCGCCACAGATAGTTGTAGACCTCCACTGATCTCTCATGGGTGACTGGCTGAGAGGGGCGGATACTTTGGTGCCGCAATCAGCTTCTCCCTGTGATCTATGTGTTCTACATGCAGCCAATTCGCAGAAAAGCGACATCGTGTCTCTATCTGGGGTGTTCACTTGTGAGACGACTGCTGCTCTATGTGATGATGGTTGTGCCAGCGTTCGAGCTGCCCTACCTTAGGACCCAGGACGTTCCCGAGGTCCCAAAGGGCTTGTCGTCTGCTCTGGGATCTAACCGCTTTCGGATAAGTGTGCGAATGGGAGCAGCTCCCCGCCAACTTGGAAAAGTTCCGCGACAAGCCTTTTGTTTCTTCTACTCTACACACTGACCCGTTGACAGTGTTCACTTCATTTTCGACTGAAGAAAAGGGTCAAAATGGCCTCCTCTCCTATTACACTGGTCGTGCGCCCTCGTGGTACGTTTGCAGAGCTCCCTCCCGCTTCCGCCAGCTTCTAAAACCCTCACGTCAGGACGCCCGATCAGAAACCTGCCGGAAACCATCACGGTCAGCCCCGATGCTGGCACCACCGAAATCTTTGAGAAGATTGCAGATGCCTCTCAATTCTCCATCCACCGGCTGCGAGTCACAAAGGGCAGCGATGGAACACCAATTCCCAAGTCGACCGAGATTCCAGTGCACGACACAGGGCTTCGGAACAAGAGCGCGGTGGACGTGAAGGACTTAGGTGGGTGCCCAATGGCTACTCTGTACGCTCTCGATTGACGATTCCATGTTTAGGTCCGCAGATTGGCTGGCAAACCGTGTTCCTGATCGAGTATCTGGGTCCCATCCTCATCCACCCTCTTTTCTACTACGGCCGCTCCTTCATATACGGTACCTCTGAGCCCCCATCGAAACTCCAGACCATCTCCTTCATCATGTTCGTGTTACACTTTCTGAAGCGCGAATACGAGACGCTCTTTGTGCACCGCTTCTCGGCCGCGACGATGCCGTTCAAGAACGTCTTCAGGAACAGTGCGCACTATTGGCTCCTATCTGGGTTAAATTCGGCGTTCTGGATCTACTCTCCGAACTCGCCCACCGCGGGCCCGTCGAACCCTCTTATAACCTATACTGGCATCGCGCTCTATGTGATCGGGGAGCTGTGCAACTTCTCCACGCACATGACGCTCCGCAATCTGCGACGACCAGGTAGCACGGATCGGGGGATTCCGAAGGGCCTCGGGTTCAACATCGTAACCTGTCCGAATTATACTTTCGAAATCATCTCGTGGGTGGGTGTCTGGCTGGTGACCTGGAGCCTCAGCACGGCCGTGTTCCTAGTGGCAGCGATTGCGCCGATGACTGCTTGGGCCGTGAAGAAGGAGAAGCGCTATCGCAAGGAGTTTGGGGACAAGTACAAGCGCAAGAGGTTCGTCATCATGCCCGGGATCTACTAGGGCGTAGGGTGGCGCAGCCCAAGGAAGGGAACGGCTGGGGAACTGAAAACAGGCGACGAACGAAAAGTCTTATGGGAGCATGTCCGTTGCGTTATATCTGTCATCCTGTCCACTTTCGAGTAAGGCTGAATCGCGACATTGCCTTCGAAATCGGCGGTGCATCCATTTCGATGCTCTGCATTTCGCGTACTACTTTGTTCCCCCATTACTTGTCTTTTCCGCCTTTCCCGTAGACTAGTGGCACCCAACATTGGACGGACCGGAGCGGATGTCCCACGTTGCACAGCTCTATTTTTCAGCAAACACGTGGAAGGCCATCTCATCTCAATCGCGCTGTATTGCTCTACAGAGGTGCCAAGCCCCTCGGCCGATTCACCGCTTACTGGTACTGAGAACTTTTTGACCTACACACTACTTATGTAAGCGCAGGACGTCAGGGTCTCTATCCCTTCACCGTCTGATGGCGGAGAACCCTTTTCTGAGTTCTCTTCCCTTGTCGAACATCACGCGCAATTCCACGGGAGCCGCTTGATCCGTTGCCTCGTCGCCCTGCTCCAGGCAGATTTCCAACGTCCGCTTACACGCTGACGCTTGCAATCGAACCAATGCGGCCTTCTCATCCCGGAGCAGCGCTGATGGTGTTCTCGTCGCGTGTGGGGCACACCTCAGCTCTAGGACGGTGCTGTTCAAAACACTTCCCTTTCCCACGGCTGCCATTGGTCGCGTAAATGCAGTTGGCGGGCCGAGGCCTCAGTGGGGGCTGAATCATCATTCTAGGCCGACTCAGCTCGTCTTACCTTTGGCATTGCCCTTCGGGAGGAGGGTTGCCTGAGCGGGAAGCATGTTCAGCCCCCAGACGAGCGGAGACGCCGTGTCCACTAACTACTGCGAGAGCAAGAGCAAGGCTGTTGACATGTATAAAAATCTCTACTCAGCCCCCAAGTGATAATCGCGTTGTTTCCTGGAGAAAGGGAGATTCCAGGTTGCGTCTCTTGAGCTTTTCCAATTGCCACCCCATTTATATTCGTCTCTCCTGATACCCGTCCTTCTATATACCCCCTTACACACTTCAGTTGGCCATCACTGCGATTGTTCTTGTCGTGAAAGCGGTTCAGCCAGCTCAGTGGTGGGTTGGCAAGGACATCTAGTTCCCCTTCCTTCATAAACTTGGGCATAGTTCAGCTTTTCTTTGCAATACACACTGTAAGTCCATTGAACTTTATCAAAGCTGCTATTGCTCGTGGAGCAATCTCCAAACACATTCTCCTTGCGTTGCTCCCTATACTCTTTTTTCCTCGGATCTTATCAATCTCTATACAACCGCCTTTGTTCTTCCATTGTGGTAGCAGAAACGAGCTCATTACTGTCTTTAGCAGCGCGATTCTTGGACCATGGCGGACCACCATCAGAATCAAAAAGACCAGAAAGAACAGAGAGAGCCCATTGTCGATACCAGGACGGGAATCACACCACCCAAACCCGATGATGAGTCGACTTTGGCGAAGCTCCGGAGAGAACTTGGAGGCCCGTTCAGGCAGGCCGCGACACTGCTAGGCGCGGTGGCCGAGCCAGTGCCAGACCAGACTGGCGATGGGTCGAAGTTGACCCCCGAAGACAAGAATGCTCTGTACAAGAAGATTGAAGGCGACCTGAGGGATATGACCCATTTGGGCATATCCGACGTGGAGACGTTGATCAAAATCTTCTCTGATAAAGTCACCGGTGAACCCGTCGATGATAAGACGTACCTTATGGAAGGGCTGATCCGAACTGCGGCGAAGCTGCCCGATGAATCGAAGAATCGTGAGACTTTAACACATCAGTTCCTCACACAGTTATGGGGAGATCTGCAGCATCCTCCGCAATCCTATCTCGGGACCAAGTTCCAGTACCGCTCTGCAGATGGGTCGTTTAACAGCCTGGTCCATCCACAGCTCGGAGCAGCGGGGACTCCGTACGCGAGAACCGTGAAGCCAAGCATGATCCAAACTCCGGCGAGGCCTGATGCAGGCGTTGTCTTTGACAGCGTAATGGTGAGGAAACACAGGGAGCTTCATCCCAACCGGATCTCGAGCGTTCTGTTCTATCTCGCCTCCATCATCATTCACGACTGCTTCCGGACGGATCACAGGGATTATTCCAACTCGCTCACGTCTTCTTATCTGGATCTTGCACCTCTGTATGGAAGCAACCAGGCAGAACAAGATCTCATGAGAACCAAAAAGGACGGAAAGATCAAGCCAGACTGTTTCTCCGAAGCCAGACTTCTTTTCTTTCCCCCTGGTGTGGGCGTGCTGCTGATCATGTTCAACCGTTTCCATAACTACGTCGTTGAGAACCTTGCCGCCATCAATGAGGGCAACCGGTTCCCGAAACCCACGCCTCCTGCGAACCCTGAAGACAAGGCGGCTCAGGATGCATACGAAAAGAAGCTTGCAAAATACGATGAGGATCTTTTCCAGACTGGCCGATTGATCACTTGCGGGCTGTACTGCAACATCATTCTAGTCGACTACGTCCGCACCATCCTCGATCTCAACCGCACAGACAGTAACTGGCAGCTCAATCCCCGTGCTGAGATGAAGGGCGTACCAATTGGTGTCGGCAATCAGGTCTCAGCAGAGTTCAACCTCGTCTACAGGTGGCACTCGACGCTCTCGGATCGCGACGAGAAGTGGACGCAGGATCTGTGGGACGGCCTGTTTGGTAAAGGACGCGACCCGAAATCCGTCGGCAAGGGTGAGTTCCTCGGCAAGCTGAATGAAGAGTATGGGAAGATGGAGACGGATCCATCGAAACGAAAATTCGCTCATCTGCAGCGCAACGAGGACGGCACCCTCCCGGACGATGGCCTTGTCGAGATTTTCGCGGAAAGTGTTCGCGACTGCGCCAACTCCTTTGGACCTAACAGGGTGCCTGAGGTTATGCGCGCCATCGAGGTGCTCGGTATCGAGCAGGCGCGGTCCTGGAATCTGGGTTCGCTAAACGAGTTCCGCAAGTACTTTGGCTTGGAGCCGCATCGGTCATTTGACGACATCACCAGCGACAAGTATGTTGCGGAGCAGCTCAAGCATCTCTACGACCATCCGGACAAGGTTGAGATTTACCCGGGTATCGTCGTCGAAGATGCGAAGAAACCCATGGCACCAGGTTCGGGCCTTTGCCCTCCTTATACAGTCTCCCGTGCGGTGCTGTCGGATGCCGTCGCCCTCGTTCGCGGAGACCGCTTCTACACGATTGACTACAATCCCCGCAGTCTCACGAACTGGGGTTACAAGACAGCGGAAGGTGACCTGGGTGTAGACAACGGTTGCGTCTTCTACAAACTCATCCTTCGTGCCTTCCCCCAGCACTTCGCTCAGAACAGCGTCTACGCACACTACCCCCTCACCATTCCGTCCGCAATGGAAGAAGCCCTGAAAGACCTGGGTAAGGACCATCTCTACGACTTCGACGAGCCTTCCGTCACGCACCACCCCAAGTTCGTCTTCAGCTACAAGGCGGCCACGACGCTTATGGAGAACAAGGCCGACTTCAAGGTCACCTGGGGCAAAGCGATGGAGTATCTCATGGGCCCCGCCGCGAAGGACTTCATGCTTGCCGGTGACGGGCCTGCCAACGCCAGCAGCCGCTCCATGATGAGCAAGGCGCTCTACATCTCCGAGTGGGACAAACAGCTGCGGGCCTACTACATGGCCAAGACGCGCGAGCTTCTCAAGGAGAAGAGCTGCCAGATCGCCGACTTCCACCAGGTCGACATCATCCGCGACATTGGGAACCTGACGCACGTGCACTTCTGCGCCGAGCTCTTCATGCTCCCGCTCAAGACGGAGGAGAGGCCGCACGGCATCTTCACCGAGGCGGAGCTGTACCTCATCATGAGCGCCGTCTTCGCCCTCGTCTTCTTCGACGTCGACGTCGCGGGCTCGTTCCCCCTGCACGTGAAAGCGCACGCGGCGACGCAGACGCTGGGGAAGCTCGTCGAGGCCAACGTCGGGGCCATTGCGCGCTCTGGCCTCCTGAGCGCGCTCATGCAGAAGGTCTGGCCCAACGACTCGGTCCTCCAGCACTACGGCATCCACATGATCAAGCGGTTGCTGGACTCGGGCATGGATCCCGAGACGCTCGTCTGGGGCCACATTCTGGGGACCGCGGGCGGCATGGTGAGCAACCAGGGCCAGCTCTTCGGTCAGACCATCGAGTACTTCCTCACGGGCGAGGGCAAGAAGCACTGGCCGGCCATCCAGGAGCTAGCAGCGAAGCCCGACTCGGACGAAGCCGCTTTCGAGACGCTGATGCATTACTTCCTCGAGGGCTCGCGGCTGAACGGCGAGACGGGCGTCTTCAGAGACGTAGCGAGGGAGACGACGATCCAGGATGGAGAACGGCAATTCACTGTGCATCCTGGCGATCGCGTCTTCGTCAATCTCCGCCAGGCGAGCCGCGACCCGGAGGCGTTTCCGGACCCGGACGAGGTCGATCTCAAGAGGCCTTTGGATTCGTACATCCATCTTGGATACGGACCGCATCAGTGTCTTGGGTTCCCCATGACGCGTATCTCGCTGACAACGATGCTGCGGGAGGTGGCGAGGTTGCCTGGGTTGAGGCCCGCGTTGGGGCCCCAGGGTAAGGTGCATAAGGTGGAGAAGAGGGAGTTGGGCGGCAAGTATCCGTATCATGCGTACTTGACGGAGAATTGGGATGGGTTTTGGCCGTTTCCTTGCTGTAAGTGCTTACTCTATCGCTTCTTTCGTGAGGGAATATGCTAACGGTGTTCTAGCGCTTAAGGTCAATTGGGACCCTACTGAGTGAAAGATTGATGGGGTGGGCGTAGGGATTCCGTTGCAAAGTTATGGAGTAAACGGGACTCTTGACTGAGGTCGAGGGTTTCTCACCGTATCATGTACAATTTACATTCCACCCCGCAGCGCGATAATATATTCGCTCTCTTTTGATATCCAACTCCCTTATTCCTTTCCCAGCCTATGTCCCACACCTTCTATGAACAGAACATACTTCCCCAGCGCCCGCATTGATGCATTGATGCATTGATGCCTCGCCTGTCAGTCCCAACATAGTGTTGTTTCTAACGTTTTGAGGGGTAAGCGAGCTTCCATGAATGAGCAAATCGGCGGCCAGTCAATCATATAGATCGGTGGACGATTACGGGGCCTATAACCTACATGAAGGATGCTACGGAACTGGGGGAGTTAGAGGATGTAGTGGAGAGTGTTTTCATGAAACATATTCGCTTCTCCCTTAACCATTAACAAGTTGCTTGTGCAGTCCAAACCACATGTGCAGCCAGGTTTGCATATTGTCGAGCGTGATAGCATCACCAGCTTGTTGAACAAGTGTCTTCGAAAGACCTGTCTTGCTCCCACGAGTGCCTGTTCTTTCTGAAAGCCGATTCCAGATGCTTAGCTCCGTTCCCAGACGTTCTCGACCCCTGAGCGAGACTGATCTTGCTCGCCATTGGGCTCAGGTGGAACATGTCTGATTGTGCGTCCCTCAATTGCAGGTCGAGTTGCATCGTAACGGTCCTCGTCGTCGACTTCTTCGGCAACGTTGTCCCTATAAGGAACATAGTCGATAGCGCCTCGTGGGCGTCCGGAGGTGCCGCGCTCTTCGTCAGAGATGAGTCTAGACACACGAGCGGGCAGGACGCGATGCAACCAAGACTCTCGCTGGGTTGGCGTCACGATAATAGCGAACTGATTTCCGCAAGGTCAGCCATACCAAAACCTGCCCCAGTGTGCATTAAGGGCTGGTCTACCTGCCACACAAACACCATGGCAACAACAGCCATGAGAATGCCTGCTACCCTCTGTTCCTCATGTCTCCAAGGTCCCAAACAGCCTCGAGTACGCCCAAAGGCCGTCTCGCAGGCGTGCTGGTCATGGTTCTTGTCCGGGAAAGGCCATGCCTGGTCGTGCGAGTTCACATAGCCACAGCAGTTGAATGCATCCTGAATCGCCCTGATAGCATCCGCGTTCTTGTGCGTGAAGAGGTCCCTCCAGCGTTGGTCAAGACCGCATCGAAGCCCGGACGACGGAGCAACGTGTGTCCCTAGGAGAGTGATGACCGCCGTCGAATATATGAATATCAGGGTATTCACGATGATAACAAGGGGAGGACGCGGTGTGTTGCCCTTTGGCCGTTGGCGTCGCTGCTCCACACGCCGCGTGAAGTCGTATCCTGCTTCGAGGAGAAGTCCGGCTACGATGGGTAGAGCGGTCGCAAGGCCGGACAGAGCATCCGGGATAGGGATCGAGAGGCTCTTAGCACGGGATGTAGCGTACCTACTACTGTCAGTGACAAGCGTCGGAGTGGCAAAGGAAGTGTTACGCACGCAGCTAGAGCTGTGACCAAGACGAGGTACTGTGTTGTTCAATACATGGTTGTCAACAGTGTGTGCAAAGAGACATACCACGATGCTGACGCTGGTTACGACCTGCTTACTCGTGTAAGCCATGGTATCGGGATGAATGGAGGGAATCTTGATTTAGTGCAAAGGTTGTGAAGCTAGGTGCTGGAGACGTGGGTAGCTGAGGTGGGTGAAGTCTGGACTGTGACGGACTTGAATAAACGGCCCGTTTGCTAACACATCCCGCTCTGCAAGTGCTCTGCGTATATGCAATGTAGCGCTTGACAAGAGGGGTAGGCATGATGTGTACCTATACTTTGAGGTACGAGCTGCATAGCACATTGCAGTGATTGGTGAGAGAGGTAGGCAGCTCTCGGGTGGTGACATATACACGCGACGACATGAGCCAATCAAACGCATCGTGAACCCCTGCTTGCACCAAGTCCTTATTTGAAGCTGAGAGAGCTTTGCCCGTATTCTGATTCCCGCATAATAATCAACGACGGCTATTTGGATCTGATCTCGCTGTATCTGTTGAGACATTCACTCTGGTGAAGTCATGCTGTAGAATACGCAGCCGTGATAAGAGCTTCCAGCGCCCGTCCAGTTAGTAGGTTATGTCAGCAAGGCTGAATATCCCAAGGAAGGGCTGTGTATAACGCTGAGTAGCTAATACTTATAGATTATGCAGCTGCCTGCAGTTATATGTATCCCCATTCTCATGTAGAGAGCTACACGACAGTTAATACTACAGACACACATAGAGTGCGATATCGATCCCTATCAGATGTCTATCAACTACCGCCCCCTCCAAAATCCTATCAAAGAAATTCGTCTGCTCGAGCTTCAGCCTCCCTCTGATGACGCATGTAGCCGCCTACAAGCTAGAGTAGTTCACGTTGCACTAGAATCTGCCAAATATACCACGCTATCCTATGTCTGGTAAGTGATGTAGGAACGGTCCTGGCCCATACGTATTAACCAGTTGTTCTAGGGGTGACCAGTCCCAGGGCCGGATAGACATCGAGATTACCTACTGCCTAACAACAAAATACGGAAACGTAGAGGCTGGAATTGTCAAAACCACTATTGGCCAAAATCTGGGTTCAGCGCTTTATCACCTCCGGCAACCAAGACCGCTCATGCTTTGGATAGATGCAATATGCATTGACCAGGAGAATGAGAGCGAAAAGACTGACCAGGTGAAACTAATGTTTCAAATCTATAAGGGCTCCATCGAGACTATTGTGTGGCTAGGTCCGCCGGGTCCGCACACTGATGTCGCCATGGAAACCATGACGGATATTGGCACGCAGTTCGGCAAGTTCTACTTTCGAGAATTTCCTGAGCTCTCTGCGTCTTTATGCAAGCGGGAGCAACATGTTAAAAAAGGGGGGGATCATAAACCTTCTCTTTACTCTGCTATCAAACGCTTACTGGAATCCGCCGAGCCTATGGATGATAATGGCCAACCACTCGACCTTTTCTTCCTCAACATGAATAACCATGTCGCCAAAGCCGGCCGAGACGAAGATTCGGGTGTCTTGGTTGGGTTAAGAGACCTCTGGAGTAGAACATGGTGGCACAGGATCTGGGTCATCCAAGAATATGTTGCTGCGCAGCAGATACGGTTCTTATGCGGCCATGCGCATATTACTTCAGAGCATATGTGGCTCACAGCTACACTGTATCGGGCATACACTGACCAATTCCTCAACCAGTCCTTGGTGGCAGAGGATGAGAGATGTCTGCCTGCATTCACAACCTACGATCATCCAAGAATCATGGAATTCCGCCATGACTCCCAGGCGATGCTCCTCGGCCGTCCGCTGCAGTACATTCTGGAAACTGTGCATGGGCAGCTACAGCTTCAACCTCCTACTGACCCAAGAGACAATGTGTACGCTCTACTTGGGCTTGCCGCCGACACACTGGGTGTGTCCCCGGACTATTCCAGAAGCCTTGAAGATGTTTTTATCGATGTGACAGAAGCTCTTCTTCTGGAAGTCGATGGGACTCGTGCTTTAGTGCTTTGTAATCCGCCAGTATCCTCCGCTGAATTACCGTCCTTCGCCATTGACTGGCGGGTAATTGGGGAAAACTTATACTACTTCTTGAATCATCGTAGCCTCCACAGCTTTCAGCGACCTGCCGCCGTCACTTTTCAGTTCATGGATGTAGACGAATTGGAATCAAGAGGGCCGCGCATACGGCTCACGGGGCATACGTTAAGTAGAGTGCAGAGAACTACACTCTCACTTGGTGCTATTGAGGAACGAGTACGTACTCTGGGGTACGAAGAAGCAAAAGAGTACGACTTCAAAGTCAGATTCTGGCACGAATGGATCATGATTGCATACGAACTCTTCTGCTCTCTCCCGCAGGGAACCGTCCCCTCTAATGCAGTTGCCGCTACTCAGGAGATGGTCAATATCTTTGCCAATAGAATGGGTGTGACAAATCAAATGGAGCTGAACCAAGCGGTGGCAGTTGCGCTTACGGTCGACGCAGAATCCGCTATTCGTGCATGGTCACATCGAGTCTGGCTGTCCCGCATTGACATATTCTATCGCTGCCGCTCACCTACAGCAACACTGTTTGCGACGGAGAATGGCTTGGTTGGTCACATTTCATCGCCAGTAGAGCCCGACGATCACTTGGTAGCATTTTATGGCTGTAACGTTCCGTTTGTCATACGAGAGGTGGAAAGGGGAGTTTATCGGCTGGTTGGACCATGTGTAGTTCCGGGACTGCTGTCCAAAAGGAATGCCGACCATATATTAGAGACGGAGACTGAAGAATATGTGCTTGTATAAGGAAATTGTAGCGCGCGTTCTTGTCACCGGCAAAGCAGCAATGCTAGAACTCAACTTGCGAGATGTATCTGTTTAATATACGAATAATAGGACTTGCTACAAGGAGCTGGAAATCTCCTCCCAATAGAGACACCCTACCTAGGTAGATATAATTAGCAAAGCTTGCAGGCAGAATAGTTTTATTAGAGTCACCAAGTTTAGAAAAGGCAACATATACGTGAAAAAGTATTTAAGATCTTACTAATTCGCACTGCGTCACCCCTTGTCGAAGCGGAAGACATATATACCTAGCTTAGAGAAATCTGCAAGGATAGTATGCTACGTTGAGTCCGAATTTGCGATCAGCTGAGGTGAAACCTGATGACGTACAGTATGGTCACTGCGTTATCACTCGGGAGTAAATGCAAAATTGCCTATTACTATTAGAGTGTTTAGGTATTCTAAGAATCGTCTTGCTCGCCTTCGCTACATATTCGCGATCGCCTAACTATTCGGGTTCTATAGCTCAAATTTGTGTAACGCCTATGGTAGGGAGATCTACACCCCAACGGCACCGAAGTTACCCTGCAATTGTTTTTATCTCTTTCTAGCTATCCTTGGACTATCTGTAACATTAGACAGCTACAAAACTAGACAATTACTTGCTAGGATCCTAAATCGTGTACACTACTAGAAACTGTATATAAGATTGATATAGTTTATAAGCTATTCGGAACCAAAGACCTCTGGTAACTTCAGGGTTCGCCACTCCTCCCAATTTGACATGCTTCCCCTCGTCCACCATACCGTAACCCTTTGACCGTCATTATTAGATACAAATAAATTAGCAGCCTTTGCGCCCTTCCAAGCTGCAACTGCCATATCTACCGACCCCAAAAACCTCTGGTTCCTTACTGATTCCCAGGTGGACCACTCGGCTCCGGGTCCAGAACGCCCGCATGTGTATACGAAACCGTCAGTGCCGTGGACGAAGAGATGAAGCGTCCCAGGGGAGAGTTTTGTGACAGTGACCTTGGGTGTAGCTTTGAATTTTGCCCCGCCGGATACTTCAGTCCAAGTGCGCTCCCAACCGGAGTTTGCAGCCCATTTGGTCGTGTGTATCTGCCCGTTCGGCCGGCAGGCGAACAGTTCGATAGTGTCCTCATCTGGAACGATTGCTGCTATCTTAGTTCCAGGCAAGAACTGCTGACCTATGACTTCCCAGTCAGTCCAGCGGTCAGCATGACTGCTCCATCCCTGTGTTTTGACATTACCGTCCCCGTCACAAACAAATACATCCATGTGCTGTTTAGTTCTCGCAGTGGCTGTTACGCGCGTTCCAACTGGAAAGCCCAGGGGATCTTTGGAAAGGGTTCTTCTAGACCAGGGGTCTACTTTTATCCACTGTAGTGTATGGATCTGTCCTCCTTCAGCGAGAGCAAACACGTCCAGAGTATTTACGTCACGCGATACAGCGGCTGCTTGGGTTCCTCCAAGGAATTGTTCCCCTATCGGGTCCCGCGTTTTCCAGCGAGACCCAATGGTCAGCTGGTAATAAGGGAGTTGCCACCAGCTAGTACGAATACGACCATGGATGTCGCAGGCAAAGATGTCCAACTTTTCCGCATCCCTTGACACTGCTGTGACTTTGGCGCCAGAAGGAAAATCACCAAAATCACCAATGATCTTGTGCCCCGGCGACCAACCTCTGCCGTCAACCCACCATAACGTGTAGACGTGCCCGTCTGGCCCGCATAGGAACAGGTCTATCTGCCCTTGTTTGCGTGAGATGGCGGTAATGCAAAATTGTTGTCTCGTCTCTTTGATAGTCTCTTCCACTGTGCGGATCTTAGACACACCGGTTAGCGGTATCACCGATAGCAATTCCTTTGCATACGCCGCTGCCGTTCCTGCCGCGTACGGCTGCCACATCTTGTTCTTATGCGAGTCGGCGTAGTCGCAGATGCCGCGAATGACGAGGCAGGGGAAGCTGTTCATCAAACCTGCGGCCTCCATCTCAAAACAGAGGATGCCACCCAATTCACTGCTCAGCCTGTCCCGCGTGCGTCCCTTCTTCAAGAGTGCGTTTCCAGATGCGATCGTACCGTAGTGAACTACTACCTCCTCTTCGTTGTTCCGCGGTGTCCGAGCCACTTGCCTGGTCCTACTGCAGTTCTCGCAAGTGGCGCCTCCCTCGTGGTCGTACGCCGCATCAAATAGGATGTCAGGTCCCGCCTTGTTGCGCTGAAATATGGGAAGGCGGCCGAGATGGGAAACATACTCAGACAGCCTGCATTGCCCTTCCAACTTGACTGCCTGTACCGTGTTCACTGCAGAGAGCAAGATCTGCGGCGGACTGTTGAGCGATCCGGTCCGCACAAACCCACTTGGAGTGTTCTTCCCAGCGTCGTACTGCACCACGCCGCCGAAGGTCCCATTCGGTTTGCTAACCACGACGTCCCCAAGTCGGATGTCTGCCTCAGCGCTGGGAACTCCTCCTCCGACGCCGACCATCAACCCGAACCGGATGCCTCTGAACCTCGCCCTCAACTGGGTCGCCACAACCGCCGCAGGGTTGTTGCCAATTTGGCCGGCAGGCAGGCAGGCAATCACAACGTTATGTCCTGCAATCGACCCCAGAGAATACAAGTTCTCGTCGTCGTCTTCGCGCTCAAGGTCTTCATGCTTTTCGTCGAGCATCTCTCGTGCCGCCGCCAGCTCGATAGGGAGGGCGCTTATCCACCCCACGGTATATTCCTCGCGTCGCAGTCGGCGCGACACTCCGAGGCGGTAGCAGGGGTAGATGGGCAGACCGCTTTATAGGAAGGCAAGTGAGCTGATAAAGTTGAGGTGAGAAAGTGGGGTGAGAAAATTGAGGTGGTAAAGTGATAGATTGAAAGCATGAAGTGCGCGATTATACAGGACGATACCTGGGGTAACCGCGCGGCTAGCTACTGCCTTGTCTCTATCTCACATGCCCGTAAACAGACGTCACTCATACGGGTGGCAGGTGCAGCCATTTGAGTGCAGAGTGAGCACCGGAGCGGCACCAGCCGCATCTATATTTGCGGCCGCACAACCTCATCGCCTGCCTGCTAGCAGACTACTGTATGGGCTGACGTTGACGTCAGTCATGGCCTAACAGTGACGTCTGGTGCAGCTACGGACCTTAGTCGCTAGTGTTCTATCTTGCTACCTCTCTACCATCACTTGTGAATGAAGCTCGGTTTTCGTGACTACCTTTCCGATATGCAGCCACTTACTATGCTGTACTTCTGTAAGGGACCATCAGAGGCGTAATAGATCCCAAGCTAAATGTCATCGTCGTATTTGTGCAGCAAAAGAATGGGTCCTAGAGACCAAAAGCCTCAAACAATGCTTAAATGTAACAACTTCCCTCTGCTCAATCATACTTACTGAATGGTCAATCAGGACTCTTCTGCACCGAAGCTTCGATATCTGTATTCTTCGCCACGTTGCTAAAATTGATCCTTCGGCACTGATCGCCTCGCAGATTGATTGAGGACGATGTCTTCTCGGCCGATAAACAGCCAGCTGCGGAACTCACTCGACACCTCCAGATACCCAGTCATATGCTTACCGAAGTGTATCGTCGCTCAAATGGCTTCTTCAGCTTCGAAGAGTCTTTTCGTGAGGATGGTTACCTTCAATCTCACCGTGAATATGAGGCTACTCTTCACACCGGAGGGCCACTGACGTCCTTCAGACACGATGCTCCGGCTCTTGGTCAAGAATGTCGCCGAAGATCCTAACTTCAGCTATACATGGCATGAAATGACCTTTTGTTCCCGCTGGACCCCTGAGGGATGCATTGTTCTATGCATGAGCGCGTCCCCCCGCTTTCAGAATCTCCTCCGATGGAGTCTGACCAGAATGTGGTCGAAAGTACCGCCTTTCGAACCGTATTCCCTGCATGTCCCAATTATAGAGGCAGTGATTGCCATGCAAGATTTATCTGTATGGTCTATACGAGACGCTGTACGGAGTGTTGAAAAGGCAAGTTCGAGTGCACCAGAGTAGGAGTCTGCAACTGTCGGATTGACACGATATCCGTAGGGTCGCTTCCTTCGAATACCTCGGCTTCAGAACTTCTTATATTTGCATGAAACCGCAAGGCACGCTATTCACTCGATCGAAACTCTTAGCGTGACTACCAAAACGCTTCAAGCGATTCGACAACAGATACTCGATCTTTCTGGCAAAGGCAGGAGCGCAACCAGGGACTCTATAGGGGCCTCTTACCAGCTACGGGTGCACATAGACTTACAGATCCAAATGGCTCGGAATTTACTCCTGCGGGCCCACGCAAACAAGGAGCGACTGCAAAACGAGATTGCCCTTGTGAGAACAACCATGTCAACCAGGAAACGGCTATTGCTAACATCCTCTCAGTCCTTCAACATAATCGCCCAGAGAGACAGCCTGGAAATGAAAGGGCTAGGAGAGACAGCAAAACTTGACAGCAATGCGATGAGAACGATTGCGGTGGTGACTATGGCGTTTTTACCGCCGACATTTCTATCCGTTAGTTGTTCCCAGTGTCTCCCTAGGGTATGCTGACCCAAGCCAGGCAATCTTTAGCATGAGCTTCTTCAGTTACATACCAGCACAAGGTAACGAAGCCGGCAAATGGTTAATCTCAGACAGATTCTGGATTTATTGGGCATCTGCGGTTCCGTTGACATTTCTTACGATGGCAATTGCCATCTGGTTCTGGCGGCAGAAGCTAAAGAGTGCGAGGAAAGGGAGCGAGTATATCTAGCAAATGGCGGGCCGTAAAAAGGGCTTTGTAACTATGTAAATTCAGTTTTACGCAGGGCAGTATCTATATCTAATTGAATCCTCATTGTTACACAACAGTGCGCCGGATGAACGGACGGGGAATAGGTCGGCGAGCCAAGCTAGTGAAACAAGCTCTCCCTCGTCACACCTACTACCTAGGTATACACTAACTTTCTAATTGTAATCCGCATTCATCTAGTCTAGGCAGGAACCTACAAGTCAGCTCAACAAGGTCTAGCCACATCGTGCTGTTTTACTCGCAGTAACTTATTTAAAGATAAGTTGATTAGATTGAACTCTGGTCTTAATCTAGCTCCATGCCGTGCTTATTTGATAATGATCTGTCTTCCACGCAGCGTGTAGCAATGCCTGCCATCTCTAACTTTGTCCATTGCCACCGCTTGGGTTAGCATTTCTTGGGAGCTGGAATAAATAGCTAGAAGCTCAGCTGTAGACAAACGCGGGTGGCATGCTGCTTTTACATATAATGCTAGACACGACGACACTATTGAAGTTATGTGCATGATACATACATCTAGATAGTATTTCACAGTGGAGCTCAAGTGCTATTACAGCAACCCAAATCACCATACACTAGGAACGGCACATTCAAAGCGGCATCACAGTCCACAGTACTCTTATCACTGCACTACAAAATAAGAAGATGGAAAGAGAGAAGCCAAAATACATTCATAAGAAATACACAGAGTCATGGAGAAGATCACATCTTCCCTTACCCTCAGTCAAAATAAGTCCGTTACCCTAGAGTACCCCCCACACAAACCCAGCCTCCCGTCAAAACCCTTACTCTCAAGCCTGCACCGGCCTCCCAATCACCCCGGGTCCCCTACGCGCATTCGCCATGCCCCTCCCGACGGGAGTCTCAGAGACGACGGCCTGCGCGGGGATCCTATACATGATGAGGTATTCACCCTTATGCAGCTCCTCCTCCATCCGGCCCATCACCTGCATCTTACCCTCCAGAATGTCGGCAACGCGAAACACCGGGCCGCGAGCCAAATGGTGGGTATCAATCTGAATAACCTTCATCTCGTCGCCGTACTTTTGCGCGAAATAACGCGCCATGTCCTCGGCATGGGTATAGGAGTCGAATACGGAGATGAAAGGGCTGGAAATGTTGGTTTGGCCATTGATGTGGGCCATGGCGAATTGGTCGAGGATCGCGGTGGTGTTAATGATGGTGGTTTGGTTCTTGGAGCGGAATCCGCTTGAGAAGTCGTACTTGGTTTGTGCGCCGGCACGGTGTACTCGGAAGACATATGTTGGCAATGAGGCTGGTTTGGCTTCGGAAGCGCCGGGCGTGAACTTAGAGGGAGTGGGTTGCATGGTGGCTGAGCGGTTGGTATTTGCTACCCGTATTGAACATATTCAACTTACGAAATGATGGTAGATTTCCTGATGAACTCCGGAAGTGTGGATGCACGACAGTGTTGGAAACTGCAGCAGCACCGCTGAGCTACTCTGCAAGAAAGTGTGATAATGGGAGATATGGCGAAGAGGAATTGTAACAGAGGTAGTAGAGGGAATGTTGCAGGAATCTGGAGGATGGGCGAAGGGTATATCGAGTAAGAGCGCAGTGCAAACGAAGTCGTCGGCGGGAAAGATCAAAACGCGCGTCCAAATTGGCGTGTGATTGTCTGGCGGTGCAGAAGGCATTACTAGCAGCCACCGTAATAGATATTTCTAGCACGACGGCTTGAACTTGAGCCCAGTCAAACGGCATCTGGCCGTTCACTCGGATCCTCAGTCACTGATGCCTTGACGTCTGCCAATGCGTCCAACCGACCCACGCCTGCACACAGCACTTGGGCATGATTACTATGATATCTCTTGAAAACAGCCAATGCAATCGGACGCATGATGGCATCTTCCTTAACCCCGCATTGAGCCATATTGTGCAGATAGCCGCGGTGACAGCGACATCTCCGACGTCCGTTGATGTTTGAGCTCTAAGAGTTCCCTGGGTATACATCAGGTTGCACTACAATTAAATCTTTCCCTATAGCATGCAATTGGTTCTTATCTATCGCGGATGGCATACAGCTGTCCGCCTCGCCGGCCTGGGAGACGAATAGGGCATCTACTCGTCGTCAATGGTTGCACATGTGCGGAGAGTAGGGTAAGCACACTTCCGCCCGTTGACATGCATTACACTTGACATAACTGTCGAAGATCCAGCTGCGCCTGTATTTTCGGGACCTTGTCTGATCATACAAGTGATGTCGACTGACGGAGACGGGCGTCGGCCGCGTTGTGACTAAGTTGATTGTTCGGAGCGGATTTCGGCCGCGGGCCCAGAAGAAAGAGAGACAGTAGCAATGACAGATCTCCTCGTCTGAGCTATGAGGGCCGTCTTTGAGATGCCGTTGTTGGTTAAGTGAAGAGTGAACAGGGAGTATAGTGGCGAGCGGTTGAAATAGAGCAAATTCCGTGACCAGTGCCTCGTTACACCAGCCCACGCACTCGGCTACCTCGTTTGCAGTAACCCCACGGGAGAGAAATCGACGGTGATCTAAGACCGCCTCTTCCGTGCTCGAACCAGGCGACTGGGCTCGATCAAGGTGGGCAGACGCACGGTGTGACGGGGTGGGGCCAACCAATTGAGTACTCGGACGCGGCGACCAAATCATTTATTACCTGGCTCAGGTTTCATAGAGAGTATTTGGTCCAATCAGTAGCACTCCCTACAAGCCCTCAGGTGAGGTTGTTTGGCCATGGAGAAGCAGGAAGATCTGGACAGATGCATTTCGGGATCGGACAGAGACGGAGTCGACGGATAGCAACACATCTCACCGCTCTTCTGCACGTATCTCGAGCGGCCCATTCTTCATTCGGCATCCTAGTGGCATCGAAAAATCAAGGTGGAAGCTGTGTTGTGCTGGGTTTGCAGCTTGTGGTGTTGTCTTCACGCCAAGAATTGCGGCTCTGATTAAGCTTCCGCGATTGCGCTACACCCGAAACAGGCAAGCTTCATTACGGTCCTCCAACTTCGAAAACGTGCTGGATTGAGTGAAGGAGCCATAACCCCATCGCCATTCCCTCTCATACGGACAGAGAACCGTGAAAAGGCCTCCACATCCAATTGACGGCCCATCAGTATCTTCCAGCGAAGCGACTTGTATCCAACCCCCACGAGAACCGCATCTGCCGTCAAACTCTACCAGTCCTCCCTCCAACAAACGCAACAGCCCACACCAATCCGCCGTTGAAACCGCACACGCACTCCCTCTCACACCGACATCCAAAATGACCTGGTTCCGCATAACGCTCACGCGCTCCGGCATCGGCATGCCGGCCAAAGTGCAAGGCGTGCTCAAAGCCCTGGGCCTGCGCAAACGCATGACGACCGTGTACCAGCCCGTGACGCCCTCGGTGGCGGGGCAAATCATGCGGATTAAGGAACTGGTGGATGTGAAGGAGGTGGATCAGCCGTTGACAAAGGAGCAGATAAGAGCGGCGAGGAAGCCGGATCCCGGGTACTATGTTGAGCGGAGGAATGCGGGGAATAGGGCGAGGATGTATGAATGAGGGGGTGGAAGGTGAAGAGATGGGGTGGGTGTTGGTTTGAGAGAAAGGATATGCATATTAGGCGTTTTGGGGTTCATTCATCGAGCGTGGTGTACAAGATCCTTGAGGACGGATGGTTGATGGAAACGGCGCGGTCGAAGATGTGGACTGCGCACTATCAGAGAGGATACCATGTATGAAGGCGCAATGGCAGCCTTGAAGCCAACATCATGCTGATTCATTATATCCCTGTACAGTAAGAATGTATACCATACAAGTTCCCTCCACAAACCCACAAAAGCAAGGTGACGCGCAGCCAAAAATATCATAGCACGAAGCCCATCACATTGCCTTCATTCGATCCAGCGTACATTTTCGTACAGATCAGCTCATCAGCAATCGACATACGCTGCTCACATTGAGACCCCTCAGATCCGCGTAGTGCTGACCCACGCCCAAGAACACCACAGGAACGCCAGTAGCATGCACCATGCTCACAATCGTACCAATCATATCTCCGACGGTATCGCACTTGGAAATGACGAAGCCATCAAGTCCTCTACCCGGTCCGAACGAGGCGTTGAAGTTGCGCGCCTGGGCTACGGAATCTGTGCCCACGAGGGCTTCGGCGACCATCAGAATCTTATCCGGCTTTGCGAGTTTGCCGAACTTCGTAAGCGAGGACATCAACCGCTGATCGTTGTGCCTGCGGCCGGCCGTGTCGATGAGGACAACATTGAATCCATTCTTCGATGCATGAGCGACGGCGTCTGCCGCGATGTTTGCAGCATCTTTGCCGTAGCCCTTCTCGAACAGATCGACTTCGCCACCTTCTCTCTTGCTCAACTCTTTCAGGTTTCTCACATGCACGCCCAGCTGTTCAACCGCACCGGATCGGAAGGTATCGGCTGCAGCGACCAGAACACGATGATGGTTCTGCAGCAGGAAGAAGGCGATCTTGCTCAAGTTCGTGGATTTGCCAACGCCGTTTACGCCAACAATGGAGATAACGTACGGTCGTCCGGTGGCATTCACAGTCTGTATTTCGCGAAGGAGGTCGAGAGAGGATGTCGGGGTAAGGATCTTAGTGAGGGCTTTCTCCATCGAAGTACGGAGTGTAGAATCGATTGCTGGGATTATGTTAGATGCATGTGGGGAACACCTGAGCGACGACACTTACTGGTGAAGCTGTTGGTCTTCAGACCGACAAGATCCCGTTCCACACTCTCGCATAACCTGACCACAGCTTCTCGTGCAACATTCTTCTTCAATAGATGGTCTTCCATGCCCTTCAATGGCTTCGCGAGGTCCTCCTTTGTCAAGGTCTTTCCGCCAACCACATTTCTGAACAGGCCCCCGATAGCGCCTAGACTCGACCCTACAATCCCCCCTGACGCAGTTGAACTCTGCTTCTTCGCGTTCTCGGCTGCTATTATCTGGTCCATCTCCTCATCAATATCCTTTAGCACGAACTCGCCCTTGCCCGTCTTCCGGCCCCAAGTCTCTTGCTTGATCTCCTCGAGAGCCTCCGTCGCAGACCCTTCATCGCGAATGTCTGACTGCGAATAGTCCAGGACCACAGACGAGTCCTCCTCCTCTGCGCCAAACTCTCCCCATACTCTGTTCTTCTTGGCCGAACCCTTGGCTTTCCGCTTTGCGCTCGTCTCGTCTCCCGATGACGGTTGTGTTGAGGCCGCAGAAGCCTTCTTCCTATCTCTGCGGGACAACTTTGCGCCGGGTCTTCCCTTTCCTGTTATCAGATGATGCTGCGCCGGGGTAGTAGGCCTCGAGGTTTCCGGGGTGGGCACGGGTGTCGAATCCGCCGATGTATCGTAGAGTTGATGCTGCTGTTTCCGTAGCGCGGGAGGCTTCAGCGACTTTTCGTCTGCGCTGTCGTTGTCGGTGCTCGAGGGAGGGGTGAGTTTCACGTTCGAGGTGGCCGAGTCGCTCGACCCCTCCAAGTCCTGGATCTGGCGCTCAAAGTAGGGGGCGAAGTTTGAACAGTCGAGTTTACTGGTGTGCTCCTTCTTGAGCTGCTCTCCGTAGAGGCCGACGAATAATGCGCGCACGTTGTCGAGGAGCTTGTCTATCCAGGTTAGGTGTACCAGCGATTGGTATACGGCCTTCCAGGGATTAGCCACTGTGTGAGCTGACGGAGACGGATCGTTGCATACCACGAAGATTAATCCCAGATCCTTTGCAGTCGTCCACTTCAAGGTGTATGTTTCTTTCCGGTATGTAGGCTTCTGGCCCGCGTCTCCAGACTGTGGCTGTATGCGCTCCTCAATGAAGACATCGCGGATGAGGCTGTTGATGATATTCGAGCTGACGGGCGCATATGAGCGCGACCACAGGACGACCCCTGAGGTCGTTAATATCTCGAAGGTATCCAACATGCTCGCGCGCCGCTGGAATGCGGTTGAGGGGTTCGGTTGTGGTTCGAGTTGCGGCGTATGACGACGTGGTGTTCTCGAAGTTGAGGTTGTGGTGGGCTTGTGCTCGGCGCCTCTCTGCCCACCTTCTTGACAGATTTCACCGCAGGAAGCCCGAACTGATTACACCACCCTTTTCACTAAAACGCCGACCAACACGTGCGAGACCTCAAATCCTACGACTTTTTTGTGCCAATTACTCGACAAGTCCATTCTCTCTCCGGCCAGGCGTTCGTCACCCTACCCAAAATGCAGCGTTCAGGGTATCCCAACCCACCTCCCGCACACTCACCTCCGCTCCACCACCCCGTCCCACAGCACGTCTCTACAGTTCCGCAATTACGGTCGCCTCCGCCTCCTCAACCTCCTTCACAGCCACATGCAGGATATGGATACGGACAGCAGCATGCCGGGCCCTCTGCAGGCGGGGGAGCCTACAGCGCATACCCAGCATTTGGTGGCTTCATGAACGATCCCACAGCCCAGATGGGCTTTCAAATAGGCAAGAGTGCGGTGGATGCAGGACAGCAGTATATGGAGCAGAATGTATGTTGCAATTGGGAAGCCGAGACTCCCAGCTAACAGCCCATGCAGTTTGGCCGCTACGTCAGCGTATCCGCTCTAAAACACTACTTCAACGTCTCCAATTCCTACGTCGTGAACAAGCTCTACATCGTCCTCTTCCCCTGGTGGCACCGGCCGTGGTCGCGCCAGCAGCGCCTGTCCAACAACGGTCAGGATGGATACTACCTCCCACCGCGAGAAGACATCAACTCGCCAGACATGTACATACCGAGTACGTCCCTCTTTTCTGCAATACACCCTTCTCAATCTTCAGTTTCTACCTTGCAAATCCTGAAACCTCGCAACTAACAAGCTACGAACACAGCAATGGCCCTAACAACCTACATCCTCCTCTCGACCCTCCTCGCCGGCCTCCGCGGCTTCTTCCACCCGGAACTCCTCGGCTACACAGCCACCCTCGCCCTCTCGGTCCTCCTCCTCGAGCTCGTCGTCATCAAGCTGGGCACCTTCCTCCTCGCCATCTCCTCGTCGTCCCAGCTCCTCGACATCGTCGCCTACTCGGGCTACAAGTTCGTCGGCGTCATCGTCTCCCTCCTGCTCTCCGAGATGCTGAGCTGGGTGTTTGGCCACGCGACCTTGATCGGCTGGCTCGTGTTCCTGTATTGCTACGCCGCGAATGCGTTTTTCCTCCTCCGCAGCCTGAGGTACGTGCTCTTGCCGGATCAGGCACAGGGGGGTGTCGGCGGCGTGGGCGGAGGGGCGACGGCGGCCGGGTATACGAATAGTCGGAGTCAGCGGAATCGGCGGACGCAGTTCCTGTTCGTGTATAGTTATGTGGTGCAGTTTGGGTTCATGGTGTGGTTGAGTAGGGTGTAGACTGAGGTTTGGGCGGTAAGGGAGGGGGGAAGAGGAGGAGGTTAGGTATAGACAGGGGGAAGAGGAAATTTGGCGCGGGAAAGGAAAACAAGGAGAGAAGAGGAGGGGAATAGACAAACAAGTCTTGTTTTTGGTTGTGTGTGGTAGCTACCTAGGTAACTATTGCTTCCCGGGTACAGCACCCTCAGCAAACGTGTAACATACATCCGCATATTCTAAACATACATAGCGTAGCGACGTCCCTTGATGATAGATGCAAGGTACCAGACAGAGCCCGCTTACCTATCTTCAATTATCCACACTTTGGCACTCCTTCTGTAACTGAGACGCCATTGGTAGTCACTCACCTCAGTACCACGCTCCTCACCTGGTGTCGCCTTTCCGCTGAAGAGCTATATATACCACAGTAGAACGCAAGAAAGAAAGAAAAAAGAAACGAAAATGAAAATTGTAAGACACAGCAAGACTCGAACCAAGGCCCTCCACTAGACAAAAAGGTCGAGCAGCCGAATCAGTGCAATACTGCGTGACTCAGCCTCAGCCGCTGGAAGCTGCTAGACCTTTTCGCTATCCTGTGTTCTCAGGGCGATGATTATGCTAATAATTGTTGTTTATATAGTAAGGAAATGAGGTTCTGGTTGTGTATAACTAGGAATTGAAGGAGGTGCTCTCCGTCGCTCATCTCGTTCGCGGCCTATACAACAAGAGCTAGTGCCTAATTAGGAAGTCCGACCATCAAACGAAAACACAGAATCACAATGTGCACCTCTCTCCGACGTCGCTCCGGGTTTGTGCTGTAGCCGTTGCCTTCTCGACAGAGCCGGTCCGCTCTTCATCTCAGAGCCCATTCGAGAAAAAAAATCTGGAGAAATACAACCTCCTCTGATGCAGGAGGTAGGACCCACTCGAGGTGAATTAAACCAGTCACGTGACTACCCACTGGCACCTGGGCATCCATGGATCTGCCTGACCGGTGGGCATGCACAGATGATGCAAACGAATCTGGAACCTTGGAACAACCATCGTCAGGAGATTCTGAAAATGTAATGTCAGTGGGCAGTGTCTAATAAATATCCACAATATCTACCACTCACGCCCAAACGCCCAAACGCCTAAAAGCTCAGGATTGCATAAGGAAAGAAAGAAAGGAGTCAGACCACTATTCCATAACCTCTACCTAGGTATGTAACACCAATACAACGCACCACGAGACATCTGGAAATACTTAAAATGACGATGGCGAGAATATTTCACATCAGAGAAAGAAACAAACAGAGAGCCATATCCAGAAGAGGCTCAAAAGTTGCAAAATCTGAAGGTGGACAAGAGACAAGATGGATCAAATAGCTCGATAAATCGCTAGATAGAAGTAACAAAATCAGTCCAAAAGACCCCTTTTGGCTGACCCGTCCCATTCCGCCAAGGCCGCCCATTGCACAGTCGTACTTCGTACACTACCAAGCCCCGGTCCAAAAACTAAGACGGAGGAGGCATTTAAGAGAGATAGTTATAAACAAGAGTTCGGTGTTGAGTAATAAGTTAGTAGGGTGATAGCTTGGAAATGACGCAGCATTCCTTCTCTTCTCTTCCTCCGCTCCAGAATGTCAATGACAAACGGGACTCGCAGTGGTCACCTCCCCAAAGAGCACACCCGCCTCGCTCGCGCAAGTCCGTTTCGAACCCATCTCCTTCAACAGGGGACGTCTTCGTTCCGTCGCCACGCGAACTGGGGACTGCAGCCCCTTGGTTTCGCAAACAGGCGTCCTCTCTTTAGAGTACTTCACGGCGAGGAACTCCGATGGACAAGCTTCTGCCGAGTCTTGAATTGCCTCCGCATCGACTGCCCGTGGCCATGCCTTGTTGAAAGGGCAGTTGTTGAGCAACGCGCGAACGTTCCTTTGAAGATCGACCGAAGATCTACCGCGTTTGCGACCGACGCAGGCACCCGCGCGTTTGGCGCCCGTTACTCCACCGGAAACAGGCTGGCTATCACCAGACAGAGCCATGGGCTCCTCAGCGTCAGAAATATGGAAACTTCCCAGGTCCGGAGGTGAAGACGTGAGTTGCGGCGTGTCCTCCTCCTGCTTCTCCTTGCACTCCGCCAAGACGGCGCAACGCCGTCCCAGGTTGCAGTTGGCAGCTAATCGAGCCAATCGAGGTCGGTGCAGCGCCAAGCCTGCAGATGAGACGGAGGAGATGGACGAGGCACGCGAGGAGCGGGAGTTGTCCGTCACCATGGATTCCGGGGAGGATGTCAAAGAGGACGTTGATGGAGCGATGGAAGGACGCCGGGTCGGGAAGTGGTATGCTTCGAGCCCCTTTCTCATGCTGGGAGTAAATTGATCCATATACGACCGAGCCATTGAGCAACTCTGCGCCTGCTCGATTGCGCTGCGCATTGACGGTCGCCGACACGAAAGAGCTGCACCACTCGCTGCAGGAGTGGCGGAGCCAGCGGACAGAGGGGTGAGGCAGGGCGTAGGCAACGGACCTAGATGTACGCGCGGTGGAGTAGGAGGCACGAGATCGGGTTTCGGTTCCAAATAAGGTGGAAGCTGGTACATAGGCGTCGATGTGGGCCCTTGCGAACCTCGCTCGTCCGGCACAGAGAGAGGAGAGAGACGGGGAAGGGCCGGCTTGAACTCTGGGTATACAGGACTGACTGGGGTCGAGGGGGGCACGACGATGTCCAGATCAGGGGTCAGATACGGAATGATGGTCTTCCACATGTTCGGCGCTGACGCCCCCGGAGAGGTGGGGGGATCCCTAGGGGTGTAACGCAGAACAACCTCCTGCCACCGCTTCCAGATCGGATCAGTGATGTGCAGTTTCCAGTTGACAGCCTCCAGGAAAGCCTTCTCATTTGTATTGATTTCGCAAACGTTCAGACCCGACATCTTGCTCCATGCCTTGGCCGAGTAGTTGCGGTCCTGCAAGTACTTTGAGGCAAGAATGAGAGCAGCAAGGAACATGCGCCTGCCGCACTGCAAAGCCCGGTAGGAATTCGCGTCGAGGGCTTGCTCCATGGTGAAGTCATGCTTGGGAACGTGCGGCTTGATCAATATGAGGTAATATAAGGCCACCTGGAGCGTCGAATAGCTGGTCCGCGACCGGCGCAGCGTTTCCTGGATGTAGGTGCGCAGGGGGAGCACACCACGACCAGTGACGGAATCGCAGCGGGTGGACTGGTCGGACAAGGGCCAGATGACTTGAACCATTTCCGTCGCAGAATCTTGAAAAAGAAGTATGCTCAGCTTTTGAACCTGTGAAGAGGGACAGAGGGGAAGAAGTACTAACCGACAAGGCAATCGACAAAGTTAAGCTTCCGTTCTGTCTGACGAACAAGCTGAGGCGGAGGTCGTTGTCCAAGAGTCGAAGAGCGGCGCGGGTGCTGACGATGCGGAACGGGGACGGCAACATCGGTCCGCAAAGGAGGCAGGTATCGTTCAGAGCCATTGTGACCGCAAGCCGTCGGAAGTTTAGCTTGGGGGAAGGTGCTCACCCTGGCCAGCGGAGCGATGGTGGCGTAATCGGCAGCGGACGCACCCGGGTAAGACCAAGTATCACTTCCAGAAACAGAGGAGTGCGTGGTGCCGCAGCTGGAGACAGACTCCTGGGAGGATGAAATGGCGGAGAAGATGGACTCGGCGGAGGAAGCGGTTGAAAGAGAGGAGGCGGAAGAGAGAGAAGAAGCGTACGGGGGAGCTTGTGGAGAGGCATTGCCAGAGGGATGTAGGTATGATTGGCCGATCATGATGGGGGAGGGAAATACTATGGAAGCAACAAGGAGATGACAGAAGATGGGATGATAAAAGGAGTGAGTGGAGAGGTGGTGTTACTTTATCGATCACACCTTGAACGCCTTACCCAAGCGGGATACGACGGATCAAGTGCTCGTGGTGTGACCAGAGAAAAAGCCAGGAGAGGAACGGTGAAAAAAAAATCCCTGTAACGTCCGTCGTATCTCCTTGAACCTTGTGATGTGGTCGTCGGAATGGACGCGTGGACGTTTGAACAGACGTTGACAGTCGGAGATGCGACTCGCAACGTTGAACCAAGGGACTCCAGTCACCGCCAGCCGCAGGGATCACTGAAACAAGGCCTTCTGGAAGACGTAGCCGCACACACTCCGAAGGATCAGCCGTTTCAATAGCCGTGGCTATCTAGGAGCTGGGAGATCGAAGTCGTGGGAGTCTATTAGGCGGAGGCTCGGTTGCCGAAGACCTTGTTTCCGAGAGTAGCAGTGATACCGGGGCGACGAGTGACTGGAGTAGAAGCGGCGAAGACGAGATACATTGCGGTTGTGGGTTCGATTACAGGAGGTGGTGGTGGTGACGGCTACGTCGGGCGAGCTGTCACCGAGGTCGAGGAGGTTTCGGAGTGGTGATGGAAGGGTCGGCGATTTGTTCTCGGCTTCTGTTGTCCTTTCTTTTTAGATGTTATTGGCGGTGGATGTACATGGAGTTGAGCGGGGAGTCGTTCTTAGCAGGTTGGTAGGATAGGATGGCTTCGTGGGTGAAGGCGAGGAGTAGCGGTGGAGGATAGATGACGGATGAGAGGCGAGTGTTGACAAAGTACGTGTTGTTTTGAGAGGAGGAGAGGGCAAGGGAAAGGGTGAATATAAAAGGGAGAGGCGAGCAGTTTGTTTCGGACTGGTGATGGTCGTAGTCTGTAGGCGGCAGCGTCGAGTGGCGGAGACAAAGGTGACTGCTGACTGAAGGAGCCCGGGGGAGGGTGGAGGCAAACGCGAACAACAACGACGAGGTTTGGAGTACTATGTCGGGTGTCGATGGGAAGCCTAGCTGGGGCCTCTATTCGAGGCTCAGGGGCTCTCGCTTCATCTGATAGTAGTCCATGGTGTTCGGTGTTGTCGGTCCTCGGTGGGCAGTGAATGGATGAGATGGGAGAGAGAAGACGAGGCTTCTTAATAGGAGCGGTGGGCGGAGGGGAGAGAGAGGGCAAGCAGCCGGGCAGCTGGGCTGGGCAAAGGCAAGCGCCTTCTGGGAACAGTCATTCAGAGGAGGCAGGAGCCACGGAAGCAGGGGCTGGGCAAGGTGCACGGGCTCTTCATCTTGCCACACCAAAGTAACACACTGACCACGACGCATTCCGCATCGCATCGCATCGCATCGTCCCTCTCTCGTTTTCACGCTGATTATTATTGCCGCAGAGGAGGAATCCGAGATGCTCTCTCTCTTTGTCTGTGGATTTGATGACTTGGTTTCTCATCGTGTACGGCCATGTCCGTGGTGCTACCGAGTAGAAGAGAGAAGTGCTTCTTCTCACAAGTGCTGCGACAACCAGCGTGTGGCTGCGCCTGCGCCTGCGCCCTGCGTCTGCGTCTCCGGCATGACAAAACAGTTGGCATTCTGCGTTCATCCTCCAGCTGCTTTTGAGAGATAACTAGCCACGATATCAGCATGGCTACGGCCCATTCTTGCAGTGCATCGCCGACGGCCTACATCCAGATAATAATCCATACCATTCCTCTGTTGTTATGGTGTACTCTCGACCCTCTCAGCTGTGTGCCTCCATCCATCAGCAGACAGCTGGGGTTGGCTACGTCTGGCAGGCTGCCATGCCGTGCTCTCTGATTCGCACCAGCTGTCCAACCCCTCACCCTCCCCTCTCTCCCCTCTTCCTCTTCTCCCCTCTCGCGTCTCCTAATCCTTCAATTCAATGAGGTATATTTGGGGCTGACGACATGCACCAATGCACTCGTTGCGGCTATATTTGCACCGCTTCCCTCGACACCCATTATTCACACGCTGCAGCACTTCATCTGGAACTGCGGCTTCCTCTGGGCCTTGTCTGACGCAGATAATGGCTCAACCATCTCACAATCAATCAGCAGCCTCATCAGCCAACACGGAGGGAGCAACGGCGCCTGTTCGGACTCCCACCACCCACAAACCGGTTCGCCCCTGGGAGGTGACTCTGAATTCCCACATCTCCCCCTCAGCTCTTTCTCGCCACCATAGACAAACCGTGGAGCCATCACCATGCCCTCTTTTCGTACGTCTTTGTCTGCAGCGGCAAACAGCCACAGTTGATATTGTCCGATGACGAGTCCGGCGGTCCCAAAGCCTTGCGCAGAAATTTCTTGCAAGGGCAAACTTACCATGCGTCGTCTTCGCTGCGTGACCTGCTGACGCGAATGATTACATTTCGCCTCCGCTGATTCGCCCTAGCCTCGGAGCTCGGATTTTCTGCGGCCGTTCCTTGTTGTTGCAAAGGTTCCAAGGTTGGCTCGCTGAGTCATCGCTCCCATCGCCATTCATTCCGCGGTGCCACCACCATCACGACTCTTCTGCCTGCTTGGCCGAGAGCAGTCAGTCGACTTCAACAAAACTCTTGCCATCGACGTGATCTGCCCTCCGGCCCAAGGCTTCCGTCGCCCGGGCGGCAATCGCCCTCTCAGCTGATTGCGTGATGGCCCGCGATTGCGACGCGTTGCGGCGGTTCGGCCTGGAGGAGTGAAGGAGTCATCGGGCACAGTCTCCGTTGCCGCCCGACTTTGCAAAGACAGTGGAACTACTGCCATCACCACGAGTGACACAGAGGGTGGACTCATCCGGATCGGAAATTGGCAACAGAATTTCGTCGGTTACACAGAATGTGGCCACTTCCAAAAAGCATAACCCAGTTTCTTCTCTTACACGTTCAGCTTCCCTAATTCCCCTCCTATGCCTCGTTACTCGACGCCCTGCCCGTGAATGGACATGTCCCTACATGCGCAGCTGTCTCCTGGCTGGCATCCAGCGCCTCATCAGGGTCCATCTTTTGTCCCACACTCTCCTTCTTCACCACTCCATCCGGCGCACTTCTGGCCAATACACGTGTAGCGGATCAGACTACACCCTTACTTCCTGCAGCTACACCTTCTTATGAACACTCTCAACAGCACTCCTCCTGCTATCTATTAACCTTCTATGTACTTTCGCAGGGACTGTTTCTCTTGTGCTATTCTCCTCGTCAGTCATATGTCTTCTCACATCTAACCGTTCACTGCGAGTGCTGGTACAAAGGAGGGGTACCGCCTAGACTTCTGCATCCCACGAGAGCCAACTTCTCCTGCAAGAAACACGAGCTTACGCCGCCCTGGCACCAATGGCGCGTATGCAATTGTCAGCTTATTTACAGCTTCTCGAAACTTGGCTGAAGAGGGGCATGCATAGATTGAATGGTATGCGCGTTGTTAGCTGCAACACCTCTTATACCGAGTTAGCGAAAGAATGCTTTCTTGGGACCTGCAATATTGCTATCAAAAATATACAAGTAGGAACAGAAGCGAGCTAAATGTACCAAAGTGGAAAGCTCACGGTGTAGTCTACTCGTAGGAATAGAGCTTACACAGTGGACAGGAGCAAACTATCCACATGTGCTTGCACCAAGGATGCGCCTACTCTGTCTCAATCAAATTTCAGCCCTTGGGACTAATCAATAGAGGTACATATCTATTTTGATTAAGAAGCACGAATCGAAAAATATTCCACACCCTCCAAACCCCTCCCAATGTTGCCCAGGTGAGGGCTGTCTCCCACGTGAATGCGCTTCTCATGTCTGGCAATGACGTCATGCATACCAACAACCCATCGCTCCACGCACATCTTGCCCCTAGCAACATCCATAATTCCGATTCCCTCTACCAGTACACAGTAATTACCTCCGCCGTCTCCCTCTTCCCAAAATGGGTCGCCGACACCGCGCGATCAGCACCTCGATCCTCCGAGCCATCTTCCACTACAAAGGACACTCCAGCCATAACAACCATCATCAGAAAAACAATGAATATAGACCGCCCGGGCTACTGGCCCGCATCCTCGCCTTATTCTCCGTATTCTACATTTCGCTAGAGAGATACCGGGCAGAATTGTTCAAGAAGCTGCGGAATGACATTTGGGAGGTTGACGAGGAGGAGTATGTCGAGAGTTTCCGAAACCCGGGTAAAGGATCGCGGACGGATTTGATTGCGATTGGGGATCTGGGGTATTCGGGGTCGGTATGTTGATCCCATGCAGGCTCCTTACTCTTCAACGTCTCTGATCAGTTCATATAAAAAGACAACGGTACTAATTCCCCCTCCCAGGCATTCTTCACAACCCCAAACTCCAAATTCCTCGTCAAATCCCTCCCGCGCTCCTTTGAGCAATCCTTCTTCCGCAACCGCCTCCTCGACCCCTACACCGAACACATGGAACTCAACCCCTCCTCGCTCCTCGTCCGAATCACCGACCTCCTCTACGCCCCTCTCTTCACCCTCGGCGAAGCCCTCGGAACCACCCCATCCCACCACATCGTCATGGAAAACACCCTCTACGGCAAGAGCAGCTGCGCCAAGCACGACCAGGAACGCTGGGAAACCTACGACCTCAAACCCGACGACTACTTCTACCCGGAGCGAGACATTGCGGGGGGAAAACTGGCCCCGGAGAGCGTCAAGGAGCGCCTCACCGACACATTCCCGGACCGCGTGCGCGTGACGCAGGACCAGAAGGAAGAACTCGTCGAGCAGCTCCTCCGCGATACCAAGGTCCTGCAGGACGCCAATGTGGTGGACTACTCCCTCTTCCTGGTCCGCTACCCGGCCTCGCTGGCCTCCAGCGTCCCCAAATCGCCGGGCCGGAGCTCCGCATGGCGCGCGGGTCTGGCGTCCAGGGACGGGAAATGGATCTATCGGGCTGTGCTGTTGGATTTCTTCTGGGCCAGGGACGCGCTGCAGGCCAAGGCGTTGACGGGGTTGGTCAAGTTGTGGAATGCGGTCAAGTTTGGGAAGGGCGAGGGGCCGATGAGCATCACGACGACGGCGGACGAGTATAGGAGTCGGTTCCTGAGGATGGTGGAGAAGATTGTTGAGGTGGAGGATAGCTCGGGACGGCCGGCGGGGGAGGTGTTGTGTTGAGTGAGGATGCGGTTCAGGCGAGGGTGGTGGTGGGGAGTGGAGGTGACGAGGGAGACTTTATTCAAGAGGGAAGCTGATGGTGATGTTTAGCGGTGTGTGGGATGGGAGGGTCTGGGACGTTTGCTCTGGTAATCGGGATGGGGAAGTTGGAAGGATGGGGAAATCGTTCAGTGTCATGATACCCTATTATGAAGATACCCCAATGGTACCGTACACTATCCAGCGAACTCTTGCACATCCGTCACCACTCCCATGCATCATGCTAATGATCCAGGTTCTGATAATTGCAGACACTTTCGCAGTGACCGTGGACGGGCTCCATACTTGTACATGTTCGATCTACCCATTCACTAGTTTTATGTATGCCTAGTTTTACATCGAGCCCGGACTCATCATATCTACATCCAACCAACCAGAGCAAGGGCGGTAAACACGCTCCGCGAAACGCCGGTGCTATGCAAGCCCAATCTATCAATCAATCAATCAATCCAGAGAGCAACGCTGCTGCAACACGCTTTGTCGCGATGGAAAGCAAAAACAAATGACAGAAGAGTAGAGAATGCTCCCTTCAACAGGCGAAGAGGAACAAAAAGGCCGAGACAAGATATGTGACAGAGAGGGAGAAGAGTAGAACCCGCTTGCCTCAAAACAACCACCACACTCGCCAACCGCACTCAGCTACTCTGCACCTCACTCGCCCTAGCCTCCGCCTTGGCCAACCGCCTCGCCAACGCGCGCTCCCTCTGTATCAAATCCGCGACGCTCTCTCCAGCCCTCAACCCCTTCGCCGACCCAACGATTCCTCCCTCCTCACCCCTCCCATCCACCTCCCTCCCCCTGTTCGCCCCTCTCCATCCCCAAGCCCCCCTTCCCCACTCCCTTCTTCTGTCACTTCTCCCAAAAGCACTACTCGAGCCACCACCATGCCCCCACATACTCAACCGCTGCACGCGCCGCAACTTCTGGATCCCGTAGACGGCGACGGCGACGCCGAAGACGGTGCACCACGCCGAGACGGCCCAGAAGCCGGCGTCGGATTCCTCGATGAAGTTCTTGAGGTTCATGCCGTACAGGGCGGCGACGAAGGTGCCGGCGGTGATGGAGAGGGTGAGGATGGAGAAGCGCAGGTCCAGGAGCATGAGCGAGTTGCGGTTGGCGTCGAGGATGGCTTTGACGCTGGGTGAGGAGTTAGTACGCATTTTGGACGATGTGGGTGGTCGGGTGTGGGTTGGCGAGAAGGGGAAAGGGATGTGAGAGAACAGGAAAGAGAAAGCACACCTACATCTCCTCGGTGTTGCGTATACTCGACACCAAGTTCTCGGCGGCCTGGACAATCTCGTCGGCAACTTTATGGTACGATTCCAGCATCATCTCCACTTCCGTGTGGTCGTGCTCGCCGCGCGTCTTGCCCGCTGCCTTCTCGCTCAGGTACATGGCCGACAAATCGTCGTCGGCTTCGAGTAGCTCCGTCAGCGCGTCTCGGACAAGCCGCGCCTTCTGCTCGAATGAGCCGAGCTTCTTCGAGTAAATGAGCAGGTAACGCAGCTTGTCCCTGTCGATATCCTCCTCCAGCTCCATCAGAACCCTGACAACAGGCTCGCTCACGCCCTCGAACTCCTTCTCCAGGCCCATCGTCACGCTGATGAGGACCGCTTCCAGCGCGCGGAATTCGTATGCCAGGGTCCCATTTGCTTGAGACTCCTTCTGCCGTAGTTTGAGGTCGAGATCGTACATGAAAACGGACTGGGCCTTGGAGTCGGACGTCCCGTAGGCGTCAAAGACAAGCACGCGGTTGTGTTTTATCAGGACACGGAGGTGGAGCAAGTTGATCAGGATGGCGGAGGGTCGAACGAGAATGTGGGGGAGCAGCGAGGAGTCGATTTTCCGGAGATCGCGAGGGAGGAGGCCGTACTGGCGGTTGTTAGCGCTACTACATTCAAACTTTTCGTTGCGCGTGTTGTGCGCACCTTAGCGATCAACTCGCTCTTCTTGAATTCTCCATTGACCATGGTCACGTTGCCCGACTCGTCCAGCTCTGTACACCGGATCTTGAGCTCATTTGCCGGCCTGGTCGTCCGCCCTAGAGCAGTCAATCCTTCCTCTGTCACCGTCCCAAGCGGCGACACCGGAGCTGGCAACGGAGGCGGTCGCGGCCGCCGTGTACTAGGCCAAAGCTTCCAACCATGACTTTGTGTTGTTGAGAATGCTCTGCGGTATGAAGCAGGACCTAGAAGAGGCCCATTTGACGCACGTAGTCCATCGTGGTGGCTACGGCGTGGCTGGTGGAATCGTTGACATCGTGGGCTGAACGGCGCAGTCGGCGATGTCAACGCCTTGTTCCCAGCACCTCCTACACATGTTGTGTTCTGTGCAGCGAATCCCCGTATTCCCTTTCCCAAACCTCCATCTCTTACACACGTAGAGATATATCTAGCATCCCGTCCTCTAAAACCGGCGACACGGCGGACACTCGTCGGCGACTCGAAAACGCGGAAGACTTGGGCGCGGAGGAAGTTCAATACAGCGGGGGAAGGGGGCGCGCAGGTAGCAAGGCGGATTTGCTTCATCACTCTCCATGCAGATTGTTGAGAGGAGTGGGAGGAGACGCGGCTCCATGCGATCTTGGGACTTGCGGTTTCTGGGAGAAGGCTTGGTTTGACTATTTTCTCTTGGCAATGATGGTATTCGATGAAAAGAAAGTTACGCTAGCCAGAGGCGGTTACGTTCCGCCTGGGCGATGCATGGTGATGTCACGTGTCCGCGTCCTACTATGTCTCCATTATCCTCATCTTCTAATTTATGAACATAAACATCACCCGCCAGTTGCAGGACGTCTTCATCAATCCCGTTTCCTCATTGTCAACCCCAATGGCATGCCCCCTCTCTGGAACGCCTTGATCCGCACGCACCACATAACCTCGCGCAAGAAAGTCTCCAAACTACGCGCCGCAGCCGCAGCTCACAATGTCTTCGCCCTCCTGCGCAGCGGTGGCTGCCCAGGTATCATGTACTGCGAAGGGAGCGAGATGGGCGTGAGGGATTGGGTAGCCACGGTGCAGCGGTTGAGATATAAGGATTATCAGCTGGTGATCAAGCCGGGGGAGAAGCGGGTTGACGGTGGTGGTGGAAAAGGAGATGATGGAGTTGTGTATGGCAAGTTGGAGGAGATTGAGAGTGTGAAGGTTTATGGGGCATGGATGAAGGAGATGGGGTTGTGGGGGTGGTGGAGGAAGGGGATGGGGTATGCGCAGGAAGGGGATTAGGGGTGTGATGTTGAATTTCAAAGGGTGCTGAATTGATTGCAGGGAAAATTTCAAGGAAGGGGATGGGCCACCTTGAATGGTTAGTGTACTTCCATTGCGCCGTAGTCGGTGCATTGATCAGATTCCTGGAAGTGGCCTATATGATGGTACATTTGGAGGATGTACATGCCGAAGTGCATCGAAAAGCAAGTGATAGCGTACGATGGAGTACCCAGAACCCTCTCACGGAGAAGTTACTTCTGGTATCGAGTACCATTCAGGAGTGGTTCTGTGTCACCTAATCAACATGCTGGTTTTGCTTTCGTGAAGTGACGGCGTAGTTCGGATGCAGCATCCTCGTCCCCAGTCAGGTCTGGGCGATTCGGCAACACCGGGACGCTCTAGCACGGCTTCACAGGGTAGCACAGCGTGTCACTATATATGAGGTGTGGATATCCGAGATCCGATGCGTTGTGTCTTCGTCTGAAGCACCAGTGTTGTGTTGTGCATACGCACCAACAACCCCCGATGGGCGACACCGCTCTCATGGATCTGGTTTCTCTGCACATGGTGCCACAGCAATACTTTCGTTGACTGCCGGATCGTCTAATACAACGAAGTTGAAGCCATGCCCAATTGCGTAGGAATGGAGCTAGGCTATTCTCGCTTTACACATTGTTGAGAGTTGGCGATGATGAACTCTTGGGAAGGGAATATGAACGGAAAGCGAGCATTCCGAGGACATGCGAGAAAGGGATAGCAGCTGATCTCACTGATCATGGCGTAGAGGGGTAAGCTCCCGCTGTTACCTGTGGCGGCCAACTTTAACGTGATGGACTGAGGCTGTAGTGGAGACACGGGTCACAAATGTAGAGGCCATCTGCAAAGTGAGCAAGCCCCAACGCCGACAAATTAATGACGCCTTACCACCTCGGTCACATGTTGGATCTGATAGCTATGGCACATCCATCTTTACAATGTGTCAAGCTGATAGTGAGACAAGATTCACCAGCTGCAGTGCGCCCAGAGGGCCGTTCGCGGAGACAGGATTAGTAGTCTCAGGGCAACGAACAGCAGAAATGCACATGCTATCGAAATACACAGGTCGTCGCAACCGATACGTTCCTGATACGTGTCCTCTCACAACGATCCACTGTCATCACCTGCCGTGTCCTCGCCGCACTTACACGGCGCGGCAAGTCCGAAGTGGGCTCCTGATCGGAGGATTCTTCACCTGCAGGGCGTGGAAGAGAGGCGATGGGAGGCGTAGATTCCTACGTGTGGGTTCTGAGAACTGGCGAGGTGTTCTCTGGGTGGTGGCTGACTCGGTTGAGTGAGGTTGGAAGGTTTGAGCAGTATGTGGCGGGTTGCCACGACTGTTATGAGCCTAGAGCAGAATTACGTAGTATTGGATAGATGGGAGCCCAGGGACTAGGTGTAAGACAACGTGTTGTTTTGAGTGCTGGTGTCGCCCACCGTTGATCAGTCCAGAGAGTGAACCCCAGAGGATGATGAATGGCGGCGGTCGTTGATGGAGGGGACATGGTGAGACTGTAATACTCTTGCCCCATAGGACTTGCGCGTTAGCAACCGAAGGGTCTATATCTATTTCTCGTGCACAAGCCGATGAGAAGTACGAGAGAAGTGCGACAAGTTGACTTGTGGGACTGTGACTACACGCGACTTTGCGGACGAAGCATGGCAGATGCCGGCCAGCTTTGGATACTCGCATTCGAAATATAATGGAAGCCAGTCAGGGACCAGTTGGTAGGTACTATGTACATATTGCGGAGTCCCAAGCGGAAATCTGCCCCCGGCAGCTGCGTTACAGAACACGAGTAGGCCACCTACGCAGGCCTGCCATGGGCTGCAGTAAGAGGCGTACAGCTGTTCCACACCATTGGTCCAGATCCAATACATACTGTAGTAGGTGGCTATCCGGGTACGGACTACGGAGTGGTGCCTGGGTGGAAACGACGCCTGTCTACACGAGCACGAGAGCATGTGGAGTCCGATAGGAGGGTTTAACCATGGAGCTGGACCCTTCGGACAGAGTACATACTGTGTACAGATGCCGTACGATGATACGGAGCATTTGATACGACGATCGGTGCATTGTTACGGGGTGCCGAACTCTCGCCCCTTTGAGGTCTGGAGCCTGGGAGGAATGCAGTGGAGAAGCATGCCATACAGAATCTCTCCATCTGTCCTCAAGCTCTTCCTGCGCCAACGCCTGATGACGCCAGTATTGTACGTAGTACACTCGAAGGAGCGAACATGAAACAGAAGGACGCGGCGCCAGGCGTGGGGCCCAACGATCAGGGCTGACGGCATGTGGACAATGGGGTGTGGAGTTGGGAGGTTGCCGGGCTATATTTGGGGGCTCTCATTGCGGCTTCGCGTGTTAGCATGCACCACTTGGGCTGAAAGGGGTTAGTCCAGATCTTCGGACCGCCGCGCAGACGCCACACCCTTCGAGGAGGACGTCTCTCATCTCTCCTTCACTGCCCCTGCCCTGCCCTGCCCTGCCTCCGCCTTCGAGTGCTGCGTCTGCGAACCCGGATTATCGCCGAAGACACAATGAAGCGAACTCCGTTGCTTGGTGTCCTTATCATGACTCGTCCCCTCTTCATTTCCGTATCCCCAACATGCTCCTCGGTTTTGCGTACCATGTGGAGGCCTCGGAGCTGCCTGCGCCGTATTTGCACTCTTCCAACCAACTGAGGCCCATCTGATCTCAGCCCTTGTGAGCCTTGTCAGCCACTGGTGTAGCTATCCTTGTCAGTCAGCCCCAACTGGGCCGCCCCCAACCAGCTCTCGTCGAGTCTTCCATCATTACTATTTTGATATTCGCGTTTGGTGTACATCTCGTCGTGCCATGATGCTTTCCGGGGAGCAAGGCGCCATACTTGGCCACTCCGGACCCTCCCTCTCCCCTACACCATCTTTCATACAAACTCACACACTACGACCGCATCTTCTGAACAGACGGAAGACTGTCCATTCCATTTCGGAAATTTCCCCTAAGCGGTCGGATCTGCGGCTGGCCAGTAGACCCTCGCAAAGCTCTGACCACGACGTTGCAATGAAATCACCTTTGTCAACGAAGAGTAAGGACGGGGAGAAGGAATCGAAGAAGTGGAAGAAGAAAGGAACCATTTTGCGCGCCGTTCCAGATGCCACAGCTTGCGCGGCAACTCCGCTAATCTCCTCCATTGAAAGGGATATGGCAATGCTGCCAAATGAAGAGGTTCTGGCTCGTATATCACCACCGTCACCACAGAAAACAGAAGAACACCTCCCCGTCCGTCCACCGTACCAAAACAGTTTCAATCGATCTCACACCCGGGCTAGCAGTAACAGCGGAACGACACTATGTACCATTCCCGCGGGGACCGAAATGCAATTCCCTGAGCTCAAAGGCACCATCGGCATCTACAAACATGGACGGATAGAATGGGGTTCAAGACATGACATGGCGGGGAGGAACCGGAGACCAAAAATTCAAGTCGTCATTCCTAGCGACCAGCGCAATCGACCGTTACCAACAAGCCCCTTTTTTCGACAGGGTCCGTTCAGCGTAAAGAGCAACAACCATATCAGATCCGCGTCCGCCGAGTACGGATTCTCTCACGACGTATCCCCGCCATCCGGATCAAGATCCGTACGTACACGGGACTCCGCTGTCTCTCCGTTGAGCGCGCAACACCACCACCATCACCATCCATTGACGCACTTCCGCTCCTTACCGGCCGTACGCGAATCACCTCAAAGAGGAGGTTTCCTATGCGCAACCATACCCTCCAATACCGCCCCATCCCACTCGTCAGACGAATCTCCGGCAGATGACGGCTCATCCGTCTATTCGAAACGATCCTCAATGTCGAGTATCGAATCCGACAGCCCACCTCCAAAATTCGGTCGCATCAACTTCCACGAGCGCTCTGCCAGCGCAACATTCTCGATTACCTCTCCAGTGAAAGCAGGGATCTTCGACAGTGAGACGCCCCCAACGCCACACATCGAAAGTCAGCCTCGGGAAACTGGACCGCAGATGCCCATCCATAGTCCTGCCACGCGCCGGTATGCGCCCCATCCGCCCATTGAAGAAGATGTCGAATTCATACCGACGTGCGACGTGCGCCCGCTGCGAGTATCCAGTGGCAACCATAATGTTCGGCGCCGGCCAACGGCCAAGCGCAAGTCATCTGCTGCTCGCTGCAGTCACCGAAAGACACTGTCAGCTGATCCGGGTATGGGCGCCATCAATGAAGCCATCCAACGCTCGTCATCAGCACAGCACGCGCGGGATATCTCCACTCCGACCCTCAGTGAAGCTGAGAATGACCTCGAGCAAGAACTTACGACATGTCCAGGCGCCAGCACCTCCAAGTGGAGTCCTGCATCCGATGAATGGGAGACGGTGCCCGAGACGGAGGCGCCTCCAGCCTTGCCGCGGAAGTCCAGTAAAAGGGCATCGACTATGCGGAACAAGGATGCGAATTTCCGCCTTTCACGGGTCCCGGGGAACCATATCGCCTCGCAGTTCAAAAGGACCCGCTCTTTAGCAAAGAGTAAAGGGCTGACAATTGACATTCCCGACAAAATCAGGAGCGTTCCCGAAACCGTCGAAGCGTCTCCCGTCCCTCCCCGAGCGCAACCCCGAGCTATCACTCCCGATGTCGCCGAGAACGTCATATTCACTATCCTTCGCAACCTAGAAACCTTTGACGATTTGTTCGCTACAGCTGTGGTCAACCGGGGCTTCTACCGGGTCTTCAAACGTCATGAGCTGGAGCTGATGAAATGCGTGCTGAAAACAATGTCGCCTCCGGCCTGGGAACACAGGGAGTTCTGCTATCCAGGGCACGACGAGATCGATAACGAAGACGAGGAGGATTTGGCCCTTGTGCGGCGACCACGCGAGTATACGCCAACTACATACTTCCAATACTACACCCGGGACTTGTATATTATTGCCGCCCTGAAATCCCTCATCAAAGAAAAGTGCCAGTCCTTCCTTCGCTCCGAGATGGCCGTCGCATTGGCAAGCACCGAACGCGCCGAGTCGGCGCGCGTGGACGACGCACTCTGGCGCATCTGGACGTTCTGCAAGATCTTCGGATGCGGCAAGGGACGTGAGGAAGACATTGTGGCGCAGATGGATTGGTTAAAGGGTGGAGCGTTGGTGCATCAGAAGACGTGCACTTTTAGCATTCTGACGACGGAGTCTATCGATATGAATGGGATGCTGGCGAGTGCGCCGGAGTGTTTTGGCAAGGGGAATGCAGGCGGGTTGACTGCGGAAGAGCTGTTTGATATGATGGAGTTGTGGAACTGCTTGGGAGTGCTGTTGCAACCTTTTGAAGGTCGGACGATTCAAGCGAGGGAGTTTGGGGTCTACGAGAATACGCACATTCGTGGGGGTGATATCGACGGAGAGGAGATGATGTTAGGTAAGTTGCTCCGGCCCTCAGGTCTCTCACTTGATACTCACTGACGGAAAACAAGATGAATGGTACTACTACCTCCTCACTCTGGGACTCTCCCCCATCTTGGACCTCTCGGGCCCCTGCTCCCGCCCCGACTCCTCCGCCTTCGTGCTCGCCGCCCAAAACGGCTGGATCTCCAACTGGACGCCCCCCGTCTTCGGCGGCTCTCGCCGAAACTTCCTCAAAGAAGCCGCCTCGCGCGTCTATGAGGAGAAAATCGCCGTCACGTACGCGGAGAGCTCGACCAAGGAGATGCAGCGGCAGATGTCCAAGCAGCGCATCCAGAGACACATCAGTGAGCTAAGGCAGAGGAGGGTTCAGGGAGTCGAGAGTGGGCGATTGCTAGGGCCTACGCGGATGAGCCAGGAGAGACCGATCAGCGAGTGGGAGGATGTGATCAATAACTTGACAAGGCCGCGGGCTGCACCCGGTACGTCCTCGAATCTTGTGTCGCACATCCCGACACTGCGATCAACGACGTCGAATCCCGCTCTCGCGGAGCAACTGTCTGCCACTCCCGCACCTGAACCTCAACTTCCACCACCTCCACCACCGACAGCGCAGCAAGCAAACCCCTCAGCCACTCGATCCGGCCCCAACCGCACCGTCGCCCAACCACTCCTCCCCACGCCGCCTCCCTCCACGGTGCCCAGCGTCTCAGGAGATCGCAGAAGCAGCACCGCACCCAGCGTCATCATGCCCTCCATCACCGAGCACCCGGCCTTCCGCTTCCCGGACTCGATCCCGGAAATGCCCGCCCTGCACGAACATCCCGCCTTCCAGCAACAGCGCATCCACGATGACGACCACCACCATGCCTTCCCCCACTCCGCCCCCTCCGTATCCTCTCAGTCTCAGTCTCACGCCCAGCACTCCCCTTCGCACTCCCAACGGCCCAGCACCTCGTCCTCATCCCACCACCGCATGCAGCACCAGCACCCAGCGTTCTCCCAACACCCGCTGCAATCCAGCATCTTCGGCAGCGACGCGGCGGAGAACACGGCCGAGAAGGCCGTCTTTCGCATCGTGGAGATGGGGTTCACGGCGGAGCAGGCGCGGAGGGCGCTAAGGGTCACGGATCTGGGGGATGGGTTGAGGGTGGATCGGGCGGTCGAGGTGCTGCTGAGGGAGGCGGCGTAGAAGGGGGAGGTTCTGCCTCAGCTTCTTTTCTTCTTTCCTCTTGTTTTCTTACTGGCTTTTGTGTGTTTTCCACAAAGGGAGGGTTAGAGATGATGGACATGCATTTCCACCGGATTTTGCGGGATGCTGCTGGAGTTTCGGATGCGGTCTTGTCGATTTCTCGAGTCTCGATTGCCTTTGGTTAACTTTTTGCTTTTGCTTTTGCTTTTGCTTTTGCTTTTGCTTTTGCTTTTACTTTTGCTTTTTGCCTGTGATTTTGCTGTTCTTCTTTTTCTTTGTTTCTTCCGAGTTTGTTTGTACGGGAGCGAAACGGAGGACAAGAGGAGTCTCCGCGCTGCCCATTTTCATTTCCAACAGCCTCTTCTTTTGCATTCCATTCCATTTCTTATCCATCTGTCGTTTCGGACCTCTCTCTCTCTCTCTCTCGTTGCGCAGGATACCCACACAGACCATTCCATTCGCTATTACCGTATTTCCGTAGCACACACGCAGCAATTGCATCACCTTGCCGATTCAAATCAATGAAATACCCAATGCCCACCGTGCGATATCCAATCTACAATGTTAAATGTCCGATAGCCAATAGCCACTGTCCACTACTATCCAATTGCTCGACCCATCTACGTCGCCTACGTTCATCATCCAGCATCGTCATCGTCTACTGCTCGGAGAGTAACGCATTACTATTACCATTATTATAACCATCATCATCATGGCCTTGTAAATACACACATGATCCTTCTTCCTTCGTGAATACTGTCCGACACACCCAAGCGCGCCTAACGCATCACCACAATACGCATGTTCAACCCCTACGCAACACAAGTGTCCTACTCAGCGCTCCCACATATTCCTTCCATTCATGCATCCATCCATACATTGATTCATGTCGATTCCACCTTGCAAACCTGTTAACAAGTCCACAAGCAATCACATCGGCAAAACGACAATGGGAGCGCAAAAAGTACAATCTATATCTTCATAGATGAAGCCCTACAACAGTGCTAAACCCCACACAAAATGCACGCGTGCTACTTTCTCTACACGACTCTACACCACTCTATTCTACCTCTGTGCAAACCGTTTTAGAAACAAGGATATATATACAAGAAAGACGACGATAATAGTCTTGCAAAAACAACTATTCCTGATCCCCTCCTCAACTAATAAGGAATACCATCATACTCGCCATACCCCAGCGCCAGGTTCATATTCTGCAGGCACTGCGTCGCGGCGCCCTTGAGCAGGTTGTCAATCGTGGCATTCACCACGACGCGCTTGCCCGAGCTGTGCACCGCGAACCCGCCAATCTCGACGCCGTGCTTGCCGCTGATGGCCTTGACCAGGGGCGACTCGCCCGTGATCTTGACCAGCTTCTCTCCGGCGTAGCGGTCCTGGTAGAGGTTGCGGATGTCGCGGGACGTCATGGTTCGGTTCAGCGGGATGGAGATGGAGTGCTGGATATGAGTTAGCAAGAGTATTTTCTTGACATGCTTGACAAAAAGGGCTCTATGTGATGGATGAGACCTACATGAATACCCTGGAACCAGCTCGCCACATGTGGAATAAACGCCACCTCCCGTCCCAACTGGCTGCTAATCTCCCGCTCATGAATATGATCCACCAGACTGTACGGAATGATGTTGTTCTCCAGATTCTTGACGTCGTTCTTCGGGCTGGGCTTCGTGCCTGCGCCCGAATACCCGCTCACGCCGAACACGGTGGGCTGTCCACCGATGAACTCGAGCAAGGGCGCGATGCCGAGCTGTGCGGCCGTGGCATAGCAGCCGGGATTCGCTATGCGCGTTGCGTTTGCCAATTTGCGGCGATCGACGAGCTCAGGGAGGCCGTACGTCCACGATGAATCAAAACGGTAGTCCGCGCTGAGGTCTACGATGACGGTGTCGGGTTTGCCGGCTTCATTGATGGCATCGACAAAGGGCTTGCAGACGCCGTTGGGGAGCGCCATGACCCAGCAGTCCACTTCGCCCTGCTCGGCCATCTTCTTGACGTCCTCGGGCGCGAGGTTCTCGTAAGTGATATTGCGCTTGGTGTAGCCTTCGAGTTTCTTGCCTGCGAGTTCGCGCGACGAGACGTGCCGGAGGTCCATGTTGGGGTGGCGGTTCAGGAGGTCGATGAGAGCTTGACCCGTGTAGCCACGGGCACCGATGAGGGCAATCTTGGACGGCCAGTCTTTGCTTTTGAATTTGAGTCCGTGAGGGGGATTGGGGTTGGTGGTCTCGACAGCACGGGGAGCAGTGGTAGCGAAGCCGCGGGAAGTCATGGGAGCCGCCTTGCTCGACCTGAAAGTGGGCCGTGGCTGCTGCCCGAAGACCCTAGCCCCGAATGCCATTGTCGAGTATGAGCGTGTCTGCTGGCCATGCTTCAAGCTGGCAGCATAGTCTGCTGCTCGCCGAAGCTGCGCCTCGAGGTTGTGGTCGCCAAACATGGCCCGTCCGTGCTTGGAAAACTCGCTCATCATGGCCACCACCTCTTGCGGCTCGGCGGTACCCCAGAAACAGAAGACCTCCTTCTCTCGACGGAGGGTGCCGTCTGCCTTCTCCTTGAACCAACCCAGGTTCTCGTCCTGGGTCTCGACAGTCCAGTACATCTTGGGGTACTTCTTCTTCATACGCTCAAAGATGTTGTCCGCGACGTTGGTGAGGAAAGCGTCCTTGGTGGTGGTGAAGGTAGACAGCTGTGCGAAGCCGCCCTCCTCCGCTGGCGGGTAGACGATAGCAACAGCGCCCATGTTATCATCAAAGAAAGCCTCAAAGGGGCGGTTCTTCAGATTGTTCAGGAAGCGATCGATGACGTCGCCAGAGTCCAGACTTTCGCGGTCCCGTAGCAGCGCATCCCGCAGATTCTTCATATCGGGGAGGTCCTCGAACTTGGAAACGGCCTGAATGCTCTCACCCTTCCTAATCAGCGTACCGCCGCCGGTGTGGGTGAAGAGTTCCTTCTCCAAATACTGTGGGTGGATGATGGCCACGGAGGAGGTCTTCGGTAGGTCATCTAGCAGCTTTTTGACTTCCACAATCTTGAGCTTGGTGCCATATTTGACCCAGGGTTGCTGCATAAGCGTGTCATACTCCTCGTCGAGGTTGATGGTGGAGATGAGCTTTCCCGTGTCGCCATTGTAGAGACCGCCCTTCTCGCTGAGATAGACAATCTTGAGAGGCTCCAGCGCCCGGGCCAGAGCCCCCGCAACCACATCGGCATTCACATTGAGGATCTGGCCATCCTCGGTCTCGGCCATGGAGCACAGAATGGGCAATTCCTTGGCCTTGAGCGCATCGACAATGGGGCGCGAATTGACCTTGGTGATGTTGCCCACATACTTCCACTTCTCCTTATCGAGGTAGTCAGCCTGGAGCACGCCGGCGGTGATTGGGCGTGCCGGGATGCCCCAATCCTGCCTCAGCTTCAACACCAAGTCCATGTTGGCCTCAAGGAACAGCTTGCGGGCAATGCCGAGCGTTTTCTTGTCCGTGACGCGGATGCCGTCAATGAACTCGGGTTCCACGCCTGCGTCCAGGAGCAGCCGGTTCATCTGGGGCCCTGCGCCATGGACAATGATGGGGTACAAGCCCATGGCATACAAATGCTGCAGGGCGAGGCATAGGGTATCGATGTGGTCAGTCAAGATGGCTCCCCCGACCTTGACGACGGCAAATTGCTGCGAGGACACGGAGCGGAACTGGGCGAGGTACTGGTCGATTTCCCGGCGCGAGCTCACGCTGCCGAGCAAGCTCAGGAAGGCGGCCCGCATGGAGGTGGCATCGCGACTGTCGGCGGCGGAGGTGTAGAGGCGACTCGAGGCGGGCACGAGAGCACGGGTGAGGCTTGTCCGTAGCGCTCCTCTTGTGGGAGTGACTCTGCTGCGGGCATGGCGTGTGGCCGCACGAGCACCAGAACGCACGACGGCCTGCATTGCGGCGGGCGAGCGGGGGAAGCGAGCGGATCTTCAGCACTCGGGCCAGTCGGCAGGGCGGAAGGACGAGGGAGAGGAAGAGGACGTGGAGGGAGGACGACCCAGGAGGGCGAAGGGAGAGGAGAGGGAGAAAGAGAGAGAAAGGGAATTGGAGGTTGGAAGGGTTGAAAGGTGGAGGTGGAGGTGGAGTCGAGTCGGAAGACTCACAATCGATAAACCAAGGAACTTTTTGGGTGGAAGATCTCGGCGAACGAGTCGGGAAACCAACCCCAAGACAACGCCTCCGTTATCGCACCGATCGTCAATTCACACACCAGATACATGCACCGCCCGAATGCCATCTGCATCCTATACGAGCGCCGTTGGCGTCTCTTGATTGCCTTCTCTGCCGAGCGGTATGTATTACATTACCCCTTTGGGCAATGGACAGTGAAGGATGCTGTCTTGAGCTGCTGCATGGGTTGGTGTGGAACAACCGTGATACATCTGTTGGTATTCAGTGCTTGGTCCTACATAGAGGTGCGTATTATTCAAGGGGCCCGTCTTTGTTGGCAGTCACGATAGTGAATGGAATATGTCACGTCACAAGTGTCCTCACGAGCCAGCCCGCAAAAGCCCAATTTGAACATGGCATTATCATCAGCTATCCGGTCGGAAGCGTAGAGTTCCATACCCATAGATGGAAAGGAAAAAGCCAGACCCTCCTCACACAGGACATTCGATTGTTGCATCCTGCTCCCAAGAGGGCCTCACTCCCCCTTCCCAATGCAAGAAAAGAAATGAAGCACAAGAACCAAACCAAGAGCTCCCAGTTCGCCGTTGACGTTAGTACACGCATCTCTGTCTACAGAATCGTGTGCAAGTCTGCCCATCTGGCATCCGCTCGCGCTGGATGCCATTGGACAGGCCTGCAAGACATCCATCCCCTTTTCATATTAAGTACGGCATGTAGGCAAGTATTCGTGACGGTTTACGAGCAGGACGGGCTTTAACGTGTCGCAACGACTGAAGGGCGTTAGCTCTTGGTTCCCCTTCTCTTCCTTTCGGTCATCCGAGCCTACCTGACGGGATAATAATAATGGCCAGCAAGACGACGATTCCGACAATGAGCCACATGCGCATCTTCATGTCCTTCCACCACATCTGCTTGCGCACGCGGTTGGCACCCCGCCGGAAGCCCTGGGCCGACACGGCCAGGTTGTCCGTCTTGTCCTGTAGCGAGTCGAGGTGGGCTCCGCGCTCCGAGACCTTGTTGATGTTGTCGCGCATGATGCCGACGGTGCTGTCGATTTCCTGCGTGCCCGTTAGCAAACATGCCCTTTCAACCGCTTTCCACTTGCGCATGTCATCTGCAACAAGGCCGCTGCGGCAGCTCATGCATAGCAGATGCGGATAGAGCCTCCTCGGCGGATTGCATCATGGTGGGTTGCCCCGTGCCAGCGCTGCACAAACCCACAGCTCGCAGTCGCTCTCCCAGAGAGCAAGCGGCGGCCATCTTGCTCCACCTCCAGGAGCTGCGCAGGGAAACAAAGAGAGGAGGGAATCAAGCGACTTACCGCTTGCAAGGCAGCGGTGCGCTGGTTGTTTCCCGGGCCGCCAGCGCCACCCTGAGGTGCGCCGCCAGAGGGAATGTATGGGTCGTAGGGCTGCTCACGGTCGGCCATGGCGTTGGTGATGTACAGTAGAGGTCTGATAAGAATTCGCGAAAGGTGCTACTGTGTGAGAACCCGGGTTGCGATCGTAACGAGGAGCTGGTTGGGGATGTGTGGAGGGTGGGTGTAGAGTAATGGGAGTGCTGGGAAGCGGACGATGGGCGGGCCGGAAGTTGTGACGAGCTTGGTCAGAGGGCGGTTTGACCTGTGAGGCTGAAGCTGGTGAGCCACCCAAGCCAAAAGCGTCAGAGACAACGAAAAGCGAATTCAGAGCGGATTGGAAGCGGTGATTTAGGCTGCACGGTAGATAGCAGGAGAAGTAATTAGTCGATATGGACAGCAAAGCAAAAGTGGAATGGAGCAGGATGAGATACACTTGTTTGACGGGTTCGGGAGGCCTTTGCGCCACAGTTTGACGGTCACGTGATGATCAGCCACTTCCAAGGTTGCGCTGACGAGTCCTTCCTTCCCCTCCACCACAGTAGGGCTGGGGCTGCTGCTCCGTCAAAGAAACACATCTTATTATTGAACCTGATTCCGCCTCCGTGGCAAACGAAGAGAACGAGGCAAACAAAGCCCGTAAACCAGGACTGTTCCTACCCGCACATGCGACCTGTGGATTTCCCAAAGCAATCTCGTCAGTTTTCCATTGCATACTGAGTGCCCTCAACACAGCCTCCTTCACTCGCAGATGGCATTGGCCAAGCGCCGAGGGCCCTGCTGAGACGCGTAACGTTGCACGATGTCCCTGAGTAAGCGTCGTATCAAACCGTTTCTGTGGATTGGATGACTGGATTGGGCATGGCGACTGCGTAATACATCTATTTCGAATTGCTGGTTGCAGTCGTATCCTTGGAGATCCATTCCTTGGCACCTCCTCGGCGAAGACGGTACGCCCATCATCCACCTTGAAACCTGCTGCACTCTCCTGAAGAGACAAGAACACACTCCCACTCCCACTCCCACTCACCCTTCTTCTCGCTCCAGGTCCTTTCACACCGACACTCGCTTGACTTCGCGTGCTACTGCTGTACCTTACCTGCCGCCTCCCATCCTTCGTACACCCCCTTCACCACCGTGCGACACCTATCCCGAAGCCCATCTTCCCCCGGATTCGCCCTTCGTCTTCCCCCTCCCGGGCGGTACTGCCCCCCTTTCGACGTCCCCGTCTTTTCACGGCTTCTCTACGCTTGCGCGAATTCCCCGAAGCGCCCCCGCAACTACAAACTATAGCCCTGATCGACAACGCTGCGCGTTCCGACGTCACCGGCACGATCCGTACCAGGGGCCTGAGAGGGTTCACTGCTAAGACGACTTCGCACTTTGTATCTGCGCTGGCTGCCTATACTACATAATGAAGTTTTCCGTATCTGCGCTTGTTGCGCTGGGCGCACTGGCATCGAGCGTCCAGGCCATTGACCTGAATCCAGATGACGTCCGTATGTCCTAGGCTCCTTCCCCAAACCCACCACCGCATATGCTAACCACTCTATATGCAGAGTCAATCAAAAAGGCCGCCTCAATCGCAGCCAAGGGCCTCCGAAAATGGTACACCGGCGACCGACCAGGCGACACACCGGGCAACCTTCCAGATCCCTATTACTGGTGGGAGGCCGGCGCCATGTTCGGCGCCTTCATCGACTACTGGTACTACACGGGCGACACCACATACAACGCCATAACGAAACAAGCCTTGATCCACCAGATCGGCGACTACCAGGCCTTCATGCCGCCGAACCAGACCAGGACGCTGGGTAACGATGACCAGGCCTTCTGGGGCATGGCCGCCCTGACCGCCGCAGAGGACAAATTCCCGGATCCGGCAGAGGGTGAGGCGCCGTCGTGGTTGTCTCTCGCGCAGGCCGTGTTTAACACGCAGCAACGACGTTGGGACAACGCGACTTGCGGCGGTGGACTGAAGTGGCAGATCTTCCCCTTCAACAACGGATACAACTACAAAAACACCATCTCCAACGGGTGCTTCTTCAACATTGCCGCCCGGCTGGCCAAGTATACGGGGAACGAGACGTACAGTACATGGGCCGAGAGGGCGTGGAACTGGGAGCGGGCGATTGGCCTCATGAGTCCGGAGTACTACTTCTACGACGGGACCGACGACCGCAAAAACTGCAGCGAAGTCGACCATCACCAGTGGACATATAACGCTGGCGTGCATATGGCCGGCGCGGCCGCCATGTGGAACTTGGTAAGTCTCCTCGCACCCCTTTCGTTTTTTCTCCCTTACTCACCTGCAACCCCCAGACCCAGTCGGACCCCTCGCGCGAACGCCTCTGGCGCGAACGCCTCGCGGGCGTCATCAAATCGATCGACATCTTCTTCCACAGGGAAGTCAAGGACGTCATGGTGGAAGTGGCCTGCGAATTCAACAACAAGTGCAACAACGACCAACGCTCCTTCAAGGCCTACCTCTCGCGCTGGATGGGCTACACGATGCAAGTCGCGCCCTGGACCGTTGGGGACCTCATGCCCAAGCTGCGCACCTCGGCCGTCGCCGCCGCCAAGCAGTGCAACGCCGAGGGCGAGGCGCAGACGTGCGGACTCCGCTGGTACACGAACGGGCAGAACGACGGCTCCTTTGGGCCCGGCGAGCAGATGTCCGCCATGGAGGTCTTTCAGAATCTGCTCATCAAGGAGGTCCCCGGGCCCGTGACTCTGAATAACGGCGGCATCTCCAAGAGCAATCCCGAGGCCGGCAGCGAGGAACAGCATCTGCCGACTAATCTTGATGATGTCACGACGGGGGATAAAGCGGGCGCGGGTATCCTGACGACGGTTGTGTTGGTGGGCATTTTGGGCGGCGCGTGGTGGATGGTTTCGTAGATTTTGTGGAGGGTTTTGTTGGTTGAGGCGATGGTAGGGAGAGGAGGGAAGGAATGGAGGCGACGAGGTGTATCATAATCTTTTCCATTGGGCTATCTCAGTTTTGTTATTTTTTTTTCCCCTCTCACCTCCGCAAGGCTCGACTTGCTAGCTAGCTCAGTCAGTCAGTCAGCGGTCGGTTCGACATATTCCCTCGGTGTTCTGGTCCTGAATCGATATATACATATAAATATTCAGCGTACCAGCGGCGTCTGGACGGGTCCTTCTACAATACCTATGTCTATTCCTCTGTCAATCACATGGATATTCAAGTCGATAGGCAAGGTCTTTGCTGGCTTATGGTATCCTACTTTAACATTCATTCGCATGCATCTATGCTCTCCCGACATGATTTGGTTAGTAATATGCAAGCAGTTGAAAGAAAGAAGATGAGGCAAGAGACAGTATTTACTCTTTCATTCTATATACCCATCTATTCATTCCAGTAGTGATCGGTTGGAGGCCGCCGACCTTGGCCGAGCCATGTCATGTCCGACCGAAGTTCAGGATTCTGTCGTGATAATCGGTAAAAGATCGTTCATCCCAGATAGATGATGATGACATATTTACTGTGGCCTGAAGTCCTGACTAGAGCAACCGAGCTCTCCTTCATCCAAGTCCGCATGCAAAAACGTATTCTATGTTCGTTCCCTCATTTCCAACCTCAGACCCACACACCCTCTCCTCTCCCCTAAGCGTGGTCATTCAAGTTATGCAAACTGATATCCTGACTCGCCGTCCGTCGAACCATCTCCGTACTACTCCGCCTACTGCTCTCCCCATTCCCGTTCCCATTCCCGCTCGCACCCCCATTACTAGAGGAACAACTCGAACAGCCGTTGCCGTTCCCCGACTGCTGCGCGCCTACGCCGTTGACGACGTTCTGTTCCGCATTCCCAGGATTGGTGTCATCGGACGCGGGTATCACATTGCCATCATGGTCAACCTCCTATTCCTACACTTAGTCACAGTTTGTAAAGGAAGAAGCATGACAATAGACTTACCACCCCCTTGGCCGCCATGCGAATTTGCTTCTGATCCGCCACACCATGGATCACTGCATCCCTCGCCGACTCCATGACCTTCATCTTCTTCGCCTCGCCGCGTATCCGCTCCAGACGCTCAAAGTAGTCGTCCGCCACGGGAGTAACGTACTTGCCGCAGAAGACACCGACTTCGAACTGCTGGGTAGCGGGATCACGGGGCGAGAGGGATGCACAGGCCTCAATGAGATCGGGAAGAGTCTGATAGATGACATCGTCGGCACCGATAAGTTCTGCGATAGCGGCAGATTCGCGGTGGTGCGCGATGAGTTCGGAAGAAGACGCGAGGTCGATGCCGTAGATGTGTGCGTTTGTGATGGGCGGCGCGCAAGATGTGAAATATACCTTCTTCGCGCCGGCCTCGCGCGCCATCAAGACGATTTCTCTCGACGTAGTCCCGCGGACAATGGAGTCGTCGACAAGCAAGACGTTCTTGCCCTCGAACTTCTTGCGCATCGGGTTCAACTTCGCACGGACTCCCTTTTGCCTAAGCTTCTGCGAAGGCATGATGAAGGTGCGGAAGATGTACCGGTTCTTGACGAAGCCTTGACAGTACGGCTTTCCAAGGGCTTCCGCCACGCACAGAGCGGACGTGATGCTGGTCTCTGGGATCGGCATCACAACGTCCACCTCGGCCAGAGCAGGTCCCAATTGCCGCTTGATGGTTTCCGCTAGCTTGAAGCCCATGTTGCGACGGCTCTCGTCGACGTCGATACCATCGATGATTGTATCCGGACGCGCAAAGTACACGTACTCGAAGATGTCGGGGGAGTACCCTTTTTGAGGATGCACCTGCCGGAAGACTGGCTCTTTGCCCTTCTCGATGATGACCGCCTGTCCAGGGAGAATGTCCTTGAACTCGCGGTAGCCGCATTGAACTAGGGCTACGCTCTCCGATGCCATCATGTAATCGGTTCCGGAGCCACTCTCCGAAGGCCTCCATCCGAGGACCATGGGACGGATTCCGTAGGGGTCACGGAAGCCAATCAGACCGAATCCTTACACAATGTCAGTTAGAGACTCAGAAGACAGGTTGCGGACATCAAGTACCAGCAAGCATAGCCGTGCACGCCCAACCGCCTACACACTGCGTATACATCCGTTCCAGGGCTGCAAAGCAGTCTTCGGCATTGACACGGGCCTTGCCCGTCTCGTTGAGCTCGTTCGCAAAGACATTGAGCATCAACTCGCTATCGCTCTCGGTATTGATGTGCCTATGAGCATCCTGATCCAGATATTTCCGCAGTTCCGGCGCATTGATGAGGTTTCCATTGTGTGCCAAACAGACTCCATATGGGCTGTTCACGTAGAAAGGCTGGGCCTCAGAGTTGGCGCTGCTGCCAGCCGTGGGATAGCGGAGGTGACCGAGGCCCATGAAGCCGGGGAGTTCGGAAACGCGTGCGCCGTCGTTGAAGACGCGGGAGGCCATGCCGTTACCTTTGCACTGGTAGAAGCGTCCGCCAGCGGCGCAGGTGACAATGCCTGCTGCATCCTGGCCACGGTGCTGGAGAAGATATAGGGCATCATGGATCTCTACGGCGGCCGATTGGGATCTCCTGGCGGGTTTCTTAGTGATCATGGTTGCAACCGAGGTCGCGAGGGTTTCTTACGGATCCGCGTGGATCACGGCGATGATACCGCACATGCTGTATGTCGAGGAGAGCGAACGGAGGGTTCTGTAGGTTTACTGTTGGCTCCCATGCGTCAGTAAGGGTCTTTCCAAAAGCGAGGTCCAACTGTGCGAGGGAAGTACACCAGATTTTCAGAAAGTCTTTGGCCGCTCATTCCAGAGTCGCAAGTCTAACATCTAAAAGTAAAAATGACTGGATCATCATCGTGGTGATTGAGTAAAATAGGAACTAATTCATCAGCATTACGTACCTTATCAGACCCAGCACGAGGCTCGAGCGAAGGAAACTTGGAGAAGGTGGGGCGTGTCGGAGAGTGAAGGAGGGCCAGCGAGGGCGTTAAGAGAGCGGGGCGGCCAGGTCCATCTGGACTAGGGCGGGAGCTGGCGGTGAATCGGCGGCTTGTTCGGCCAGGGGAGAGCGTCTCGAGTCGCAAAGCTGAGGCACACGACACATGTTGTAATAAGAAAAAGAGGCACCGTCGAGTTATGGTGGCCATGAGCGAGTCTGGAAATTTTTCGCCGCTTTCGGTCTTGGCGCCGAGCTGCAGGCGGGCATCGTCGGTTGCAGACCATAGGCGTAGAACCGAGCCATCAATCATCACTACTATGTACAATTCGCGGCTGTAGAACTGCAGAAATAATTGATTTTCGATTTTTTAAAAACCATAGAATCAGTAAACATAGGCTCTATTTCTCTCTGGCTCTGCAACTCGCTCGCTCTCTTCACAGAACGTCAACAAATCCATTCACCCGCATCCGACATCCATAGACCCCACCGTTCAAGGTGTGCTCTTGCTGAATTGAATCAATCGCTTCACACCAACCTGAATCACCATTAGCATTTCCTCATACCCAGGCTGAGAGGCTGTAGGTACTTACCATCCAGTTGCTCCCCTCTTCCGTCTTATTCGTCATCAAGTCCGTAAACAATGCAGTCGCCTGGTCATAGTCTCTGCCCTGCAAGAAATACGCCAACTCCTTCATCTCCTCGACCGTGTCCGGCTTCAGCAGGTCTTCATTGTTCAGGTGGTCGAACAAGATATTCAACCTCTTCTCCGTATCGGCAACATGCTGCTTGTACTGTGCTGGCGCACGTGCCTTCACCCGCTGCATGTCCGCATTGAGGATCTCGAAGATTGGGCGGGCAGACTCTGGGATATGGCTACGATCTCCGGGAGCTATTCATCGATTAGCATCTATAGGTGCTCAAGCTACCGCATCTACTCACGATATTTAGAAACCGCCTTCTGCGACTGCGCCGTTCCAGGACGCGACGAAGGCGCAGCAGACGCACTGGGAGGTCCGCCCTGAGGAGGTCCAGCTCGAGGCGGCCCTTGAGGGGGTCCTTGCGGCGGAGGTCGAGCAAAGCCTGCTGGGGGAGCTGGTGCCGCCGGAGTGGCAGCCGGTGCATAGGCGCTAGCGGGAGGAGGTGCTACCTGACGGGGTGGGGGCATTGCGCCCTGAGCTACGGATGGCGTCGTGCCGGGAGCGGGAGCGTACCGGTTAGAGGGAGGTGCTGCAGCTGGCGGCGGATTGTAGGGAGACGTTCCACGGGGGATGACCGGTTGCTGTGGTGGAGCAAAGCCAGTTGGCTGCGGTGGAGCATAGGTACTGCTTGATTGAGGCGGAGCGTACGGACTGGAGGTCTGCGGTGGAGCATATGCGCTGGGTTGTGGTGGAGCATATGCATTCGCAGCGGCCGAGGAGGGCCGAGGCTCGTGATGATGAGGGACAGAGGGTGGTGAAGTCACCCTGGGCGGGCCTTGAGGAGGTCCCTTAGGCGGGGGAGGCGGTGTTGGTCGAGATGCAGGAGGATAGGTTGGCGACATTCCCGCTGGCGGAGGACCCTGAGATGGCGCAGCGAAGCCTGGCTGGTTGGGAAAGGGGGAAGTTATCGCATTTGCGGCACCTGGAGTGCCTCTCCGGGATGCCGGCTTTGGTGGGCCAAAGTCAGGGGTGTCATTCCAGTTGGGGATATTGGCCCTGTTGGTCGCGGGAGGTACAGATGGCGAGCTTGAAAAGTTGCGCGGAGGAGGAGCAAGAGGTTGATGTTGCTGTGGTGCTGGGTACCCACCATATCCTGGCTGAGGGATGCTAGGAGGTTGATATCCAGCTGGAGTGTAGGCGCTTCGTGCAGGTGCAGGCGGCTGTGCTGCAAGAGGGTTTGGCGGAGCATAGGGCGAGCTCGTCTGCTGCTGCAACGGAGCCGGTGCTGTCTGTACGGGTTGATATGTAGGGACAACGCGTGTCTGTCGTTGAGCCGCAGTAGCAGGCGCCTGCCTCTGGCTCGTTGTAGTCTGAATAGGGGCTTTCCTCGTGGCCTGCTTGACGCGGTTCCTGGATACATCGGCGGCGGGGTACTTCTCGGGAAGAAGGTCAAGATACTTTTCCGCGATATACAGTTGTCCATGTGCGGAGGCGATATCAGCGTACTCAATATACTTCGAGTACAGCGGCTCAAGCTTCCAATCGGCGTCTTTGTCGTGATCCGCGTCCTTGAATCCGGTAACCTGCCTGAAGACAGTGACCTTTTCGATAAAGTCCTGCAGCGACCGCGCGTGGATAGAGAAGCTGTTATCACCCTTGGACTGCTCAATGCTAGTTGCCTCATTCTCTTGTAGCTCCTGTGCCCAGTTGACAACGACCTTTTCCAACTTAGAACCAGCCAAGTAGCAGAAGGAAGCATCCTTGCGCAGAGACTTGTCGCCACTCTCAACCGCTTCTTCTAAGCGATCACCAAGAGCCTCGCAGAGATCCGAGAATTCAGATTGGTCAGCGAAGGTGCATATGGTAGCCATGACTTCCTTCCAGTCCTTCAGATCCGCATTATGCACAACATCCCAAAGGTTCTTGCCGACAACGGAAGCCAGAAGTCGCAAATAGTTCGGACCATCTGAGCGTTGCTTGAAGTAAGCAGCTTGAGCTTTGGCGATGCTCTTCTCGCCTCCACAGATGGCAATCATAAAGGCGTCCGACAGCCTGTCCTCCTTGAGAGCAACGTCTAGCGCAGCATCGAAGTTGCCTAACATGAGAGCACGAGTAATCTTCTTGTCTGCATCCGATTCAGATCCAGTGTAGATCTGGAACGGGTTGTTGGTCTTGACACCCTTCGATGCGGCCAGGTCCGAAAGGATATTATCCCCGGCACCGCCTCCATCAAAAAACGAGGCACCTTCGTCGGCCGTCCCTTTCTTCTCAGCCGACTCATCTTTGGCCGCTTCGGCCGGTTCATAGTCCTTCTGATCGGAAAAACCAAGGTAGTCCACGAGTTTCCGGCGAGGATTCTCCGAGATCAATGTCTCAATGACCGTCCAGTCTGCCTTCTCTTCCTCGGTAGCCGCCTTGGAGATCTTCTCCTCGCAGAGAGAGGCAAGATTGCCCTCTTCCAGCTTCTTGTTGAAGGCTTCGCTAGCCTCTCCAATCTCAGAGTCAACGGCGAACGTCGATATGCTGATCCTCGACTTCTTATCCTTGGTAATACCGAACCGCACCAACTTGCCACCGAAACCGAACGATACACCAGCCCGTCGTTTGAGCCACTTGGGAGGATTTGGAAGGGAGAAGGAGGCGCCTTGGGGTTCCACATGAGTCTTTGAGAAGAAGTCCTCGCCGTCCAATGCTTGAGACGTCGACTTCGCCTGGTCTGCAGCGCCGCCGGTGTTTTGTAGCGTCTGGATAGCAATCTTGCCATCGAACGAGGCGGTGGCCAGTAGATTCGGGTTGGACGGATTGAACCTGGTCAGGAAGGTCCAGTTGGTGACGACAGGAAACTCTCCAAGCGACTCGCCAGTGTGCGGGTTCCACGCAATGGTCCGGTTATCCTTACCGCAAGAAATCAATATGTCGCTATCTTGTGTACACCAAGAGAGCGACAACACGCCTTGATCATGACCTTGCAGTGTCTTCTCGGGGGCGTTGGAGTTCCTAAGATCCCAAACCAGGACAAGCGGACTCTGATCAGTAGGTACCGCAGTAATCAGCCTTGTAGGCAGATCAGGATCCCAAGACACCGCGCTGACGGTCTTCCTGCCATAGTTGTTTAGAGTGAGGTTCTCCTTCTTCCCCTTCACATCCCAGACAGTAACGAAGCCCCCACTGCTTCCCGTAGCGAGGATATGCGCAACCCTCTTATTCCAGTCCAACGACGTGTACTCATCCGGATTCGCTCCAGCCTTGCCCAGTCGGAAAGACTTGCCCGGATCCTCAAGATCGTGGATGTACAGCTCCCCTTTGGCACCAGCCGAGGCGAGGATGTTGGGGCGGAAGGGGTTGAATTGGATGGCTTGGATGGGACCAGTGTGCTTGTCGATCTCTTCAATGCGAGCCTCGCTGCTTCAATTTCAGTGTTCTGCTTCCGTGGGTGCTGGTAGGGAGTGTCCTGACCTCTCGCCTGCCCGCAACTTCTCCGCATCCCAGAGTACTAATGCGCCACTATCCAGAGCACCCGCTATTATTCCCTTGGGATACTTCTCGCTCGGCAGACTCCAAGCAATATCATTGAACCTGACGATACTCTCAGCCCAATCCCACACGATCTATTACTCCATATCTCCAACCACAACATACCTCGAATCGACGCTAACAGACGCAACTGGCTGAAGCTCAATATCCTGGCTAGAGTTGTCGAGGTCAAGTTCCCAAAGCTCCAACGACGTCTCGTTCGAGAAATCCGCATCCACAGCCCCGGCCTTCGTTCCCGTAGCAATCAATGGCGCCGACGGGCCAGGCGACCACGCAAAGGTGGCCGTTCGGGGGATCTCCCTTAGGCGGACCATAGTGGGCGGTGACGGCGGTGTGGTAAGTTCCCCGATGGGCCGGTGTGCAACCGAGAGGAATAAAGAAAGGGGAGATGGGGAGAGGTGAAAGGTGAGCAAAGGGTTGAAGAGGCAACTTTCGACCAGCCTCGAGCTTCTGCGTGGGAAGGTACCGCGGAACGTGTCTGAATTTCGAACTCGAGCTGTAGCTACCTGTCCTAACCACCGTCATAGGGGACGGCTTGGCATGGTGGGTCGGAATATCCGCATCACGTGGCTGCCTGCCAGATTCTCCAATCAAGAACCGCAGACCGCATTCATTATCCAGATTTAGTCTACAAGTATACGAGAAGTTCAAACAATACACTGGAAGATAGATACACGGACTGTTGAAATGGCGGATTCCTCCCGACTCAAAGCGACCGTCTTCGTAGGCGGCCTCGACATGGCCGTCACCCAGCAAACCCTCTACCACGCGTTCCTCCCCTTTGGCGACATCGTCGAGGTTAACCTACCCAAGCCGGAATTGCCGTCGTCAAAGGAGCCGCATAGGGGCTATGGCTACGTTGAATTTGAGCATGCCGAGGATGCGAGAGATGCCATCGACAACATGGATCGGAGTGAAATGTACGGACATGTGATCAAGGTTGCGCAGGCGAAGCCGCAGAAGGATCAGACTGAGGGGTTGGGGAGTAAGACGGCGATCTGGGAGCAGGTGAGAGATATTGTTGGGGCTGAGGTTTTGTTGCATGTACTGATTTTGTGCAGGAAGGATGGCTGGCGAAGCATGCTGTGAGCGAGGAGGATAGACAAGCTGCAGGGAATGCAGAAGCACCTTCGGACCAACGCCCAATGGATCCTATGCAGGGACTTGAAGGTCTAGATGAAGCGGGACCCAAGCCGGCTTGAGCTGTTTGATCTTAGGTGGAGTGTCTGAATCATAAAACAGACTGTGAGGCCCCCAAGAAGATGATTCGAGCCTGGGAGGGCTTCAATGAGACAGCTTTCCGGCCCTCAGCTTCAGAACCATTACTGCCCCATTCGACAGGAACAGATCCATGATAGGATAAGCAGAGGTCACGCAAAGGAAATCAGCCAGATGCAAGAACGCATCCTGATTTCTCAACTGGCATCCGACGATAAAACCAATTCTCGAATATACGGAAGCAGTAGTAGCAGCGACAGCGGTAGGAAACTCGTCGATGCGACAGCTACAGATGCATTTAGCATAGGCGTAGGAAACTCCTCTCGATGTATACATCTAGCCATTCCAGCCCCTTTCTGCCCCTTGTGACCAATCCTACTGTACATGGTATGCCAACCCTCTTACTCGTTGCCACCCTGCCTCTTAAGACGGAGCGTCTTATCCACCATGAGTTTCCGGACCAGGGAGAAGATGGCGAAGCACACGGCAGCGCTGTTTTGGGGTTTGGACATTAGCGACCCAAGTTCTGGCATCGGGTGAGGGGTATCTTACGCGAGGACGAATACTATCATCATGTCAGCCCAATTGCTTCTACAACTACAAAGAAAGGGGCAAGGGACTTACGGAGGGGATAAATTTCAGCAGGGATCCTCTTCAGCGTGCGCAGACGCTGGGAAATGGTATGAGCTGTATCATTCATCAATCGCGACTTTCCACTTTCCAATTGACACTCCGAGCATACCGGTTTGCTCCTCTTTCTGCGGCCAATTAGCAAGTATTCGAGTATATAGAGCGGTCAGCGACACTCACAGGCACAGGCCTCATCATCCGCACCGTCTGGCGCATCCACATCTGCGGCGACTGACGCATCAACAGCTGCGGGGAGCGGCGCATGAACAGCATGCGGGTAGGCTGCATGGCCAGAGCCCTCGAAGCCTTGAACATCTTGGTTATGATTGAGAGAAAGGAAATCCGGTAAAGGCGGAGTGGAGAGGTGCGGACGCAAAGAGACGGTGGTGGGACGGGCAATGAGGTGCTACAACAAGCTTGACGTTTGAGGTGAGGTTGCAAGCTTGCTCGACAAGCGAACCAGCGTCCACTCCGGAAAATGCCGAGCCCTGGTTGGACAAAGCGCCGCATCAGATCGAACCACGGCTGCTCAACATCGTTCGTCACCACTACATTGCACCCTCTAAAACCACCACCACTCCGCATCCAAGCGCATATCGATCGCAATCATGTCTGACGAGGAAGTAGAGACCAAGCCCTTCAAGTTCGTCACTGGTGAGCTCCTCCCTCCTCCCTCGTTCCACGCATAGAAGCTTGCTAACCTCTCTCTTCCTCACAGCCGGTACGTCCTTCACCCCCACATGCAGCCCTCTGCCTCCATCGCCGCGCACCCTTCCACCCCTAGAATACGATATACCGCCTCCCCGAAAGACAATTGGCAGCTAACCCGTGACCCTCCGCGTCCGCACAGGCTTCGACGCCCGCTTCCCCAACCAGAACCAGACCAAGCATTGCTGGCAGAACTACGTCGACTACCACAAGTGCATCCTAGCCAAGGGCGAGGACTTTGCCCCTTGCCGCCAGGTAAGCTTCCTAGGAGTGGAATTGACTTGTTTGAGAGTGGTGATTGATGGTGGGGTCCCTAGTTCCTTTTGGCTTATCGCTCCTTGTGCCCGAGTGCGTGGACCCAGCGATGGGATGACCAGCGCGGTAAGCTTCCTTTTCGTGTGAATGAGCTGTGTGGGGGATGTCTAATGCGGAAAATAGAGGCGGGTAACTTCCCTTGCAAGCTCGACCAATAGATAGCATCATGAGCACATTGCAAGTGCCGGAAGAAGCGGTATGACGCTCCCTTTGGAGCAGCGGGAATCAGCATGCCATTTGGAATCAGATCAAGTATCAAGCATTGTGGAAACAATTGTACAGTAGCGCTAGGCAAGGCAAATACAGCACTCTGATCCCATTAACCTCTTGGTCCGAAGTATGCCCTGATAATACCGAGATTGATAAATATTATACTGTGTATCATCTCTACGTGAACACAGCTTCCGCATGCGGGTCCCCCAATTCGATAATTCGAAAAAAAAACACCACACAACCCTGCCCACTTCACGCCATCAAGAATCCCACCATAACCATTCCCATTGCCACATCTCATTACAGTTCATTAATATCCCCAAGTCCCCTCATACACCCTTCAATCGTGCAAATCCTATAGCAAAATTCCCACCCCAATACATCGCTAACGACAGTATCGCATATCAACGCCATCCAAAACAACCGCAATCGTCAAGATATCCAATAGGTATCGTGCAACCAATCCAGACAATTCAAAAGAAAGAGAGAGAATGCTGCCAAAAGGAGGAAGAAAACGGGGCATCCCACCCATCACCAGCCACCGTTCTCCTCTCGAACCCCCCCATCAAGTCATGACCCATCCAGACCCATCCCAAGGGCGATTACCCTCCCAAATCGCTCCCCAGCAAAAACACCCTAAATACGCATATAATTCGTCGGCGTAGCCGCAGCCTGATAGTTCTGCGCAGGCGGCAAGTGCGGGAGACGAGCTATTCGCGACTCTTAGCATCGATCCTTGCGAGAGACAAGCAACGAGCAGCGGACGAGCAGGCACTACCAGACGAGATAAGTAAAAGAGAGGGCAACTAACGCTCTCGGAACCAGTTGATGATCCTCCTGTTCCTTTCTCCGGCGCCGGCGGCTTCGAGCTGCACGCTTCGGTCGTAAAGCTCCTGATGGATGTTAGTCATCTTTACTCTTCAACCCTCTCCTTCAAACATCCGCAACGGGAGCCAGATGGAAAAAGAAATGGGGAGAGGCGAAACGTACATCATCATCCTTCAAAATCTTCACATCCAGTATCAACGATTTAACTTCGTCGTTCTTCCCCATCGGCGGATACGGCGTCCCTTGCGCCCTCTGCACGCCAATAATCACCTCGCCCATAATCTCAAACTTCTTCCAATTGATCCTCTCCTTGCCCTGCACTCCTCCCGGAGGTGCCTCTTTTGAATCTCTATTCCCCGGTGCGCTTTGGAAAACACTCACGCCAGGGTGCGGATTGAACGCCGGTGCTAATCGCCTGTCACCCACGAATGTCGAGTTGCCTTCAGAGGCGGATACGAGGTCGCGACGATGTAAGGGGATGTACGGGATCCGTTCGCCAGAGCTGTTCTCCCAGGCGAGGCGGTAGGCGAAGTGGGACTTCTGGGTGCCCATGAGAATCTCCAGTTTCATGAAGTCTCTCGCTGTGCTTTGCGGGACCAGTTCTCGTGTTGCTACTAGTCGGTGTACGGCGGTGCCGTGGATCCCTGCCATTACGGCTCCGAGGCCGTTGTAGTTGTTGAGTTGGCGCAGGGCACGGGCGATTCTCATCCACTTCTCCAGCATCAAGGCGCGGTGTTTAGGCTTATCCCTGAGCAGGATATAGTTCGTCACCAAGTAAGCGACGTGGTTGAAATGATCGATCATGCGATTGACATTCTCGAGACTCTTGCATTTCTTCTTCTCCTCTGCGTTCATGCTGACGTGACGGACGAGGTCGCGAGGACGAATGGACGAGAACATGATCCAGTCAATTCTAGTCAACTCCTTCGCGATGGCGTCGTCCGACTCTGCCATAAGTTGATGCCACTGGATCTTGGAGAGAGGCTTGGTCGGGTTCGGCACAAGCATCTTGGCCACCTTTTCATTCCTTTCGACTTGGTTGAGCAGAGTCTGGGCTGAGCTTGCCGTGGAAGTGGCCGTAGACCGTGATGCTCCTGTCATCGTCGTTCTCATGCTTGGTGCGATCGACAGCCGATTATCGGTCACGGAAAGATGACCAATCGCCCTCGAGAACTCGTCATCTTCGGAGTCCTCATCCAGAACGTTATGGAAACTGGGGATCTTGTTCAGCTCCTCCCTTTGCCGGTCGCTGCACGCCCATTCCGTGTCGTCATCTTCTGTTACAGCTTCCAGGTCGTGTATCATCTCCCTCGCTGCCACAGCGAACTCCCGATTTCCGGTAAGGCTCGAGACAAACCGGCGAATCATCCTCCTGCTGGTCGGGTATGCGAAATCGCCAGGGTAGTAACTGACCCATTGTTGGAGGACAGTGAGGTATCGCAGTTGGGCTATTATGCGTATTACTCGCGGATTCGTATCTTCGTTTAATGCATCAAAACGCTTGAAAATCGCTTCCAGCAATTGGCCCGGTGTTGCAAATTTCCGGTACAGTGCGAGAAAAATGGATACAAACTTGGAATCATTCTTCGATAACGGTTGGGCTAGCAATCGGTCAACCAGTTGGTTAAATGTATATCCGTTCTCGTCGGAGGGTTCCCGAGAAACTATGCTCTGACCACCGTCGGACGCAGGACTATCCGAGTCGTTGGAATCATACCCAGGAGATTCCTCTAAGTCGAGGAATGTGTGGCCTGGAGTTTCACTTGATTTATACCTGTGGCCTCTGGCTTCTGAAGAACCCGGTCGACGCCGCGAAAGTGAGAATTCGGAGTTGGCCCGCTCGTGTTTCCGGGCAGCCCACTCGTCTTTGCGCGCAACATGGCGCACAGCAGAAGAACTGGCACGCGGTCGTGCCATTGATGCCTGTGATCGGGCTATCACAATAGTCAGCGATGGGCAAGGTCAAAGGAGCAGAAACTTAATCGTCCTTGACATAGCGCACGAGGCTACAGTTGTAGACATACATGACCATCTTGCCGAATACGAGCGCTACAGACGGGGAAGCCACTTACGTCTTTTCGCTGCTATTGCATCACGCGTTATGACAGCGAGGCACCGTTTATCCACGTCTGGAGTAGCCTCGGAGGTCTGGAAAGCCTTGATATCTCCGAGAAAAGACTTCGCCTTTTCTTCGACCACTGCAGGGTCGACATCGCGATGTGCCGGATGCTGGTCGCACTTTGTCGCCACAAGAACGAAAGGCATCGAATTCTTCGACAATACGCCTGTTCGCTTTGGTCAGCTAACTATGCGTGCCAGTGTGCGTTCGCATCAGTGATACTGACTCAGCATCTCTGGTACCCTCACGAGACTTTCCTGATCAGTGACATCATATATCGTAACGACTCCGTCAATTCGCGGTGTTGCATAGTCCGCAACTGTCTCTGGCCACTTTACGTGGTTGAGCTCTCCAATGTGGATGTCGTTGAAGCCTATCTCTAGGAACCGCACAACATAGTATCCTTCGTCAATTCTCATCTTTCGCGAAGATATAGCCGAAGTGATCGGTTGGGGCAGATTCAAAGCTCTTCGAATGAACATTGACTTTCCCGTGCCACGGGCACCGATAACAGCTATGTTCAAGTCCTGCATGGTTGAGACAGAATCGCTCATTCCGGACTACGTTCGCGGTTGTGTCAGCATGTTGCTCGGAAGATAGATGGTACCAGCACCTACCGCAACAGATTGCACAGGTGATTTCGGACTGGGAACCGTCTCTGAGGGTCCAGGTTGGCGATTCTTGACAAAGGTAGGCGACAGAGGTCCTTCGGTGTCTGACGAGCCATCCACTGAGCTTGACGATGGCTCCCTAGCCGCAGACGGCCCAGATTCGGGAAAGTTGAAGCGCTGGAAGAAAGGGTCTTCCGCAATCTCCTCATCTTCTGGAAGCTCTGTAGCTGGTATACCGGCCATGTGTTCGGCCGCGTCGAGGCGGTTTCTGTGAACCAACGGCGCCGAATATGCGCGTGACTTGAGGCCACTCGGTCGTTGTGATGCTGCGTCCGCGGTCGACGCCGCAGCGCTCTCTCTTCGCGGAGGATGCATGTGCTGAGCACTCTTCGTCTTGTCGGTCGGGTTCGATGAGGCGAGATCCGAGGACCGAGTCCGCGGGCTCTGGAATGACATACCGGCAGAGCAAGCGGCCCTGCCGGTGGCTGGCATCTGGTGGCAAGCTCAGAAGGGGGTAGGGGGCCGCTCAGACAGGCAGCAGACCTCAGACGAGAGTCTGTACGACGTGGTGGAGGTGAGCTTGTGACAGCGTGCCGCTGGCTGCAATTCCGAGCGGAGCCTTGCTGCCAGACATTGGAGGATTGCGGCGGACGTCGGAGGGAGCGCGAGCAAGGCGACAGAAGGAGCAGTCGAAAGGGCTGGGGTTGCTGTGGTGCAGCAAGTGACAGCAATTCCGCCGTCGTCGAAACGTGGGGAAGAGTGGTGGGAGCGGTGGTTGACGGAGAGGCGTGAGGGCCCAACGGGGTTTAGCGGAGCTCCGCGGCCAATTGCGACTCGACGACAGCAAGCACCTCCCAAGCACAGCGCCCGCAGAGTTGTGACAGACAGCCACAGACGACGCCAACGAAACTTATTTTTGCTCAATACTCCGTACTATCACCGTCCTTATCAGCTTGTGTAAATGTATACTTGTCTTGAAGCACGTTTCGACAGCTATTCGGTCTGCTGGGCTATCTATTTGTGTTGCTAGCGCGCTACCATGGCTTCTCCAGGTAAAAGTCCTGTACCCCTCAATGCCGGCACCTAAGTCCCATATTAGGGGGCATATTGAAAACTATCGAGCTCTGGGCTTCCCTAGGGTCGAGTGGATATACAGGGCGCACGTATAAATAATAATGCCCTCGGTGTTCAGCCAATGGAAAGGCGTCGAAAACATAGCATCGACAAGGCGGCTATAACCGCGTGCACATGGACGGGGAGGAGTCTGCAACCGCTCTGAACCCTGCTCGCCATGCCCCAACAACATCTTCGCTGCTTGCGCTTTTCTTAGACGGTGTTACATTGTACCACCCAGGCTATAGGCGGGCGCCCTGAAGGGTCATGTTGTGACCTTTCTCGCATGCACTTCTGATTTCACATAAGTGCCAAGGCAGAGGAAGCATAGCTAGCCTTCTGCGACAACTTCACGCAAAGACAGTAAGATATCAAACACATACAGAGGCAGTGTTTTCTCATCTTCAAGAGCCCTTGACCGCCGGACGTGATACCCAGGTAGGAATATCGTCTTATCACGTGATGAGCCAATTCACCGCAGCACGAGGTTCCAGCCAAGACATCGGTCTGAACCCTTTCAGTGGGAGTTTGGAGGCCGTAGGGTCAACAATCATTAGGTATGGAATCGTGACAATCGCAATTTACACACTTGCAAACTGCGTAGAATGTATAACAGTCAAACACCGCGGAAGCTCAGTACACACTGATGATATACGTCCAGTACTTTAATAGCGAAGCTATCTATTAAGCAATACTCATTATACAGTAAAGATATCTCGTAAACCAAAGCAGCATTTCGAGAAAGAAAAGAATCCACCGTACCCTCAAGCGATCCTTCAATCACCATGCATCGCCTTGGTGCCAAAATCCCATCTCCGCATCTTGCTATCCACAGGACTGCAGAACAGCATTACATAACTAGAGTTAACGAATTACCTTCAAGGAAGAAGAATGTCTAGTTCCATCGTCCGATTGAGCCGCTTTCAGTGAAATCCAATATACCGTAGAGTCCAAAAATACGCTATCCTTTCGTTCTTGCAGTTGCCCCCACTAGAGAACTTCTTGACATTCCATTCACCGCCCGGTATTGCGTGAATTGAATAAGCGCACAGTCGAGCCTTCGTGTTTTGAACCCCTATTCCCCTGTCCGCCTGCGGAACCCTGGTTTACGTTGAATCCACGTCAATCGTCCAACATAAGGGCTCCAAAACATGCCCTTCTTATGGGCCGTGCCCAGTTTGCGAAGGGATTCGAAGCATTTTATCAAACCCATGATGACGCTTTGGTACTTCCTGATGTTGCGTGCTATCGTCTTTATGATCTCCACGAGCTTCTTGCCGTAATCACAGAAGGGTCGATGCCGAAGAAGGGAGAGTTGGAGGCGAGCATGGAGGAAGCATGGGAACATCCAGTCGCGCCACGGTTCCAATGAGAGTGACCGTGGGATTGCGAAGACCAGGATGTAGAGGAAGGGATAACTCGCGAGGATGCACATGATTAGGGCATAAAGCTCCGGGGCGGAGACCCGGTGCCCCTGGCGGTCCAAGCGTGGTTGGGTTGGCTTGATGAGGATAGGCCTGGAAGCAGGTGGTCGGGTTGACTTGTTGTCGATAGGAATGGCCCTAATGGGAAGGACAAGTTGGTTTGACCAGGTGTTGGTAGACTTGATCTCCGTCTGGGTGCGCCCGATATCAGCTGGAAGACGGGGAGGCAGATTCGCGAAGAACATCTTGTCGAGTTGGGTAGTCGCAGAGATAGAAGAGTGGAAGATTGTAAGTGGGACGGAAGCAAATATGTTTTGTGAACCTCAAAGCGGAACCCCAGGGTTCAAGTTACTTCGTGCACAGCGGTGTAAGGGGAGCTGTAGATTCAGGAATGCGGATTCGTCATTCACTCTGGCCCAGCCCGTATCGCGATGACCCACTAGTGCCCACGAGCTTGGCTTTAAAGGTATGCTCGTGTCGACACTCAGATGGCCCGATGGCCGAATAATGGCCGTTGTCTCTACGAACAGGTGACCACTTAATTCACAACTATGATAACGCCAACACTGTTAACGAAGGGCAGCTATACGTCAGTGGGTATATTCTTCTGAATGTCAGAAGTGGATATTTCTACAATATAAGGGTTCCTGAGTTGACAGATGGCTTGCGCTCTGTGTCGATACACATCTCGATGCGCATGCATTTCTAAACCCCAAGCCCTAAGTTGGTTAGAGACTGCACCCGACGTCAAGGCCGGTTTCATACTATCAGCGGGCCTGCCCGATTTCCGACCGGTTAGCGGATCGATATCCCCGCGCTTTTGATGTCATATTCACATGTACAGCAAGCGAATTTGAAATCATAGCGGCGCGGAATAAAGATAGCATCTCAATCTTCACAGATTAGTTTGCTGGCGCTTTCCTAACGTCGGATTCTCGTGAAAGGTTGCTCTCCCGTTTGCTCATCACGTCATGCGTCACTGTCCACGCACCAGTTGAATACTCGTGGCAGTTGGCTTCCGTCACTGCGCTCCAACACTTCAATAGTGCACGCTTGCTGCCACCAAACCCGTGCTAAATCTCCTCTTCTTACTACTCTCCGCCTACTCCTCTTCACTCACGTACACTACCCCCCTCTCCCTCCCTCTACCCCTCTTCCCAACGCCCCTTTTACACTCACGCTCTCTTCTAGCTATCCCTCCGCATCCAGCATGCCTACAAATCAAGAAGCAAAGGAAGTAGCAGAGCACATAGCATCCCGCCTACACCAGCATAACACCAACAGCGGAAATCCGCAACAAAGCAGCATTCCCCACCTCGTGCTCGAGATCGCTGTCGAGTCGCTCAAGATCCATAGACTGCATTTAGAGGAACGGGTGAGGCAGTCTCGAGCAGCTATGCCGAAGAAGAGCGATTCCCGGAAAGGTATGAACCGTGCTGAGAGTGAGCGTCGCGGGCATGGACACCGCGAGCGGGATTCACAACAACGGCGTCACAGCTCTTCAGTTCAGGGAGAGCCAGTTCATCGTTTGCACACACCGAGTCCCCGTGCGGGAAGAGTAGAAGTGCCTAACCCTCCTTCCAACACACCAGTTCCCGCGTCTCCACCAGGAGAGAGGCGAAAGCGAAGAAGACGCATGTCCCCCATCGGTAATCCGCCCACGTACCAGCCCAAAATGGGCTTGACGCTAGGCTTCGGGACGCTTGTACGAAATTGCATCGAGTACGAAGCCAGACGGATAGGTAAAGAGCAGCGCAGGAAAGAGAGGCGGGGAAGGCGTGATGAGCGAACGAGAAAGCCCAGCGAGAGAGAAACGCAGGAGGAGCTGGAAAAGGCGCATGGCTCGGTTGCACAGGCTACGGGACATGAGCCTCGACGTTCCTCTGACCCGCCAACCTCAGGTAGTAGGTCCAGGAGACTGGGTGCCAATCGTTTCAGACCTAATGGCAAGAGTGCTCCGCCTGTTGGACCGGGAGGGAAGTATCGTCCAGCTCAGTTATATTACGGTCGACGAGATAGCCCTCATCAGGTGGAAAGCTCGCGGCAACCCAGTGCTGGCGAGAATCCTCGACGAGGGAGTAGACGGACTCCTAATCAAAGTACTGGTGGAAGAAATGTCAGTCCAGCAGACGGTGAACGGGGTATCTCTTCCAGAGGTAGAGACACTGAACGATGCAGCGGCTTTAGGGAATCCTTGCCACATACTCCTACTCACAGTACAAGGACCTCGAACAGCAACAGAAACGTTAGCTTCGGCGAAAATTGCCCCCCGAATTCGCAACGGATGAGCAGGTACGCTGGAAGCCCTTCAGGTAATCCACATGGACGGCGAAATGACACTGAAACTCATTCAGTCCGCTCAACCCAATCTGACGTCCCGTCGTCACCGAAGAGCAGCACAGCAGTCGTCGGCTACGAGCGCAACCCGCAAGGCAATCGAGTCGAGCAAATGGAGAGGGAGCAGGCGGGAAGTGCTCGAAGAGGGCAATCGGCCGCTGGTCCATCAATCGCTCCGGGGAGTAGCGGAGTGGGCCGTGGTGAGCCTAGTTGGAATTTTGACAACGTAGATTAAGTGGTGTGGGAAGCGGTGAGGAGAGTTACCTACATACCCTAGGGTAGTGGTGGTGTTTCGGGTAGCGCTCCATAGATGTAGTCTGATATGGCTTAGAACAAGTATCGTAGCAACTGTTCTGTCTACGTAAGCCATCAATGTGCGAGTGGGGTTGAACAGAACTTTCGCACTGTTTGTGTTGTATCCTACTGATACTCGCCAACCCTTGGGAACTCAGCCCCTATTCGATGACGTAAGCAATCACATGCGTCTATTAGCATCACATCCACAATCCGCATCCTGTTCTACAAAGCCCGTCAGCCTGCACAGAAATGGAAACACCTGGGACTTCGGCACCATAAATCCAGGTATAAGAGCAACTTAGACCACAGGTGTGGTAGCATGCATCCGCCACCAACTTTACTGTTACACCCCAGCTGTGCCTGCGCCACATCTCAATCAGCCACTCCACCAACTGTGCCACTCAACAACTCTTTCCAGCAGGCGCAGGCGGACACAATCCAACCCTCTTGTCCATCTCCCTTTCAACAGCATCCAAAAATAGCTATTCCCAGGTCGAAAGCTGGATGAAATCAGTCCCACTATAGTAGGTGGTTAGGACACCTGGCCATAAAACGTGTCGATCATCGATCACCTCCATTTTGCGTCTGCCTGGGTCCTGGATGAAAGAGTCGACGCCATCCCGCTGAAGGTTCTGATCGACGTGCCGTTGTTATTACGGGCCGTGGTTGCAGTGGGAGATGGTGATCAGATCTGGTGGGGAGTCGATCTGATTGCCAGTGGAGGTTCGCGGTGCTTGCAGGGGGATCTAATACGGTACATCTCGGGTTCAAGAGTGCATCGAAACACGAGTGGAAACAAGTTGTCAGGCGCAGAAACATGAAAGGGGTGGACAAGAATACAGTGCGGTATGCCTCAAACCCAGCCACATGCAGGCAACATATTGAACTCCTCGATCCCTTCCCCCTCTCGCATCCAACAGTGAATAGGTAGACTACCTAGGTAGTCTACATACGTCAGTACAAAAAACCCTGCCCACCTCCCCCGCAAAACCGGGTTGGTAATATCGCCCGTACCCATCTATAGTAATACTATAGCAATATGGCATCTCCCGTGTACACATGGACACACCTCTCCGGGCACGCTCCAAAAACCCTGGGAACGCGGAACCCCGCCGCGCCAAACACAGCAGCGATCGTCGGCGTCATCTGCATAGCACTGCAGACAGACTGCAGCGAGACACAAGATATCGGACCGGCTCGGCTCGACTTACCTCCAAAAGCAAGATCAGCAGCATGCCATGGCACGTACAGAGTGTTGCATCTTTTCACGTCCGAATGAACACCCCCTTGCACTTCCTCTGTACTGCTGTTTTCCACATCTAATTTAAACAGCTAGCAGGGCAGCAATATAGGAGGTCCTGTAATTAGCTTTATAGTGTGCCTAAGTTATACGTATAATAGTATGTTTAAAAAGAAAATTTCACCTGTCGCATTATTAAGTCGTAGCTAGTTAGCTTGTGCCGAGTAGGTTATTCTACCTACAGAGGAATTGCAGCCGGATGTTCAGTCGGACGTGGAAAGCCGCAATACATGAGAGGCGCAAGTTCGATAGGACAAGACGTGTTCAAGCCACGTTCGAGTGAGTCTCCGCTCCAAAGATGGGGACTGGGAGTGCAGTTTCGGCCCCTCTACTCCGTCCGTACTCTGCGCAGAACTGCATACCAAGTACTAAATACTTCAAGTACGTGTAGACACTGACGTATAATTCCGTCTTCGAATCGAAAACCGTAGTGATTACATATATATGCGCGTAGATGCAAATATAAAATGCAGATCTACGCTGCTCCTGGATTGCAATCCCATCTTCCCCCAACCATCGAAATGCTGCTGGGTATCATATTGTATACAATAAATGCACGTGTACCGACCTGACCGTTCCCCCCAGGTCCCCATCCCATCCATCCCCCCACAACCAGCCCAACCGCAGAAGATGCAGTACACCGCCAACGCCGTTGCTAAATTCCCTACACAGGTATCCTCGCCGAAGCGAGATGAAAACCATACTACATTCCCTAGCTGTGAAGCTTCCCTCTCTAGACGAAGGAGACGGAGACGAAAGGAGTAAAAAGAAGATGTAGAAGTCGATTTTACAGACCCAATGCAACAGACCACACTGGCGACTCCATTAAAAACTATCGTCGCTCCAGCCCGCCTCATCACTCGCCTCAGCCGAGGTAGTCGAGGACCCCTTGCTTCCCGGCAGCGGGCCTAGCGTCCACCTCCAATCTCTCCTGCGTTTCCGGCGGCCCGCAACCGGAGTCTCGGGCGCAGAGTCGCTGTCTGATTCCGAAGAGTCGCGCTTGTCGCCCGCGCGTGGCGCTCTTGCGGATGGAGAGGTGTCACGGGAGGAAGAGGTGGGGTGTTCGGAGGATCCCGATGGGGACGCTGAGGCTGAGCCGGATGATGACGAGGAGGTGGAGGCTGTGCGGACGGAAAGGGAGATGGTGGATGATTTGGAGTCGGCCGACGATGTGGTTTCTATGGAGGCGATGGTGGAGGCTGAGCTACTGGCCGAGGACTGCAGATCCGAGTGGGCCAGGGTGTACTTTGTTGTCTTGATTTCCTCCTCTAGTGGTGTGCGGAAGGTGACTCTCTTCTCTGCTGGGAAGAAGGGTCGGCCGGGCGCCATCTTGCGTGTTATTAGCTGTCGTGCAGGGCTGTTGGTGAGGATGGAGTTGAGGTTGTGGGGCTGCGTGTAGGGTATGCGTATTGTAGCCGACTCGTTCGAGGACGACGTGACTGCGGAGGAGAGTGTAGAGGCCGAGTTGGGTGTAGAGGAGCTCGGCGGGTTCGAGTTGGAGACTCTTGAGATGGAGCCGTCTATGGAGAGACCCAATCGCGGTCTTTGCGGGCGCTCAGTAGCTGGCGCAGCAGACGCAGGAGCCTCATAAGCGTTGGAGAAGGTGTTGCGAACCGTGGGCGAGACAGCGCTGAGGGTGTCGAGGCGGAGGCTGGATCCCTTGCCGAAGGTGCGTATTTGCTGGGTGTTGATGTGAAGCTTGGGACGCTGTGGAAGGTGGACGGAGTCCTGCGGTCGACGGGAAGGCTGCCGCTGAGGTATTATTGAGAGGGCGGAGGTCATTGTGGAGGAGGGGTCATGGGACGGGGCATATGACGGCGACATCGAGTGTGATAGTGTCGAGAGCATCATGCGGAAGGGGGAGGTCTGCGACGGACCAGCAAGCAGCGGTGACCGTCTGTTGTGCCCAGAGGGGAGCGGGCGGGACGCTGATAAGAGGGGAGCAGTGCTCGTTTTGCGTTCGTATTGCTGCTGACAGCTGGACTGGGGGGTGGAGGGGAGGGTGTTCTAGGGACGGCTCTCAAGCCTTAAGCGGGTACGTATACGCAGGTCAAGCGATCAGCTCTTCACAAGGCGATCGGGGGAGAGATGAGAGATATATCGCCGGGCGCATCGCGAGCGAGAGAATCGCAGGAGTGCGGCGCCAGAGCGGCGGGTCCTGGCGCGTCCATGGTTGGCCGTACAGAGCAGTCTTCATGTTGGCGGAGAGTGGAAGGGTTTGGTGAGTGAGCGGGCGCATATTGGGTACGGCGCTTGACCGAAACGGACACACCAGGGGATATTTTTGGATGGCTATAATTGGTGTGGAGTGGCAAATGTCCCGCCTAGCACGCGTAGGCTGGGAGGTTACGCAGTGAATTGGATGGACAGTGCTGCTGGGGGAGCCGCCCGTGCGCTGCCTTGCCGGACTACGCCGTATGGCCAAATCCAATAGGTACCTGGGCTGGTTGAGTAGGGAGTGGTCAGGGAGAGCGGCCTGGACACAGGAAACAGTTTCGAAACGTAAAGCAGAATTGTGGATGCTGGATTCTGGAAGGACGAGAAGCTTCATGCGCGAGTCGTGGTGGTGCTTTGCTGTGAATTGCTGCAAATGTCTTGGCGTCGGACTGCCTCAAGGAGTGTTTCGCACCACACCCCGTCCTACCTCCGTCTTTGTTCCCACACACTCACCTCCTCCCGCCTCATGGCGCATAGCCGCCGGCGAGAGTACAGTACTGCCGCTGTAGTACGTTGAAATCCTCCCGTCTCAACACCCATCTGCAAAGCAGTCACGCTGCCCTCCTTCAGGCGCCGTGCCGCGATGCAGACGACTCGTACGAATGCACCGGCGAGGACCAGGCTTAACCGCCAGCGCGATGCCGTCATCCTCCATTTTGTGAGTGACTTTCCGTGTCAGCATCTTGGACGCCGCGCCGAGCCAAGCATAGCCTCTACTATATACACAGCCGATTGTTGCTTTGTGGACTTGTCCTCAGTCAGCTCTTTCAATCATCAGCAACTCGTCCTCAATCATGAACTAGCTTATTAGAGACGATTGCCGCAGCGTTGCTAACCCGTCCCCTCCGCCGCACAGGACTATGTATGCTCTCGTCCTCGCGCATGACCTCATCTGGCGCAACTCACAGTCAACCCCCGGTAGGACTGCTTCTACGCCTCCGTCTTTGAAAATGAGAATCCGGAGCTGCGATCACTGCCCCTTGCAGTGCAGCAGAAACAAATCGTCGTGACATGTAATTACGAGGCACGGAGACGAGTATGCTCTCTTCCCGTCCTGCCGTCGTCATCGAGATGACGCCCGGCTCCCAGCAAGCTCCGCCGCTGACAAGCGTCCAGGGCTTGTCTAAGCTGCAGCTCATCAAAGATGCGAAGAGAATCTGTCCCGATGTGGTCATTGTCCTTGGCGAAGATCTCACGCGCTTCCGAGATGCCTCCAAGCAGCTCTACCTCTTTCTGAGATCATTCTCCTGGAACCAAAAAGTGGAGAGACTAGGCTTCGATGAGGTAGGCCCTTTCCTCTTTTTCTTCCAAATTCGTCTCAACTCAGTCCTTTCCTTTCCTGAATCCGTACCCCTGTTAAGAGCCATATGGGTAGGTGTTTATGGATGTCTCTGATATTATCGATTACAACCTGGCACTATTGAACCACCATGACCTCGGGAACTCATTCTTCTGTCTCTCCAAAAATGACCCAACCACTGGTTTTCCATTCGATGCGTCTCAGGTCGCCGGCTACACCTACCCAAAACCATCAGACGGGGACGCAGGATCAGGTAAGCTTGCTTCCAGCCCGTGACACTCCAACCATGCGCATGCTTCGCCCTGCTTTGGTCTTCCGGACGCGCGGTCGGAGTTCCCATCAGAGACAAATCGCTTCTGCCTCCCTCCTGGTTAGCCGTTGGATCTTTGCCACGAAGGCATAGCGCATTGCGCCACACTCTTGTCCTGAACGAGGAATGCTGATCGGCGTAGAAAATGTCTCGACCGCCAATGTATTGCGGCTCCGATTGCACCTCGGATCCCACCTTGCCCAGCATCTGCGGGAAGCTCTGCGTGCTCAAAGGGGGTATACTTGCACTGCCGGTGTGTCGACCAATAAACTCCTTTCCAAACTTGTCGGCAACCTCCACAAACCCGACAAACAGACGACGCTTCTACCGCCCTATGAAGATGAAGGCGATGGAGTTGACAACGTCACCTCCTTCATCGACAGCCATGAAGTGGGCAAAATACCTGGGATAGGGTTCAAGCTTGCAGAGAAGCTGCGCAATTTCGTTCTCCAGCCCAAGACAACAGAAGCCGTTGCCGAAAATTGGCACCAACCAAAGCAACCAGTCCTGGTCGGCGAAGTGAAGCGACATCCTGACATGAGCGTTGAGACACTCGAAAGGGTCCTCGGAGGTCCAGGTGTACCTCATGGTAAAGGCACGCGGGTCTGGAACCTCCTCAACGGCTGCGACGATACGCCCGTTGGACACGCGCGAGACGTTCCCCGCCAGATTAGCATCGAAGACAGCTACGGACGGCTGGATTCTGAGACGGAGGTGGTCAAGCAGCTCAAGATTCTATCGGCAAGTCTGCTGCGGCGGATGCATGCTGATCTTACCGTGGCCGAGGAAGAAGGGGCGGATGGGGAAGATGGCGGTACTTATGCAAGAGAGATCATTGCAAAGAAACGCTGGCTTGCTTTCCCCAAAACCATCCGTCTCTCAACTCGTCCGCGGCCACCACGTACTGGTGATGGCACCAGATATCGAGCGCTTCCAAACCGTATATCGCGCTCTGCGCCGATGCCCAACTTTGTATTCAGCCATAAAGAGTCTGTGCCTGCTCTGGCAGAACGACTAACAATGGAAGTACTAGTTCCCTTGTTTCGCAAGCTCCACCCGGAGAAGAAGTGGGATTTGAGCTTGGTGAATGTCGCGGCTACGGATATGCTGGATGCGGCTAGTGAGAAGGGCGGGCCGGGGAGGAATATCAAGGATATGTTTAGGAGGCAGGATGGTGTGCTTAGGCAGTGGAGAGTTGAGGAAAGCAGTGGAAGCACTAACAATAATTATGAAGAGGAAATGATCGAGGGCAGTGTCCCGAAGAAGGAGAAGAATACCCTCCAGTTTGCTAGGACGGGCTCGGAGGATATACCCACACAGTCGCAGGAAGCGATGTATTTCGATGAGTGGGATGACGGGGATGAGGATATGCTGGATGATGATATGTTTAAGTGTGAGCAGTGTGGGAATGCGATGCCACTGTTTGCCATGGCGGCTCATGAACGGTGGCATGACGGACAGTAGTTGGGCCTACATCTCCGCACAATACGCAGATACCCTGTTCGAAATCAAAAAGCAGGGGGCACTATATATCTGCTGGAAGCAAGTATAGCTTGAATAGGAGTTCAGGATCAGGCTAGTTTGATATGTGAGACCAATAAACCCACCTGCATCCATTTCTGTGTACGGTATCTTCACACCATCTCGCAAGTCTTTCCTGATTGGTTCCCGCGGTATGGCTTCCAGAAGGGTGTAAGCGCCTCGGCGGGAACCATGTGAAACGTTCAAAAGTCGTGGATTGACGTACTGTGTAGTCCCGAGCTATTCGCACCTCGTCTCTATCCTGCTTATATGCCAATCTCGCTCTGCGGCGCCGCACTCGGGATACATACAGATGCCAGGCTCCTCAGGGCTTCCGATTAGTCTGCGCGACACGTTCAATGCAAGGAAGGGGTCCGCAAGGAGGCAGCTTGTCAATGCGCAATTGAATGTTGATGTGTGAGCGACACTGACCCATGCTGTGGCTTGGAGAATCAGAAAACTGACAATGAGCAAACAGCATCCGTAATATAGTATTCATTCTCTTCCTGCTCCGCTGGACCCGCAAACTATTCTACCAACTCAAAGGTCGCGGTATCGTCGGCTCTGCCGTCGACCTCTACACATATACCCGTCGCGTCCTCTATGGCATATTCCTCCGGCTTCCTGGCGTGCGCACAAAGGTGCAAACGCAAGTCGCAGAAAGTATCCTGAAACTAGAAAGGAGATTGGTCCCCTCGGGACCTGGGGTTCAGCGAACTACAAGATTGCCTGCGGAAGGATGGACAACGGAACAGGTGCAGAAGGCGCTGAATGATCTGGAGGGAATGGACCATACAAGATGGGAGGATGGGAGGGTTAGCGGCGCGGTGTATCATGGTGGGGAGGATCTATTGAAGTTGCAGACGGAGGCGTTTGGGAAGTTCACGGTGTCGAATCCGATCCATCCGGATGTGTTTCCTGGCGTGAGGAAGATGGAGGCCGAGGTTGTGGCTATGGTAAGGAATCGAACTGGCTGGTGCACAGAGCAATGCTTACTCGTCTAGGTTCTCTCGCTGTTCAACGCTCCAGAAGGCGGAGTCGGCGTCTCTACCAGCGGAGGAACCGAATCTATCCTCATGGCCTGCCTGAGCGCGAGAAACAAGGCATATCAGGAGCGCGGTGTCACTGAGCCGGAGATGATCCTCCCAGAAACCGCGCATACGGCGTTCCGGAAGGCTGGAGAGTACTTCAAGATCAAGATCCATCTTGTCGCCTGCAAGGCCCCGCAGTACAAAGTCCACCTCCCCTCCGTTGCCCGCCTGGTCAATCCCAACACCGTGCTGCTCGTTGGATCTGCCCCGAACTTCCCGCACGGAATCATTGACGACATCTCGGGGCTGTCTCGCATAGCTCACAAGAAGAAGATCCCCCTCCACGTGGACTGCTGTTTGGGCTCCTTCCTCGTTCCTCTCCTAGCCAAGGCTGGCTTCGAATCCGAACCCTTTGATTTCCGCCTCAAGGGCGTTACAAGCATTAGCTGTGACACCCACAAGTATGGCTTCGCTCCCAAGGGCAACAGCACCGTTCTTTACCGCTCCGACGACTTCCGCAAGTACCAGTACTTCATCTCTCCGGATTGGCCCGGAGGCGTTTACGCTTCCCCTAGCATGGCAGGGTCCCGCCCTGGTGCCCTCATCGCCGGATGCTGGGCAAGTCTGGTGAAGCAGGGAGAGAACGGGTATATCGATGCGTGTCACAAGATTGTTGGGACGATGAAGAAGATTGAGACCGCTATCAGGGAGATGCCGGAACTCTGCTCGGATTTGAAGGTCATCGGCCGTCCCTTGGTCTCCGTGGTTGCTTTCCAGTCACATACCCTCGACATCTACGATATCGCCGACGGTATGAGCGAGAAGGGGTGGCATCTCAATGCTCTGCAGTCGCCGCCGGCGATTCACATTGCTGTCACGCTGCCTATTGTGGCGGCTGTAGATCAGCTTATTGCGGATCTGGTGGAGGTTACTGAGGAGGTGAAGGAGCGGGAGAGGAAGAGGATAGCTGAGGGGAAGGGGGCTAAGGGCGCTGTGAAGGGGGATACGGCGGCGTTGTATGGGGTTGCGGGGAGTCTGCCGAATAAGAGTGTCGTAGTGGATTTGGCGAAGGGGTTTTTGGATACATTATATAAAGTATAGTAGCGGGTTGTGGTAGGTCGTGATCGAATGCTAGGTTCTGGTAGTGGTTTGTGATAAAGCGTTCTCGTTTTCTTGCATAAATCTGACAAAATAGGCGCATCCATACGCTTTGCCGTACCTATGTGGATATACAGTCGTCTAGTCCTATCATACAACCCCTGTCCTAGCCGTTATTTTACATGGCAGCCGAAGCCACAGTAGTTGAAGCAGGCAATGTTCCAGGTGTAGTCGATGGTAGCTTCGCTGCAGACTCCTCTAGGGGAAGCTTTCTCCTCGGCCTTTTCAAATCTGCCACTGTAACGCCGTTCACACCCACTTTGGTGAGACCCATGACCGGCGGATCGCCTCTCTTGACAAACTCGTACAACCCTTAGGAAACGTCAGCCAACCTTCCCTCCCTTCCTGCATTCCTCCACATAGCAAAAAGAGGATCTGTACTCACCCGGCAACTTATTCCCCGCCAACCTAAACGCATCCCTCACCACCTGCTCATGCAACTCCCCCTTGATCTCAAAAATAATCTTACTCACCGCCACCCTCGCCGTCCAATGATCAAAGCTACCCTTCCCCTTCCCCATACGACTCTCATTCCCACTCGTATACACGCCTATATTCGCCGCGATCCGCATATACAGTCGAAACTTCATCCCACGCAACCTCTTCTTGATCGTCTCCTCGGCAATCTTGAGCTGCGCCGCGCTGATGCGCCGATCGTGGTCCCGCATCCGCAGCCCGTAGTCCCCCCATACAATCGTCGTGCCGCGCATGCTGCCGCCTGTGGGCACGCGGCAGCGGCCCTTGCGCGATTTGCGGGATTCGCCGGCTTTGGGGGCGAGCCAGTTGAGAAGGGCGGAGGAGGTGGTGAAAAAGCGAGGGACGGAGGGCGAGAGGAATTGGAATTGCGGGAGGAGCGTGGGTTGCGGTGCGACTGTGTGGTTGTGAGATGATGTACTCTTATGTGTTTGGGGCTATTAAAGGTACCTCGTAGTCGCGCCGCTCCTCCTCCTAGCGACAAGGCGCTCAATCGAGCCACCAGGCCTGCCTGTATTCTCGGCGGGGCCATGGCGGAAATGCTGGGTGAGGGACGAGGTTTCGTCTGGGATGCGGACGTCCGCTCTTCTAGCTCTCCTCACAACTTCAAGATTCTTGCCAAGACGTATGGTTGAAGTGTGGCTTGTGCTCAATTGTGGCGCTTGCGCCTGCTGCCTTCCCCCGTTGGGCTAGCGCGTTGGGTGACTTCGCGATTTCCCGACGCGTGCAATGACGAGCGACAGGGCAAGCGGCGCGGGCGAACACGATACGTCTGCCTGTTGTGGACGCCTATTATAACGTCGACGAACCCATTTCCGACGTTTGATGCTGCATAGCATCGTTTGCATTCCGCACGACTTCTGCTGTTATCCTGGAGTGTAATTGTATGAGGAAAGCATGCCGAGGGATATTAGGAGCTTCTTTGGAGGCGGGCCAGCGAAGGCGTCTTCGCAGCAGGAGGATGAGGTATGTTCGACTCCGGAGGATACCTTTATAATCAGCGATCAATCTTCTGCTTCTTTCAACTCTCTCACTTCTCTCATCCGCATTCAATCACACATCATGGCGAGGACTAGAGCTGCTACTGCAGCTATCAGACGACAGAAAACTAACTCCCAGACACAGAAACCCGCAGCGACAAAAGCAGCACCGAAGAAGAAAACCACTCGTCCAGCTCGAGTAATTGAGGACTCTGACGATGATGAAAAGGTCGAGGAGGTAAAGTGAGTTTGCCAGCGCTACATCACTCTTTGGAACAAGCTGACACAGGCGACAGACCAAAGAAGGCCAGTCCTAGAAAGCCCCCGCCCAAGAAACCGAAACGTGAGCCGTCGCCCGAGCTAGAAGAGACGACCACCTCAGCGTTCTTCGCCAGCAAGAACAAACCGAAACGATCCGAACCAGTGAAGGCAAAGAAGCCGGCTGCGTCCCCCAAGAAAGCTACTCCGCAAGCGACACCTGTTAAGTCGAATGGTACGACTGGTGGCAGGGGATCTGCACGAGGGAAAAAGGTTGTCAGCTATGCGGAGCGAGACGATGAGGATGAATTCCCGGATGACGATCTCGAAGTGGCTGATGACATCTTTGGGGATGATTATAAGAGACATGGCAAGAAGGATGATTATGTCGAGGTGGCTGATAGTGCTGATGAAGATGCACCAATTCCCTTACCGCACCGCGGGACCCCAAAGCATCCGGCGCAGAAGCAGAAGAAGATCAAGGATGAAGATGACTTTGAGCCTGATGACGAGGATGTCGACATGAAGGATGTGGATGCTGAGGATGACTTCATGGAGCCGGAGGAGGAGGAGCGAGCGGTGACGAGCAAGCCTAAGAAATCCTCAGTCGTTGGCCGAAAGCGCAAAACTCCAGAAGAGGACGAAGAGGAGGAAGAAGCCGAGGCGCCGAAGAAGACTCCTGCTAAAAAGGCCACTCCTGCAAGAGCAAGAGCCCCGGCGAAGAAGAAGGCTAAGACAGCGGACGCACCAGAAGATGCTGGAGTGCAAGCCATCTACGACAGCATTCCTCTGGTACGGGCGCCTACGCCGCCTCCCAAGGAAGAGGGCGCCAAATTCGACTGGCGAGCGACCAGAGGGCATGGAGATGCAGGCCCAGCGAGCGGATTCTCAGGCGAAATGCCCTCTGGAACCGAAACTTGTCTCGCCGGGCTCAGCTTCGTGTTCACGGGCGTTTTGGACAAGTGGGGTCGAGAGGAAGCGCAAGCTCTGGTCAAGCGTCATGGCGGAAAGATTACAGGGGCTCCCAGTAGGAAGACGGACTATGTCGTACTTGGGAACGACGCCGGTCCTAGCAAGTTGGCGAAGATTCGGGACATGAACATCAAGACTATCAATGAGGAAGGGCTTACCCAGCTCATCCTGAAACTGTCCGCACGGGATGGCGCCGGCAGCTCGAAGGCACAAGCCGCAGCCCTAGAGAAGCAGCGCAAGGAGGAGGAGAAAATCCGAGAGCAGGCTGCGCTGATGGAGAAAGAAGAGCAACAGCGATTGAAGGCTGCGGCAGCCGCTAAAAAGGGGAGTTCTGCTGCCGCTGGCAAGGCGGAGGAACCAGCTGTGGATTCTCGGTTGTGGACTGTCAAGTACGCTCCTACAAACCTCAACCAGATCTGCGGTAACAAGGCCACGGTCGAGAAGCTTCAAAGGTGGCTTCAGAGATTTCCAAAGAGCCAGAAAACGGGCTTTAAGCTTGCGGGCCCCGATGGAAGTGGTGTGTTCAGAGCGGTTATGCTTCACGGTCCTCCTGGTATTGGTAAAACCACAGCAGCGCATCTGGTTGCCAAGTTGGAAGGCTATGATATTGTCGAAAGCAACGCCAGTGACACACGCAGCAAGAAGCTTGTTGAGGAAGGCCTTCGCGGTGTCCTGAGTACCACGTCCTTGCTTGGATATTTCGCCGGGGATGGGAAGAAGGTCGAGCAGTCGAGGAAGAAGCTTGTCCTAATCATGGACGAGGTTGATGGAATGTCAGCAGGGGACCGAGGTGGTGTCGGCGCTTTGGCTGCAGTGTGCAAGAAGACGGAGATTCCGATGATTTTGATCTGCAATGACAGGCGGCAGCCCAAGATGAAGCCTTTTGACTATGTTACCTTCGACCTGCCTTTCCGTCGACCGACCGTGGATCAAATACGATCGCGGATCATGACCATTGCCTACCGAGAGGGACTGAAGATGCCGGCGCCTGTTGTCAATGCTCTGGTTGAGGGCAGCAACGCCGATATTCGACAAGTGGTCAACATGATATCAACTGCGAAGATGGACAAGGAGGCTATGGATTTCGACAAGGGCAAGGAGATGTCGAAAGCGTGGGAGAAGCACGTCATTTTGAAGCCGTGGGATATCACGCACAAGATCCTTGGGGGCGGCATGTTCGCTTCCAGCAGCAAGGCGACACTGAACGACAAGATTGAACTCTACTTCAACGACTTTGAGTTCAGTCCCCTCATGCTTCAGGAGAATTATCTCGGCACGCAACCAATCCGAGCCGCCAGCTACAGCGGCCAGGAACGGAAACTCAAGCTGCTTGAGCTCGCCTCCGAAGCCGCCGATAGCATCAGCGATGGAGACCTTGTCGACCGGATGATCCACGGATCTCAGCAGCACTGGTCTCTCATGCCCACCCATGCCGTGTTCAGCTTTGTTCGGCCGGCCAGCTTCGTCGCCGGTAGCTTGGCCGGCAACCAAACGCGCTTCACCTCTTGGCTTGGCAGGAACAGCAACCAGCAGAAGTTGACGCGTATGGTGAAGGAAATCCAAGCTCATATGCGTTTGCGGTCTTCGGGCGACCGACATGAGGTTCGGCAGAATTACATTCCTGTCTTTTGGACGCAGCTCGTCAAGCGATTGGAGGACGAAGGGAAAGATGCTGTACCAGAGATTATCGACTTGATGGACAGCTACTTCTTGACGAAGGACGACTTTGATGCGATCATGGAGTTGGGCGTGGGGCCGATGAGCCAAGAGAATGTCAAGATTCAGTCGCAGGCGAAGTCGACTTTTACGAGATTGTATGTTTGCATGATTAGATCGCGCGGACTTTGCTAACCCTTGTCATAGGTATAATCAACAGTCTCATCCACTGCCGTTCATGAAGGCCAGCCAGGTTGTGGCGCCCAAAAAGGCCACCAAGGAGAAGCCCGACCTTGAGGAAGCTCTTGAAGAATCCGACGAAGGTGAAGTCATTGACGAGATCAAGGAGGATGATGAGGATGTGGATATCAGCAAGGACAAGTACGTCAAGCAGCCTAAGAAGAAGGCGCAGCCGCAGAAGTCAAGGGGCAAGAAGAAGGCTGATGAGGAGGACGATGAAGAGAGTGAGGAGGAGGTTAAGCCTAAAGGAAAAGGCAAAGGAAAGGCCGCGGCTGGGAAGGGAAGGAAGAAGTAGGGGACGGTAGCGGGGCGGAGGACATCAAGGGCATAGGATAAGGAGTAAGGTGTCCTTCAGGGTTTACTAGGGTTGCAAGCTTATGTTCAGCTGAGTTAGGCTTGAGTATGCCTATTTGAGGATAGGCGTGGATAGCCCGTCATCTGTATACCGCGGCTGTATTTTCTTCAAGAAGTTCATCAATGGATTACATCATGCTAAGGCTCCTTGTAGGCTACGACATGCCCTTCTTCTATGTTTCATCAGCACTCCTCACCGCCTTGTCTTCCCTGAAGCCATGTCTGCCTCGGATTCCGATGTCGGTTTTCAAAAATAGGAGGATATCAGCTTCATAGTCACACCCACCCTCTTGAGTACAATATACACCAGGTAGTCAACGCATCTACGGTAAGCGCCGATGTCGCCGTCGACCAATTGAATATGTCCTCCGAACCGGCTCCGCCCTTTGTCAAACGACCTATTGTCATTATAGCTCCAGTCCGCGTCTTCACATGAGCGTTTGCCGTAACTCGCGTTCACCGCTTGTAGCCTGTTGCGGGTATATAATACCAGTGCTCTCCGGCCCCTCCCGTACCCCTTTTCTTTTCTCTTTTCAACAGTGCTGACGGTGATTCACAGGTACATATAGTCGAAGCAAGCAACATCGGTTGCAGAACACGAGTTCGAGCGGAGCCGGCGGAGGGGTTGCGAATCGAGGCTACAGTGCGAGTGCCATACCCGCCCACGAGCGAATTTTTCGATAGGTGGAGGAGGAGGAGGATACCGAGGCAGGAGATCTTGGTAGGGAGATAGGAGGGAGGAGAAAGAGCGGACTCGTGAACGGTGGGTATTTGGGATCTGGTACTGGAGGACAAGGACAGACAGAAGAGGAGGAGGAGAAGGAGGAACATTCACGCAGCAGCCCGGTTTGCCGACCGCGACCAAGAGGCTTCTCGACTGGACCTGAAATTTCGGATTCCGGAAACCTCCACCGCATCTCGCACCACCACCAGCGGCCCTCCAATCCCAACTGCATCTCCTCGTCAACACCACCCGCATCCTAACCCTAAATCCAAACCTGAACCCAAACTCAAACCCATCCCACCCCATCTATTCACCCACAATGCCGCCCCTCTCCCCGCGCACCCGCGAAGCCGGCCGCGCCCGCATCTACGGAAATCCCGCCGCCGTAGGCATGAATTCCTCCGAGTGGTCGGTCCATCTGCGCGACGAGGAACGGTCGGATTACTCGCCGTCGGATTGGGAACGGATCGTGACGCCCCAGCGACGGATGGATGAAACGGCTGCTGCTGGTGCTGCAGCTGGTCGTGGTGGTGCTGGTGGTGGAAGAGGAGGAGGTGATGGTCACTGTGATGGTGAAGGCAGCCCGACGCCCAGGGCTCGAAGGACGGGTGGGAATGGTGCTGCTTGTGGTGGCTATCCTCGTGCTTCGAGACAGTGGAACAGGAATGACACTCAAGGCGAGGACGAGTACGAAAACGAAGACGAAGACGATGAAGACGACGAAGACCACTGGCTCATAGGCTCCTTCCGCCCACCCACCGCCGCCGAACACAGCACCACAGTTTCCGTCTCCCGCCCACCACCACCACCACCCGGTCCCTCAGGCCCTCCTCCCCGTCGTCGTCCCCCTCGCATCCCGATCCCACCTCCTTTCGATCCCCGGACGGCGCTAGATAGACACTTGCAGCCGCCGCGTCCGCCGCCGCCAGCGCGTCCGCTGCAGCGGTCCGAGGAGCGGGGTTTCCTTCTGCCGTCTCTTTGGCAGCGACGGCAGGAAGGACAGGAACGACAAAGTGGAGGACTTACCCGTCTATCCCTCCTGTCTAGCAACGACAATAATGGAGGTTATACCGCACAGGAGCGTGAGCGCAACCAACTCCTCGCCGAGCTGAGGGCGGGATCCGAAGTCCCAATGGCACCGAACCGCGCATCTCTTCACCCCCACCATCACCGCACCCAAATCCAGGTCCAGGTCCAGCGTGAGGTCGGTTCAAGCAGACTGCGGCGCGTGGAACCGTTTCGCAACTTGCTGGCTGCGATTGAGGTGGAGGAGGAGGAGAGGGCCAGGGTGGCGAGGGAAAGGGAGAATCGGGTCAGGACGTGGAGTGCGGAGGTGGTGGCGGCGGGGAATTGCGGGGTGGTTATGACGCCTTCGGTGGATGTGTTTGGGGGGCGGGAGGGGGAGGGGGAGGGGAGGGACGAGCGGATGGAAGGGAGGAGGGCGAGTGCGGAGAATAGGCGGGATGGGGGAGGACGTCGTGGAGCGCCGCAGGTGAGCAGGAGCTTTGAAGATGCGGCTAGAGGGAGGTATGCGCCCTCTGATGATTCGGAAGATGAGGAGTGATGGACGGCCTTGCGAGGCATCAGCAACAGGAAAGCTCAGTGGTGAGTGAGGAACGAGCGAGGTCAGTGATGGTTGGACAAGGGAGGAGGAGTAAGTGACTGCGGCCTTCTCTTTGGCGGCGATTTTCTCCAGATCTCGGAAGCCTCGAGTAAAAGGAACCAGGGCTTTGAGTTTTGGTGCTATATCTTTTACTTCTCTGGCAAGGGCTTAGATGCCCACAGCGGAGAGAGACACGGAATCAGTATAGGTGTTAGCAAAGGTTGGGAGTCTGGTTACTTCCCAACTTGGTCGACATCTGAATCTTCATCCTTTTGTTTCCTTTTCCTTCCTTTTCCTTCCTTTTCCTTCCTTTTCCTTCCTTTTCCTTCCTTTTCCTTCCTTTTCCTTTCTTTTTCTTTCTTTTCCTTTCTTTTCCTTTCTTTTTCTTTCTTTTTTCTTTTTCTTTTTCATTTTTTTTTTCTTAATTCTACTCTCTTCTTTCTCTTCCATTGCAGTTCGCAAAATCTGCACCTTGCGGGGCCTTCGTTCCGAGTTCCGCTCATGAGAGAAGAGCGTTTCCGGCTATGTTTGAAAAGTAATCATGGCTTCTTCATCGATACCCCAGTGCTTTCCGTACCCTGCAAATATCGAGATCTATACCCCCACATCTATATCCACTCTAAGAATCCACTCCTCTACGTACGCCCCAAACCTTCGCTATTTTCCTTCTTCGTCCTCGGCTATTTCCTTCCTCGTCCCTCCTCATCTCCATCACCGATGCGTAGTCCTCAGCCCCTTATTCGCCGCAAACGCGCTCGCAACAATGGCCACGGCCGCAATCGCCGTCGACGCCGCAAACGAGTAGCGTATCCCGTCGTAGTAGACCAGACGAGCCTTGAGCTGGACGTCGGGCGGGAGTGTGCGCAGGGCGGTGACGGAGTGCCGGATTGCGTCGATGATCTGCGTGAGGTGTTATTATCTCAGACTCGAAATTATGGAGAGAAACTGGGCATATTTTGAATTTTTGGGTTATGGAAAAGTGGTGTAATGGATGAAGAATGGCGGAGCTTACCTCTTCCTTGCTAGGAACGCCTTCGAGTGCCAAAGGTAAGCGCCAGGTCAGTGTATTCTGCACGATAGATGCCGTGACGGCGACGCCCCAGACGCTGCCGAGGGAGCGGACGAGATAAACCGTGGAAGCGGACACCGCGTGCTCTACATCATACTAATTAGTCACTTCCTACCACATACTCCGACGAAGAGGCGAAAACGCACCCGAATGTTCAAAAGACGCAAGCGTCGTGAACAGAATCGCAGGATAGATGATGCCCTGCCCCAGATTCGCGGGGAAGATCCACAGATAGTACTTCCATTGGCTGTCGTGGAAGGCGAGCGAGGTGACGAGGCCGTTGCCCAGCATCATCAGGACGGCGCCGATGCGGACGAGTTTGATGAGCTTGCCCCAGCGGGACATGACGATTCCGGCGATCAGGCCGCCGAGGGGCGTTGCGAGGGAAGGGATGGCGAGGCGCGCGCCGGCTTTGGTGGGCGTGTCGAGCAGGACGACTTGGAAGAAGAGGGGGAGCATGAAGAGGTACTTGATACTTGGTTAGCAAAGTTGGGATCCGTGACCGAGGGGTGGGAGACGTACGGCATAAGCAGCTGTCCCGGCGCAGACATTGGCAATCTGGACGGCAACGGGATTCCTACCCATCAACTGCCGCAGCGGTATCACGGGGATAGCGGTCGTCGTCGCCTCCACATAGACAAATACAGCCAGAAGCACGCAGCTTCCCACCAGCGATGCGATGACCCAGGCATTGCTCCAGGGAAGCTCATTCCCACCCAAGCTCAGCCCAACCAGCTGGATCGAGATCGCCGTCACCAACAGCAGCGCCCCTACAAAATCCACCTTCTCCCGTATCTCCCTCCACGACGGCCTCACCTCCGCCGGATCCTTGATGACAAGCCAACCCACAAACAGCGCAAACAGGGAGATGGGGACCTGCAAAAGGAAGCACCACCGCCAGCCAATGCCGTCGGCGATGCTCCCTCCGAAGCTGGCTCCGCAGATGGCGCCGAAGCCAAACATGGCGTTCTGCAGGGCCTGATACATGCCGCGCTTCCTGAAGGGAATCATGTCCGAGTTGACGATGGTGGCCATGGTCATGAGACCGCCGCCGCCGAAGCCTGCGAGGGCACGCATGCAGTTGACCATTACAATCGTTTGGGCGGCGCCGCAGCCTAGACAGCCCAGGGCGAAGGTAATGGTGGAGACGAAGAAGCATATCCGGCGGCCGAAGATGTCGGAAAAGCGACCATAGAGAGGTTGGAATGCAGTGCTGGTAACTAAGTAGGACGTCGTGAGCCACGAAGCGGTATTGGCGGCGTCGAAATCGGAGCTTATGACTGCGTAGGTTGCGGCCGTGATGGTGCCGTCGAAACCGTAGAGGAAGACGTTGAGGAAGATGGCGAGCTCGATCCAGATGAATGCGGGCGGTGGCTTCCAGTCGGTTTCTGAAGGGGGGTGCAGGAGGGGTGTTCGTTCGGTCGAAGTTAGGATTGAATTTTCGCTGTCTCCATCTGCGACATGCCCATTGTAGTCCTGCTCTTCCTCATCGCTCTGTACTCCTCCCGCACACATGATGCTTTGGCACTTTATGAAAACACTTCAGTGCCTCGTCTTTTCCCTGCTCTTAATGGGACATGTGTCTTCAAAATTGCTGCCCATCAACGTCATAACTCTTATAATTCGAGTTGCATTTTTCCCAGTCCATCAAAACGAGCGTGCCAAATATACGAAGTCACGCCATTGGAGCGATGTTTGACGGAAGCAAGCAAGCCACAGCAGGGCTCGAATTTACCCACAACCCCCACCTACCAAACCTCACCACAGACGCCACAACCAACTCTTCAAATTGTACAGTACTGCGGCTGTGCACATCCAACTGAACATCCCCTCGCAGTTCTTCTGTAGGTGAGGTTCGCTACCTAGCACAAGCCTATTAGCTATGTCTAAATAATGCAACAAGTAGAACTTTGCTTTGCAAACTGAATATACGTTAATAGAGGCACTTTAAAGCTAATTGCAACATCTATAAAATCGCTGCACTTGCAAGCAGCTTACTTGGATGTAGAAAAGAGCAGTACAGAGGAAGTGCAAGAGTGAGTTCAGTCGGATGTGAACAGAGGTTTCTACACCCCAGCAAGAAAGGCTTGCACGACGCTTCGTCCTCGCGGCGAGAAACGAGAGCGAGCGTCTCCACTCGTTCCCAGCGCCAACAAAACAGTATTCACTATCTTCGGGGTCACACGCAGGTTTAGAGTTCATGGTGGAGGTCTAGCCACCTAAGAAGGAGTATGTAGCCACTACTTGCTGGTGGGATTTGTCTCGGGCTTATTTTATTACCGCGCCCCGTAGCCGAATGAAGGGCGAGACTGGTGCAACTCGATGTTTGGTGAAGCGTACGGAGGTACAGTTGGGGAGGACCGATGAGATAGGTAGTCTACGCATCGGAGCTCTGATGGTAATTGAGATCAGAGGATGAGATCGATACCAAAACATAGCGTCTAAACGTGATAGGGTGATGACGATACGGAAGAAAATGGCCAAGTAGTAGTAGTGCCAGGCACGCAAAAGCCGAAAGCACACGTGGAAAGGATACCTAGGTAGTTATTAATAATAAAGGAGTCGGAAAAACGGCTGGCTGTGGAGCGGGCAGCAAGCGGGACCGGCCGAGAAAGGGTCGGTGCCATGTGTCGGTCGTTGATGCGGCTAGAGAACCCCGCTTTGTCCCTCGACCGACGCACGCAGTACACCTGCAAAGCAGAAGGCTGCGAAACATCGCTTTGCTGTCGAGCTTCAGGAGCTGTTGTGAGATGGGGCAGCTCATCGTTTCGTCCAGCTGCTGGAAACTCGGTTGCCAAACTCATCCGCATGTCTGAGTAGTATCAGTGTTACCGAATTCTGCAGGCTGCCGAGTTCTGTAGGAACATGACCTTTCTTTCCAACATGGATTCTTGGATGAAGCGGTCCAGGATGTCTACGGAGTACTGGATCCTCGATCGGTGGGTTGACGGCTTAAGCCGGGAGAGGAGAACTCCTGCTGAGCGCAACCAACCGTACTTCCAACACTGAACCGTCGAGTTGCATCAGGATATTATAAAGTCCCCGTAGTTCGGGAAGGTTGAAATTACCGACGCCTGCAGAGTGGCCTGTAGGCGCATAGTGTGTAACTCGCGCATTAGACGAGTGGCGGAGGAATCAATACGGAGTATCCAGTCGGCCATATATGACACGATCAACGATTCTCCCGGTTTGCGATTTGCCCTGGGTCCGGGAGTCTGGGAAATCCGCTCTGGCTAAAATAAAAAACCAAGGCAAGGTGAGACGGACGCTTCATCTAATAAGGAATGCGCATGTCCGCCAGGCGTCCGCGGCAAGGATTACAGCATTATTGTTATTTGATCGATTGGACTCGTTCTTGGCGGTTTGGTACGACGCAGTGTGTCCTTTGGCTCCGGGATATTCACAGCGATACGAGGAGGCGTGGCGGTGCGACGGTCAGCATTGAGCAAGATGTGCGCCTCTTTTGGGTTGATTCCGATGCAGGGATGACGAGGAGGATTCTCAACCAGGCGGTGCTGCGGTGATCGGACTGCAAAGTCTTGAGAGGCATGCAGGAGGGGTTGTCGCACCAACCCGGCACGGGCATGCAGGGCATGTTGGAAATGTCCTGGTGCCATTCTTGGTGTCAAAACCCCGAACCCTTTTTGTAAATCCACGTCTGTTTTGTGATGTGACCTTACTAGATTGTCATGACCGTTTTGGCCTTCAGCCTTGTCTTCATGCTGATACGAACCGGCTGGTCTGTGGCGCACGGGCGAAACAGGCAAGAAGAGAAGCATCTTCTGCCTATCGACCCTCCTAGCAGGATGTAACATCGAACATGTCGTGCCAGTGTTTGGGTGTTGCAGTGTTTTGGATGGTCCTCGGATTCGGTTTACTGTAGGGGTCGACGAACGATGAACGGGCCGAGGAAGCTCCACGACGCTAGACGGGACCTGGACCGGGAGTCGCTAATGGGGGTCATTCTCCCATTTTCGATCAGATACTGCATATTGATATTGAAGCCCTCTTCCTGTGTAGATGCGGCTCGGGTGAGAAGGCGCAGGAACCTTCTTTTTCTCTGAGCCGCCTCGCGTCGAATTCGGCATCTCGTCGACGGCGAGGGATGACGGGCAGCCCAACACGCTCTCACCGGCTCGGATTGTGGCGCTGAGGAAGCCACAACGACCCAGGTGACTTCACGTGGCTTGTGGCTTGTCCCAGAAATCCTCCACGGTGGATCCGTGTGGACGGCATCCCGAAAGGTTCTGGCAGTAAGATGATGAACTGGCCGCTCAAAGATCTTTGTTGAACTCTTTCCTCGTGGGGCTGAGCAGTGCGAGTCAAGCAGGACTGGTGGTTATGTATCAGAATCATGCGGCCTCATCAAGCAGGCGACGAGGCACCGTTAAAAAAGGGACTCTCACCCCGAGCCGAGTCGAGTCCAGCCAGGTACCTTTCCTTTCTGGCCCCACGGCGGACTCTCTGCAGGGGCATGCACGGCAGCCAGTCAGCAGTCGGGGCCAGATTGGGGGACGGACACGGGGGGAAGAAAGTGCATGGATGCGTGACACGAGGGCTGCTCGACCTGGCCCTTTCCACTGCCGACCGGCGAACGGCGGGACGAGGGCCACGGAAGACATTGTTTTGCGTCACGGCACGGACAGCCACGCCAAGAGCATGTTGGAAGCTTCAACGAGTGCCCCGGCTGCCACACACCCACACACCCACACACACGGACGCATGCACACACACACCCGCTGCAGCCAGCCCTCCTCCAGTCCCCCTCACAAAACGAGCGCACTCGGCACCTCCAGCGGGCCAGCGCAACAACCCCTCGAGCTGCTGCCGCCCGTCTCTTCTTCCAGTCTCCGGCGATGCATGATAATGATAAGATGACGCAGCGCCTCCCTGCGGACAAGCATGGTTGTGCAACAGTAGGTAGACAGCCGCCCGCCTCCTTCTATCGGGTGCCTGACTGCCATGGGATTCCAGGGAGCCGTACATACAATAATATCTACTGTACCTATCCACCTGGGCGTGGTCAGACGGGCTGACGCGCCGAAAGGGAGGGGCCAGCTGAACGGGTGGGCCTGACAGGCGGTTGCTTGCCGTGACTGGGACATGCCACGTTCCTTTATATTATTACAATGGAGAGATGCAAGCGGATCGACGACTTGTTGATGATTTGACGACTCTAGTACCAAAGGGACCTTGGCGAGGAAGCTTCTCTGAAAAAGGCGGCGACGCGACCAAGCTGCGCGCACCTGTCATCTGCTCCTCGTCCCACATCGGTGCGCCGTGCAAATGTCTTGGTGGTTGGTAGACCCAGTGTCGCAGTCGCACACGTTGCCCATCTTGTCAAGTGTGGTGGTAGTAGAAGCGCTCAGCCGACGTTGCGAGTCTCTCGACGGAGTACGCCAGGCGTCAACCTCACGTGCTGGCCCTGGCCTCCGTAGAGACCAACACATCGGTCGCACGTACCGGCGATGGTACATATAGGGGGAACGAAACGGGCAGGCTGTTTCCGTCTGTCGCCGAGGATGCAAGGCGGATGCAAATCCTCTGCGGGCGTGCCATCATGGATGGGAGGATATAGGCATAGGAGTATGTACATACATAATAATATAGGTTCCAAGGTTGGAGGGTAGCTGCCCCTTCCTTCCGCGTCAGCTTCCGCGGGAAGGCAGGCGCCACCCACGGCCCAAGCGATCCATCCACGCCTTGGCGCACGGGCGCTCCTTCCCCGCCAACCGAACCTTGTTGTCCGGGGGTTCGTTGCAAAATGATCCAACCGCCCGCAAGCCCTCCTCTCGACTCTGGGAAAGGGGACTTATCTTGCCCATGCCCTCTGCTGTCGATGCTCGCCCTCTCTTTAGGGCCCGCCCGCCCCTTCGCCATTTCCCCCCGTTTTCCTCCCGCCTCACCTCTCCTCTCACCCTTCACCTTCGCCGTCACCCTCCCTCTACAGCCCCTTCGTCAGCTTTATTTCATCGATTCCAATCTACCCGCAGTCGTTACACGCTGCCTAACGACTCGACTAGACGCTCGCCGTATTCCTGTTAGGCTCCTCCTCGGCCTGTCGCCTTCGATCCGATCCTACCGGCCCTTTTCGTAAGTCGACTCTGATTCGCTTAAAGGCTTCAACAGAGCCTCCCATCTCCGATCACCACCAGCTGTATCTCACTCACATGAACCAGTTTATCTTCTGTCATTACTTGAACCGCCCCCCTGCCGTCCCATCTCGCTGTAACTGCTGCTGCGGAGCATGGCCAGCCACCAGCAGCCCTCGCCCACCGCCGCCCTCGCCCCCCATCAACAACATGGTCCACCCCATCCCATGCAGGTCAATGGACACCCTCACCAAGTGGGCCCGCCTGCCCCCAAGTCGCAGATCGTCGAGGCATCAAACCGGAGCCAAGAGAGCATTTGGGTGAAGCTGGGTACGACTGGTCCATCTTGTCTAGATTGACTTTGGTCACTAACACCCCTCGTCAGCGCAAATGTTTGAGCAACTAGAGGACTTTGACCAGGCCCATCAGTGCTATGAACAAGCGCTCAAGTACAACAACTGGTCCATCCCAGCCATGCTTGGCATTGCCACCATCCTGCGCAACCGAGACGCCTTCAGCCAGGCTTCGGAATACTATCGCACCGTCACCAAGATTGACCCTTCGAATGGCGAGGCATGGGGAAGCTTGGGTGCGTCACCTGTTCTCCTCACGTCATTCCCGAGGCCAACATGACTAACATCCGTGCAGGCCATTGCTATCTGATGGACGACAACCTCCAACAGGCATATACCGCCTACCAGAATGCCCTATTCAATCTGCCCGATGCCAAGGTAAATACAAATGCAGTGGCAACGTGGCAACGCCCACACTGTCGAATAGTGGCTGACGTGCGCTACAGGATCCGAAACTGTGGTACGGAATCGGCATCATGTATGATCGCTATGGGAATCTCGACTTTGCCGAGGAAGCCTTTTCCCAGGTGATGAGGATGGAGCCCAATTTCGAGAAAGCAAACGAGATCTACTTTCGCTTGGGCATCATTTACAAACAGCAACACAAGTTCGAGCAGAGTCTCGATGTGAGTGGTCCCACCCAATTCGCCCTCAAAACTGTCGCTGACCTTTTGTACTAGTGCTTCAAGTACATTTTGCCGAACCCGCCCCGCCCTCTATCAGAGACAGACATTTGGTTCCAGATTGGCCATGTGTACGAACAGTTGAAGCAGGTTCGTTAATCGAGACGTCGCCGCTAGCCGGTTCTAACATCTCTTGTAGCCCGATGCTGCGCAAAACGCTTACCGCCGAGTTCTGGAACATGACCCAAATCACGCGAAAGTCCTGCAACAGCTCGGTTGGCTGCTATATATGCAAAGCACGAATTATGCAAGCCAGCAAGAGGCCATTGAGTATCTCGAGAAGTCGGTACAGGCCGGTAAGTGCTTGGCTTTCTCCATTACCTACGCCGTCCATACTGACAGCATCAAAGATTCGAACGACGCCCAGAGCTGGTACCTGCTTGGGCGCTGCTATATGGCGCAGCAAAAGTATCCCAAGGCCTACGAAGCTTACCAGCAGGCCGTCTATCGCGATGGCAGGAACCCAACCTTCTGGTGTTCCATTGGCGTGCTGTACTATCAGATCAACCAATATCGGGACGCCCTCGATGCCTACTCTCGCGCGATTCGACTCAATCCCAACATCTCCGAGGTTTGGTACGACCTTGGCACTCTGGTATGCTTGTCTACATTTCCTCTCCCTGTTCTTATCCTGACCATGATACAGTACGAATCGTGCAACAACCAGACTGCAGATGCCCTGGATGCATACCAGAGAGCAGCAGACTTGGACCCAACCAACGTCCACATCAAGGCACGACTTGCACTCCTTCAAAACGGCGGTCAGGCGACCAACGGAGCTCCGAACCAGGGAAATGCTCCCGTCCCGCAGGATGTCCATCCCCAGGCCTATCAGCCTGCAGGCCTTCATGGTCCCGCCGCTCCTCAATGGAATGCGACGCAACCACAGCAACCGCCTCACGGTCCCGCCCCGCCGGCTATTGGCGCTTCGTCAGAGTGGAATCGTCCGTTGGCCCAAATCCGTGAACCTGGACTTCCACCGCAACAACTCAATCCCTATGAGCAGCGTGAGAGCGGCCGTCCCGCCACGCAGCATGCTCCACTGCAGCCCCCAAGCCCAAGGCGAGAAAGGCCATATCAAGAGGCGCCGCGTCCGCCTACCAATGGTCCTGGTCCTGCTGGTCCGACGCACCCGCCAGCTCCTCCGCTGCGTCGAGGCCTTTCCCCTTCTCCCAAGACGCACAGCGTCGCTCCAAGTCCCTACCATGCGCAGCCTCCGCACCATCCACCTCCAGGGCCGCCGCCTCAGTCGCAGCTACCACCCCCACACCAACAGCAGCAGCCGCCGCCCCAGCAACAACCATTGCCGCCGCCGCCGCAGCCACCCCAGCCACCGCAGGCTCCGCAGCCCCGAGAGCAACCGCCGAACCGCATCTCGAATCCCAACTATGGTGCTCCACATGCAGCTAACGTACCTCCTCCTCCTCCGCCTCCGCCTACAGGCCTCAGCGGACCGGCTAGTCAAGGGCCACTTCCACCTCCTGCCTATGGACGCATGAGCAGCCCACCTCCTCCAGAGGTCCGTCCCATTGTCGAAAACCGTGCGGCCTCCCCTCGCAGTGGATATCAAGGACCTTACCAGCACCATCCTGATTCTTCCACCGGCGGCGGTATTGCTAATGGGGCCCCTGCTCCAGCGTCTGCACTGGCCGCTGCGGAGGCTGCCGCTCGTGAACGTGAAGATCGTCCCCCAACCGCCCCATCAAAACGACATCGTGAATGGGAAGAGAACGACCATGTGGCTTCTAAACCTCCTGCTAACGAGGAAAAGCGTCAGAAGCTCGAAGAGTCCCATAGCCGCCGACCTTCCCCACCTGCTCACCGGATCGCTTCTCCGCAGGTCGCGCGGCACAGTCCGCCGGCCACACACGATGCGCGGCGATTCAACGATGGGTATCACCCATCGGAGGCTGCCCATCACCCTCCGTCCCTACCTTCCATGAATGCCAACCAGCCACCCCTCCCACGTTTAGCGGAACCAGCAAAACAGGAGCGAGCGGAGCATCACGAGCCGGCTGCTCGTCACATGGATGTCGATGAGAACTATGATGATGAGCCAGAAGAAGCGAAGCCGACTGTTGCAAAGTCCGAGCGTGGCAGCCCGCGTAACGCGGCAGCGGCAGGCAACGGCATATCGCATGGTGCTCCTCCGGCGGAGCAAAAATCTTAAAAGGATAGATGTCACCAGGTGTGGTTTGCATTGCTGACTCAACGCATGCAATCCTGAACGAATCAGCGACGGCCTCTTGACGGTCGTTATGGACCGATACCCAAACTTCGTTTGTTCGGATATTGGATTTCTGGATAAGGTGTCTGGCTGCTGGCTGTTATATTCGTCTTGGATTATTACTTTTTTGTTCTCGGTTTACCTTTTGGCCATTTGCCTGAGGATCAGAAACTTGCAGAAGCGCTCTTTTTTGACTTTTCTACTTAGCTGTAAAGAAGGCCTTGACCCATGCAATTTGTGGCTTGGACGATAGGAAACAGTCCCAGATTCTCTAGTTTGGTCTTGGGTGCGGTGGTGGGATGCAGTAGCTATAATACTCCTTTCAAAGCATACCTAGGTAGAATGCTTTTGCTTGTCAATATTACTGGCTAGGTTAGGTTGCTGTAGCTTTCTGACAATCTCGGATGAAAGAGATCGAACGTTACCGGTTTGGGTAAGCGTAATTTTTCCCGCAACTTGTCGTCATTGCCCATTCTTGTTTGTCGATTTCCAGCCCCCCGCGTCCCAACACCATGTTCATGCGACAACAACAGCTAGGAACCAAACTTGTCCAAAGCTCGAATCTGCACCTGAAGAGTAGCGTCCTCGTCTCTTGCAGCATTACAACTACACGACCCTTTTCCACGCCTGGACGACGGCAAAATCAAGAGCACCCAAAGCTACAGCGCCCAGCTCCCAGCTACACCACCGGCGTGCGCCCGACCGCTTCGTGCACGCTTCCCCTTGCCCAGCAGCCCAAGACCGCTAGATCTCGTCTACATACCTCGGCGGCGTGCAGGATGGCCTCGGACGACGCGTACGCCGCCTTCCTCGAGAAAGCGAACCAGGACGTCTCGGGCGGAGCGGGGGGCGAGGAGATAACGGCTAGGTCGTCGTCGTCGGCGGACAAGAGGATCCGGATCCAGGAGCAGGATGTCGTGGAGGTGCCGGCGAGTCTGCGGGGGATCGAGGAGGTGTATGTTAGCGAGAGTGATGAGGGGTTCGAGGGGGTGGGGTTGGGTTGGGAGGGCGGGGAGGTTGATGCCGGTGAGTTAGTCGTATATTCTCTGTGATTCCAGATCTTGGGATCGATTGGCTGATTGGGGGTTTTTGCATAACAGATTCCCTTCGTAAAGCGCTTTCTCTGTCGTCGGATACGGATGTGTCTAGTCTGAGTGAGAAGGAGTTCGATCCCCGGGGCAACTATACGTCTGTCATTGATAAGGTGAAGAGAGCGGGGAATGGGAGCGTGAAGATTTTTAGGATCGAGTTGGATGCGACGAGGGCGGAGATTTGGGTGCTGAGTGTGGATGAGAAGGGGAAGAGGCTTGTTGGGGTGAGGACGTTGAGTGTGGAAACGTGATTGTTCGCTATGGGGGTTAAGGTTGGAGAGGCGTGGAAGTACAGGTTGAGAGAGCTTGTACGATATGGCGAGGAGAGTCAGGACATCCGGATTTGACCAAGAGTTTCGAAGGATCCATGGATGAAGATGGTGAAGGAAGCGTCAAGGGAGCATGACTTTGGCGCTTCCCATCTGGGCTTAATCTTCCTAGCGAATATTGAGCCCGTACCCTCTCTTCTAATAAACCTCTCCACGCTCTGATGGTCCAGTTTACCAACGTCAAGAATTGAAAGAACTTCACGTGCCCGGCAAGAGGACTGTTTCCATTTATTTGCTGCCGGTGCATTTCTACATTTAACTGGCTACTTGGGCCAAAGAATCGGCAGTTGGATCAAGCACAAAGCGTAAGGTGTACTCTCCCCAGCATCCCGTACTCCTAAATATAAAATCTCCTCATTGCCGGCCCCTCTCCGTAGGCTCACTCCTGTAGGACGATTCAATATCCACCAAATACTCGGCCAAGACCTCGTTGCTCCATATCCAAAGCATTCTTCCTCTCCGTCTCCATCGAGCCAGTCCCAGGAAAACCGAGAGTGACCCTCATCATCATACAGATCGATCTCCAAACACTCGTACATGAGCTCGCGGCGTAACGCGTGCACCTCGGGCAGCAGCTAGCCGACAGAGACGCTATTAAAGTCTACCCTCTAGTAGCTAATAGATTAAGCTTACTTCTTCTTTATTACGCTAAAGCATTTTATAGATACCTATAAACCTTCTCTAAAGTAATATATAACGAAGATTCTTAAATAGTAAGAATATAATAGTTAAACTAGTAATAGAATACTTAAGCTACCTAATCTAACTATTATATAACTAATATTTCATCTAATATTTTCTAACTGCTACTTATAACGTACGTCACGGGCGAGTCGGTCACACAGGCGAGTCGGTCACTATGCCAAGACCCCACCAGAATGTACTCTCACCTCTACTATAATCATGATGTCTCAACAACAC